CTCCCTTAGTATTCTTGTTCACTGTTTATGAACTGAACGTCCACCCCTCGAAGGCTTATGGCAGTAGTCTACTTTGAGTCAGAAGATGGCGGTTGAACGGAGGGTTGCTTTTGCACCGGCTACGAAACTCTGTTCTTGTAGGATGGCGTAAGAACTCGGCTCGGTCGGCTTGTACGGAGTACTCGCTGCCATATTCGATGACTACATACCTCTAGATCCGTAGCGAGGAGTTGCTGGACTCTCCTCTGCTATGTCTTCTTATCTAGACGTGATATATGTAGAGGTGTCCGGATTAAGATCCTGAAGAAGCGCTTGATAAGGTGGACCCTTGACATCCTGTGCCGAAACTGGCCCATAGCTCCAGGCATATTCTCTGTGGCGGGGACAGACATACCATGTAAGAACGAGCGCTGGCTGCTTTGTTGTTGGGAACTTTGGACAACATTGTATCTCAGCCAGTCATAGAAGATCTATAATCTATGATTTTATAAGCCCGGTTCCTCCCGAGTCCCTGAGCCAGTGTGGAGCCTCGTCCCCTTCCTCTCCATCTTCGCGACTCGCCTCTGCTGATGTCATGCATGGGGTCCCAGAATGGAAAACTCCGACCGGTCCTGAAACCCAGGCCTGATGAGAATTATACACCCTGGACATAGAGAGCACTTATGTATGCACATTTCGTGGGCCTCGTCTGGGTTTTCAGTGGGGCACCCCAAAAAGCTTGTCAAGTTCGTCAAAATGGGGGAGAGTGGGAACAGATAAGGGGGGGGGGGGAGAATTTTACTGGCGGTTTTTTTTTTCCTTGGAACGCTTCGTAATCGGGTTTCTTTCTTTTATCTCTTTTTTCTTGCTCTATCTACGATTATTGAAAAAAGCGAAAAAAAAAAAAAAAAATCCGTTCATTGAAAGCGACTGGCCCGTCCTTGGCTGGACTCTGCCATGGTTTCTTTTTTCCGCCTTCGGCAAGCAGCGCTCGGGACAGCGGCAGGATTTGGAATGATGGAAGAGCTGTTTTTGTTACGTTTGGCCGAAAGAGGGAAAAGGCTCTTACTAAGCAGTTGTCACGCTGTTTGCCGCGTATTCGTGAGCATGAGAGCGTGCCTGGTTCCTGACTGGCCGCTTACATAACCCCTCTGGGGTACTCTTCAGTGCCGTGCGTGTATGGTTGTATGTATGTAATCTATCTCGCTTGCCATACGGAGTGTTCTGTATGGAACAGCTGTACTGGACATTGAGGATATGGGTATACTTGCTGTGCTCCGTACGATGATGCCCCGATTTCAAGCATTTTCCCACAGTGACAGTGACATACATCTTGCTGCACCGCTGAATCCAACACCGCCCTTGGCCCTGCAGTCCCCGTTCTCGGCCGGCGGCGAGCGCGCGCGTCCGGCTTGCAGGCCGGGCCTCCCCAAATGCCTCATACGCAAGCAAAAAAAAAAAAAAAAAGGCCGCGCTGTTCTATCATCTGACAAACAAACAAGCAGGCCTTCCTTCACTCTTCACAGACAGTATTGACATACGTGTCCCCCCCCCTCCGCTTCCAAGCCTTCTCCCCCCCCTTTTGTCAGGGCCTGGCTCTCTCGTTTCCCGCCGCGGAAACGGTTCCCCCCTCGCCAAGACCCCGGCTTTCCGTTGTGCTTTTCCCAACTCGCCAAGGCCAGTATGCGACATTCGAAAGGAAAAAAATAAAAAAAAACAGACTTTCCTCCTCTCATTATTATTATTGTCGGCAAGCGTTTGCTGGACCGGGGGGATAGAGTCGGATGGCGGATCCTGTTGGGCGGTCTTGTTTTTATTATTTTGGCTCTTGTTGGGGATCCTTTATGGGGATTTTGTGGAGGGACCTGACGCACATTGGCTCAAAAAACGGGGTACATATCTACGTAGGAGGGGAAAGAAAAAATCAATTGTGCTTGATTGCTTGGGAATGTCCTCCGCCCGACTTGCCAGAATGGCGTATAATAATACAACCACGCTGCGCGCTCACTCGCTCGCAAAAGCATTGCGTTTGAGCGGACGGGGGATCCCCCCCCTTTTCTTTTCCCTACCGATTCTTTGATTTCTCCTCCCCAGGAACATTACACGAAAAGTCTTGGGACGATGGGCCTTGGCATGCTTCCTGATCTTCCCCCATCGTTGCTCGACAAGGTAGCATGCGATTGAGATCATGAGCTCTCTGCCTGTGACTGGACGGGGACATAGACTGTCCTTCCAGCCCCCCCCCCCCTCCCTTGGCGGCAGCGTCACCCAACACACTTGGCTCTCTGGTGGAACAGCGGACAGTGTACATACAAAATAATGGGGAAATAAAGGGTATTATTATTCCGTAGGAGACTATCTAGATGCTGTGTGCCCTTCTGAAAGCTTCTCTGCTTTGTCTTCCAGGCCAAGCGCTGCGAGAAACGCCCGCCAAGGGTGCCACGCTGCGGCTACTCTCTCTCTTGCAAGTCTTCCCGGCGATGCGGCTGATAAATATTATTAAATGGAATTCTTCACACGACGGCGGCGGGCCAAGGGCGATCACCTGCAGTCATCCACCCTCTTTCCCCCTTCGACGTGCGCGATCCGTGCGGGAAGTCGGGCCTTGACCATTATTCTTTGCAGATGGAGCCCCCCGAACAAAAGCTGACGGGCGTCAGAAAAAAAAAATAGGGGGCACATCTAAGCTTTTGATCGGTTGGTAAATTTTTCGGCCGTGGAGCTTAGCTGGGGAGGGGGGCGGTGACCAAAGCTTTTTTTTTTTCCCCCGTCGAGTTTCACGATGAGAGCTAGCTTACCATGGGAAGAAACAGAGGTGTGGGAGAAGCTAGGTCGGAGATAACGAACGGGCGGGCGCGCTGCAGGTTCTAGGCCGGGAAACAAGAGTTGTTCGAGAGAAAAACCACCTGTGTTTTAGAGTGAGCATGAAACTGTGACGGGGTCTAGTTAGGGGAGAAAAAAAGAACAGGCGGCATCTTGAAACGGCGCTTCTCTCTGCGAGCTTCCGTTCTGGATGAAGCTCAAAAGGGGGCGCTATTTAGCAAGGCCTGCCACCGTATATTATTATTATTTTCTTCTTTTTATTACTTTTAGCCGCTGCTCCACAGACCAACTAGCTGGGAACGCCAGAACCGGCATCGGCGGCTGCTCACCACATCCCGGTGAGTATCACGTAGCTGGCATAGCAGCGGTACCAGTACCCCGTAAACGAGCGGGCAAAGAGCGGAGCGAGAGTCGATTACTATCGTGATGCCAGGGATTGGATAGACGCTGAAGGAGAAGGAAGCGGACGAGACGGCCAAGCTGATCACAGGATGGCCGCCACTGATGTCAGGAATAATGGAGGAGAGCCTTGCAAGGCTCCTTTGACAAGCGGTGTGGTGGTGGTGGTGGGTGATAGCGGGCGTGCGGCGCACAATTGTGTGCGCGAACGCTGCTGGGCTGACGATGCCCACTAAAAATAATAATTAAATACTGGCCAGCACAGCAATAAGAATAATAGTCGGCCGAAGGCACTCATCAATGATTCCCATCCCTGCTTGCGCGATCTAGTGCAGTATTGGCTGGAGTTTTGGCCACCGACTAGATTATTATTATTGATAGCTGGCAGTGAGGGAAATTATGCCGTTCGGGTGAATCAGGGAGGGCCCCGAAGTTACGGGCGAGGATACGCTGTTCCGCAGCATGGCTCAGGGCTATTATTGACGGACGCGATTATTGATTGTTTGAGCGATTCAGTGATTGGACTATTTATGATATTATTGCGTTTGCCGTGAAGCTGGACGCAGCACCGTCAACAAGCAGATCGAGCAATTGCGGTTTAGCGTGGGAGTATCCGTACTCGGCACCTCAAGCGGAGCCGCCGGAAATCTCGCAGTGCCCGTCCTGCCCTTGTACGCCGTGTACAGGTGGTTATGCCCGCCCATCATCATCATCACCACTAGCAATGGTTTAGCCCGCTAGCTAGCTCCGCACCTGCGAGTCAGCACTGCACCAGCAGCCAGCGCCAGGAACAGGCACCGCCGTCGCAGCAGCAGCGCACTGCAGGCGTGGGCGTGCTGGTCTCCTCGGTTACGGCGGGCAACGGCACTTGCCTGCTTCGGGGCGGGCAGCCAGGCCCGGTTGGTGCGGTAACATCGACCGAGTTGCCCTCAATCTTACGGTATCGCGCTGGTTCGCGGCGTGAAAAAATCCGCAAAAAAAGTACGCGGGCTTGTTGCCACGGCGTCGCCAGCCCGCGGGCCACCGCCTCCGAAGTTACCGGTTCCCAAGACGAGCGCAGCGCCGTCACGGTATTTACCGGTTTGGTCTCGCGCTTACCTGGTTCCCACGCCCAAATGCGGGTCTGGCCACCAATCAGCCGCCCGCCGTCGCCGGGGCCCGCGCTGCCTGGCCGTACCGCTCGCTGGTATCGATACGCCCGCCCGGCGCAGGATTCAATACGCGGCGGGCGGCGGGCGTGTTTCGTTCTGTTCTGCTGATCCGTGGCATGACCATGACCTGCAGCGCGCAGTACCACGAATACCCCAAGGCGCACAATAGCTCCCGTATAGCAGCGCCGTGTATCCGCCGTACCGTTCGGGTTAGACTTTTCGCTTTGAGTTTGCGCCCTCCCTCTGCTCATATATCTTCCCTGGCTTCCCTCCGGCCCGTCGCTGGGACTTCTCTTCTTCTTCTCTTGACTCCTCCGCCTTGGTCCTGGTGTCGCCGTCGCTCTTCTTTCCGGCCCAGAGCTTGTGCCCCGCGGTCTGTACGTTGACTGTGCCCGCAAGCTTCCCTTCCCCCCCCCTCCCCCCCTCTCCTCTCTCCTCCTCCTTCTCCCCATCGTCTGCGCCGGTTTAGAAAATCGCACTAGCCCAACCCACGGTCTAAATCGATTCAATTGATTTTCAACCAGCTTGAGCCGCCAAATAATCCAAAAAGTCAAAAAACGCTGGATTGAATCAGCTCTTACTTCCGATTTTCCCCGGCCCCGCGGATTTCCCTTTGAGAAGCCGCTCAAATCCATCAATCAACCAGACATGGCAGAACCAACCGGCTCAACTCGTCCCCAGGGCGAGGGCGTGCCGCCCAACCACCTCGGCACCGCCGTCCCCACCGGAGGCTTGGAGGGTCACGATGAGAAGGCCTTTGCGTCGTCATCCCAGCCGCACTATGAGGAGAAGAAGGGCCCCATCCCCGACGAAGAAGAGGAGGAGGAGGACATGGATGCGCTCATCGAGGAACTCGAGTCCCAGGATGGACACATCGATGAGGAGGACGAAGAAAGCGGCGAGCCCGGCGGTGCTCGTCCTGTTCCCGAGGAGCTGCTCCAGACCGACACGCGCATTGGTCTGACCGATCAGGAAGTCACTGTGCGTCGCAAGAAATTCGGTCTCAATCAAATGAAGGAAGAAAAGGAGAACTTGATCCTCAAGTTCTTCAGCTATTTCGTTGGTCCTATTCAATTCGTCATGGAGGTGGGTACTCACTGCATCTGCATTTTTAAACTCCAGCAATCATCTGCACATTGTTTTTCTTTGATTCTTGCGAGTTTTGGCCGCCAAAAAAACGACGCGTTGCATGGCTGAGAGACGCGTTTTGGAGATGTGCGACTAATTTTTCATGCAGGCTGCCGCCGTTCTTGCTGCTGGTCTTCAAGATTGGGTTGATTTCGGTGTTATCTGCGGTCTCCTCTTGCTCAACGCCTGTGTTGGTTTCATCCAGGAATACCAGGCCGGCTCCATCGTCGACGAATTGAAGAAGACTCTTGCCCTCAAGGCCGTTGTTCTCCGCAATGGTCGTCTCGCTGAAATTGAAGCCCCCGAAGTCGTACCCGGTGATATCCTCCAGGTCGAAGAGGTGAGCAATCGACGTGTCCGTGCCGATTTCATAGTAATGAGGTACTAATTCGGGTCCGATTTCTAGGGTACCATTATCCCCGCCGATGGTCGCATTGTCACTGAAGATGCTTTCCTCCAAGTCGATCAGTCCGCCATTACTGGTGAATCGCTTGCTGTGGATAAGCACAAGAACGATACCTGCTACGCATCCTCCTCCGTCAAGCGTGGTGAGGCCTTCATGGTCATCACCGCTACTGGTGACAACACTTTCGTCGGTCGTGCTGCCGCTCTCGTCAGCGCTGCCTCTTCGGGCTCTGGTCACTTCACTGAGGTTCTTAACGGAATCGGAACTGTCCTGCTCGTCTTGGTCGTCTTGACCCTCTTGGTTGTCTGGGTTTCGTCGTTCTACCGATCGAACGGAATCGTTCCCATCTTGAAGTTCACCCTGGCCATCACTATCATTGGTGTCCCCGTCGGTCTTCCCGCCGTCGTCACCACCACCATGGCTGTCGGTGCTGCTTATCTCGCCAAGAAGAAGGCTATTGTGCAAAAGCTCTCCGCTATCGAGTCTCTCGCTGGTGTCGAAATTCTTTGCTCTGATAAGACCGGTACTTTGACCAAGAACAAGCTCTCTTTGTCTGAGCCGTACACTGTCGCTGGTGTTGATCCTGAGGATCTCATGTTGACTGCTTGTTTGGCTGCCTCTCGCAAGAAGAAGGGTATTGATGCCATCGACAAGGCTTTCTTGAAGTCGCTCAAGCACTATCCTCGCGCCAAATCAGTCCTCACCCAGTACAAGGTTCTTGAATTCCACCCCTTCGACCCTGTCTCCAAGAAGGTCAGCGCCATCGTCGAATCTCCCCAGGGTGAGCGCATCACCTGTGTCAAGGGTGCTCCTCTTTTCGTCCTCCGCACTGTCGAGGAAGACCATGCTATCCCAGAAGAGATCGATGCTGCCTACAAGAACAAGGTCGCTGAATTTGCTACTCGTGGTTTCCGTTCTCTTGGTGTTGCCCGTAAGCGTGGTGAGGGTTCCTGGGAAATCCTGGGTATCATGCCTTGCTCTGATCCTCCTCGTTATGATACCGCCAAGACCATCAACGAAGCCAAGACCCTCGGTCTGTCCATCAAGATGTTGACTGGTGATGCCGTCGGTATTGCCCGTGAAACTTCTCGTCAACTCGGTCTCGGAACAAACGTTTACAATGCTGAGCGTCTCGGTCTCGGTGGTGGTGGTACCATGCCTGGATCTGACATCTATGACTTCGTCGAGGCTGCCGATGGTTTCGCTGAGGTTTTCCCCCAGCACAAGTACAACGTCGTCGAAATCTTGCAGCAGCGTGGCTACTTGGTTGCCATGACTGGTGACGGTGTTAACGATGCTCCATCTCTCAAGAAGGCCGATACTGGTATTGCCGTCGAGGGTGCCTCTGACGCCGCTCGTTCCGCTGCCGATATTGTCTTCCTTGCTCCTGGTCTGTCCGCTATCATTGATGCCCTCAAGACCTCCCGCCAGATTTTCCACCGTATGTACGCGTACGTCGTGTACCGTATTGCCTTGTCTCTCCATCTTGAGATCTTCCTTGGTCTCTGGATCGCCATCTTGAACACCTCTCTCAACTTGGAACTCGTTGTCTTTATTGCTATCTTCGCTGATATCGCTACCTTGGCCATCGCTTATGATAACGCTCCTTTCTCCAAGACTCCCGTTAAGTGGAATCTTCCCAAGTTGTGGGGTATGTCCGTTCTCCTTGGTATTGTCCTCGCCGTCGGTACCTGGATTACCCTCACCACCATGTTGGCTCACGGTGAAGACGGTGGTATCGTCCAGAACTTCGGTGTCCGCGACCCCGTCCTCTTCCTCGAAATCTCCCTGACTGAGAACTGGCTCATCTTCATCACCCGTGCAAACGGTCCTTTCTGGTCCTCCATCCCCTCATGGCAACTTGCTGGCGCTATCTTGGTCGTCGACATTGTCGCCACGTTCTTCACTCTTTTCGGTTGGTTCGTCGGCGGTCAAACCTCCATTGTCGCTGTCGTCCGTGTCTGGATCTTCTCCTTCGGTGTTTTCTGTGTGATGGGTGGTGTCTATTATATCCTCCAGGGCTCCGCTGGATTCGACAACATGATGCATGGCAAGAGCCCAAAGAAATCGCAAAAGCAACGTTCCCTCGAAGATTTTGGTGAGTACTTGATCCCCCTTGATAATTTTGCTATTTTGAAACCATTATCTAACCTTTTGGCGTTTCACAGTTGTTTCGTTACAACGTGTCTCTACTCAACACGAAAAGAGCTCATAAAGGGCCGAGAGGGATTTATAACGAGGCCTTGTAGGAGTGCAAAAGTTTTGGAGTGGAATAGAACCATGTTTTCTCATCTTACTACAACGGTGCTGTCTTTTGGGCGGAAACGATACACACCACAATTTTTAATCGCTACAGCTATCTCACAAGCACATTAATATCTTTTTGTCCCCCAAGGATTTTCTTTGTTTTTCTCTCTCGAGATGGAAGCACACCGAACCACAATTATTGATTCTCTGACCCCTCCGTTCAAAGCTTTTAACTTGGACAAGAAGCCCGCTTCCCCTCCGAAAGGGGAAAATAAAGAAGAAGCAACAAAAAAATGCAAAAAAAAAAAATAAAAATAAATACCTTTTCCCGCTTTTCCTTGGGTGCGAATAGAATACCCTGAAATTGCATCGAGTCTTCCTGTTGTTTCATCTACTAAATACAGTGTTTTCCTCGTTGTGCGTTTCTGAAATACAAAGTTGGGATTCTCTTCAATTTGTACAGTTGTTATTAAAGCCCTTCCGCCCTTTGAATAGTTTGACAGCATATATTATTCATGGCTGGTTACAGTTCTTTTTTACCTTCCTTCGCTCGCTTTATTTGCTTAATCAGTCTGTCGCCTGGATGCAACACTTCAGCGTGGAGTTCCTGTTGTTTTGAAGGATAAGAAGACTCGCTGCATATAATGTGGTCCCTGAGGGGGCCCCTTTGGTAATTACGTCCTGCAAAATTTTTGTCACTTGCAAAACGTCCCTCCAGCATTTCTTGTTCGGGATAACGACATCCGTCGTGGGTAATTCTTATTTCGATCCGTATGCGACTGAGCGTTTCGAGCTTTGTTTGGCGCTTATCTTTTGCTCCAAAAAGAGACCGACTTACAAACGTTTTTACACGCTCTGCTCGATAGATGGCCCTGATTTTTTTCGACTACACTCTTTAAAAATTGGTAATGCGTTTTTTTTTTTTTTTTCGCCTACTCGCCCTGGCGGCGCGCTTTGGTAGTCAACTAACTACGCCTTGGCCAAGTTGAGCGTTGCTCCTGTATTTCGATCTAGATAGAAATTCCTCTTGCTACTGTCCTTTCCATCCATCTCTCCGTCTTCCTACACGAGGTAGTTATCTCATCATTCTCATCCATCATTCGTTTGACGCGGTTAGTTACATAATTGCCTTCGTATTAACACCATCATAATCGGGTGAACTTGGCAAACAGCATCGTTCTGGTGACTTTCAACCTGCTGCTTGGTCTCAGTACATTCGACGTACCCTCTACCCATCACTCCAAGTACCCTCGCTAATTCTTCAAACTCCAATCAGGCTTCTGGCCGGGTTAAACTTACCACGCATTCCCGGCACGCCTGGATCCTGATCGCGTGGTTTGAATGATGTCAACAATCCGCCATATGTTGTTGGCTCCAAACTCAACCTTGCTCTGCAATGGCGGGGGCACTTTATACGGCTGAGGAGATAACAGGCCCATCCTAGAATGGAACCTTTCTGAGTCAACTCCGTCCTCGTGGCCTGAAGCCGTATTATTATTGCTTTCCATCGTGCAGGTGGACTAGCATTAATATTTGAATTTCCTGTCCTTTGGGAAACTACATAAGCTACCTATTGCCGATGCTTTTCTCGGATTGTCTTAAATTCTATTCAACATAATGCGTTGAATTCTCCTGGGCAGTGCGAACCCGAAGGGTCATTTCGTGGATTGCCAGTGGCCAGTATATCACGATTGGCCTGACCAAGGATACCATTCTATCATGGATGGGCCTATGACAAGGAACCATGCGTTCGAGGAGGAAGTAGCAGATACAGCTGGCCAGGCGAAACTAAGGCAATATGTGGTGGCTGTCATGGAACGAAACGCCCACGAACAGCAGTTCCAGCGCCGAACTTCTGTATATCAGAAGCATGACTTGTTGGAACATATCAGGAAGAAATCATGGTCCGGACCTCCATCGGAAGTACGCCACTTCTCACTTCTCATATCATACTGGTTTCTACTTGGAGTATGTAGCTTTTTTGCTAATTTTGACGGTGCTTTTGGGATCGTTTAGACTATTTATGGCGGGCTCTCTGCATCCGCAACGGACGATGATATTGGCGTTGCCCTCGCCGTCCGCGACACAACGTATTTCCTTGACTTCGCGGAACAGCATTTCCCTCGCGAGAAGGGCAAGGATATTCCCGAAATGGTGACAGACTATGTTGTGGCGCAAGTCCGCCAATATAAGCAAGAACATATGGAGAAGTTCATTGGCATTGCCCTTCCGATTAATCTAGCAGTCCATTGCCCACGTCTCTGCCCGCGATTGTGGCTTGAGCTTGATATTGTTCCGTTGGTTCTACATGGAAAAGGGGTGCATAGTGTTGGGTGGATTAATACTGAAATCTGGAATTCCAAAATGCTGGACGAGCAAGCTGAATCCATTGCTCGGAAATGTATTACGTTAGTAATTCCCTCTCTCCGTTGAAATATTGGTTTGCAACAGGAATATGTACTGTAGATATCCATGAGATGGGGCATATCACTAATTGACTATAGATTTTTCGGCCCAAACAAGGCTCCTCTACTTCAAGTTGGTTTTCGAGGCATTGTTGAAGTAGATGCAGGATTCCACGCTGTTCTATGCACGATTCGTGATTACGAAAAGACTGTTGGGCAGAGAACCTGGGATGCAGTGCAAAAATATGCTACTGATTTGAAACGTCGCAACGTCAAGATAGCTTTCTTCAGTAGTACGCCTCAGGGGGGCGGCGTCGCCTTGATGAGACATGCACTTGTTCGATTCTCAGAGGCACTTGGAACAGACATTAAATGGTGAGTGTAGATTTCCTGTGAAACACCTGATATTTACAGTCAAATTCGATAGGTATGTTCCGCGACCTAAGCCAGGTATATTCCGCATCACCAAGACCAATCACAACATCCTTCAAGGTGTAGCAAGAAGCGATGAAAGACTTACAGATGAACATAAGCAGCAGCTCACAAGTTGGATTTCCACCAATGCTGAACGCTATTGGTTTACGAGCGGAGGCCCATTGGAGCCACCAGAGGCAGGGGGCGCAGATATAGTGATCATCGACGACCCACAGATGCCAGGCTTGATTCCATTAATCAAGAAAATCACGCCCAATCGCCCAGTCATATATCGGAGCCATATTCAAATTCGGAGTGATTTAGTAGATGACCCATCAACGCCACAGGCAGATGCATGGGCATACTTTTGGGAGAATATCAAACAGGCAGATCTATTTATCAGCCATCCCGTTAGTGCTTTCGTTCCATCTAATGTGGATCCCAAATCTGTCGGATATTTGCCTGCTTCAACGGATTGGTATGCCAAAATTAAATTTGACTTCAGTAAATTGTATTCAACTGACATCTTCTTTTAGGCTGGACGGGCTGAATAAAAATATGGAAGATTGGGATGTCGGGTATTATGGACGTTTGTTCAACGCAAAATGCCGTGAAATCGGGATGACTAGTATTAACTATCCAAAGGGTATGTTAGGCCAACTTTCCGTCCTAGAATACTTTCTCTAACACCTGACTCTCGAAAGATGAGTATATTGTCCAGGTTGCCAGATTTGACCCTTCAAAGGGTATCTTCGATGTTGTTCAGTCATATGCCAAGTTCTTTGATAAGATCAAACAGGAGACCATCCCCCCAAAGCTTCTGATCTGCGGCCACGGGTCCGTGGACGACCCCGATGGTGCCGTAATTTATGACGCCGTTATTGAATATCTTGAGTCCCAAATGCGACATCTCAAGCCTTATGTCTGTGTGATGCATATTCCTCCATCCGATCAGATCCTCAATGCCGTTCTTTCCAAAGCCAGGGTTGCATTGCAACTTTCCGTTAGAGAGGGATTCGAAGTTAAAGTCTCAGAAGCTTTGCACAAGGGTAAACCAGTTATCGCAACTCTAGCAGGAGGCATTCCACTGCAGGTTCAGCATGGAAAGAATGGGTTTTTAGTTGATGTCGGAGATACGGATGCTGTGGCGCAGCATCTTTATGACCTTTGGACCAATGAAGATTTGTACGATCAAATGAGTCAGTATGCGCTGAGCAGTGTCAGTGACGAAGTATCAACAGTCGGAAATGCGCTGTCCTGGCTCTATCTTGCCAGCCATATGACTCAGGGCCAGCTTTGTAAGCCTCATGGCCGGTGGATCAACGATATGGCTAGAGAGGCAGCCGGTGAGCCGTATATCAAGAGCGAGAACAGGTTGAAGCGACAGGTCCACGGTAAACCTGGCCGCCCTGCAGAAGAATAGCGTTTTTGGAAAGTTGGAAACCACAACACTTCTATCACCGGCTTGATTCTGGATATTGTTATTCGATTTTTATATATACCGATTCTCCTGTTTACTGTCCAGGACTCCCCGGCCCCTTTTTATCATCAGATCTTTTGGCAGAATTGGTTGGCGTTCTGTGTTTTGTGTGTTTGTTTGTATGGAGTTAACTCTGTAGTTAGTTAAGAAATCTCGCCACTCTAACGACACACAGCTGACTTGACCACACTTCCATCCAGTATGCCATCCATCTGGTATCTCTAAACTCCATTTGATATCCCAGTTAATTCTGCAATTCAATGCCCCTTCCATTCAACATGATTATATAATATCAATGCTCCTCACGTGCCATGTGAACTTTCTGTTGTTAAAATGCATATGAAGTGAGCGTACTTTGCAAGCTTGCCTTTATGGGTTTTTTCCCATCAGCTACCTGCATGCACCCTTTGACTTTTTTTCACACGCCAACCAGAGAGTGCCAGAGGGCATAAGATGGAGGTACCTGTGATACCTGGGTTTTACTATGGTACGACGATTTACTTTCATCTGAGTGTGAAGCCAATTTTGCTCTCGGCGATGGCTTGGTATCAGTTTGGAGCCCTTGGGCACTTGCCTGCACAAGGTGGTTTTCTTTATGAAATGATACCAGCACCATGTTGTACTTGTGCCACTAAAGATTGTGATATAGAGAATCTCTTTACCCTCTATACTCTAAATGTGTTTTTTTGATAATGTTCTTTTACCGTTGATAGTCTGGGTGCTGATATTTCTATCTAGACCCAGAGAAAAAGAAATACTTTAGGATAGCGGCCAACCATCTGGTTCCGCAAGGCTCAAAGTACTCTAGAGCTGAAGTTGCCAAACGGGAAGAGGCCGAGGCAGTGAGTATCTACTCTTTTACTTTGGCTTCTTTTACTAACTAAGGATACCAGAATAAAAAGGAGCAAAAAAGCTTCGATGAACGGGTGTCCACACAGAGAATCCAGCGCTCCAAACTGTCGTCTCATCCAATTCTTGGGAAAATGGGGATCCAGCGAGAGATTGGATATGGAAATCTATCATCCACCCACTACCGTGGCGAAGCTTGTATTGAGCTGTTTGAAAGAACCAGGATTTATGATAACGATTCTCCAAATAGCTCGTTACTAATTAGAAGAGTTGGCCGAGACCCTCGCACAGCTCGTCTTATAACGAGTAGGTGCATCATCTGATTTCAGTTATTACTTTGCTGATATGCCGTATAGCTTGGAATATTCCTGGCCCAACAGCACTCCGGTAGGTGTCTTTCTCTGAATTTTATTTGATTGTTTCGTTAATGAGTCTTAAGCGTTGTTTCTCCTACGGCCCCAACTTTTCCGTGGGGATATAGCTCCGCTACCCCAAGCTGCGATTTTCTACGTAGACGGGATGAATTCGTATGTACTAGAGTCCCTCCTGATTGGATTTCAGAACCACTGACCGAACCTCTAGGTTGAATCGTTTGCAATTTCTCACTCAGGACACCTGATGTATGTTGATTTTGAGCCCACATTTTATTCTGTGTCTGTTGACCGTCATCGAAGGGCACTTTCACATGCGATCACTGGTGTTCGTGCTGTCTTAAGCGTCGGAATGCTAGAATCATCCTCTGACACTTATAACGGAGACACGTTTGTAGGTATGTCTTGCTTAATACGCAATTGTCGATTTTGGAATATGCTCATTTTTCGCGCTGCCAGGCCCATCTGTCCGTTTCTCTCGTTTTGGATGGTCGATTTGCAATGTTGCTGCTTCTCCAGACATAACTTCGAGCACTTTTACTGTCGGTTGTGGTACCGACTTGGTCATACTTTCTAATAACCAGGCCCAGTGGAATCTCAAGACGCTCAAAAAATTCTCCTCACATATTAGCGCTGTTGACTGGCTGAGTAGGAATGTCATTATTTCTGGAGCCATGAGCTCAAAAGTCTCATTATATGACGTTCGGAGTGAAGGTTCAGCTGCAAGGTTTCAACATAGCCACGGTGTACAGGCTCTTAAGGTATTGAATGGGTGGAACGTAATTGTTGCTGGACACGATAGTTCGGTGAGTTCTAGTATTTCTACATCCATTTGTCGCTCCAAACCCTTGCCGGAAACAGTAGCTGATTTTATCTTAAATAGTTGAATATGTATGACCTGCGATATGCCCCGAATGTCACAGATGAACGCCCTCAGCCAAGTAGTCGAAGCCACCGTGGGACAAAACCTTGTATGGTCTTCAATGACATACAATGCAGTGAATTTCATAATATTGATATATGCCCTGAGCTTGACCTGCTAGCTTGTGGTTAGTTTCCCTGTTAAAGATTTTCGGCTACTATTAAAAGAAATATGCATGCTAATAAGTAATATCTATCAGCCACGAATCTACGCACAGTTCAGCTTTTTTCCCTTGTGACAGGAAGAAAATTTAAATCCGAATTTTTGCCTCTTCACGATAGCGTTGGCGAGAGTGAAAATGGTCAAGTTGAAAAGCTAACTACATATTGTTACAAATCAAATATTTCTTCTGTTCATTTTGATAATCTACCGGATCGTTTCGAGTTATTAGCAGACTACGACGACAAAGAGCGTGATTTCAGTAAGGGGGGAGGTGCTGGAAAGCCTAGCCTTCTAGTTGCTTCTGGAAGTTCAGTTGATGAATGGCATTTGTGATGCAAATTTAAGGAGCTACGACGCCCTTCGATTGGGAAACTTGTTCTGGTGGCGTATTGGCATTTTAAGGCGGAATTCTAAGGTTGAAACTGGTGGTTAAAAACGGGTTGGCATGATCTTTGGCGCACTTAAAGCGGAGTCTTATTGACGGGAAGCGTTTATCATATTAATGATACCCAGACTTGCATTAAATACTTAAGGAATTACTGTTTTAGGGAATATTTTGTCCATTTTTGATTTACATATATGCCTATTATACATGGCACCATATGACTCCACTAAATTGATGCTCAACAGATTGGGTGTCTGATACACTTGAGTGCTGAAAACAAAAAATGCTGAAACTTCACCTTCACATCCCCTTTTCCTCGGGAAACTCGTCCATGAGCTTTAATCGGGCAGCAACATTCATGCTAAAAAGCTCCTGAACCAACAACTTCGCCGCATAGGGAATCACCATTTTCACGACACCCCTAGATGACTTGCAACGCTGGCACCAGCCCAAATAACCCATAAAACCACAGCTCTCGCACACGTCCACCTCGTGTCGATCCGACGATATCATCAATCGTTCCAGTAGCAATTGGCTGGTGCCGTATGCAATAAGACAGTCACGTTCCATCTCTCCAAGGCGGAGACCACCGTCGCGCGACCTACCTTCAGTAGGCTGGCGTGTGAGCATGGCTCGCGGGCCACGGGCTCGAGAATGCATCTTATCCTGGACCATGTGCTTGAGCTTTTGGTAGTAGATTGGGCCAGTGAAGACATAGGCGGGCAGAGGTTCTCCTGTGATACCGGACGTGAGAAAATCTTTGCCACCATAGCTAAAGCCCTTGGACACGAGGATTGCGGACATTTCTTCAACGGGGCTGCCGCCGAAGGGAGTGCCGTAGCCAAATTGACCGGAAAGAACGCCAGCTTTGCCGGCGACGAGTTCAAGCATCTTGCCAACAGTCATACGAGAGGGAAAACCGTGAGGGTTCATGATAATATCTGGCACTATGCCTTCGTCTGTAAAGGGCATATCAGCTTGCTCAGCAATAATGCCGACGACTCCCTTTTGGCCATGGCGAGAAGAGAATTTATCGCCAACTTCCGGGCGCCGGGTTTGTCGTGTTTGAACCTTGAGGAGTTGGTTTTCGCCTTCAGTCGTGGATATCATTACTTTATCTATGTAACTTGGATCGGGGAGCTTGTAGGTCTGCGGGGAGGGAAGATAGGCAACGGGTCCTCCAGCGTCTGAGCCAGTGATTCCAGAAGAAAGAGCATTTTCAGGTGTTTCTTTGTTGATGTACACTTCGCCGCTGCTCACCTTTTCACCAACGGCTGCCAGTCCATCGTTATCGAGTAAAGCGTGCTTTCGAATGGATACGCCATCGGCACGAGTTGGTCCCAGTAGTCTGTCTTTTGTGCCATTGGAATAACTCTTGAGGTTGGCAGAATACTTACGGAACACCTGGCAACGTCCAAACCCGCGATCGACGGATCCTTTATTTAGGACCAGAGCATCCTCAATGTCGTAACCGGAGTAACTCATAACAGCAACGGTGGCATTCTGCCCGGCGGGCAACTTGTCATACTTGACAAGCTCAATGGTCCTTGTCTTCACCATAGGCTTCTGAGGGTAAACCATGGTATATAGCAGAGAGTCGATACGAAGAAACTGGTTATTGGCGATTGCCCCAATGGCTTGTTTGCCCATAGCGCATTGGTAGGTGTTTCGGGGAGATTGGTTATGATGTGGGTAAGGGATAAGCCCGGCCACTGCGCCCAAGACCGTGAAAGGTTCGATTTCCAAGTGTGTGGTACTTCCGTTGATTTCATTTTCATACACGGCAATGTAAGAGTCATTTTCTTCGTTGACGTCAACGTATTCAACAAGACCTTGATCCAAGAAATCATCAAATGCCATGGTGCCATTACGTAGCATAGACAAATGGCGGACTGTAACTTTTGCTTTTTTGTTTTCAACGATGATCAATGGACGACAAATTCGGCCATCATCAGTGGCAATATGAACAGCATTTTGATGGTGATTTATATATGCACTGACAAATTCCGAAACTCGTCCTGTTCGTCGTAAGCGTCGAAACGAAGTCAGGAAATGTTTTGGGCGCCGGGTCAAGGCAATAGGCGAGCCGTTCAGGAAAATGATGTATGCCCCTTGACTGTAGAATTCTCTTCCACCGACAGCTTGCACGTCTTCGGCTCCAAGGGCAAACACCAGCTTTCGAACAGGCTCTTCTTCGTCATTGGTTGTGATATGGGTCATGAGAGCAAGATTCTTAACCAGGCCACAAGCTTCACCTTCGGGGGTATCAGAAGGGCAGAGCATGCCAAACTGCGAAGGCTGAAGCGCACGCGGACCACTGACCTTTCGAGTCTTCTCAAACTGACTGGATATGCGAGTCATCATGCCCAGCGCCGAGATATAACTCAGTCGACTCAGAACGTGTGTTACTCCAGCACGTTCCATGCGGAATCGCTTGAGACTCCAGTTACCTGTTGATATTGCACGATTCATACCTTGAGTGATATGGTTTCCATGTATAGCAACAACCCCAAAAGCGTCAAATGCTTCCGTGCGGACAGGCTTTTTGAGTACCTTGTCAATGTTCATTTTGATATCAAAGCAGAATTTTTTAAACAAATCTTCAAACAAAAGGGCCAATAGCTGGCCAGCTAATTCGAGTCGTTTATTACCAACGTAGTCACGATCATCGACCAGAGTAGAGTCGTGTTTCGCCATGAGAACGCGGCGTACCATGTGTCCGACGAACAGTGCTTTTGGCCGGAAATTCATATTGTCCACTTCGACGTGCGATATAATGACTGATGCGATGGCCTCGACGGCTTCCTGGATATAATTTCGACGGCCACCAGGACCGCCATATCCATTTGGCTTTCGCATGATTTTGATGTGTGACCCAAGGTATTCCAAGGCTTGTTGTTGTGTAAAGATTCCAAGTTTGACTGCTTCTTCGAAATTAATAGCAAAATCCTCTTGATATACGCTGTCTATTCCGGCAACGAGGAGTAGCATTTCCTTATCAGACTGTATTCCCATTGCTTTCAGAAAAATGACAATTGGTATGTCATCGCTAAGAATATTGTGTCTCATGTATATGCGATCCTTTTTGAGGATAATATAGCTCTTGGATTTCCTTTCGTTAGATGAACTGTGGAGATAAAATTAGCACTGGTGCGAGCAGATATTTTTAAGGAACAGCTCATACCTGGTAACAGAGGCTTGAACAACCTCCTTTTTGGGATCCGCCTCAACAATCACTCTGTTCTTACTCAATTGTTCTTGAACAAGGATAACCTTCTCAGTTCCATTAACAATAAAATAGCCTCCGGGATCCAGAGGGCATTCGTGCAGCAAATACATCTCCCTTGGCGATTTATCCGAAAGCACACATTTCGAGCTGCGAAGCATGACTGGCATGCGGCCAATCGCCGTCCCATTGCGTTTCACTCGTTGGCGCCCACGAACGTATTCAAAATCCACCAATATCGGAGCGGCATAGGTCATATCTCGCAAGCGGCATTCGTTCGGATTGACGGTGGACTCGACTTTGAAGCGTGAATCCTCGGACTGCTCTTCGTCTGCTCGTCTAGGAGTGCCTAGATAGATATCATGGAACCTACACGCCGAAGGAATCAAGTTAGCTAAGCTGTAGCTGGCAATTAAAGGGATCAGGCTAGTTGAACACACCTGATATAGAAATTAGGGTCTACATCACTGCGAATTTCGGCGCTCGATTGGACGATCTTTTTCAACTGAACTTCAATAAAGTAGTTATAAGAATCGATATGCTGCTTCACGAGGCCCTTGACTTTTAAAAATGCCGGAAGAAGATTCCATTTATCCCGTTGCGTATTGATTGGATCCGTCAGCGATTTATCGTAATAGAATGGTTCAAGAAGAGCTTCGAAATCCTAGCCAAAAGTCCTATCAGTAAGCTTCATGACCCTTGATAGAGCTCATACGACGTACCTCCGTGACTCTGCCATGTCGATTGTTTCCGGAGCTGGGTTTGCTTTTTGGCCCCGTTCCTTGTTCTTTCGACAGCGGAGTGCTCGCCGGAGCAGCGTTTGGGTCTATATTCCGCTTCCGCTTTAGGATTCCGTCGGGCATTGCTAGAGCGCTCGTAGTTTTACCCGCATACAAGGGCTGGACTAAAGAGAGTTATGTTAGCCCGTGCAAGCCAAAGCTGCAAAGATCTCTTTTACACACATGATAACGGAATTCAAACGTAATACATACACCGCCGCTTCTTCGTAGGTAATAGCCATTCAGCAGCTAGCTAAAATACAGACTAGATGCATAATAAATCCATATATGTCGACATCTAACCTCGCCTTTCTGAACTGCGACGGATTCTTGATATCTTTTTTGATGACTAATAATCCGGATGAGGGGCCGTCGGATAAATAGTTGATCCTGATATAAAACATGACATAAGCGACTATGCTTGGCGTTGAGGGGTTTCGTTTGAAGGTCGTTTTGATATCGACGAAGCCCATGGCGATAATTAGTTGGCCGACCATTCAAGACACCGGTACGCTCCGCACGGGGCCTTATGCAATGCTATTATCACCTCCTTCAGCTGCGCCTTTCAGCGATGAAGCCACTGGCCCCGTGCGAGACAAAAAACAAATGACGATATGATCCCAGCATTTCCAGATGCCTGCTGTTGCATAGCACCCTGATGTTGGTCTGCATATGGGTTTGATGCCCTACGCACGTTTGGATTTCCGGGGTTGTCTGTGCTGGTCGGATTTTTGAGCACTCTGGAAGGCCAGGGCCCCGTGGGCTTTCCTGACGCGGTGTGATTAATCGAGTTTTCGGACTGAATTTACGGTCTTGGTATTTTGAACTACGAAGTAATAACTGCTCGATTCTCCGTTTCATTCCGAGGGAAGAATCATTTCTAGCTGCTTTTGGGTCTTCTTACGTGTTGTAAATTCTCAAATATTCTAACAGCATTGTCGTTGACAACGGGTTGGCATCTGGAACAGCTCAAGAGTCCGCGGGACGCTCAGGCCGACTCGGCACGGCGGTGTCCAGGCTGTATATTTAGACTGGCTGCCGGGAACTCACTTTCAGGGCCGGCAATAGTAACTTCCACGAGCGATGCCGCATAACAGCCAATGGGGTCTTTGTTCGTCCCGGCCGCAGCGCACAGCGACAAATCAGCAGGCGCAGCAAACATTGCAGCGTGGGGCCGCACGATAAGAAGAAGCACGGTGGTGCGGTGGAGATGATAAGAGAAGAATCCGAGTAGCGTACAGATCAGGTACCAGTGCTTCTTTTCAGGCATGGCCTCACTGTTTTTAGGCGCCCAATGCTCGCGGATTCGGCCATCTCCCGAATCGACAGACGATCGTAAGAGGTGCAAGCGAACGAGTCAGTTAACGATCGTATTTTCTCTTCAAGGGCGATAGTTAAGGATCTGGGACTGGGAGGAGTTATCCTTTGGCAACCTGTCCCATGCACATCTAACCACCGACACCCAAAAAGCCCGTCCCATGTCGATTGAATTTGTGGCGCCGAGTCCCCACACGACGCCGTTGATAGTTAATCACGCACACCGGCGACAAGATTATTCTTCGGGGGCTGGAGCTTCGGTTTCAAAACCTGCACTCGTGCTGTAGCACAGACCAGGTCTGGTGCATTTTTGTTGAGCCGACGAGCATCGGCCGCCTCGCCGCCGCGCTGCGCAGTGGAAACGGGATGTGGGTGTTGAGAGGGATTGTCGCAACCCTGGTCGCGATAGGCTCCGGGGAACTTTGGGGATCGCTGGGTCGGATCCCCAGCCCCCCCAGAAAGTTCCGTGAATATGTCGGGTATTATTACTGGCTGGCGTCGAACGCTGGCACTGCGTTGCAGGGCAAACAACGACGGGTGATGATGGGCACCCCGGGGCGGAAACACGCTGAGCGCAGGTGAATCGTGGCAGGCTGTCGTTGCGGAGGGTGGGAATCCTTTTCTGCACGTCGGCACCGTGCAAGGGATCAGCCGTGAGTGAGGGTGGCCGGCGGCCAGGGCGCGGGCGCGCGCTTTGATGGGATCGGTTAGGTTGGCAATTTGTGCTCAATGCCACGGCTGGCGCTGCGTGGTGTTTCGGCTTGGGGGGGGGGGGGGGGAGGCCCGTCGTCGGGCCAGCGAGAAACGAGGCATGGGAACGGGGCCGCCGGCGGCCGCCCAAACAAAGTCCTTACGAATGCTGGCCCGCCAGCGTCGGGCTAGCGAGCGGCTGTTCGGCTGGCGCGAACTCGTTCCCAGGCAGGATGGGCGGATATCATAGCGGGATAAATATAGGCGTGGCACGGGCCTTGGGGAGGGGGCGAGACAGCGGTTTCAGCAGAGCGGCGGCCGCTGAAATAATTCATGCAGAGGCAGATGGACTGCGTCGTTACAGGACTTCCGTATTCGCGAGGCGAGAGATGGATCGGCCGGCCCCATGCGCCGCGGCGGCGCTGGGCTGGTTGTGACCCGACGGCAGGGTTGCAGGCGGTGGCCTGTTCTGGCCGCCCAGCAGGAGCAGCAGCAGCAGCAGAGCCAGCAGCAGAGCCAGCAGAGCGAGGCCGGGGCGGCGGGCGTGGGTGGGCACGACGGCATCCACGTTGGCTGGCGGCGGCAGGGTCGCACGCCGCCTCGCCGGTGTTAGTTACATACATACATGCTGATGCCCGCGTCAAGCGTTGGCCGGGGCGGGCGCTGAAACAGGCGGTGACTCCCTCGGCGGGCTGGCGCGGGCGTGGGCGGGGGGACGCGCTGCCTGACGCAACGCCATTTGCGCCCGCCGCCCGCCAATCACGCGCGCGCCGCCGCGATTCGTCCAGCCCGGCCTGTAGCTCGCTGCTAGCAGCCTTTAGTTATGTACAGTAGTTACTAGTTAGTTAGTCGTAGCAGGTCGTGAGCAGCAGCCGTGTGGTGAGCGGACGGAGCACTGAGTGGGTTCGAGTCGTTGCATCCCTCCCCCGCCATCTCGCGCACGCACACGCCCGCTCGCAAAAGCCTCCGCCTCCCCCTCGCCCTCGCCCTTCTTCTTCTTCTTCTTCTTCTTCTTCCTCCTCTTCTTCTCTTCTCTCTCTTCCTCCTCTCCTCGGCTCTCTCCTCTCGTCGCTGGGCTCGCCTGTGCTGCCGCTCTCCTCTCTCCCTGCCCGCGAGCCTGGCTGCGTGTTTGTTGTCGTTGTATGTCCGCACACCCAACGCCTCCGGCCTGCCGCCCATGAGCAAGGCCACTCTGGCTCGCCCGCTCTCGTCCGGTTCTCGCTGCTGTGCCTTCTGGAACGCCTTGCCCGTGCGATGAGGTAAACCCTCTTGCGAATTGCCAGTCCTGCGTCGTCCCCTGCCTACCCTCCGTGAGCTCGTCTGTATCCAACGTCTCGCCCACCCGGCTCCGATCCCAGACTCGCTGCTGAGAAGCTTCGCGGGAGCTTGTAACGCCGTCATCGGGGCCACAGCCAGCGGCCGGCCCACGTTTGACTGAAAGCTACCGTCAATTCCCGCGCCCAGCGTCCCCGTTGAGCGCCGTCGGAAGCTCTGGAAGCGCCGCCCCCTCCCCCCAACGGCGATCTACTGCGTGCAGCGCGACAGACGTCACTCCACCCGCGCGACACCGCCGCGCCAGCTCCATGCACCGGGCCGGCGAAGCTGCTGTAGGTCTCCTTTGTCTCGATTCCCCATCCTCTTGCGCGTGTTGTCTGGGCTGGCTGGCTGGCTGCCCTTCCCGTCAGCCGGCGTCTGTCAGACCAGCCCTGGCCTAGTGAACTAGCGAGTTGGACAGCGCCAAACATCCCGTCCCAGACTTCGATCCCTCCCCCCCCGCCCGCGCCAGCTGCTTTGTCTTTCTCTCTTCCGAACCCTACTTCCCTTCAGCTCTGTCTCACTGTCTTCCTCGTTTCTTCCCTCGTCCTGTTCTCTGTCGTCCTTTTGCTATGCTCCTCGCCCGTTGAAACCCTTGTCTCTGCGTCCTGTTTCTTTTTTTTCTCGAGACCTGCGCCGAACCGCCCAGCGATGCTCCTCCACTAACGAACCCAGAAACAGCTGTCTGTAGATATGGCGTATAGCAACAACAACGGCATCAACGAATGCCTGGACGAGCTGGGTATCGCTTCGCCGCGCTCCTCGCTCTCGGAATCACCCTTCTCCAGCTTCCCGTCCCCTCCTGCGGGCCGCACCAGCTTTCACTCACCCCCCGGGAACGACATCCGTTCCACCATCCAGCGTCGTTTTACCACCGATTCCACCAAGTTCCCGTCATGGGCGGGAATCGGCGCCCAGCCGCCTGCGCTGTCGGAGTCGCTGGACATCTTGTCATCTGTGGGTTTCCCTCCTATTGTTGGTCGGAGTTTGCTGTGCTGGACAATAAAGGCTATTGTGTTCCTCTGCCGAAGTGAGGTTGTTTCCTCACAACAACCTCCACTGATGTGTTCCGCCGCTTTTTTTTCCTTTTCTGCATTCACTGTAGCTGACAAACACCGCTTCACTTGCGTTTAGGCAACTCGACTGCATAAGTCACAGCTTGTGAGCTTTCCTGTTGCCTTGTTGAGCCCCCCTCCCCCACCTTCACTTCTCACTCCCCATCCATCTCTTCCCCCAACCACTTTCGCTTCATATATTGGTCCTTTTCTTTTCGTTACTTTTTTTTTTCATTTCTTATTTTCCCATCTTATACTCGCCCTTTCCACTGACTTCATAGCAGTTTGAAAAGAAACGACAGCATATCGAGTACATGAGAGAGCAGAAAAAACGATTCGAAGCAGACCTCCAGCTCCTCAATCTCCAACAGGAGAAGGAAGAGCAAGAAATGGACCAGATCGCCCGAGACCTGGCCCGTGCCGGTCTCAATGGCCCCGTCAGCGAACCGACTACCCCTCCTGAATACAACGAATCTGGCTTCCCCACTGCTCTCTCTCGCCCCGCTCGCTTCTCCATCTCGAACGGCCAGTCCACCCCTGGACGGTTTGGCAACATCTTTTCTCCCCAGCTCACCTCCCCAACTTCCACCAAGGCGACCTCGCCATTTGGGCTGAACAATGGCGAATCTATCTCATCTGCTTTGAACTCCCGTCGTAACTCAGAGCACGAGCCTGCTTCAAATGGATTTGGACACTATCGCCCGCGTCACCTGTAAGCCATACTCTACTCACTCAGTGCTTCCATGTGTGCTTTATTGTGCACTTTCACCATTTCTATTTGTCCAATGCGTAGCATACTTTCAAGCCTTTTACTCTGAATTTCATGGGTGACATTTGGCTATGAATGAGCATCTGTGAATTTTATTACGATATTGATAACTGATGTTAAAACTATGGTGTAGGAGCCGATATTCGCTGTCAACCACCACTTTCCAGCCTTCCGCCCACGCTTCTACAGCAAATAATAGTGGATTCGGCAACCATATCGGATTTGGTGGACTTTTTGCGAGCAAGAATTCAGTCGAGGAAGATACTAGAGCCAAGGAAGACGAGCGGATGTCAACGCCCGATGTGAAAAGCTACTTGCGCATGACTGATCCTGATGATAAATTTCCTACCCTAACCAGGCGTGATGGTGATCCTAATGTGGTATATACTCTATTTCCTATTTCTTGGGAAACTCTGTTTTCTAACACATGTATAGCTTTCTGCCAATTCTGCAGCCTTGGATTTAGCGAATTCTCGTACTCCTGTTCCTGAGACATACCGCCCAAACTTCCGTCACCATGCAGCACATCAGAGCTTGCCTCAAAATGCGTTTGGCTGGCTTCACAAGGATAATGCAAACGATAAATCTCAGGTCCATCCTGCACCTGCTTTGCCAAATGGACCCTATCATACTCGTCATATGAGCCGCTTGTCGCTAGAAAACAATTACTCGAACTATCCCCCACCGGTCGCAAAGAATTCCCCCCCGAATAGCCGCCCGGTCTCTCTTCAAATGTCCTATTCGGCTAGCGATGTGCCTACAATGAGAAACGGTGGATTTCCGACAAACATCACGCCACCAGGATCTAGCACTGATCATGTTATCAACGGCGGTATGATCCAGCCTCACCCACACCAACTTAACGATACCCCTCCCACGCCCCAGTCCGATCATAGCGATCATATTCCGAGCGTTCAGTCCTTACAGTCTGGCTTTCAAGCCAACAACCCGCCTTTTTCGTCAGTTGGAAAGCCCCCGGCCACAATGTCCGCCAATGTTAGTGGTTCCGTCACCCCCGCAAAAGCCACATTCCCACCGCACCATCTTTATGGATACGGTATGCAGCATCAGTGGGTCACCAGCCCGGTTCAGCCGAACGGAACCCATGGTATGCCTGCCGCGGTCCACGCCCCATTCGCGCAACCTTATGCCGCATATTCGCGATATCTCGAAGGGCCTGCAAGAGTCAATCAAGTCCGTCGTAATGGAGAAAACGATGCTACTGCATTTTCTCGCTTTGCTAATGTTCCTCTTGAACAATACCGTGGTGAACTTTATGGGCTTTGCAAGGACCAGCATGGCTGTCGGTACCTTCAGCGTAAATTGGAAGAGCGGATTCCGGAAAATGTGCAGTTGATTTTCTTGGAGACCCATCTGCATGTTGTTGAATTGATGACGGGTAAGTGTATACATCTTAGTGGTGCTTTGTTCATCCGCTAATAATCTCATAGATCCTTTCGGTAATTATCTTTGCCAAAAGCTCTTGGAATTTTCCAATGATGAACAGAGAACTGCTCTTATCAACAACGCTGCCCCACAGCTAGTTTCTATTGCTTTGAATCAACATGGAACCCGGGCTCTCCAGAAAATGATCGAATTCATTTCTACTCCTGAACAGGTTTGTTTGATTCCCTCGACCATCCACATATATTCGAAATAACTGACAAAGTATTTCTTAGACCCAAACTGTGATAAATGCCTTGCGCGACAAAGTTGTGGATCTTGTCCAGGACTTGAATGGCAACCATGTGATCCAAAAATGTTTGAACCGACTGTCAGCTGCTGATGCTCAGGTAAGGGTTTGCTATATGGTCTAAACTTTAACATGAAACTGATGAGTTGTGCCAGTTTATTTATGACGCCGTTGGCACAAGCTGCATTGCAGTTGGCACACACCGCCATGGCTGTTGTGTTCTCCAGCGCTGCATCGACCACGCTTCAGGAGAGCAGCGTGCACAGTTAATTGCCCAGATTACTTCAAACTCATACACCCTGGTGCAGGATCCTTTTGGAAATTATGTTGTTCAATACATATGTAAGTGCCATTTATACTGTGTGATATTGAGCTGCTCTAACCTTGAATAGTGGATCTTGCCGAACCCTGCTTCACCGAACCTCTCTGCCAGACCTTTGCAGGAAAGGTCTCGATGCTCTCAAAGCAAAAGTTCAGCTCTAATGTTATTGAAAAGTGCCTTCGCACCGCCGAATTTCAAAGCCGACGCCTTCTCATCCAGGAAATGCTGCCTGCAAACGAGCTTGAAAGAATGCTCCGCGACTCGTTTGCCAACTATGTCGTTCAGACGGCTATGGACTATGCAGACCCTGAGACTCGTCTCGCTCTTATCGAAGCTATTCGGCCGATCCTTCCTGCTATTCGCCAAACTCCCCACGGCCGCCGTATTGCCGGCAAGATCATGAGCATTGATTCCCAGAGCCGCGCCAATGGCTCTATCAGTGGCCAGTTAACTCCTAACGACGAAAACAACCTCTACCACCAGGCCAACCCTTTCTCTGCCCCAACCCTCTCTCAATTTGGGCCCCAGTTCAACACTAACGCTCCCGAAAGCCTAAGTGCCAGTTCCTCCATGTCCCTTATGACTACTGGCGACTCTTCGATTGCAAGTCCAGGATCCACTGCCCCGACTTCAGATGCCGGCACTACGATTTATTGCCCCGTTCCGCAGCCACGCGCCAATCTTCTCAACAATGGGATCAACGGCGGTGCCCAGGAATTCAGTCTCTATTAGCCATTCCTCCGCGAATCCTGTCTTTCAATTCTCCCCATAGCGCTGGGGATTGTACCACCAATTGCAACGATGAAATGACTGATGACGATTACGGCCACGATGCTACCAAAAAAAGAAAGAGGAAAAAGCGAGTGCAATTTTCTTGATATCTCAAGGATATTGACCCCAAGACACATCATGTAGTAGATCTTGCCCGCCAACCATGCTTTCTCTGGATTTTGACGATGCATTGTTTTATTTTTTAACAAAATGGCAACTCTGCCTCACTGTACAACCCGTCTACATAGTCTAAGCTTTTTTAGGCTTCGCATGCTTGACAACAACGATTTCGAGAGCGTCCGCCCTGCGACTCTGTGCTTTGCTACTTTCAAGACTCCTCAGCACTTGTCCTCAAGCCAGATCCACTCTTTTTGCACAACATTTCTGGTACCTTTTATGATGATGATTTTCCTTTTTTGTCCTTTTTTTTCTCCCAAATCTTAACCGATTTCATTGACTTGGATGCAACAGACCATTTTTCCATATCAAAAAATACCGCCATCTTGACTACCTGCGTACAAGGCCTGTCGGAAAGTCTGACAATTACTGATGTTATTTTGATATGCTAATTTTGTGATCTGACGCCATTTATGTTGTTTATGCTCTGCATTTTGGGGCCGTGTTGTATTTTTATCCTGGTCCTCTTGGTTTGAATTCTGCATGGCAAAATCTTTGGATTCATCTGAGCACACAGCCGCTCTTCCTCCTTGGTTCCTGACCCTTGTCCGGTGGAAGTGCGCTCGTCATTCCCACGGCCCCGCCCCTCCTCACAGTCCTTACAAAACAATCTTTCTCCTTCACTTCTTTCTTTTTTTGTATTCTCGACTTATTTTCAAATTCGGACATGTCCTTTTTGCCAGAGCCAAAGTTATGTATGTACCATGACCCACACTACCCACTGTCCCTGTCATCTAGAATAGATGTACCCATATTCCTAAATCTTCCTTCCCATATGCCCATATTTGCTGCAGTTTGCCGTTTGCAATAGCATAGCATAGCTTGTAGCAATGAGCATTAACTTTGCAAGCATGATCATCAGTGATGTAAAAAATATGTTACTTCTGGGATAGATTAATTGTATAAAATTTTCTGGGGAGTTTCTTCTGTCTAGGGTGGTATGTAGCTCGGTTGGGGGCTATTTCGGGCCTGGTTTGATAGTTGGGAACGCGAAACCCGGCGCGCGTCGCCGACTTCTACTGATATCCAAGCTCCTTCAGACCTTAACCAAAGCCCATTCTAAATTACCATGGGCGTGTCATTGCCCGATGAGCTCATAATTTCAATCTCGCAGCAATTACCATGTAGAGATTTGCAAATCAAGCAATTAGCGACCTTGCTCTGTGTTCGTGAACTCTCCAGCTTTCAAGCCATGTCCTGTCCAATTTACTAACAGGAGTATTCTCTACAAATAGCCCTCATTGCCTACTATACCGGCCCTTTTCATACACGGACCTCATGCGTCTGGGAAGTCAAGCGTAATACGAAGAATCCTCGCAGAATACACGACCCAGAACAAACACGATGCTCAGCAGAATCCCTCTCCGAAGATCGATTCGAAAAAAAGGAAACGAAGAGGAAAAGGGGACGTGAATGACCCATCGGAGCATCTCGCAGCCAAGGAATTTATCCTCTCGTCCGTTGTGAGGGTTGCAGAGTGCATCACCGCCAGACACTTTCTCGTCAACATCGTGTCCAGCGCCATCCTCGCAGTGCAAAACTCCGGCGCGCAAATACATATCCAAGGGTCAGAGGCAGAATGGTGTAAGATCGTTGACAAGATCCGGTGTGAGCACGTTAGCTCGTTGCCGGCTGCATTCCGTGATATTCTGAGCAAGACGAAATGCGAAAGATACGTGCTGGTGTTGGACGGAGTAGATGAGCTTCGGGAAGGGGGACAGATGCTCCTGGCGGCGCTGGCAAGGCTGGGGGAGTTGGTATGTGGACTGTTGCTCCAATATGCGGAGGCTGCTCTAGGGTTCTCTTTCAATCAAGCTAATTGTTTTCGCAGATTCCATCTCTATGTGTAGTGTTTGTGTCTAGATCCACGCCTCGCCCAATGTCTTTGCAAATTGCAGGAATACCACATGTCTACTTCCCACCATACTCTCGAATTGAGATTCTCTCTATACTTTCGAGTCTGCCATCTCCACCAGCAGATGGCCTTTCTGAGGAAGCTGCCGCAAAATTATATCCTTCGTTTTTGTCTACTCTATACGACTCTCTAATCGGACCGATAGATGGCACGATCCCAGTGTTTCGATCTGCATGCAAAAAGATCTGGCCACTGTTTGTGGCGCCAATTGTGAATCACGAGAAGCCTCCGGGCGGCGAATGGGATTTTTCTCGGTTGATTGTCAAGAATCGTGCTCTATTCCAGCAGCAAGGGGAGCGTTTACTCCTTCATCGTATAGCGCCTGATACTTCTATTCCATCCACCACAAATGGCACTATTCATCTTACAAAAAAGCCAGCACGCCAACTCCCGGCGCTATCATACCTACCAACACTTATTCTAACCGCCGCCTTCTTGGCTGCATATATACCCCAGCGTCTCGATACGATATTTTTTTCTAAATTTACTGCTTCAAAAAAGAAGCGAATTCGCCGTCGACGCGGATTTAAGGCTGCATCTCAGGATCAGAGTCAGGGCTACGACCTCGATGATCCAACAAATACACCAAGTAAAACTGGCAAGAAGTCGGGCGCACCATCTCGAATCAAAAAAACCAATGGACTGCCTTCGTCTACCTCCCTTGGTAGTCGTACGGGGCTTACGAATTTTTTGACTCCGCGACCCTTTCCATTGGAGCGACTCCTTGCTATTTACCATGCAATTGATCCGAACCGGCCCCTGAACTCTGTACCACCAGCGGCAGATACTCTTGCGCCAAATATCGCCACATTACAGAGGTTAAGGCTACTTATCCCAGCATCCTCTGCAGCCGCAGCCTCCGGCAGCGCCATTGATGGGGGCGAGAAATGGTGTTTGAATTTAAATGTCACAGTCAGCTCGAGTTCTTCCGTTAACGAAGAATGGATTGTGGAGATGGCGAGGAGCATTGGCGTGGATATTGACGAGTACCTGGCAATAACATAATCACGGGCTCGGCTGATAGGAAAATACATGACCCTTATTTCTCATTGGAGCGCTTAGCCTATGTCCTAAGGCCACCGTGAACCAATTGGTATATGAAGCAGTTATTTGGTCCTTAGAACCAAGCCATCGGTCTAGGGAATAAAGATGAAATGGCCTCTCTTGAGTTAAAGCGCTGTTGTACGGAGTACCTACCGGATCGCAGTTAACAGTCGATCTCTAAATATGAGCTTCATGTTCAATACAGTTCCTCGAAGGGGAGCAATATGGTCGACCTCTAGATCGCTACTTGACCTCCGATATTGCTCCAGCCTTATCAATGCGGTCTGCATCACAATTCGCTTGTTCCCGGAACCCAAGCTGAGTGCCACGAGGTCAGCGACTTCTCGTTTCATAGTAGTTGTGGCTGAACGCCAAACGAATTAGAGTTGCCAAACTGTGAAGAGCCTTACAATTATGATGGTCTGGGCGCGTCTTTACCGATGGTGTTCTAGAGTGATTGGGATATTATCTCTGCGTGAAATTTGTTTACCGTGTTCCCACCGGGGTGGACGCCACATATTATCTATGGGGCTTGCTAGCTATTGAGCCATTTTTATGACTACAACGGTCATCAATCACAAAGAGTGTGTACGCGCTGAGTGTTTCGAATACTGCCTCTCGAGCTTGAAACCAAGATATGTTATTATATTAAACTGCGAAAGAGAAGTACCCATATCTAAGATATCCAAGTGTGAAAGATCAGAATTTGTGATCCTCTTTTTACTAGCCTACGAATTGAACAGATTATCTCCTTGCGGAATTTCTCATTTTGATTTCTTGACCATGAAGATATATACCGTGGGCGTAGCACTTTGTACCATAGTGCCCTCCATTCTAGCAGGTTCGTTTGAGTGTATAATACGTAATCCTAGCGTTAATGACCTGATACTAAAACTACTTCAGCACCCTACCACCTCTCAAATAGAGCTCAGCCTGAATCTTGCTCCGTCGCTAATGGCATCAAGCGCTGTTGCCCGGGAAATCTGAGCATGCAAGTCATCAACAACGAGCTCTCCGGCTATTGCTGCGTGCCCGTTCAAAATTCCAGAATGAACACTCAGTCTGGACCGTGTCCACAAGGCCAAGTCGCCGTTTCCGTTACGGCGAAGGATTACGATAGACAGGTCGCGAACTTGATGAATGATAAGAACGGTGGGAGTCGCAGTCAGGCTTCCGGCGGCGCGGATACAAAAAACCCGCTGGCCTTTGCGGGTGCGATGGGGATATTGGCTACATCTCAACTATAAATGAAACTATAGGCTAGTTTCTTCTGATATTTTTGATGGGGCTAAATACATGCTGTTCGATTTTTGGCGGAGGGGGGGCAGGTATCTTATCTCGATAAAATGGTGCCTGTGCATATAGATATTATTGAAGTCAACATTTATTTCTTTGAATCCGTTCTCACACTTTTGTCTTTGGTAGCTCGAACAGGAATTACTTCAGAAACCTTAGGAACAATCCACCAATCGTGCCAACAAGCCTTGGAGCCGGGCTCTGGGATCTCGATCGACAAATTAGGTAGCTTTCGGTCTGAATTCACACCCACACCTCTCTGTGGCCCTTGTTTCTTAGACTGAGAGGCTGAAGCTGCTGTTAAAGCTTTCTTAAATGCCCCGATCGCGATACTCGAGGCAATGCATGCTCGTAATGAATCCTTGACATCTTTTGTCCAGTCGTCTGAAAGACACGACAATGGAGGGGTTTTGGCGCCTGATTTTCCATCGTTTTTTTGTACGACCTGATCTCCGACAAATGCACCTTCTGCCAGGCACTGTTCTAAACTTCTTTTGGCCTCTGCAATTGCAGCAACGGCTCGATCAAGCACGGATTCGTCACTCCTATCTTCTAACATAGATTCCTTTAAGAAAGAGTCAAAAGGCACAGGTTCTGGTAACGAGACTGAGAAGAATGGTTTCATCCTTAGCTCGTAACGCAATTTCTCGGATGCGTAATGTTTTTTTGAAGCTAAATATGTCGATGGTAAGAGCTTATAACGTAGTATCAAGGTATAGAGGGCATGCAAAGCAATGGCAAATGCATCCGTTGCAACAAGTTCTGTCGATTGCCGATGAATGATTTTTAATGTTTTCCGGAATGCTTCTCTCCGCTCTGGGTTTCCTAGCGAGTTGGTGTCTTGTGACTTTTGTCTGTCATACTCGATTTCTACGCAAGAACGGATTCGATCTAAATGGACCAGATGGGTAGCACATATATGCGATAGGTACCAGTATAGACCGGGGAGCTCTTCAACTGAATACACAGAAAGCTCGAAGCCTAGTTGTAGGAGGAGCCGAAGCTGTTTTAATTTTTGGTGATATACCCAGCTGCTTAAGGGGTACGCGTACGTTGTCTCATCACCGTTCAGTGTAACTGCAGGCTCAGTTGTTAAAGAGCGAAGATGAACGTCGAGATCCTCAGCCTTTAAACAGATTGTTAATATACGAGACATAGCAGGATAGAAGTATAAAAAAAAACCACTCTTACTTCGACTTGAAGATGGTCCCAGTCGACAACTGAGTGACTAAGTGTGCGTCGAATCCGGCTTCGATTCAGACAAGATGTACGATATGTGTCGATAAAGGGCTAGGGAATGGTTAGAATGCGAAAGATTGTATCAACATTATACATATTACCTGGGCAACTCGTTCGACAAACGCATTCATTTGTTTAACGATCTGATACCGCGGATCTGAAGGAACCTCAACTGCTTCATTTCTTTTATCAAGTAGCATACTCCATGGAAGAACATGATCTGTTAAATCTTCGTAAACAAACTGCTTGATGGACTTTGAGCCAAGAACGCGCAAGTCATTCAGTAACAGCGATTGCGTCAAAGAGCGAATATAGACGGATGGCTGTGGTTTCCGAGATTGTAGTATCCAGACAGATTTCTTTGAGGAAGAAATGCGATATTAGATGTATCCTCGGAAGTCACGAGAAATGGCATGCTCACCATTAAATCATAAGGGCAACCAGAATCGAGGATTCCCTGCACATCAATGGCATCCTTGAACAATCGCTTTAGAAATGATATGGCATCTGCTTGATTAATCTTGACAATTGGTCGTGGAGGAACTGTGCTGGCTAATCGCCGCTGGATTTTATGGCTAAATGCCGCATCTACAGGTTGCCCGATCGACATGGATTTTTCAATAATATCAATCTGATCAAGGCAGGCTTGTGGATAATCTGTGACCCTACTATCTATCACAGAAATGTCCAGTTCCAAGGTAGAGAGAAACTGTCGCCGAAACGTTAACCGGCTCTGAAGAGCTTCTAAAATGGCGTCATCAAGAAATTTATCTTGTGCATTCAGCCAGGATACAGCCTCATCAATAAGACCATGAATTCTAGAGGGATGCACATCTTTAAGTAGCTTTCGGTTGTAGAGCTGAGTGACAAAGTCTTCTTCCTATTTCAAGTGCTTAGCAATAGTCAGAGGAAAGGTAACGTATAGTAGAATGGCGAACCTCGTAGTAATACTCCAAGCCTACTCTTTTGATGACAAGGTCACAGGCTTTAATCAATGCTAAGCAGTACGCTCTTAAGACGATATGAACCAGACCTAAAGAAATAGAGACTTGATTCACTCTGTCTATTTGGCACTGAGAACGATCAAAGCGTGCATCTTCAAGAGCATTCGGAACCGGCCAGAGCAAATGATCAATGTAAAATGAAGTGAACAGGGTTTGAGATAAAGGATGCCCCATGTGCCAGGCGACCTATTGGGAGATGGTCAGCTGGTGGGCTTTTCTCAAAACATCCGGATTACAGACGAAATTAGAGGTTTGTCGGACAGTTCAACAGCTTAACAGACATAACCATATCATACCTCAAAGCATAGCAACTGATCCATAATTCCTATAATTTCTGCCGGAAGCAACTCCCTCATAACGTTGTATCCATCATCTAGCACTTCTCCCGGGGCAAGGTATCCGCTATCCATTTTTGAGTCCATGATCTGTGGGCTTAAAGGTTACCCGAGAGCTTGTCAGCCATCTTTTTAGTCTGATAAAAAGGGACACTTTTTAAAGACAGGCGGGAGACCAAGCAATATGTGACGGGAGAAGGGTTCCGACCTCCAGGGCCCCAACGGCTTCAAACAGGGTGAAGAATTCATCCTTAATTAGTTGGCCGGTACGCAGTTCTATATGAAGGAGTTAGCAGGTTGGAGAGCCTCTGGAAATGGCAAAAAATGCACTTGAAGCAGCTTTGGTAAATTTGTCTGTGATATCTTGCGTCGTCTCGGATGTGATGCGGGGAGGTGCCCGCGCGTGGTACATGATGAAGGGCCCCTAGGTTTGATTTTGGGGCTTACAATTAGGCAGTGTAAGTTAAGCAGCAAATGATTTAGCCTTGCATTGCAATTCAACGGGGCTGATGATTTTTTGCGGGAGTGTTGTGCTACTCAGGGCGGCTAACCCGCTCCACACCCTATGGCGGCCGATTTAGTCACCAACGCACATACGGAATCCAGACTGGGTACAAAGTTCCAGAATGCGCAGGGTGGTGTGCCGCGGGTTCCAATTCGTCGCTCATCTCTTATTAAGAGGCTACGGAAAATTTTCTGATTCAGAAAAAATGCATTCTGTGTCTAAAAGGATCTATATAAAGCAATTTGGTTGCCCGCAGCGTACAGCGTTGATTCGAAAAAAGTAAAAGTACAGCGGCTAACAACCTCATCTCCGCTGGGCGACCGTAGAAAGTGTGATCCTTTAATTTTTTTATGCAGACGTAGCCTCGGTAGCTTGTTCGCTCTTAGCAGACAGATTCTTTAGGTCGCCTTGTTTGCCGTTCTAGCATTCAGATCGTACCATTAGCAAACGATGAGTCTCAGCTGAAGGGAAAACGCCCATGAATACAATTGACTGACCTCCCACTTAGCGAATTTCATTTCCGAAACTCCACGCTCAGCTTTCAGCCTCAATTCCGGCTTTAGCGATCGTCTAACAGTTCTGGAGGCGACGGCCAGATACCGATTGTACCTACGTTAGAACAAAACACATCAACATCTTGACGATCGAGAGTTGACCTGATACGAGGGATAGGGCATACGTTAAGCCAGCGGTCTTCCACGCGAATGTCATTTTGAGGTTGGATGTTGGACTATGGGAGGGATCTCGTTGTGCCGTTGTAATCTCGAGGGCGCTTCAGTTGATCCGCGACCTGTTGGATGTCCTTCGCCAAGGACAAATTAGCTTGTCAGATGCACGTGATATGAAGAAAATAAAGTTTGCCGGCCCCCTAGTTTGCTAGGCTTACGGAGTACTCCAGACACCACAACAGAGCTTCTCGACGCCATGAACAGCCGCGAAAGCACTTCGAGCTCAATGAGTACGTCACCATCAAGCTGCCCTTAGTTATAGAGGAAAGTTTCACCGGAGATCTCACGTAGGATTAAAATTCTTGTGATGCCACATCAGTCGGCATTGCTGGAAACGCTCTACTTTGTATAGTTCTTGCGGACAGAACACCCGATCAAAATAGCATTATTCCAAACATGCAGCACGGAGAGTGAAAAGCTGGGTATCGTATTTAAGTTATAGTTTAGCCCCCCTATTTATCCAATTTCCTTAATACAAAACTGCTCAATAGTTTTAATAAACACACCTACACTGGATCGATCAGTTCAAAGGCTCCATGTCTCGACCGTCTAAGTTAGCTATTAGAGCCCAGCCTTGGGCGAGCTCAGGATAATGCTGCGTAACAAAGCCATGCCCTTACAAAAGTTAAACCATGGCAGACACCCGTGTACCGCCCGGACTCACGGGTTTGTCAATTGTATGTTCGACTCCAGCCAGGAACATACCTTGCTCATCCAGTAGTTGTCTTCCGGCGCCATGGAGTTGGGTCAGGAATTTAATATCAAAGGCTGAGTTGAGCCCGTGCACAGCAAGCGGTGAAACCAACATTAATGGGCCTGCTATAAATTTATAGCAAAAAGAACTCGAAAACGAGGAGGAGAACGAATAGTTTCCTATCAGGCCCACACAGCGGGAGAGTTAGATCGAAAAAGACTGTAAATGTTATCCCCGCTGTGGGGATGAAAGAATTTGACGGCATGAGCCGTTGCGTGAATGTATATAATAGACCTAGAATATCGTGAATCCATCCAAAATAAACAGAGCAAGTGAAGAAAAGCCTATGCTAATATTACTGTTAATTGTGTGGGTATCAGAATGAAGGCACTGGAACAAAGCAGTCTTGATGATTTGGAGCTTTAGCGTAGAAATGAGTGATCCCCAAGCCGTGCTCTCTCATCCACATTCCTAGCCAAGCTTTCTTTTGTTCTTCTCTTCAACCAGCCACTCTTGTTCATTGAGTTCTGGTAAGAAACCACATATTCACATACTAGCACCTCTGTTAATTATTTGTTTCCTTTTCTAAATTCAGAACTTGGGGCAAGTTTCAGAGCCCCAGGATAGTTGCTTGTTATATTGCTTCTGATGTAGGTGTCATGGCTTCTTACCCTCCCTGCACCCTTCTGAGTTATTTGAATAACATGCATGTTTTCCAAAATATGTAGGAGCCCTGCTGATAGAAGCATTTAAAGAAGTAAGCAATTTCATCATTCACTACCTCTCTGCCTTCACTTAGGATTACCTAGGCGCGCGCAAACAACGCGTGCCATCTTCAGACAACTCCATTCACTGCCATCCATGCGCATATATCACAAGAATGTACTGATCACTTCTCTTCACCTAGCTCCTGTCTTGTTTTTCAACATTGAAATCTCATATTTTCCACATTGCTGTTCTCCCCCAAAACAGCAATGGCGAAAACATCAAATAAGGGTGTTGTTGAGAAGGATAAGGCAACTTCTGCATTAAAGCCCAAAGAGCCAGCAAGGGTTCCCAAACAACGGCCAGCGACTCGAACTATTGTTCGTTGGAATGGTATGAGCCAAATCAAAGTGCATACTCCAAATACAGTGAAAAAATTCTAACAATGCTATCAGATGATCTTGACAGGCAATTGCTCCTTTCGATCCAATCTGCATGCAATCTCGCTGGGATCAGAATTCCTTGGGCGAATGTTGCAGAGCTTATGGGCGAGAAAATCACTGAGGGTGCCATTGTGCAGCACCTCGCAAAATTGCGTCATCGACTTGAGGGCGAGGGAGTCACAGTTCCACCACCACTTCGTCGCGGCGGTGCTGGTATTCCCAGGAAAGCCAGTATTTCAAAGGGAAAGGCAGAAGGCCCGCACAGCGTTATGGATGAAGTTCATGAAACAGAACTAGATACCAATTTGACTGGTAAAATAACATTCAAGGTTGAGGAAGCTGATAGTGGATCCACTAGTATGCCGGAATTCGAGGAGGCAGGGAATGCATTGACGTATGATCATGCTATTGGAGTGGGTGAAAGGTTCCTCCAATTTCCAGGCATTCAAAAAACTTTTGGAAATGTTAGAAAATGGTCTACTACCGATGGAATGGATCGAAAGCCTTCTAAATTAGTCGTCTTGCGCATTGCCCCAAAACTTTTAAAGGGTATTTTGGAAAACATGGGGGTAAATGTTGAGGAAAGTGATTCACACTTTGCAACCAAGGCCTCAATGGAAGACCTTGAGTCCGTGGGTATTGAAGCTACTGGTGGTTTATCCGACAACGCAGACGCGCACGGCGAGGAGTTGGTGGTGGAAGCTGGAACTGATAAGCAGAGTCTGCTTCAAATCGGAGCACAGCACTGCCAGGAAACCGCACAGTGGGTCGGGGCAAATTTAGAAGACTTTGGTGGAGGCGCAAACTTCGCAGGAGACTATTCCGCATATGGAGAGCTATTTGGGATGCCTGGTACTCCTCTTCAGGATAACAGCTTCTTACACTTATACGGCGCAGCATATTCTGGAGTCCAGCAAGAACAGGAGCATTCTGCAGCCGTATATCTCCCAACTCCGATGAGTGGAGCATTTGGCATGCCACAAGCCCCAGGATCCGGGTCATCTTACGGCAATTCCTTTGGATGGGTGGAGCCGCCCTTTTTGGGAAACGATTTTCAGAATTTGGAGAATAATTTCACGCTAGAGATTGGAGATTTTATCAGCCCCGAATACCTAAATCATCCCCAATGAGGAGAGGTAAGAAATATAAGAACCTGTTCTCCAAGATGAGACTAACAAGGCAAAACAGAGATCATGTGAAGAACTTCTCTCTGCATGGTAGCCGATTCTGGATGATAAATGAATTTCCTTCAAAAGAATATCAGTCAGCCATTTGTTTTCATGCCAGCCTCTTATTATCACAATACTTTTGCACTGGAGAGTTAAGAAATTGAATTTTACCTGAATGGCGGTTGATAACAGTTCCTGAGATGCCTCTAACCCAGCTTCCATAATGACAGAAGCATTTCAAACATTCCTAAGCTCATTATGTGATGTTGACCATGGTTCATTTGGTCTAAGCCGTTCATGAAGCCAGTTGCATTTGGTTATCTCATTAGTTCTTGCTCAGCTTCATAGTTAATATAGTCAGTTCAAAGGGTATTCAAATTGCTAGCATTGCTTTTGACCAGGGGTTTTTGTAAAGACAGCAGTTTCCTTAATAGAAATGTTATGTAGGATAGCCAATCGTCTTGTCTTGAACCATATTGAACAAATGGTTGTTCCTGTTCATCGGATGTTGAGGGTTGATGTGGTCCGTGCGTGCCAAGCACCCAAAATTCATGCTATCACGGATCTGGCTAGTGCACAAACAGGTGACTAAATCCAGTGTTAGTCAGCGCCAAGCAATATGGAGAAGCTGCTCGAAACTCTTCCCGATTTTTTTTTCCTTTCTCGATTGCGATCAGGTCGACCTTTTCTCTCTTCTACACCATTGTATCTTTAATTCCAACTGACTTCTGCGATTGCATTCCGTTTGGTCTTTGCTCTTATTTGATCATTTCGGAGTTCCAGGCTCTTTGGCGCCAGTCCCGTCTTTTCCAACTTTCGTCGTTTTCCGTCAATATGCATAGAGCTCTTTCGGCTTCCTCGCGGGCTTCAGCCCTTTCCTCTGCTACGTCCACCCGTGGGCAGCTCTCTCACTTCAGACCTGCTCTAGCTCAGTTTCAACAGCAAAGATTTGCTCACAAGGTAAGCTTGCTCCAGACTTTTTAACTTGTCTACCCAAAATCTCGGTCGGTCCACCTGCTAACAGGTCGAAAAAAGGAGCTTAAGTTTGGGGTAGAAGGACGCGCCGCCCTTCTTAAAGGTGTTGATACCCTTGCAAAAGCTGTTACGACTACATTGGGCCCCAAGGGCAGAAATGTTCTGATTGAGTCTGCATATGGCTCGCCAAAGATCACAAAGGGTATGCAAGACTTGAAGTCTCTGGTTTTATACTCCAAATATGCAATCTGTTTGACTAACTTGTTTGTTTAGATGGTGTTACTGTTGCGAAGGCCATTACCCTGAAAGACAAATTCGAGAATCTTGGTGCTCGCCTTCTCCAAGATGTTGCTTCGAAGACAAACGAAATTGCTGGTGATGGAACTACTACTGCAACCGTTCTTGCACGTGCTATCTTTTCTGAGACTGTTAAGAATGTTGCTGCTGGCTGCAATCCAATGGATTTGAGGAGGGGTATCCAGGCGGCTGTTGACTCGGTTGTCGAGTATCTTCAGACGAATAAGAGAGAAATCACCACTAGTGAAGAAATTGCACAGGTGGCAACCATATCTGCCAACGGCGATACTCACATTGGTAAACTAATTTCAAATGCGATGGAAAGAGTTGGAAAAGAAGGTGTGATTACTGTAAAAGACGGCAAAACTATCGAAGATGAGCTCGAAGTTACTGAGGGCATGCGTTTTGATCGTGGCTACGTTTCGCCTTACTTCATTACCGACACCAAGACACAAAAGGTTGAATTCGAGAAACCTCTTATCCTCCTGTCTGAGAAGAAGATTTCGGCTGTCCAAGATATCCTCCCCGCTCTTGAAGCATCCACAACTCTTCGCCGTCCCTTGGTCATCATTGCTGAGGACATTGATGGCGAAGCTCTCGCTGTTTGCATCCTGAACAAACTTCGAGGCCAGATTCAAGTTGCGGCGATCAAGGCCCCAGGATTTGGCGACAACCGCAAGAGCATTCTCGGTGACATTGGCATCCTTACTAATGCTACTGTGTTCACGGAGGAGCTGGATATGAAACTTGACAAAGCTACTCCCAATATGCTGGGCTCCACTGGCTCCATCACTATTACCAAAGAAGACACCATTATTCTAAACGGTGAGGGTAGCAAAGATTCTATCGCCCAAAGATGCGAACAAATTAGAGGCATCATTGCCGACCCTGCTACTTCTGACTACGAAAAAGAAAAGCTTCAGGAGCGTCTTGCAAAACTTTCTGGTGGTGTGGCTGTTATTAAAGTTGGTGGTGCTTCCGAAGTTGAGGTGGGCGAGAAAAAGGACCGCGTTGTTGATGCCTTGAATGCTACCCGTGCTGCCGTTGAGGAGGGCATCCTTCCTGGTGGCGGTACTGCCTTACTCAAAGCTTCTGCCAATGGCTTGAAGGACGTTAAGCCGGCCAACTTTGACCAGCAATTAGGTGTGAGCATTGTCAAGAGTGCCATTCAGAGGCCTGCTCGCACAATCGTCGAGAATGCCGGGCTGGAAGGTAGCGTCATCGTTGGTAAGCTCACTGACGAGTTTGCTAGCGACTTCAACAAGGGCTTCGACAGCTCCAAAGGTGAATATGTTGACATGATTGCCTCCGGAATTGTTGACCCCTTGAAAGTTGTCCGCACCGCTCTTGTTGATGCCAGTGGAGTAGCTTCTCTGCTTGGCACCACCGAGGTCGCAATTGTTGATGCGCCCGAGGAGAAGGGGCCTGCTCCTGCCGGTATGGGCGGCATGGGTGGAATGGGTGGAATGGGCGGAATGGGGGGTATGTATTAAAAATTCTGGATCTGATGGTAAACATATTCTTTTGTCCCCGATGTCTTAAAATACTAATCTAGCCGAGCACCATGGTCCCCTTTTCCTTTCCAATACCCTTTGCACTTTATTATACTATCCTGACCTTCTTTCAACGTTTGTGATTTCATAACCGCATTGAAAAGACCCACCCCACTCTTACTACACTGCCATCCTCTCACGCCTCCCCTTTTGCTCTGGGTTGAATCCAGTACAGGAATGACAATGTGAAAAATGATGTTGCCGAGGGAAATCCGCCATGTTTTTATTGGAGTTTTTATATGAACTTTGTTTGATATATGTATGGCGTAGGAGGCCGAGAACGAAGGGGAGGCTAAAATGGCTGTCTCGACAAGAAAGCAATGTACTATACAGTTTCAAATGTCTACATTAAGCAATATACCTGGCGATTTGTTCTAATTTGGTTTTCGCCCAGAGATCTTTCGTAACCGAGTAGAAACACAGATGCTGTAGGCAACAACGCCGACCTTTGCAGTAAAACTTAACATCATTATTATAAAATCCCGATGCCGATAGCGATATATACTGCCGCCTGGAGCCGAGAAATATCCTTTGTTGTTGCCTTGGGGTACATACAGGTGGCTTTTTAAAGGGGGGTTCGCGGTCGTGTTGCCCCCCGCCAACTTGACGACTCAGCCCCACCATTCTCTTGTTGCCCCAGTACCTCATCCCGCCAGGAATCACTTCCATCAAACACAACCTCTCTCTCACGCAACGCCATTCCCCTCCTTCTTTCTCACTCTTTACAGGTAAGTCGCTGTTCTCCTGCTGTGGGTTTTTCAACCCTTCTTCTGCTCTTCTTGGGTTACCCCACCGCCACCGCGACCATCGGCGTGTGGAATTTCCAACCCCTTGTTTTTCTTCGCAATACTGCATATTCGCGCGTGCTAACATACTAATGTCGTGTCTGTCAGAAACTTCACCTCTTTTCTAGTGAGAATCGTTTTATAACCTACGCGCATCATGTCGGTACGCACTTGCTCAATGACCTGGCCCTATCCAAATATGGTTGCTGACATTCATTGTTCTAGGTCGATTCTGGGTACGTCTTTTCCCGTTATTGTGTGTCCATTAGTTGCCAATAACTGGGGCTGTTGAACTGGATGCTGCTTGTTGGAACATACTGATCATGGTCGGAGGAACCGTTTAGAGTATCTATAAACCCAGACTGCATCACTGCTTTCAACGAGCTGCGGCTCGGCCGTGATAAGCCCAAGTATATCATCTTTAAGATCGCGGACAACCGACGAGAAATTGTTGTGGAGGAATCTTCAAAGGAGCAAGACTATGAAATTTTTCGTACCAAGCTTGAGGAAGCCAAAGACTCCAAAGGCAACCCGGCTCCAAGATACGCTGTCTATGATGTTGAGTTTGAACTTGAGGGGGGAGAAGGCAAGCGGTATGTTTCAAGCGGCGTTTGCATATCTCTACTTAACGTCATATGGCTATTGCTGATATTGTGCTCTTAGAAATAAGATTGTCTTCATCTCATGGGTGCCCAACGAGACAGCAACCTTTGTGAGTTTTCGATAAATGGATACCTATGCATTAATAACTAAGATTTTACAAGTGGTCCATGCTTTATGCAACCAGCCGACAGACGTTGAAGAATGCTCTTAACCCGCACACAAGTATCCATGCTGACGACAAATCTGAGCTTGAATGGAAGAGTGTGCTCAGTGAGGCCAGCGGGCGCAAGGCTACCAAATAGATCGACGGATAGCCGGATTAGCGTATCGATGCCCAGGGGGCCTTATGTCGGCTATGGCTCAGCGATCTTTTATAGTTGAATTGATCATTGGTGCTGTCCTACTGCGGCGTTATCGTTTCCAACCTGTGCGGCTTTTAAATGGCTTCGAAACATACCACTGATAGTTCCAACTCGAAAGCTCCATATTTGGACGAAGGTCAAATCGACGCAACTGCGGAAATGTTTTTCTGTTTAAGACTGGCATCTTCTCTCTATCGCTGATAGAATGTATCCATCTCCACCGATGCTCATGCAAAACTGGGCTTAGGCCGAAGATTCCCCGTATACTTCCGTATGGTATGACATAGCGTGATCCACAGCTCTAGCTAGGGCAACCTCCGTAATATCGGCGCATAAAACTTGATGGAATGCCGTCGCCGAGCGATACCGAGAATTCATAGATGGCAAACCCCAACATCCTCACTCTCGTAACAACTATATTTATACCTATGTTGCACATAAACTTAGGCATTTTTCAGGCCTACAATGTTCCAACTTTAACTACTCTGTACGGAGTACTCCGTACAGACATTTTCCCAAGCAACTAGTTAAATCATTGGACATGGTCTGGGCTGACCAATCACCAGCCCGTTATTGACGGCGCCGCTTAGTCATCTCGGAAGCAAAGAAAGTCGTGTATTATTGGGACAAGAAACCTCACACCACCAAACTTCGTATTTGACCTTTAATGTCGTGACAATCTCGCACTTTTAGGCCGATTGCACCTGTAAATACATTTTCCCACGCCAATTCTCCTCTCCCGCCCTCCTTTGTCCTTTAACTCCCTCAATATGTACCTCAGAGCTACCTCCCGGTCCATTGCGACCGCTGCCCGAAGCACCGGTTCGATACGTGCCTCGCCCTGCCTTTATGCCCGCATTTCCCAGACAAGCCAATCTACTGGCATAACACAACAAGTCCGTGCTGCTTCTACCGCTGGACATGCCATTGCAAACCCTACCCTCGCTGGAATTGAAAAGCGATGGGAAGCCATGCCCCCTCAAGAACAGGCAGAGCTGTGGATGCAGCTGAGAGACCGGATGAAGGTGGATTGGCATGATATGACGCTGCAAGAGAAAAAAGCTGGTATGTGAATTTGGCTCGAGTCTGTCGTGCGACATATTGGAGACCTTGGATTATCTTTTCAAAACCCACAGTTACACCCATTTTGGCCGAGTGACAAGCTGATGTTTTTAGCTTATTGGATTGCTTTCGGCCCCCACGGTCCTCGTGCTGAGACGCCAAAGGGGGAGGGCTTGAAGGTCTTTGTTCAGGTTGCTAAATATGTTCTTATCTCCTTTGGTATCTTTTATACGATCCGTATGTTTGGTCAACCAGCGCCGAAGACCATGAGCAAAGAATGGCAGGAAGCAACCAATGAATATGCTCGGGTAAAATTGACTCCCACCCAATTTTCTCATTCATCTCTGGACAATATCACTAACATGCTTTACGCGATATAGAAAGAGAAGATGGAGCCTATCACTGGTATCAGCAGCCAAGGATACGAGGGCAAAGGCTTTGTTCAGAGTCAACCAGCCGACAAGCAATAGAGCGACTGATTGTGTATGTCATAAATATCAATTGGAGATCATTTAGAGCCAGGTGGAAAAAGACGCCCAAGCTTCATGTCAACCTTTGAAAGACGAGACTGGGAACTGCATAGCTGCACGCAAGCTCCTCATGTACTGTTTCCAAGTCATTTTCTTTGTTCAGTCCAGGAGCCATGTATTAATCGAAACGGAATTGAAAAAATCTGTATGTTTGCTTACAGGTTCTTATATCAAATGTGCAGATTGGTTCTGCGGAGTACGTACGATAGCTCCCCGCCCTTTTAACTCTGCGTCCTCTACTGGACTATATGTGCATTCTGTCTGCTTCATTACTTTTCCTTTTTTCCTTGTCTGTCTTCTTTTGTTTCTGGTGCTATTTACCCTGGCTTTTAACTTGTACATCTACTTATATAGGAAAACAATGGTGTATTTTGGCTAGAAGTTACTCGCAACTCTTTGTATCTAGCCCATTCATTAGCCTTCTTCTGGTATCTTCACCTGGTAAATATCAAGTACTTTACGTACAGTCAGGCCAATGGGTTGGCTTTAATGTAGAAATAAGATTTGTTAAAGGCATGTGTGGCTTCAAAAATAACGATGGAATTCAAATTAATATTTTGATGTTCGTGTCTGTGATGTAGTGGGTGTTCATTTCGGGAGATGTGATGGCGATGATGACGTCCTCAGCGTCCACTTTCGAACCTGTTCGATATGCTGTAGTTAACTACTCCGTACCACCATCCGCATTCTAGACTTTCGACTGAATATCGACTTCTTTCATTGCATAATATCAAGAACTGCTTCTAGTTTTCATTTAAAAAAAACGAAGTTCCTCAGAAGGGATTTATTCTTGTCGGCCCTACTCCGTACTCTCGAGCTTATTTCTAGGGTACCTATCCAATTGAGGACAAACGCCGAAACGAACAATGGAAAACAACAAATACAAAACAATAGACGGGACAGGTCAGCCATTGAATTTTTGAACCCTTGATACTATAACTTTCTACACGAGCATTCACTTATATTATGGGAATATAGGCGTTATCGACTTAGATGAGGGCCTCAAGCCATTTGAAGACGAGCTGAAAAACAGATACAAACGCGCGGATGGGTGGATTCAAAAATTAAACGATCTTGAAGGAGGACTTGATACATTCAGTAAAGTACGGGAAGCTCCCTTCCTGGACTGATCGGCGTAGTATACTAACTACGTGTAGGGATATGAACGGTTTGGTCTAAATGTTCAAGAGAACGGCGATATCATTTACAGAGAGTGGGCGGCAAATGCTGTTGAAGCTCATCTGATTGGAGATTTTAGTGGGTTCTCTTGGTGAGGAATATCTAGCCAACTTCTCCTGTTAATCTAGTCATATAGACAATTGGAATCGTACGGCCGCGCCAATGAAAAAGGATGTTTTCGGTGTATGGGAAGTCACTATTCCGTCGAAGGCCGGAGTTCCCGCTATACCACATAATAGCAAAATCAAGGTGAGTGATTGCTTGATTATTCGATACATATTGGAAAAGTTCTGAGGGGCTTTAACTAGATTACAATGACAACCCCTGAAGGAAAACAAATCGACCGAATTCCCGCATGGATCAAGCGAGTTACCCAAGATTTGGATATATCCCCTGTTTATGATGGAATCTTTTGGAATCCTCCAAAAGAAAAACAGTATCAGTTCAAACACACCAGACCCAGCAAACCCGCGAGCCTTCGAATCTATGAGGCCCATGTTGGTATCTCGTCTCCAGAAACGAAGGTTGCAAGCTACAAAAGCTTTACAGACACAATGCTTCCGCGCATTAAATACCTTGGTTACAATGCCATTCAGCTCATGGCTGTCATGGAACACGCCTACTATGCCAGTTTCGGATATCAGATTAACAACTTTTTTGCCGCCAGCAGTCGATATGGGAGTCCAGAAGACTTAAAAGAGCTTATTGACACTGCCCATAAGCTTGGTCTTGTTGTCCTTCTTGACGTGGTTCATAGCCATGCGTCGAAAAATGTCTTAGATGGTTTGAATATGTTTGATGGGAGTGACCATCTTTATTTCCATTCCGGATCGAAAGGAAATCATGATCTTTGGGATAGTCGCCTGTTTAATTACGGGAACCATGAAGTTCTTCGATTCCTTCTCAGTAACTTGCGGTTTTGGATGGAGGAATATTGCTTTGATGGCTTCCGTTTCGACGGTGTAACAAGCATGCTTTATACCCACCACGGTATTGGAACGTAAGTCTTCCCACGATGCTCCTATTCACAACTGTAGTAACGTACTAGCCAGAGGATTCTCCGGTGGCTATCATGAATACTTTGGAATGTCTGTTGATGACGACGGAGTAGCATATCTCGCTCTGGCAAATGAGATGTTACACCAGCTCTACCCAGACTGCATTACGGTGGCTGAAGATGTATCTGGAATGCCCGCACTTTGCCTCCCTCTTTCTCTTGGGGGTGTGGGGTTCGACTATCGGCTGGCGATGGCAGTTCCCGATATGTATATCAAGCTTCTTAAAGAAAAGCGTGACGAGGACTGGAACGTGGGGAACATTGTTTTTACACTAACAAATCGTCGACATGGGGAGAAAACAATAGCATACGCCGAAAGCCATGATCAAGCGTAAGTGATCTTCTTTCTACGTATCAAGACATTCAACTAAATTCACATAGGCTGGTCGGTGATAAAACACTTATGATGTGGCTTTGTGATAAGGAAATGTATACAAATATGTCAACTCTGACTGAGTTGACTCCGATAATTGAGCGCGGAATGAGCCTTCATAAACTCATCCGCTTGGTCACCCACGGTCTCGGGGGCGAGGGCTATTTGAATTTCGAAGGAAATGAATTTGGTCATCCTGAATGGCTTGATTTTCCCCGTGCTGGGAATGACAACAGTTTTTGGTATGCTCGAAGACAGCTAAATCTCACGGAAGACCATCTCCTGCGCTATAAGTTCCTTAACGAATTCGACCGCAAGATGCAGGAAACGGAACAAAAATACGGATGGCTTCATTCGCCACAAGCATATGTAAGCCTCAAGCACGAGGAAGATAAAGTTATATGTTTTGAAAGGGGTGGGCTGTTATGGGTTTTCAATTTCCATCCGACCAAAAGTTTTGCGGATTATCGCGTCGGAGTGGACGAACCTGGAATCTATCGAATTGTTATTGATACAGATAGTAGTGAATTTGGAGGATTCAATCGAAACAACAAGGAGACGAGGTTCTTCACAACCGCCGAGCCATGGAATGGACGAAGGAACTACGCGCAAGTGTACATCCCCTCGCGGTCTGCATTGGTGAGAAACCTATGATACATTTAGCTTTCTATATTTTCATAATGGACTAACTATAAATCAAGGTATTCGCAAAGGAGAATATGATCTAAGAAGAATTGCATCTCGGGACAGTTAACCAATTTGCTGGTCTAGCCTGGAAAGCAACATCTGCCCCACACGACCTTTTCTGGGGAATGATTCACGCTTCATAAGTGACTAGAAGGACATGATGGTAGATTATTTTATTTTTGTTATGTATCGCACTTTATTACTCGATCAACATGACATCCACAAGCAGGCTGCTGTTGTGGCAGCTATTCTTTACCACTTTTTATTTTCTCAGTCTCCACAAAAGATAAATTACAGGGTATATTGCATTTTTCCAGGTGAAATTCTTAGTGCGCGGGTTTCAAGCTTACGCTGTATGTACTTTACAGTCAACAACACCCATTTTCTCTGTTATCCTCGGCAAATCTCGGAGCAGTTTGTGTGGCGTGGGCTGGTTGGCACGGGAATCGCGTAAAATTAGTACATGTACTTTCAACTAGTCGTATTCAAACCGAGACTAACATCCGAATTAAGCACAGCTTTCTCTTCACTTTGTCGTTCCAACCTCATCTCTTCCCTTTGCTCAACAATCCCTCCTCCTCAATAACCGCCATCATGTTTAAGAGGTCCGTGACAAGCCCAATATAGCTTAAATACTTTATGATGCTTAGAGCTCAACCTGCTAACCCCAATTCCTCTTTTTAGCGGTGTTGCCCGGACCTTCGGAAGGTCTGCCTTTGCGCGATCGACTCTTCTTTCATCTACAAAACCTGCCGTTGGCAACAATGCTTTGCGAGCTCTCTCTGCTAGATATGCTAGCACAGACTCTGGAAATGCCGGAAAGATTCACCAGGTCATTGGTGCCGTCGTTGACGGTACGTAATGGCCTAAATGTTCTAAGCCAGAAAGCAAAGTTTTCATCGCAGGCATCACCAACGCGAACCGCAACGAACCGTGGAAGCTTTATCGCAATATATTTCATTGTATTAAGCTATATCTATACTGACAAGACTCTTAGTAAAATTTGACTCTGAGCAGCTCCCTCCAATCCTCAATGCCCTCGAGACCAACAATGGCGGTCAGAAACTCGTGTTGGAGGTCGCCGTATGTATTTGATGTATTTGTTATAGCTTAGGTGTCAGTTGCTGACGTGTTCTGCTAGCAACATTTGGGTGAAAATGTTGTGAGAACAATTGCTATGGACGGTAACCATGCCATGCTTGACATGCTTCCCAACCCTTCACCTAACATTTTCGCGTAGGTACTGAGGGTCTTGTTCGTGGTGCGAGAGCCATTGATACCGGTGCCCCCATCAGAATTCCTGTTGGACCTGGTACGCTTGGCCGTATCATGAACGTCACCGGTGACCCGATTGACGAGCGTGGCCCTATCAAGGGTGTGAAGATGGCCCCTATCCATGCCGAAGCCCCTGAATTCGTTGAGCAATCTACAACTGCTGAAGTCCTTGTCACTGGCATCAAAGTCGTCGATTTACTTGCCCCTTACGCTCGTGGTGGAAAGATTGGTCTTTTCGGTGGTGCCGGTGTCGGCAAGACTGTTTTCATCCAGGAACTGATTGTGGGTTTCCTTGACAACAAGAAAACATGCTTCGAAAATAACTAATAGAACATAGAACAATATTGCTAAAGCCCACGGTGGTTACTCTGTCTTCACCGGTGTTGGTGAACGTACTCGTGAGGGTAACGATCTGTACCATGAAATGCAGGAAACTCGTGTCATTCAACTTGACGGCGAATCCAAGGTCGCACTTGTATTTGGTCAAATGAATGAGCCTCCTGGCGCTCGTGCCCGTGTTGCTCTGACTGGATTGACCATTGCTGAGTACTTCCGTGATGAGGAGGGTCAAGATGGTATGCCAAATCCTTGTGTTTGCCATGACAACCAAAACAGGAACTGATTGTTAACCCCAGTGCTCCTCTTCATTGACAACATTTTCCGTTTCACCCAGGCTGGTTCTGAAGTGTCTGCATTGCTGGGTCGTATTCCCTCTGCTGTCGGTTATCAACCCACACTTGCAGTCGACATGGGTGCTATGCAGGAACGTATCACAACCACCAATAAGGGATCTATTACTTCGGTGCAGGCTGTTTATGTCCCTGCTGATGACTTGACTGATCCTGCCCCTGCCACCACCTTTGCCCATTTGGACGCCACCACTGTCTTGTCCCGTGGTATCTCTGAACTGGGTATCTACCCTGCCGTTGACCCTCTTGACTCTAAATCCCGCATGCTTGACCCCCGTATTGTTGGCGATGACCACTACCAGACTGCTACCCGTGTGCAGCAAATGCTTCAGGAATACAAATCCCTCCAGGATATCATTGCCATCTTGGGTATGGATGAATTGTCTGAAGCTGATAAGCTCACTGTTGAGCGTGCTCGTAAACTTCAACGTTTCCTCAGTCAACCCTTCACTGTCGCCCACGTTTTCACTGGTATTGAAGGTAAACTCGTTGATTTGAAGGATACCATCCGAAGTTTCAAGGCCATTATCAATGGCGATGGCGATGATCTTCCAGAAGGTACGCATTCTTTAGGACTGTAATTATTGAATTTCTTACTGATTTATTAATAGCCGCGTTCTATATGGTCGGCGATTTCGAATCCGCTCGTGCGAAGGGAGAAAAGATCTTGGCAGAACTTGAGAAGTCATGAGTGCTAACAATGTAGATATAAAATCATGTGCCATTGCCTCGTGGGATCATCCCCATTTGTCATTTCTAATTTGAGCTTCGTTTTTTTTTTTGTATATGTGCCACCACCCTGGGTCTTTTCTTAAATTTAGACTTGGATTCCACATTAGCACCACCTGAAAATCCAGTAGGGCGTCGGAATACTCAAGCTACAAAGACGTCAGGTATCATTGTCTTTGTACAGCCAGACTCATGTGACGGCCCTGCGACGACCTGATTTTGTGCTTGTTTTATAGTCACTTCTCTCCTTTCTAATGTGGAAGATCCGATAAAGACTAGCAGAGCCGGCATACAACAACATAAATCGGTTAGGATTAACCGAAAACTGTCTTTTAGGGGATTGTAGGCCACGGAACACTGGCATACTGTAAGATATCGCTTCATAGAGCAATGTAACACTCCAAGCTCGAGTCCCATACAATCTCGTAGTTTCGAAATGTTTTGACCTTCAAGAACTGGGTAGGTGTCACTACTAGGACAATATTTAGTAGCCCTGCGCCCCATCCACTTCTGTCATGTACCTTAAGTTGAGGTGAGCACAATCCATGAATTATATGGAGCAGCTCTTAAGACGAAGTAGGGACTGGAGGGTATATGTAGAAAGTTATATTGGGCGAAACACAAGTTCTAGCCCAGCAGAATTTCACTTTTGAGGATATCTATTCTAAATTTAATGTATTCCGCCGGCTCTGGTTTTACTAGGCCCTAGATGCGTCGTAGGCAGAAAAGTCACTCTTGTCTCAAATTTTAGAGGCCGATTGCTGACTGCAAATCTGGAGAAGAGAGTAACTATGTAAGGGGAAACCGTTTTCACTACCCCATGCCAGCCTTATCAGGAATGCTACTCACTGGGGCTGAATCAATAAAGAGATGCTGATCTAGGGAACTGAGTAGGCACTTGGTAGTTACAGTTCAATGTCAATAGTAAGTATGGAGTACTCCGTAGAAAAAGAAAAATCACGTGGCGATAGTGCGGGGAACACCAGAGCTACCCCAACTCTCCGACTCACCACACTCAGTGGACTGTGCGGTGTTGGCTTGATTTAGATGGCGCTTTCTTGAGCCTGATATATCAATGAAGAGATATAGAGCTTCTATTGCCGCTGCAGCTATGAAGTTTCTCTGCCCCTTCAGCACTCCACTTGCACCACCAGACATGGGTCTAACAGCGGCCACCTGGACTTCCCGCAGAGCGCGCAGATCATATCTTGCTATATACTCAGCAGCACGGAGAATTTCGACTTCTTCCCCATGTGCTTCCCAGTTCCACCGTTCTGATTTCACGGGACAGCCGTTCACCAGCAGCTATGAGACTGGCTTACCAACATCCGGCCCCCTGGGCTCTGCGCCTCCTTTCGGCGCTCCTCGGTTAACGCCGAAGATGCTGAAGCAGCATTTGGATCAGTTTGTCGTGGGCCAAGATAGAGCAAAAAAGGTCCTGAGCGTTGCAGTATACAACCATTACCAGAGAGTGCAAGAGCTGCAGCGACGAATTGAGGAAGAAGAGGCATATTTGGCACGCCAAACACGCAGGGAAGCTGTGGAGGCACATCCTTTAGAAAGTATGTTCCTTACTGTCGTGTAGCTAGTGTTTTACTTATACAATTGCTGATTTGTTTCGGTGTGATGCAGCTGAATTTCCAGGTCAGCAGCGGACCATACGTCTCCCATCTCCTGGAGAGTATAATGATAATTTTTCGCAATCAGGAACCGATCATATCACCGACATATCTCCTCTAGCACTGGAGAAATCCAACATATTACTACTAGGACCATCGGGGGTCGGTAAAACGCTTATGGCAAAGACGCTGGCCCGTGTTCTATCTGTCCCCTTTAGCATGTCTGATTGTACGCCATTTACCCAGGCAGGCTACATCGGGGAGGATGCGGATGTTTGCGTGCAGCGATTATTGGCTGCCGCAAACTATGATGTTGCGGCGGCGGAGCGAGGGATAATTTGCCTGGACGAAGTGGATAAAATTGCTACCGCGAAAGTAAGCCACGGAAAGGACGTTAGCGGAGAAGGGGTCCAGCAAGCCCTGTTAAAGATAATTGAAGGGACAACGATCCAAATACAAGCCAAAACTGAGCGAAATGCGCCGCGTCATGGGGGCCCATCCAATAGCTTTCCCGGGAGCGGACCCGGAAATTCGTCGTTCTCTTCATCCACGCCTGGGTCACCGGGAAAACCTGATGTTTATAACGTCAGGACGGATAATATCTTATTCATTTTTTCAGGCGCGTTCGTAGGGCTCCAGAAAATCATTATGGAGCGTATATCGCGTGGGTCAATGGGTTTCGGCCAGCCTGTCCGTGCCTCTGGGAATCCATTTGGTTCTCACACCTCCCATTCGTCTCATAACGCACCTATTCCTATTCGACCCGGTTCTGAGGAAGAGGCACTGTACAAGAAGCACCTCCCATTTTTTACCCCATCACCCACCCCAGAAGCTTCTGGTTCCGACGAAGATACGCAATATTTCAATCCCCTTGACCTCTTAACCCCTCCTGATCTGCAATCATATGGATTCATACCAGAACTAGTGGGCCGTATCCCAATAACCACAGCTCTCTCTCCACTCTCCCAGGCACTTCTTTTACGTATTCTCACTGAGCCTAGAAACTCTCTTGTGAATCAATACGCCGCCTTATTTACTCTTTCCGGGATCGAACTACGCTTCACAACCCCTGCTCTTCATAAGATTGCTGCCAATGCCTTTGCAGTATCTACTGGAGCTCGCGCTTTACGCACGGAAATGGAGACAATACTTGGGGACGCTATGTTTGAAGCTCCGGGATCAAGCGTAAAATTTGTCCTTGTTACGGAAGCAGTAGCCGATAGGAAAGAAAAGGCCGTATACCTTGCTCGTGGCCAGGGAGGCAAATTTCATGCAATGATTGCAGCCGAAGAAAGCTCATGGGAAGAGAAGACGAAGAAGCAACGGGATAACCGGGATAAAAAAGATCAAGCCAATAGCTTCGAAGAATGGAGGAGCTCTGCCATTGGAGGATTCTCATGATTTTGAATCCTGTATTTTTTTTTCTTAGTCTGTTGCGGGAAATATTTTGATTTATGAACCGAACTCTTGGCGACTGGTTTTCCTGGGGGCTACTGCCGGGTATATTTTCAATAATTACATATTCTTATGACCAGCGTTGACACCAACACATGTTGTATACATACATACATACATACGAAATGATACCTACTTGTTCCAATTGTAAATAGGGCAGGAAATTTGGCGATACATGCTGAAAACTTTGATCGAGGAGTAAGGATGCATAGAGGGACGATTTGTCCCTGATATTTAGCCAACACCTGGCCTTAGCTAATATTACGTGAGGGTCGTTTTGGAAGATGTGATATACGCCCTGAAGGATGTGAGTTGTGACGTGGAGGGGGTGGAGGAGGTGGAGGAAGCGAATTGGCATCTCTACGAGAGGTTTGGCGTTGCTTCGGAGTTCGTTTGAGGTTTTCATTTTCAACAAACGACCGGAAGAATTCCTGGGAATTCATAGGCTCAATCTAGTACACTCTGCTATCAGTTTTCAAGCTATTTTTTGGTAATGTAAAGGGCACGATACTTACATGCTGCCATTTCTTCCACCTTGGTTGTGGTTTATAGTGTGATAAAACAACAAATTTTCTGAATTTATGGCAATTGCAAATAGCCCATCCTGCAAAATATTCAACAAGATGGTCGGTATTTCGTTCGTCTTGGGACAGGCCCTTTGGTATATCTTCATGTTCATTCTCGGTGCGTGAACCATAACGAGGAATGGAGCGCGGTGAGACAAAGGGGTGACTTTGACCCTCATCATCAGTTTCTCCATCAAGCGAGTCGGGCGAGCTTTCATGGTATACATTGCAGTGGCTCTTTTCTGGAATCATGTGCTCTATGATGCAGTAGATTTGATACATCCTGCTTTGATTAGAACCAATAATATTCAATGATTTATGAAAAAATTAGAGACATACGTATCATCAGGCCATTTATCAAAGATCCTAGAAAGCCACCTTCGTACACTTGGCCGAAAGAACAATTTCCAGGTCCCGGGGTACTTTTGGCTAAGGTACGGCCCAAACCATTTCATTATTTTCAACGCTGCGGCGGGTTCAAAAACCATGTAGTCTTGTGTCAGGAGAATAACACCCCCATGGGGAAAGAGTCGTTGCAAATTGGTTTCATAATTGAGGTTTTTAATCGGGGTGGCGAGACTGACATTAAAAACATTGATGTACTTTCGTAAGAGCTTGTGGAGCCCTGGCATAAATTCATACCAGATATGAGATTGATGAAACTATCAAAATTATCAATATAACAGTGCGCAGTTATCGGGGTGAATCCCAAAATCCTTACAAGAACAGTTCCAGTCGTGACAGAGTCAGTAAAACGCTCCCAATCCCCTTCGAGTCGACTAGAGAAAATAGCTTGTGTATGCCTTTTTAAAAACATTAACATGAGCTGAAACTCTTCTTCTACCTCGGGCGGAAAGAAAAGATAAAAAGCTCGGGCGTAATTATCTTTCATTGGGGAGTTAACCCGACTTAATTCTTGAAACGTGATGTTCCAACGATCGCGAAAAACAGTAACAATATCCAGATCAAGGGAGTTCTTTAGTAAAGAGGTGGTGGTAGTTGATGCCCCGAATTCAGGTAGAGGTGGGTTATCGTCAGTTACAATAAGTTCATGCGGGTTGACTATTAAAGGACTCCGAATATATTGGTTCTCTTTTGTGACACTTGAAAGTGTGGTTTGGCGAACCGTGTTTACTGGGGGAAGATAGCTTCTAGCAACGATTCTGAGGTTTGCATTGGGTGGAAATTCTACCCCAGCATCAAAAAAGCTCCAATGAGTCGAACTGGATGGGTATGCAATGAAGACAGTCTGAATATCATCGATAGGATGGCGCCATATGGCAGCTAGATCATTTTGACGTAGATAATCAGCCACAGCCGTCAACTCTTTAGAAGTATCGTCAAACCCGAATGCCCAGGCTGTTGAATATTTTCTATTGATCCTCTTATTAGACATTGTTAGCAAAAACTGTAGTCATATTCTTCAAAGGAGACATACGCGATCACATAGTAGATGATATTCATCAATGGTACAAACATCTTTGAAATTTAGCTGGATAATTCTCTTCATTCTGAGTCTGAGAAGCTGGCCTATCGTCGCTGCGTTAAGACCACAAATGCGCACATCACCGATATCTTTGTGTATGGCGCCGAAGGATAACGACACAAGCACCTCGCCGGGATTCCAGAATCGACCTGGGCGCATGGGAGGTAGGCGATTTGACGTTGAAAAACTCTGCCTCGAGCTAGGATTGGCCGTTGGGGCTGGGCCGACAGGTGACTGGTGTCGAACAGCAGATCGATCATAGGACGGCTTCCGTGTAGAAGGTTCGATTTGACGTTCTTTCGGAGTAGTATTGGCTGTTTTTGATCGTGCGGTCGATATATAATCACCGTCTTGCTCAACAAATAGGCTATATGTAGAGTCTGTATCATTGACTGCAGGATGAGGTGGTGAGCCCGACTTTTGTTGCGAGTGCAACCAGGCTTGAGGCGTTCGAAGCTCCAGTTGGTTCATGTCTGGAGTTCTTTCGCGCCGTAGTGCCTTTTCCCATCTTCTTTGGGTCGAGAGCTTGGCGAATAGGTCACCGGTCGGTTTAGAAGATATCGCAGACAGGAGAGATTTCCGAGCCTTTTGGCCCTTGAAAATTCTTGCTTTATCAACAGCAGGTGGTAGCCGCATGATTGCTGACGAGGTGTTCGTTTTTGGCTTGGGCCGACTTGTTTGGCTGTTCATCTTGGCTGCAGAGTTTGTGCTTTTATATAGTGCGGTTCGGGGGCAGGAGCTGGCAGAGGTCTTTCCCGTTTCGTTAAGCCGCGATCTCTTGTCCATAAGCTTTTCATTTTCTGAGCTGCTACTGATGTACTCGACATCACCATCGGGAACGACGAAATCAAAACCGTCTGTATCGTTGTCATCGGAGGGCACTTTATAGCCGAGTCTTTTCCGCTTGTTCCTCCTCTTTTCTCTCCGTATGCTCGCGGCCCGCTCAAGTTCCAGGCACCGGTGCTCAAGTGCTTCAAGGTCAAACGCTGGCTCTTCTCCTCGAGAAATAGATTCCAATTTTTGGGCCCATTCAACCAGGGTTTCAGGATCACAGAACATATCTTCAGACTCCCAAGTAGATCTTTCCAGCGGGTATCCGGCCCATTTTACAAGGTATTTTTCCCCAGTTGGGAAGGTCCGCTGGGCTAAAACACATTCCAGTTCATATTCGTCCTGTGCTTCACTTGGGGCTGTGGAAGTCAGGGAGATCTCGTCATCACTGACATCTCCCTGCATTTTTTGAAAGTGGATATTCACGTGTATGGGCCTGGGGAAGTAATAGAAAGAGTTGCAGGCAAAAAAAAGGTTAAAGTAGTTGAAATTTATCCCAAGAACTTGGGTATACTGAAGAGATAAGGATGCCGCAGTATACTACTGCTTCAAGTCTCTACAATGAATCGGAAGAAATGCCTCACGGTTTGGGTATGAATGAGGGTAATGATAAGCAGTAGTGTTTAGAAGCATAGGAATGGTATTGAGAGTGGTGTGTATGATGTATCTTATAGCCACTCTATACGTGTAAACACCCAGAATTTATCGTAGAACGCGCGTGGTAGTGAGCTATCTGGCTTACTAAGCATATCATCACGTGTGAAATTAACAGTAGGTCACGTGGGAATGCTCCTGGTGTATGAGTCACTATGGGGTACCTATGGGGCAGTCCATATTCTTCAAGGGCGAAAACAGCCTTACTCCGTACAATCTCCGCAAAGTTTCCCTGGCCCAAGTCGTACTCCGTAGTTTGTAGTCAGATGCGCAAAGCGCCTGCATGTTCCGCCCGAGCGACCAGTGTTTCGACTTCGGCGCTTATAAACAATTCCCCGATGCGCTTAAGTTAAGCTGATAAGCTCGGTGCGTACCCGGTACCTCTGTTTTGCATGCCGCTTAGCGCACATCTTTGTACTCGGTACTTGCCCCCCTGTTCTGACCAGGCCACCCAGTCCCATCAATCCCTTCCAGAGCGACAACTTCAAACATCTCATTCCGGGTTTGATTGCTTTAACTCGTCACCTCCACTCGCAACTTCATCTCGGCGCACAAATTCACTCCACCTCTTTCCTTACTGTCGACTTACCTTTGGTTTCCAACATTTTGCACGTCGTTCCCAGATTTTACACTTGACATCAATCCTACCTCTTCCGCCTCTTCCAGACAAACCCCATCATCATGGCCAACGACGAATATGATGTGAGTTGAATGAGCCTGCCATAGTTGCTTGCAATGCTAATGCTGTTTTTCATAGTTTCTTTTTAAAGGTAATCCGTCCCATCCTTCCCCGATTCCTAACCCAGCGAACCATTCTCGACTGAACCCCTCTCTTTCTTATAGTGGTGTTGATCGGCGATTCTGGTGTTGGGAAGTCTAATCTATTGAGCCGCTTTACACGAAATGAATTCAACCTTGACTCAAAGTCTACTATTGGTGTCGAGTTTGCGACCCGATCTATCCAAGTTGACTCCAAGACAGTCAAATCTCAGATTTGGGACACTGCAGGCCAGGAAAGATACAGAGCTATAACATCTGCTTATTATCGTGGCGCCGTCGGTGCTCTTCTTGTTTATGATATCAGCAAGCACCAAACCTATGAGAATGTCACACGGTGGCTAAAGGAGCTTCGAGATCATGCAGATGCCAATATTGTGATTATGCTTGTTGGAAACAAGAGTGATTTAAGGCACTTGCGTGCTGTGCCAACAGAAGAGGCAAAGCAGTTTGCAAGTATGATTGTGCCTCTATTGGTAGCTTGACAGTTAGTGATCCTAATATAACTAGGTGATAATAACCTCTCGTTTATTGAGACTTCTGCCCTCGATGCAAGCAATGTTGAACTTGCATTTCAGAATATACTCACAGGTACGAACACCTAGAAGTATTATCGTCAAATAATTGAAACGAACTAATTGCAACAGAGGTCTACCGTATCGTGTCTAGTCGGTCGCTTGACTCCGGTGACTCCACTCAAAACCCTCTTTCTGACCGCAAAGTTGTCGAGATCACAAGAACACAAGATACCGAGTCCAAACAGGGATGCTGCTAGCTTTAACGGATGCGCATTGCATGGCATTGCTGGGACAACTTATAGATCTGAACCAGCAATGACTTTTATCTTTCGCTGCTATTCCAATTTTGCCTACTTCCTTTTGAAGTCGCAGATTGAGTGCCTTTTCTGTTTTTTTTTTTTTTCTCTTTCTCTTCTTTTTTTTCATATTTCATTTTCCCTTAATTCTTCTGATATGAATGAAATAATGGCCTGTGCTGAGTTTCGTGACACTCTTTCTATGAACCGATCGCTTTTGGTCAATTTTCTTAATGTCTCATGGTGGCCAGGTATGGTAGATGGTAGGTAGTCTATGAAAGAAGTTCTTCCGATACTGGGAGGGCAATGGCTTTGACAATGTCTCTTTTATGAGTTGGTCTTTGCTTTATTTCCTAGTTTTTTACCCCTTGCTAATGTATTTTCTCACGTCTGTCCATGATCTTTCATTCTTTGTGACTCCAGAGAGGTACTGCATGGCTGGAAAATACGTAATCTTCTTAATCTTCCTGTGTGCTTTCTTAATCAATGTAATTTCAATACATGCATTATCTATATATGGGTCTGCAATTATATCATACCTACGTAGTGTCTGCAGACAGCTGTAATGTGCCTTTTAAGTCCTTCGGCAATGTTTAGGGCATAGAGATATTGGCAGGTACGCCTAGAATTGACATCTAAGGATCTTTAAATAGCCGAAAAGTTACAAAATGAAACGTCCCTCATGGCTACGTTCTACAACACCTGCAATCCCCAAATCGCCGCCAACAACTGCTTCTCTAAAAGCAACAGCATCCTCTCCACGCTCATTAATTACCCACTCCAAGGTTTGCGCAAATGTCTCTCCGTTATTCTCAAACCACTCCCCAATTGATTCAACATACCTTTCTACCTGTTCTTTTAGCAATGTATTTTCCCGCAGCCACAAAATCTGGCTAGGATCCAGCTTCAACATGTCCTCTACAATATAATAATGAGGAATTTCGTCGCCCCAGCCCTGAAGACCCGGTTCGTGGTATAGATCGGATCGGAATTTGGTGGCATACTTATTGAGCAAGGCAGAATTTTGGTCAATGGCTTGCTTTTCGTGAGAAGAACGGGCATTAAAGAAGAGTGGCTCAGACGTGCTATGGCCGTTAGAGTAAACACGGCTAGATGGGGATGGATGGTAATTGAGATGGATATTGAATAGAAGCGAGTTGGTGGAATCTGGAAAACGTTTGTGAAACTTTCGTTGGATCGTCCCGTTGCTAGGGCAAATATGGTGTTGTACGACGTCGCGCATAATTAGTCTGACATCCTCCATTTCCGCTAGTTCGTTTGACGACCAGTTATGCAAAAGCTCTGCACGCTCTCGAATAACCAAGGGAACAGAGCGCGAGGTGCGTGGGAAAGATGGGCTGTGAAATGCTCGCGAATAGAGCCAAAGGCGATATATAGCACGGCGCAAGTGAAAGCGCTCTAAACGATCTAACACGCGTCGGTTCTCATAATCGACTTTCCACTTCTTAATCGGATATATCTCCTCCCACTTTTTGGCGACTCTGCCAACCTGCAGGATTTGCTTGAGTAGACTCAACGACATGTTCGCATTACGAATATTGTGTGCAGGCTGGCTCGTATTCTGAGTAACAAGCTGAATAATCTCGTGAGTGGGGCCATATTCGGCTTCCGCTGCATTGGCTAAAATAGGTATTCGCTGCGAAGCATTGAAGATAGCATAAAACCGGCGGCATGTTTGAGAAAGGTTGAAAACATCGGCGATAGAGTCGCAGGAGTAGAACACGTGAAGCACGAGCTCTGTAGCCAGAAATTCAAACGCCATTTTTTTTAAATCTATATGCAAGAATCAATTAGCCCCCTTTCACCGCAAAGGCAGATGCTTCATGCTGGCCCACCTGTAGTATTGAACACAGCAGGTTCAGTCTTTTAAAGGTTTAGTAAGTAGTTCTCGTGGGTGGTAATAGTTCAGTCAAATATTTTCGAGCCGTAGTTGAATCTAACGACTTTCGCAAATGGGTTCAGAGATGTCACAGCACGATATCACGATGACAACAGCTCTGCACGGATGTCTCAAGGGGGTTCAGCTGTCTGCCGCCCCGCTGCTGGGGGATTGGTTTAAAAAAATCACATCTTCATGTGGGTTAGTACCCAATATTAGGTTGGTTTCGCACAAAATATTTGGCCGTAAAGGGCTCGCATGACCGTTGCTTATCTCCATGGTTGCTGGTAAACAGGCAAAGTATTCGAGGTCTGTCTGTCGTGATGAAGACGCGATAATTGGGTTATGTAATCAACTAGTTAGCTATTTTCATTGAATTCGTCTTGGCATTTTGATAAGGACTGTGATAACGAGCTTTAGATGTCGGACCAGCAGTACGAAGTACTACGGAGTAGAAGACATGCTGGGAGAAAGTTTGACACATGATGCAAGACGAAGAAATAGAAGAGACACAATAGCATCCACTGGTATAACTGGTGCTATAATATGAATAACCTGAAAATCCTGTTAGATTTACTCTCTAGAGTGATATTGTAAGAACAGGTCAGAGTACAATTTTAGGCAAACAATACGCGTGGATCAAGCTCATCCTTCTTCCTGTTTGCCTCACCTTCTGCTCCCAATCCTAGGGCCACATTCTTGGCTGTCCTATCCATCTGCCCTGCACGCCTAGCAGTATACTTCGAAGCCTTCTTTAATCTGATCTCCCGCCGTACCTGGTTCGGGCTCACGTACTCGCGATTTTCATAAATAACCGGCCCACCAAAACTCCCTTCTAAGATCACAATCGGTGTAAGAACGAATCTGGGACCAATTTCCACTAGAGAGAGATGTGGTAAGCCATCTTTGCCGCGCCTCGATTTTCCTTTATATGCAGTTTCTTCCTCTTCACCGTTCTTGTCTAGTTTTCCGTCTGACTCTCGGATTTCAAAGATCCGAATCCATATTTTCCCGTCGACCCAATAAATACCGATGACCCTGTCAACAAATGGCTTCATCCCCTTCACACCGCGCTTAGGCACAGAAAATACGCTCCTGAGCATCTCCCTGGCTAACCCTCTCCATTCATTTCCTGTTTTCATTATTTCTTGATCATCAAAAGATGAATCAAACACCACCACACCACGACCACCTTTTAGACAATTGCCAGCGAATCCTGTGCCCAATTCGCCCATTGTGTGTAAATTAGTCACGGAAAATTTTATCGTAGGCCCATTGGGCGGTCGCGAGAGCCAGAGATAGAGATCTTGGCCACGTTTTCGCGCTTCAAGAAAAAAAATGACATTGCAGGAGTGAAGGTCAGCGAGGGAGTTAAGGAGGAAGTTGTAGCCAGCGGTTTTCTTTTTCGTATCAAGTTTGCTCTCTTTATGTGTATGTGGAAGAAGAGCAGAGAGGTCGGCTAGAAGATGTCGATGCCTGGTTTGGTTATTTAGCGCCAGTCAAAAGGTATTTGGTCATCACACAAGTACAAGGCTTACCTATGAGTAACCCCTCTAGACGTGAGCATTAGGACTCTAGTCTTTGGCATATAACCCAGTGTATTTGAGGTTCCATTTGCGGTTTTAGCGTCATTTTGGTCGGCTTCGTCGTTCAATTCGCTTTCGGATTCGCTATCACTACTCTCGTCACTCAGTCTCTCCTGCATCTCAATATCGTCTTCGACCCTTTCCTCTGTAGGCTGCGTTTTTCGCTTCTTAGAAATAGATTTATATACAGCTGCCATCTTTCCACCAGCAAATTATTGCAGTACTCGAGTTATAGCTGGAAAATGTTCAATCAATATGCTTTAAAACGAATTTCTTCTAAAGATGGCAGAATTAATTTCGACCTCTGCGAGCTTCACCGCCTTCATAGGAATATGTGCTTACCAATAAATTATGTAACTACCTGGTTAACTGAACTACTTGAATAGGATTGGCCAATTAAAGACGAATTGTCAAAGCTTGCTCTAAAAGGGTAAAGAAACAGCCATGAATCGCATATCATCATTAATAGGTATCGCTACGTAGTATTTTCAAACAGACCCCCAAATCAGCCTCGTAAAACATAGCAGCATACAAAGATATATAAAAAAGAGGATAAATCCGATGCAAATGTCCTATGGCCAAGGCGTCCGTACAAGATGACATTGTCCAGAATGGAGGGGATATAGAAAGAGAAGAATAACACTTCTTATGAGCGTCCCCAGCCCCCAGAATATCCTCCACTCTCTGCCCTGTAATGCGGCTGCGTTTGTGGTTGATGTTGTTGTGGTGGCGTATAACGCATATGATTTGGGTATCCCTGCGGGTCCACTTGGCTTCTATCATAATCCCACGGCGGGCCATTTCCCTGGTTTGGTTGTCTCTGGCCACTCCTCGGAGTATATTGATCATAGTGGGAATATCCTGGCGTTATCTGGCTGGGAGTGTTACTATGCACATATCCGCTACCATGTGGTGTTTGGTAGGATTGTCCTGGTGGCGTTGGGTTATTGTATGCGGCTTGCATCCCCGCTTGCTGGCGTCGTTGACGCTCTGCATCGCTATAGCGAGTGGGGAAGAGAGGCGCCGCATTTGGATCCGGGTGGATCACAGTAATGACAGTTTCCCTGGGCTGAGAAACTGGAGAAATCCGAGGTGGAAATTGACCTGATGGGATTGGTATAGAGCCCCTTTGGTAGTATGAATCCGGTTGCTGATGCGGCTGATTTGGATATGGCATCATTCCCTGTTGGGCTGGGGGTGTTTTCCCAGGAAATTGTTGGTATTGGAATCCAGGATCCATAGCGGAATTCCCTATTGGCTGAACTTTGGAAGGCAAATTTTCTCCATGGGGCTGTATCACCGGAGGTATAGCTTGAATACTCATGGGGTTGGGATTACCTTGGGGCAATTGGCTATGTTCCATGGCATATACTGGCGTATTATTTTGCTGAGGTGTGAAAGATGCACCTGCACCTTTGATCTCATTTTGCGAAGTTGATGAATCCTGTCCCATGGTGACATCTTGAAGTTGGCTGGATGCACCTTGAATCTGATGGTGCGATGGGGGATACGTGTATTGATTTGGGGTGTTCTGTTGCAGAAGAAAACGGAATAAAAAAGGTTAGAAGAGCCTCATTCTAACCAGTATCAGGAAGGGGACATTGGAATACGCACGGTCTTTTGAACATCGGCCATATCGGTTGAATTCGCCCGGGTTGCCAGGTCAGACGCAACTTGACCTAAAATACCTTGGCTGGACGGACGAGATGAGTATATTTGGTCTGCTAGCGTAGGAGTTCCACTGAGAGTTGGTGTGCGCTGTGCACCAGGAGTTGAAGCGTGCTGATAAGGCGATGGTTGATTATTTCCAAATGTAGAATTCTGGGAGAGTATCATTAGCTAACAAGCAGGGAGAATAGGTGGCCAAAATTTTTTACGAAATCAGTCAGTTTCACATACAGAGAAGCCGCCGCTTGAAGCCCATTTCCCACTCCTTAATTCCTGAAATTCCTTGGAGACGGCTTCGGTTTCGGAGGGTGCTAGGCTGGCTGCTCGTGGAGCATGGTAAGGGCCAGGGCTGGCAACAGAGTGAGGTGTCGATGAGGGGGTAGGAATAAACGGCTCTGTGGGAACGTCCCATTGCGACTTTCCTGTCGCTGGCTGGACGAAATACCATTTTCGCAGAGTGCCCTCCCACTGCGCAAGCCTAAATATCCCATATTGTTAGGAGAGGGTGTCTCTTACAAACAAACGATGAGTTGTGGAATGAAACATACCATCCCTCAGGTAAAGGTGGTGGTGATGTTGATGGTCCGCCAACGTCTGCTGGACTCCGTACTCTCGATGATTGTGGACTCATCTCTAGAAACGATATTCACGGAGAGAAAGAAAAGAAAAAAGAGAAGGCGTGTCTCTAGTATCGAAGAGAGCGAAATTTTGAGCGACAGCCGTACGGTGGCAAAGGCTCGTTTCTTTTAGACTTGTGTCGTTGGGCTGTATTCAGATTCGAGCTGCGTTGCGAAGCAGCAAAGTGGCGACGGGGAATTCGTCTCTGGATTGAGCAGTCGATTGCTCACGTCCCACCGTCCAGCCAGTAATATCAGAAGCGTCGAGCAGATGAAAGCCAGATCAAGGACTCTTGGCCTGCAACGGCGACGTTGGAAGAAAATAAGAGGACGGGCGGCGCATCAAAGCATCACGCAATAAACCGATGATTTGTCCACGAAACCGCTTTGTATAGGCAGGCAGAGAGACAGGGGATTGGGAGGCAGACGAATCCACGTCCCGCTCTCGTGGGCGTCGCGAGTATGGAATCTCAACGCGGGCGAGGATGAAATCCTGATCGTGGGTCGGCTGGACGCGAAAACCGGCGGATGGCGATACGCTCGACGTTGCGTGACCGCTAAAATGCTCAAGGATCGGCCTGCAGCAGCTAAGCAAGGGCCAAGCTCGGTCTCGTTGCCCGTCGCTGCGCTCGAGCTTGGGGTGGTGGAGGGAGGGGAAGACTCTGCCCAACCTGCCCGCGAAAACTCGATAAGTGGTGGGATGCACAGCCAGAAACAGCACACTGATCTGGTCAGAAGTTGGCAGATGAGCGAGGGCAGTAACGACAACGACCAGCACGCCACTATGCGACGTTGACCTAACTACACCAGGGAAAACAGCTCGCGCCGGGCGTGTTTCGTGCGAGCCGGTCTTGGTGCTCGTCCAACTAACCAGGATGCCCGCAACCCCACATCTGGCCGCGCGGTTGGCGAGTCCGTCGCCTCGACCGCATTGCTGGAGATCAGACCCGGCCACGGCTCCAGGAATATATGTAAAAAATGGTATCTTTGGAGTCTCACGCGCTCCCACAGTGAGGGGGAATGGCCTGCGGAGGGGATTAAAACCTATTTATAGTTCATTTCTTCTTCTCAAGCCCCAAGATTCCAAATGCAGTCCCAATGGATTATACTCAGCAATCCCCCTTTCACCATGGTTTGCACCCAGATTTAAGGTTACATACGCCAGATAGACCCAGACATACAGATTTAGAGCTCATATACTTTTTTGTGAAGTCTGTTGGATGGTTCTCGGATCGTTGAATAGTGTGTTGCACTGGAAAGATATTATCATTATTCATGTGGCATGTATAATTTGCAAGGCAAAGCGAAATAGCAAATCGCCATAAACTGCCATCCCTCATTTTTTGCATTGTATTATCAACTCTTTCGCCAACGCCTCCTCCCCCATAAATGCGTCATGTAAACACGCCTTGAGCCAAATGCGAGGCTTATAAAATCAAAAGAATAATCGGAGTGGAATCGGGAACGCCATCGAATAACATTAGTTTAGCTATCTACCACGCACAGGTGGTGTCCCATTCTATGTCAACACCATTCCAGTCTGAATCAAAGCTGTCCTCTCCACTAAGATTCTCTGCATCAGTAAGGAAGGCGCAGGGTCGAAGGCCGTCTATACGTATTTTCACATTATTGCACATCCCCTGAATACGTTCCTCCTGTTGATCTTCATCGGATTCAGATGGACACATTTTGGTCCTTGCTTCAGCACTCTGTATTTTCGCGACTGGAGCAACCTGTTGGGCGATGCGATTGCTTCGTCTCATTGGTGCGCCTTCAAGGGTCAAATTAGGTTTTCTTGAGCTTTCCACTTTGACTTGAGAGCTTAATGTTGCCGGTTTTGATTCAAGAACCGTACGTGTTGGTGGGGCACATCTTCTGAGAAATATCCGTTCCAGCCTATGCATCCACTGTTCGCGAAACTTTGCTCGATCGCGCCAGTCTATTTTGATGGTCGCAGTAATGGTGAGGTCTCTTAGATCTCGGAGGCGTGGAGCCGCTTCTATAAGAGAGTTGAAAAATATCTCCGCGGCGGGGACGTCCCATTTATTTAGTCGTTGAAGGTCTATCACCTGTAGTGTTGTTGGCCACGAGGGACATTCATGGTTCGGCAGTAGGCAATCAAAATAGGATTCGACGAATTGCGTCCGGCGCTGTGTAGATGGTGATACATTGAAGTCCATGGAGAAGGTCTGAAGGCGGCCACATAACTCGCCCAATCGATTAATAAAGGACATATTGAGGTGGGGATTCCGAAGGAGAATAAGTTCTCTCAAATGTTGACCGTGACCTGATAAATATTCTACTAAGAAGGAGGAAGTCAAGGTATAGCAATTTATGAGTGATAGTGACTGTAGGTTCATGGGTAGCAGCGGCAACAAGTTACCTGCAAAGTTGCATTTTTTAAATTCCAACTTCTCGAGGTGTGGAAGAAGGGTTAATGCGGAGAGCACAACTTGCGCTTGCTGGTTAGGGTTCGAATAATCAACGTCTTTGGGGCGGTTATCTGGCCGGCCAGAATAACGATGTTCTAGCTGGAAAAAACGCACGCTTCGAAGGGAAAAAAATGCCGGGTGTTTGTGCACCTCTTCGATGGATGGGAAGTTCATATCTCCATTCCATTCCCAGCTGTGAAGGCGTAATTGTAGCAGTTGTTCAGGTTGGGGCATATCGCAAAAAAGCCGCCATGGAATATGTCTAGCTGGCTTACCAATCCTATTGTATTCCGATAAGTCATACAACCGTAGATATTTTAGTCTCGGTGTGTATTTAAGGAGAGAGTATATCAATTTTAACTTCGTACGGTAGGCATCCAACTCAAGCTGCTTCACCTTATCCCGATAGTTGATGTAAAGAGAGCCTTGATCTTTTTTTAATAATTCTAGAAATCCACTTACTTTTGTAAGCGGGTATAGGGGGGGAGAGAAGTAGAGTGCCGATATGGCAGGCTCGAAGAAAGCCCGACACATGTATGATAATTCCAGCAGACATTTCACAGACTGAGAGGTATCAGCCTGCGGGTGACTCTTCATCGATGGTGACAAGTACAAAAAAATATCGCACAGGATATGATACGGAAGGGTGTTCCATTGTGGCCCGGTCTTATCAATATCCAATTCCAGCCGCGGCTTCTTTTGTCGCGGACGGCCGACGCTTCGCTGTGAAAAGCGTTTTTTAGTATCGGAACATGAGGAAGGGGAGGGACCCTGCTGGCTTGCTGGTAGTGGCCTCGGAGCATCATTTGTACATCTGCGCCTAGGACGACCTGCACGAGGTGGTTGGGCCAATGAGCGCATAAGGGCTTCCTCTAAGAAGTCTTCGTTGTAACCGAGTATCACCCGACGAGTTGAGCGAACCGGGCGCCCCGATGAATCCGGGACTTGAGCCATATGGATCAAAAAAAAAAGAAAATTAGGGTAAAGATCTAAGTACGGTACTAGATCAATTCACAGCCTAGGAAACCACGAAGACACTCTTCAATATAGGTTTGGGAACTTTACAAATAGGGGCAATCAATTGCTCGAAACGGACCCTCAGCTTTATAAAGATGACAAAAGTGATGAGTTGGAGAGAGAAGTGAACTGTGACTTGATGTTGAAAGTTGATAGAGGCTCGAGGTGCTGGATTAGTCATAACTAGTTACTTCAAGCTTAGTAATTGCTGATTAGTCAACTAGCGGTTCTCTCAAGTTTGATTGTACAATCACTACTTTGGGCCTCGGTTTGCGACGATCGCAATGAGCGATAAGTAGAAGCTGAGATTGAAATCTAGAGCAGGTTCTTTTTGGATGCTATATGTGTTCATTCCCTGTGATGCGAATCTTGAGCGAAATGAAAGCGATGTGGCTAGTGCTATTTATAGACGCAATGGCGGGGCGATCGCTTCTTGACTGACAAGCCCAGCCAACCAACCATCTCTCGAGCAAGTTGCTATTTCTAAACGCAGTTGTGTTGAGAAGCGCAAAACCAAAGCATCTCGGGCTCACCACTCGCTGGACGCGTTGATACTTCTAAAAGTGCGCCACTGGTCTTTGTTATCCTTTGGAACCGTCCATATTCCCTTCGTTAATTATGCTGCCGCCGCCCGTGCCTAGACTCACATCTCGCCTCCCACGATTTTAATTTGCTGTTTCTCTTTCTTCAAGGCTACCCGCAAACCTGCCATCACAATAAAATTGAAATGTCTTCTTGCTAATCAACAAGTGGGCTCTTGACTTCCTACCTATATTTGATTTCGCCAATCTATCTTCATTATGGAGCAGCACCCTCTTGAAAACCCGTCCCAATCCGCGATTCGCCATGACTCGCCAGCTGGTTCTTTAAACCAGACTCCATTCCCAACTGCAATGTCACCTCCCATGAACCGGAGAAATACTCCTGGGAGCCTCCAGCCTTCTCCCCGGATGCCTCACGCTGAATCCATTCGACGAAGTCGCTCTGTGGCGTCAATGTCTCCTGCCCTCTCCCTACCATCTCAGATGCGCCACGGGGAACTTCTACAATCGATCGAATCCCGTCCCCCACCATCTCGCGATTTTGAAGAGCCAACAATAGACGATGCTTATATAAATTTCATTTTCTACTGCAATCCAGACATACCAACCACAAAAAATACCGCTGAACTGAGAAGGATATTTCGATCACCACCTCGCAGTGACGGGAAAACCTTCAATATTTACGATTTGTGGATGTTGATTCAGAAGTTTAATCGGAAAGAACTGAGAACTTGGAGTCAATTAGCGCTAGAACTGGGTGTTGAACCTCCGTCTGCCGAGAAAAAGCAGAGCACACAGAAAGTTCAGCAGTACGCTGTACGGCTAAAGGTCTGTACCACTCTTGCAGGTTCCTTCGCATAAAGTTGTCGATTCTGATATAAGTGTAGCGTTGGATGCGTGCCATGCATGTGGATGCCTTCTTCGACTATTGTTTAGGAATTCAACATCCCTATTATTGCAATACGCGAGCATTGCCCAACCAGGGTGGCGATACTAAAGATGAAGTTCCTAGAGAAGAAGACCCTGCATTGCGGGCTTTATTTCCTGAGTGGAAGCCCAGAAAGGGTCGCAAGCGCGTTCCTGACGAATCCAAAGATACCAACGGAGATAACACCAATTCCACCTATGCCCCATGGAGTGCGATCCCTGGTGATTATGATAATGATAACTGGACTACTCATTCTTTATTCAACTCTAGCATCAAGCCTGAACATCAGCGACATACCGCTGTACAAGGCCTTAACCAGATGGAGAACTCTACAAAGCGCTCGTCTCTAGTTCAATACCCACTTTCAGCTGTCACCCCTAGGTCCAAGACTCAGGACTTCTTTGGGAGGGAACCACGATCAGCAATCAGCCCCAGTTCTGCTGAAAGAATGCACTACAAACGCCGGAGGATCGACGCGACGTCTTCCTTTTGGGCCCATTACCCCAACGCTGCATCAGATACTACAAGTAGCCGGCCTCCGGACGAACATGTTGCCGGACCCGACGCTGCGTTAGTCATGGGAGAAACAAATGAGCCATCCCATGGTCATATTACCCCTGACTCTTCCACTCTGCACAAGGGGGACCTGAATAAAAACGACAGTTTAACATCGCAAGGGGCGGAAACCCCTAATCGTTCTAATTCATCTGCAACCCGCCCCACAAAGCTTCAGCTTCAAGTTCCACAAGGCCCTCAGCTAGCTGCACCGCAATTACTGATTAATGGAGAGTTCCGCCCTTCGTCTGCATCTGTCGAAGGCAGTTCTCTCCAGGATAACTCGCAATATCTCGGCCACGACACAGCCGAAGAATCTATATCTTCTAGACAAAGATCCCCCCTCCGATACGTTCTCTCCATCAACAACATTATCCGTAAATTCTCGATCGAGCTCCAGCGCGGAACAATAGTTGCACCTTCCCCGCTTAGCGAAGAAAAAATCAATATTATTGCGGAATTAGTAGTAGAGCAGCTTATGTCCGAGTGTGCTCCCGATTCTTCCCCACTCAGCGTTGCGCATTATTGCGCAGTTTCTCTTGGGATAGGTAACGAATTTGGCCTTGGTGGAAAAAGAATCGGCCATATTACAACAGAAATTTCACCTGAAGATCGAACCACTATGAAGGCCAGAGATGTTGAGGCCAACATTCCCACCCCATCCACTTCGCTCGATAGCAATCCACACGGGCCGCCTAGGGTTGAATGCGTTGTCAATTATAATATGGCTTTGACCACTAGCGTCACTACAAGCACAACAATGCATATTTCCTTGCCGCCCTTTGCCATAAATGAAAACGAAAAGCCCACCAGTTTTAGACACCAAGATTCTACTGACACTATCACTGACCAATTACAGATGAGACTTGATAATTCTGATGATGAGCTGACAATAGAACCTTGTATGGACTGGAGGCAACGTTATTTGAATTTGAAAAGGCAAATCCAAGAAAAAGATGTTGCCTTAAGGCAGTATAAGAAGAAAATCCTTGAAGTCGTAATGGACGGTGTTTAAAGTACAAATACGGCGAACGGATCAATGATATTACAGTCACTTTCAGGGCAGTTTTGCTCTGCTGGGATAGCGGATAAACTGATAAAAAAGAGCATACCACATTATATTTCATCATTTGTGACTTTTAATTGGTTGCACTGGTTTTTATCATTTAAAATACCCATTTACTTTGTAATTACTATTTTTTGAAGCGATGGTAAGCAGGTTGAAAACAATATGTTTCAACTTTGAACTCTTTTTTTGCTTCTTCTATCTCCTTGCCATACCAATGCCTGCTCTAATAACAATACCAAACTATTCCTTAACCCAATGTCCGATACCCAACTATCAAATCCGTGAATACATAAAGGGGGGCATGCATGTTAGGAAGCCAGAGCGCCTCACCAACACGAGACAAATCAAAAAGAGATCTTCGGGTTCAACTGCGAAATATCGATACCAATTGTTGCAAGCGCTGATAGTTCGGTCTGTATCTAGACTTCAGTTTCGAGATACTCATCGTCGTTGCTAGGGTCCTGGGCGTCGGTATATTCGTCCTTGATACCAGTAGAGTTCTCATCGCTATCCTCATCTTCCTCGGTTTTTTCAATAGATTTGGCCTTTTTAGTCGGAGTTTCAGCAACAGCTGCCTTTCCCTTGCGCTTGCGAGGGGTTTCATTCTTGGGCTCCTTTGGAGTTCCATTTTTGCTAGCCGGGGTCTTGCGTATCTTTTTTGGAGTCGTAGCTTCGCCAGAATTTACTACCTCTCCATCAGCAACAATTGCTGGGCCGCCGCCGTTGGGGTTGATGCCGTTCGCCTTCATAAGGCGTTCGTAACGCTTGGCTCTGGTATATCTCAGTCAGAAGTGTGGCCTTCTGAAAGGGAAATTTAAATTCATCACTAGTATACTAATGATACTATTTCTCAAATTTCACGTCCTTTCTTTATATCATAAAGACCAGGGGTTTATTTGAATGCAGCGAACTTACGCAGCGCCTTTGCTCACAATTTCGCACTCCTTTGCCACAAGATCAAAGTTGACCTGCCCTGCCGTTAGTCAGGTGTACAAGCAAGCGGCAAAGCTGTGGCAGTTTAGCTCATGTCTATTTAACGCACCTTTCCATTGTTTGAGTTCTTCACACAGCTCAACAAAAAGTTGAGTTGTTCCTCACTGCTAATGCGAGACATTTTGCTGATAGAAACAAATATTTGTTATAAAAAGTTTATTTGTTGATGAAAGAAAATTGAAGAGGATGAAGAACGAAGAGATCTTAGCAGTCTGGTGAGAAAGTAACAGTATTTAAAGGTAATAGAAGAAGGCTTGGAGGAATGTCCAATGTCGCCAGAGGGGATGACGTCAAAGTGAGGGAAGTTCAGGTATTGAAGGACAGCAGTGATATGGAAATTGATATTCCCTGTGATATTCACTTCTTTTCAAAAGTATCCCTTATCTGGGTTGTTTGCACAGGAGTTAAATGGGGCGATATGGTTTCTATTTTACTGTCTGATAAATACAACTTCATCTTTGTTTTTTCGCACCGCTCTCAGCTTAATATAAGCCCATTGTTCGACTTCAGATAAAAATCTGAAAAGCTGAGTGAGCAGTATCTGGAAGAGGAGAATGGGGATACGAGATAAGTAAAAGGCCTCGTATTTACTAATTTCATCTATCTTCACCAAGTATCGGGATCCTAACCAGTCACCAACTATCTGGGGCTCCAATTTATTTCCCTCCTATCAAAAAGCTTGTTCCAAATAGAAAGGAGATCGTAGAGTAAAGCAAACGTGCCAAATTGGACATTGATCCTTGGATAGTCAGATGGTTCCGAATAGTAGACGCAGAAAGAAAGCTTGATTCAACGAATATTGAGAATCCTTGGAGAGAACGGCTGGGAAAAAAAGCGCTCCGGATTCACTAGCCATGATGCCACCTGATTAGATGTAATACAGCCACCAGAAATCGAGAGCAGATGAATATGGCTTACAGTTTCATGATCCTAAACATAGGGATCATCATTTTCGGCCTTGATAAGCGTGTCTTCAGTTTTGACTTCCGTCTTGGAGTCTTTTGCGTAGGTGGTGGTATGGCCGATTCCCCCTTCAGGAGGAGCGACTGCAGTAACATTTTTTTTCTTACGAGGAGTTGCTGTCTTCCTCACCTTCGGGGTGGTATCTCCATGCGCGCCTTCTCCATTGGCTGTAGTTTTAGTAGCTTTTGGAGTTCGAATTCTCTTGCGAGGAGTAAGGGGGGAAGCATTAGGCAACCCGCTGTTGTTGCCATCGTTGACAATTGAGCCAACTGTAGTAGTCAGACGGAGATTGAACTTTTTCTTCAAACGGGACACGCGGTTGCCGACTGAGTCTGCGTTGGAGTACCCCAACGCCACAGCAACAGCAGCGACGTCGACCTGGAGAACGGTGTATTAGAGGAGTTCACCATCTAGGCCTAGTAGCATTGAAAAGACTTACGACAGCAGGTGTCTGAAGGTTTTTAAGACATTCCACCATAAAGATTTCGTCTGTCACCTTTAAAGATCCAGGCTCAGGCAGGGGGGCGTTTTCAGCCATAACTTATCGGTGATTGACGAGTTCGATATCAGGGGTATGCAGTTGGTAAAATGAAAGGAAAGCTGTGTAGGCAAGAAGAAACGGTGGGGTATGATTGAAAAATTTCTAAACAAGCCGCTCAAAATGGCATAGTCATCTGTTCTGTATTGCGACGAAACTTACGATGCCCCGTATCAAACATTCACAGGATGTATTGAAGCCACAGTAGGAGCTAGGTGCATTCCTGGTTTAGGTGAATGCAAAGTGAAAGAGAACTGAAACAACTTACAACCAAACCAGTGTCTCCAAGTCATAAGGTTATGAAGAATGATGCTTGATTGAAAATGGCTGTGAGAGCTGTTTGGAAAAGGGTTAAGGCACTGTTGGGTTTAACAAAAGGGTATCAAACACTCCAATAGAGTACAAAAGATCAAGGTATAAAAAACGAGAATCCAGTCTAAATCCAAGGCTATTTGAATTCACCAAAAGCCGCAATGATTAAGCAATCAGTACTTCGGCTCCATTTTCACAAACACATTCTCCATAAAAGCCACTTGACTGCATGGCTCAGGCTTGATGTGAGCCCAGTTCTCCCCAACAGGCGGCCGCGAATAACCTATTGGTATTTCGGAAGGAGCGAAAGGATTTGAAAGCTCCGCGGGAGCAACGGTTGCAAAAGGATGGGGTTGAGCTGGTTCCGAGTATCGGGGTATCTCCAGAAGGCTGGGGTCTATTTGACTGCAGATGTCCTCCTCGACCTTAACAACAGCTTCTGGTTTAATACGAGGCATCTCAGGCTGAGCCTTTAAATCAGTAAAAGTCTGCTTCTTTGGCTTCGGCCTGTCAGCCTTCGGCTTCTTTGTGCGAGGAGCTTTCGACGTGCTCGTTATTCCTTCCATATGCTGCCTAAAGCGAGAAAACCGCATTCTTGCTGCATGCCCATTAGTAATGTCTAGCTGAGACGCTACCAGGCTCCAGTCGATCTAACGTCGGTATATATCAGTAACTCAGTGAAGAATTAAAAGAAGCCCTAATCCGACGCACCGATTTTAAGTCTAGTTGCTTCAAAATAGTGTAGAGAAATTTTGCAGTTTGTCCATCCGCAGGTAACGTTTTGCTTCTTTTAAGACTCGACATTTCGCAAGAAACAGTAAGATAGAAGAGAGTTTCTAGGAAGATAGATGCCGTAGATGATGCCAAGAGCTCCGAAAAGCAATTCTGCTGCTTTAGATAAGAAAGGTTAATATGAGTAATGACTTGGAAAGATAATTTAATTCCTAGGAGATAGAATGCACTGGCTTGAAATGGCGTGCAAGATACACATGGTTTATAGATTGAATTCTAAGCGATACAGGATGCACGCCAATGTCAACCTTCAGCCTAGGAAGAAACTTCTAGATATTTAAAATGTAAAGGTGACGAGGACATTATCATGATCCCAACGGGTTCTGATCCTTTGTATAAATACAATGGGTATCAATCAGAGACTTGCAAGCAGCCGTGACTATAATCCAAGCGGCCATTTGATTGGAAAAGTACTATAAGAGTGTTCCATAGAAACCAACTCCGTACTAATGTGGCTTTCATGAATTCAGGCAGCATTTGATCCTGTGGTTGATTTTGTCTCAGAAAGACAAAGCTGAGGTGACAACAGAGTGCAGGTGCAAACTAGCGAAAGGCGCTAAACCTATTCTGTGCCAAAGGGCACTGCCCATCCCAACGTCCACCCTCAACTTCAACCATCACAATGCTGCCTATTGAGTCTCCTGTCAATTTCACCACAAGGAAATATATTTCCTTGAGAAATGAGCAAACTTTATGATATACTGAGTATATGATACTTTCTTTGGAGCCATGCAACATGTCCACTACAGATCTCTGTTCCCTTGAGCATAATTCGCCTGGAATCCCGCGTTTTTTAAATCAATATTAGAAATTTCGGGCCGTAATGCTCGAGCATATAAAATTATAGAGATTTATATCACCAACAACTTTATATCCCAATTTCTGCTTCGCTGAATCCTCTATGCATAGTATCCTATCGTTTATATTCTGCCAACACCTTGGGGCTTCTTTAAAGCCTCTTCCTTTGCACTGACTGGGTAAACCTGCTAAGTTTTGATACTCGTACCTCAGTGCCTTCTCATAGGTGTCCCTATGTAAACCAATGAGATATAGAGGGTTCAGCAGTTGATGGTCCAAATACCATGGGGCTAAGCCCAATCTCAGTGCCTTCCAAGCCTTACTTGTACTCGGCATTTAGATATGGGTACTAGGATGTGTAAGGGAGGGCTAATATGGACATATACCCTATGGACTTAATAGTCATTGTGCTTGGTATTTTTGGGAGACTTCCATCTCCGGAAATAAGATGGCCGTTTTACCAAAACTTTCTAAGGCCCATTTCTCAAATAACATGGCATATCAAATAATGCGATAATGCCTTGAAGAATTACATGTTTTCCTGACTCTGTCCTGTTCTGCTTGACACAAAACCTTGTTGTCTCAAGTGAAGGGAAGCAGGTGATCTGTTACTGTCGCAACTCACTTCCCAAGCCTATAAATAACAACCTCAGATTCCTCTCCCTCTATTTTTCCCTTACTTTCTCGACATTTATTTTGGTTTTTCATATCAACCTGCATCCCTGATCTCTCAACCCTTTGTTGACTTGCCTTCAAGGTCGATATACTCTTAACGCAATAATGCCTAACAACTGGGATGTAAACTCTAATCTCTGGCTTCTCTTCCATGTCGTCGACCAGACTGGCGCAAAGCCGAGCTGGGACGTTATTTCAGCTGCTATGGGTACCGGGTATACTGCTGAAGCGTGTCGGTATGTATTTATATTCCATCACATTCGTTTTCCTCGAACTCTTGGCTGCACCGGTGAGATGCTAATGGCAAACCAGCCAGCACTTCGCAAAGCTGAAGAAAACTATGTCCGAGGATAGCACAAATGCCGGTGCTATTGACTCGGCGGCCGTCTCCCCTGCTACCCCCTCTCCTCGAAAGCGAAAGCCTAAAGAACCGAAGACTCCTGGTGAAACTCCGACTAAACGTCCCCGCAAGATCACCAAAAAAGTCAAAGCTGAGGAAGGCGTCAAGAAGGAAGATACCTCTGGCGATGTGCCGACTACTGTCTGATCCATACTGTGGCTGTTCGCCTCCGGTTAGTCCATCACTTACGAAGCTACCTCCCATTACGCAATGGTATTAATTTTCCTTCTCCTTAGCATCTTTATCCTATTGGCACGGAAACGGTTGAATTTGGATGATCAGGCAATGGTGGGGTTTCGGGTGTTTTGCTGTTCATTCCCCCTTTTGCTGATATTCTGGCTATCTCACTTGGTGAGAATCCTTCTATATTCAATAATGACCATATCACCAACTAGCGGAATAATGGACACATAATTAACATGACCTTGGGCCATTTTTCTTAAATCTGTACATTGTACTTTGTACTGAGCCGGTCAATTTTCCCTGACCTGACCAACATTCAACAACAAGACTAGATAACATTGGAGCCACAAAAGAAAGCCTTTACTGTGTTAAAGTTTCAAAATGCACTCCGATTCTTGATGCTTTTTTGGAAAACGCCGTGTACCCGGAGCATTCCAAGCAACGCCCGCTGCTAGTGACTGTTGAGTTGACAATGCTATATACCCAGCATCAGATATATGTCTAGGACTTTTCTACACCTTACTATGACCAACTACTAATTTTAGAGAGTTTTGTTTTTGATTTGGACAATACATTGTGATTCCCCCAGTGACAAAACAATTTTTGGCGGTGCCCTAAGGCCTACGCTGTGTTATTCTTATAGACTGTTTCCTAGGAGACAACAACACCTACACAGGTGGAACAACATAAGGCTTCTGCTTTGCTGGTTTTCTTCTCTTTCTTTCGTCTGTTCACAAACTGACAACAATACATCTAAGATTTTGTCACTTTCAACCCAGCCTCATTATATCTACCCTAACTTCAAGTGCTGAAGTCATGACAATCACCTGGAACTCCCAGGCAGACGCCAAAGTATGTTGCAAGCTTATGTGTTCCATTCACCTACCACTTTAAGAACACATAAACTGATCTGAAATAGTTGTTGTTAGGCATCATTAAAACAGGACAAAAAATTGACTTCAAGGCTGTTGCAGAATTTATGGGAGAAGGTATAATTAACATCCTTCTTCTTTCCTCCTTTCATTGTCCACATGTATTGTACATGAACATTTGAATCTAGCGGTGCTGGGCCTAACAAACTACATGTATCTACAAGGATGTACCCAAAAAGCAATTCGTCATAGGATCAGCAGGCTTCAGTCCATTGCTGGAGTCAAAGAGGAACCCGGCACGCCAAAAAGAGGTCCGAAAAAATCAAAAGTGTTATTGACTGATGGAAAGGCGTCCCCATCCCAGAGAAAAAGATCGAAGAGTAACGAGGATGAGATGGAGCAGTTTGAAAAAAAGACGAAGCTCGAAAAGGAGGAGGGCCTGGATGAGTTTGCCTAAACCATCAAGATTGAAAAGCTGGCTATCTGAATGGGTGCTGATCCCAGATGCCTCATTCTCTTTGGATTGCTATGTACCGATGAACTTGGACGAGATGTTGGAATTTCTCGGCAAGGGTATCATACTAGAATGTCATAGATATCTAGCCAAATAGTAAGAGCCTTGTCTTAAGTCTCGAGGCTACTACGAACTTTGCACCAGTTACCTTTACTGTACATGTTGTTTCTGGGCTTCCCTTCATACTACCTTGAATCTGTCGGCCGGATTGACAAACATACCCAATAAAAGTTTAAGAGTCACAGAGCCATAGAAATAAGAACACAAAAAGCATAATAGGGGTTATTCAAGCCCGCAAACCATCCACCCTGAGAAAAACGACCAATAACCCGAAATACCAATTGGGGGAAAAATCCGTCAACTTCACAATTTGAACGCTCATGTTGGTCAATATCAGAAGGTCGGCCATACTAAAGTCAGTCATTATGCGTAGTCATCGCATTTCACATTTGTGTCTTCGTCACGCAAGTAGTCAATGTTATCTGGTTGATACTTCTCACCGTTAGTACAACCAAATACACCATCATATCAGAGAAGATGTTGGGCAAATTTTTCTAAGCTTGCTATAATTCAAAGAACATATTCTTTTAGAAGTTTATTCAATGCTTACTTCAAAGTCGTAAGGTTCTTCCTTAACGGCCCCCATATCTCCATGGTTCCCAAGAGGGGAGCTGGCTAGTTCTAATTTAGGCTCCTTTTTAACACGGGAGCGCTTCGAGGATGGCGTCTCAGAATCATTGCGCTTACGCCTCTTGGGTGTCGGGGTTTTTTTGGGCGTTTCTTGACCGGGACTCTCGGTGAAATTTGCGTTGTCTTTCACAACCTTCTTCATGCGAAACAGCCGTTCTGAGATCGCGCGTGGCGTTGGAATTGCATTTGGATTGCTCTTTGCTTTGGAATGTTAAATATAGACGTAAGCTAGGAGTTTGAGTTACTTACGCCATGCATCTGAAACCTTCTTAGGATCAACAGTGAGGTCATGAGTCTCCAGGATCTTCAGGAGTAGCTGTATTAGGGAAATTAGTTAAATCTATGAATATTGGTGTGGATAACCCAACAGAAAAGAAATTTCAGAATGTACTCAAAAGGGGAGTTTTGGAGAATATCAGCAACAGTGGGTTTGACTTACAAGTTGGTCCACCTCGGGAGTCCATTTGATAGGCATTTTTACGAATATTTAAATTCACCGAAGATAAGTATGGGCTAAGAACACTGAGTTGGGGTAGAGAGTATCGAGTTCAAAGACACAAATAAGTGTTGAAGGAGGAAGGTGAGAATGAAGTGAAGAGAAAAAGAGGGGTTAAAGCAGCTGGTGTCTGCGTTGTTGTGTTATGAGCAAGCGTATGACCGAGCAAAGTGTTGGTGTGGAAACGCCGTCAAGTGAACTTCTTGCTCAGCTAGGATCACTCAAGTCAAGAAGTGCTAAATCGAGTGTTCAAATATTCTGAGCAGCAGATGCAGCAAGTAATTTATCAAATCGATTCGATATCAAAGAAGCGAGTGAGGGATTGTTGAAAAAGCAAGGAGTGGTGGAAGTTGGAGTGACCTTCAGGATGCTCTGCCTCAAAGAAACAGCTTGGATATAATATATAATCTGAGATATAATGGTCTATTTGGGCGTTTCGCGTCACCAAAATTCCAATTTTTGGAGTTGAAGTAAAAAAGATCTCATCTGTCTAGTTAGGTATTTGAGAATTTTGACTTCGAGGTTGCAGCAGTGTACGATGTTGAGCAGGAATAGAAATAGCTTCATTAAAAGAGTCTGCGGATTTTCTATGGGGCTTGAACACATGAGGCTTTAATCCTGGAAATCCTTGTAGAATATAGTATCTGAATCGCCTTCTGCTGGGGACGGAAGTATATATTTCCAATAAAAACGGTCAAATAAAGACATCTACAAAAGCCATGGCTACCAGTAGTAGTCCGCTGCAGCTCAAAAAAACGGTATTTCGATATCCCTCTCCTACTTCTTGTTAGCGTAGTTCCCCCTTGGAGTGTATGAACAGATTACCTACCTTCTGTCGTCAAGGCCAACCCGGCGACCACAAAACAGTTCAAAGGTACTCTAAAAAGTGCATATATAGTGGCCCTATGTGAATCCTCCACTAAAAGGCTTTTTAGCACACCTATGCTTGGAAAATAAATGCCAATTGTCATTTCATATATGCAAAATGCCCATAGAGTTGAGGTTTCAGTAGGGTAGAGAACGCTCCAAGACAGACAGGCACCTGCAACCGGTAGGACAAGCTTCAACGCATGCGACGACCGTAATATAGTTGAGACTGAACAACCTGGTTCCGAAGCGGGTTGGCCCGGTGTATGCATCAAGTATCGAAAAAGTTGGGAGCCAAAAACCATGGCAGCCATGAAACTAGCAAAAATCAACCCGAACGGAGGACTTTGAAGGGGTACCATATATGTTGTTTTTAGAGCAGATATTATTGCAGGAGACCAGAATACGACGAATAGATACATTGTCCCTTCGAAGACGGCGGAGGCAAGTCCTAAGACCATAATTCGCTTATCTACTAGCAAATATTAATGACAGCAATTCAAGATTGGTGTGTGGATATAAATCCCACCTCTAAGCAAAGCCGAGATTCCGCCTAACAATTGAGTCGCTGTAAAGTTGTCTTTTGGGATTCTCTCATCTCCATAATTCTCACGCTATATTCAATCAACAGTTGACTACGACCACAGAAAGTACAAAAACAAACCCAATTTCTAGAAATTCTTAGACTTGCAATTGCCAGGCAGAAGATACTCGCTATGAAAGGCGACGTTCTGGAGCCCGTCCATCCAACGAGGAGCTCGCTGAATAGCCCGGCGACAACGGCAACGATACTATTCAACATTGTCATAGCTCCCAAAAGATCATTCAACTCAACTATTTCCTTCACAAGCTCGGACCGATGAAACTCGGAGACCAGCCATGTTTCAAAGGCCGTAAAGAGGAGGGTTGTTCCAATGCCGCCGAGTAACCGGCCTAAAAGTAGAAGATATACAGATCTGGGTGTGATGGTCAGTAGACAGGATAGGGCGTATATCGCACAAAAGGCAAGGCAAGCCTTCTGCCTTCCATAGCGGTCAGCAAGGCTTCCCACGAATGTGGCGCTAACTGCCCCGGAAACAAAGCCAGCGGAAAATAGGGCCGCAATGGTTTTCTCCGACAACTGTAAGGTCTCCCTGTACAATGGATAAAGATAAGGGCCCTTCCAGCCATCGTTTAATTAGTTTAATTTATTGTCGAACAAAGGTTTCACACCAACCTGCAGCCAATCTGACGCGACAACCAAAATATAGACAGTAAAAAAGGTATATTTAAATTTGGATGCCGCGTGATTGACGGTTGTGGGAGGAACTGGCGTATCTCCAGTAGCAAGATTCTTTGGTCGGCGTTTGTATGCAAGTGTAGCGTTGGCAAGGAGCCACACGGCCAAAGTGCCAACATAGACAGTCATAGTCATTAGAATGCCAGGAGCATTACCTGTTAGTTAGTTATTCAAGTAAGTGGAAGGCACAATCAATGTTTTTCGTGAAACTGAGGACAAGAAGTTATACTCAAGGTCTACAATTTTATATAAAATAAACATACTTTGTCCACTCATGGGGTACTCACCACCAGAAAGGCGGTGCGGGGGTTCAGGTCCTTGGGGTAAAGAGCTGTATATAGGCACAGGACAAAAAAAAGTCTCCCTGTGGACCAATTGTTCATCTACCCAGCCTTAAATCTGGCTGTTTGAAAGAGGAGGTGCTATCTGCCATCTTTATGCTCTGCAGATTGCTGAGGTTGTGAAGCCGTTCGTGTGTTACTTGGTTAGTTAACTAATTTAATTTAGGGTTTGACTAAACTAGTTAAGTTTGTTAATTAACCATACTGGGATTAGCGTTCTTTTTTGGTTTTTGATTCTGTTTGCCTCGCAATGTTTGAAGCTTGATGCCAAATAGGCGTTTTGTGCAAGTCCATATCCACCTACTTTTCATGTAGTTGATCATGTTTTGCTTCTCAAAAAAGGCTCAGGAATGAGTCCTTTTTTGAGTCCATCACCCCAGAGCTGGCAAAACTTGACAGTAAAGAAGTATTTTTTGACATATTGGTGATAGGCTTCACAATGGTATCAAACTGCTGGCCTCTTCTCTATCATGGCTGGTCTGAATCTATTCTCCTATACATTTAAATGTTAGCATCAAGTGCCCATGGCACTCCCGGGCTTCAATTGAAAAATACCATGTGACCCCGTTTCAATAGCACCCGGGTATCGAATGCAAAGGTGCATTTTATACTCTGTTACTTCCTTTCCTCCTCCTAGCAATACTTGTTTGTGTTGTTCACCCGCACCATAGACATCTTTTTCCCCCTATCCCCCTTCCTTCCCGTACTGCTCAACCCGCCTTTATTTGTTATTCGGGGATTTCTGATTCCATTTCCTTAATTATTCATTATTCCTTGAACCTTTCACGATGGTTAGCATCACTTGGAATAAGGAGTCCACCGAGCGACTCATTGCAGCACTCCTAGCGTCTAATCCTAAGCTTAGCGTAAGCGCCAGATTCTGTCGAGCGATTCCCAATATTTCTATTCTTAATTATATCTGAGAAACACCCACGTTATTCTAACCTTCATACTAGCTAGACTACGAGTTAATGGCCGTTTATTTTGGCCAAGGGGCCACTTACGACTCTATTCAACATCGATTTCGGGAGTACCGTCGGGTGGCATCAACGATGGCTCAAGGGTCGCCAGCCGGTGGTACTCAAGGCCGTCGCGGCGTAATTTCTACCCCTCGCAAGAACAGTCGTGGAGGAATCGCGAAAACTGGGTTTACAAAAAAGACTCCTACAGAACTTAGCAGTTATATTACGCCAAGTAAGAATGGTAGATTCAAAGGTGGAAACTCCTCAAAGGATGCTATTTGCCTAAGCGATGACGACTGCAAGAACCTCCTTAAACAGGAGCCGAAAAAGGAAGAGAATCAAGACGCTTTCCAGGTGAAAGCAGAAGACGTTTTCACCGACGCACCCACTACTGCACCGAGCTTGTTGACTCAGAACATGCAGGCTCAGGCTGAAAGGGAAGCTCCAGAATTTGACCCTTTTCCTTGCGACACATTCGAAGCATTGACCGATTTGGACGAGTATGTTTGACATCTTTTCAGGAGGCGGCTTGGGTCGCGCATTCACCACACAAGTCATGTTGCTTCGCTAGTTGGACATTTCGCCTCACAAATTCAGGGAGATCATGTTAGAAGAATTGCGATATGGTGGAAATTGCCTATGACACCTTGTGATATTCGAGATTTGTACTTATCAACTGTGAATGCCATAGTTATACTGAATTCAAGCCATACTATATCTTACGCCATTGATACCTTCAATAGCCTTGCGACAATCATCCAGTATCTTTGAGGATCGGTTCTCATATGCCCAACATGAGGCGACTTCTCGAACATCTCCCTGGAAACTTTCCATCCTCTAGAGTGAGCTTGATCTGCATGCTGCTCCACATCTTTCCACATGATCAGCTCATCCTCTTTTGAATATACATAGCACCTTTCCGCTTTCCTGTGAATCAAGCTTGCATCGTTTAGCCCCTCTCTTATACGATAAGCAGGATGTTTCCTGCCTAGTATCCTCCCAATAGTAGTAAGAGAAAAAAGCAAAACCCAAATGGCTGCTGATAATAGAATTCTCCATAGGAAAAATTTAGGGAAGCTATAAGAGAGTGCTTTGATAGCTCCGGCCAACGTGGTTTTCCCGGGTGCACTGTCAATAAGAAGGGCGCTTAAAGGCAAAGCTCGACCAGTGACGTCTCGATATGAGGCCGCCAAATTTCGCAATGTAATAGACCCGCCATTAGAGAATGCGTGTACATATAATCGCCCCGAGGTATCGCCTTTGTCTCTTCCAAGTCCGCCGGTAGACAATATTGTGTCCAGAACTGAGGCTACACGACGCTTCTGGGATGCGTCGGAGTTTCGAATGAAGAAATCCGAGGCAGATGTAAAGACTGAAATGATCCTAGCATTGGGAGCTATTCGTATGTATTCGGAGATATACTTGGCAGCAGGCCGGTAAGTCGCATTCATCCAGAAGAAAAGTATTATCGTTAATGGTCTGTCATTCTTCTCCGGAGCATGAGTGAAGTCTCTAAGATATATGGCTGGGGAGAGCTGAGACATAGTGTTAAACACCGAGGGGATGACATCTTTATCACCGCCCATCTTGAAATTTATAGATTCTATTAAATTAAAAGGACAAAATTCCACAACATCTAGAGGAACTATTCGCGCGACAAGCAGCTAAATCCTGTGCTGGGGTGAATCTTCAAGGTGGACGAGGGCCAATTTGTCGCCGCGGGTCCAGTGCAGTAATAAGTGAATGAGCAAAAATGTCCGAAAGTATTGCAAAGGTCGAAATCAGTACCAAGTACGGAGTACTTCGTACTCCGTACGTGATAGGATCATGAGCATACAAACCTTATCAGTCTGCCTCAAGGTCTTAGTTATATTTGCTGACCCCCTTGTTTGATGTTGATGAGCCTCGGCAAAGCTGAGCGCCAAACTGAGAAAAAGCTAACCAATTAGTTAAGTAGTCACGGCGCTATATCGTTTATGGTTAGAGGCTGGCGGAGACGGAGGAATAGTTGCACCGTGGATTAGTTTCATGATCATCAAAGCTACCGTATTGGGCCTGCTGCGGTGTAGATATCCCGATTGATGTACAAATTATTCTCGTCCCTTTAAATCACACACACTACGGAGTACGCCAACCATGCTCAGGTTTGGGGTTCAAATGTAACCTTCTACTTTTTCTTTGCTCCCCGTAACGATTGACCAGCCCCTGAAAATTTAGTTTTGCTCTGCCCTTCCTTATCACCTTCTTCAGCCCGCTTTTGAACTGGTTTTATCTCGTAACCAAAAAAGAGCTTTCCTGGTGGCAACCTTAGGGGCTGGGGTCCGTTATTCCGGCGGACGGGAGCAGGGGGCTGGACATTTGTCGAAGCATCAGAAGCGGGAGTTGATGCCTTGGGCGTCGGCTGCTTATTGCCCTTTTTTGCATTCAGCCGTTGACCACCTTGCAAGAAGTTAGAGGAAACAGTTTTCTCGCCCTGTGCTACAGTCGTTGATTCCGGGGCAATCGCGGCGTAATTGATTGATTGCGCCATCGAACCATGCGGATGGAGCATACCACCATGGGGTAAGTTGGAGTTGATCAGGCTAGAGGGGGTACTTGTTCCGGAGGGCTTTTTCGGCTCCTCATAACCTAGTGGAGGGGCAAAATCGACTTCTAGATCGGTTTCGAGAACAGAAATAGCATTCTCGGGGTTTTCTGGCTTGGTTTCTAAAACAGCCATTTCGTACGTCTGGTCATTGTATGAAAAGGTGAAAATATCGCCTTTGGTTAGGCAGGAGAAGTTGCGGAAAGCATTTTCAAGAACAGCTTTAGGGTCACTAATATCGAGAAATGAAGTGGATTGTGCCTGGAGTTTGATAAGGCGTCCAAGCGGTAGGTCGGTCGATTTAATCTGAATAAGATCCCCAGGTTCCAGTAATAGGGTCTGCATCATCTATATTCGCCTGTCAGCACTTATGTTGACAAATAGCTTCGCAAACGCATACCCAAAACGGCAAGTATATCTTCCCTTCCTCTGCAATGAATTCTAACACTCCTGCATGCGTAAATCTCTGCTTTGCGCCGTTGTGAACCTCGAATAGCATAGGATACGTTATATGTAGCCGGGTAAGTTTGTCTAGGGCACTGGGCGGCAGGAAGACCTTCCCACCGTGATTGGCGTTTTCTCTCTCTGGCCCAGGGATCATAGCCACGGGGTAACATCTGTAATATTCATCAAATCTTCGAGGTGTATGGCCAGCTCGATGCATGAGGCCCGGGTGGAAGACTCCATCCATGGGGTCGTCTTGGTCGTAGAAGCCACCTTGAAACTAAAAAATATTAAAAATGATCAATTACAAGCCCACCAGACTAATAGTCGGGATACATAAGCCTACCATGTTTCTGGATTGCAGATAGCTGCTCTCTCTAAGTATCGTAAGACGGGTAAAAAGCAGCTAGCTACACGTTGAAAACGGTGTCAAACGAGTGGGACAAATCAACGGTGATGACAGCGCGTTAGAGGAACATTTAAGAGCTAGAGGAGCAAAATAAAAATGATGGAAAATACGGTCTATTTCTGAGGTTTAGAATATTGAACGCCCATTTGGGAGTATTCTACTGCTTTCGCACCTGCCTGAGTCTCTCAGAAGCTGTGACGCAAGTCTTGGCTCTTCCCGCCCATCTTGGCGTTTGCCTTCGTTGAAGCTCAAGCAAGCGGATGGTGTCGCATTCGAGATCGTGCGGCCATTCCAGAGGATTTAATGAACATAGTTCTCACGATAAAGCGACATGGTCTCAAACATTCTTGCTCGACCTAAACGCGCCGCAGAAGAGTACGCCAGACAGCATCACGCAGGGTACGACTCTGACGGGCCATCGTCTACGAAAAAGGCGCGGTTCGATATTCGGAACCCCTCAACTTTGGTTCCCGATGCCGCCGAGGAAGATATTGTTCTGGATGCAGATGAGATTGGTCGCCGTGGACAGAAACTCAAGCGCAATGCCGTGAACATTGATGGTTACGACTCCGATAGTGAAAACGAGAACTTTGCAACACGCGCCGAAGCGAAAGCGAAGGCCAGTACTGGAGCTGGGGATGCTGATGAAGATGATATGTTTGCGGAATTTGACGACGAGGAAAAAGTACCTGATGGTGACTCTGGGCAAGCAAAAAAGCAAGTCCGATTCCTGGATGACAGCGAAATAGAAGGGCAAATCAATGATTCTCGAAGTGGAGGCAAAGTCTCATTAGATGGCCTGCATTCAGGTCGAAAGGGTAAAGAGAAAGCTGTAGATGATGCGTCTAGCGACAGCGACACTGATGAAGAGGGCCGCGCTGACCTTGGAGGACTTGATAAAGAGTTGGGTGCTGGCGGGAAGAAAACACACGCGCCACTGCTCGATGCTTTCAATATGAAATCGGAACAGGAAGAAGGTCGTTTTGATGAAGCCGGTAACTATATACGAAAAGCTCTTGATCCGGATGCTGTGCATGATTCGTGGCTGGAGGGGGTCTCCAAGAAAGACATGAAAAAGGCGAGAGCTGCAGCAGAAAAGAGGGAAGAAGAGCGGAGACAGAAATCCATTGCGGACTCGAATATCCTCACGGGTGATTTACTAAAAACATTGATCACCAACACACTCCCAGGGGAAACGATCCTAGAAGCCCTTGCCCGGTTAGGTAAAGGACAGAAGCACCGGCCGAAATGGCAGAATAAAAATAAGAACAGACACAGAAAAATGGACGGGCCTGTGGATGATGTGGATATGATACAAGAGGACCCAGCAGAAACAGCCCGTAAGAGTGCTATTGAAGAGTTGACGGGAGCTGCAGATATCCTTTTGAGCCGCGGGCAGATAGATATATACGAAACAGAGCGAGAAATGCTTGCAAGGCAATATCGTCGTGAAACAGGCGAAGAATGGGCTGAACCTTCACCATCGGAACCTGCCGCGCCAGAGGTGGAAGAGAGTGCAATGTGGGAATTCCGCTGGTCGGACGCTCGCGACGGCGGTGCTACACATGGACCTTATGACAAGTCCACGATGGCATCCTGGCAAAATGCAGGCTATTTCGGAGATGACGGCGTGATGTTTCGAAAAGTGGATTCTACGGACGATTGGAGGACCGGTGTTGTTTTTGCATAACGTACTGAAGAAGACATATTTCAGATGTGTAACACTATCTGCTTGTAGTTTCTCTTTATGGTAGCGAGATGAAGCCAAAAGACGATGTACGTATATTGATTGACAGTAACCTAACCCGCGTACCGTGCGCCATCTATATCATACACGATCACAGCGTTTTTATTTGACCTAGCTTCCATTGCGCCGTCCCTCACCAAAGAAGATAAAAACACCAATATTTATTATGACGTATCCATGGCATCCCCATTCAACTGAGAAAAGCTGACCTGCCCTTCATCTCCAATGAAACGCTTTTCGAACTCCGTGACAAAATTCACGCTTCTAGCAGGGTCATAGAAGAGTCGATAACTACGCTGTACATCCTCAAGGCCCACATCCTTGGATTTTCGCTTCTGACTGAGCAGCGTAGAAGTTGTGATGATGTTGCTGGCATAACGAAGCCCAGATTCCTGGCCAATCTTTGTTAAAAGAGCCAAAGCATCTGCTGTAAGATCAATCTCTTCCTCCTGAGCCCGAATGGCCAAGATTTTTTGAATTTCCTCTCCAGTGTAAGGTTGTGTGCTAACAATGACAACCCTATCAAGAAAGTCTAGAGGCAACCCATGAGGAGATCGGTATGTGGTTCCACGGATCCTGGTATTGCCCCTGTTGCTGGCCATAATCACAATTGGAGCAAGGTCGGCTTCAAGAGCACGGTTGATGTACGAAAAGCACTCGATATCCAGCATATGGACTTCATCAATGAAGAGCACTCCAGGAATAATCTCGGCCTTTCCTTCCTCTTTCCACTCGCCAACTTTTGTATTAATTTGGTCCCGCACCTCGCTCCTTATTTCACCGGTATCCCCAGAAAATAGCGCCAAAAACCCCTGAGTTCTAGAGTTGATTACATCTATTTCATGGAGGCTGACAGTGTGCACAATCTCCTTGCGGACTTGAAGCTCACCTTCTGGACACTGGACGAATTTTGTATCTGCCCCCATGGCATCATAATCTCGAGATCTAGCAAAGGACCGTCCGAGTTTCGTGATTTTTCCAGACGACTTGTCAATAGAAATAACGTCGCCGGCCATGACACGCTCTTTTGTCATCGACTCAATCATCTTGGTTCCCATATCATAAATTGTTTCCATGTCCGTCGTTTTAATGGTCAGTTTGCCTTGTTTGTTACCCTATACTCCGGACAGATCAGCAACCCGGTCGTACAGGGAAGCTCTTGGCAGTTAAAACCTTACCCCGGTAACGCTACGGTCAATCTGTATTTCCACGACTTCTCCCTCTATAATCTCACTTTCTTCCTTTATCCGTATACCGATGGACTTGCGGAATGCTTGTGTAAGCGCCTCTGTTTTCGACATCTCGAGGGAGAACAGCTCGGACGAAGCGACCATTGTGAAAGGTACGTCTGGGCCTAATGACTGCGCCATCCCCATAGCAATGGCTGTTTTTCCAGTGCTGGGTGGACCAGCTATGAGAACAGCACGCCCAGCAATTTTTCCATCTTTTACCATCTGAAGAATCACCGCCGCAGCTTTCCGTGCCTTTTCTTGGCCGACTAGGCCTTGTGAGGAGGGTCGGGGCTGAAGAGTGTCTGGATCAACTCCAAGTCCCCTGATATGTGAGTGCGCAGCGATGAGATTAAGACCTCGGAGCTCTTTGCTCTCGGCGATCGTGGATATTGTCTATGCTTTAAGTCAGCATTCTTCGGTGGAGGAGCTCTGGACATTGTCACTTACGGTAGCCATTGCAGTGGCGCCCAAGTTCGTGACTAACTTCGATCAAACCTCAGTTGTCTATGCCGCTTGCTCTCAAAAATTGTTAGATGGCCGGGTAGCAAAACGAAAATGAGATATCAAGCGAGAAGCGGCACTAGAGCTTACCAACAAGCATCGCGGTCGACGGAACAGTGTTGGTCGGCGCGGAAATTCATTTTGCCGGCGCGCATGAACGTCAGATCGAATTATGGAAACCGGCCGATGGACGCAAACTTTCGAGCACGCTGCACAATGTTGAACGCGCTTGATGGCTCATGCATTATAGCCTACTGAATTTTTTCCTATCAATTGATAAGTATTTGTATTATCTCAGGACTTAAACAAGTTGTATTCATGAAGCTACCAATTACATGACAGGTGCTCTCAGAATGGCGGCGCCTGTTCCTAGCGTCATAGACGACACGTCTCTAAAGAAATCTACCGAAGATGGCGGTCGTCTCATTTCAGGCGATTCTTCCTCTAAAGGCGTGCGTTTTTCTAACACTGTCGATTCATCTCACCCTCCGGAAGACCCCGCTCAGTTTTTCCTCAATTTCGCCGCACAGCTATCGACCTTCTCACAACAATCTGGGAAGAGAGAGCGTTTGGTACGGAGACTTCGACAGCAAGATACTTTGTTAGCGCGAGCGACTGATCGTCAATTTCAATACCCTTCTTACCTATCGAGGCGGAAACTGGCAAGAGAAGAGGAAATGGACCAATTGTCTAAAATCGACGAGCAGCTTGAGCAGCATAGAAAAAGCCAGATAGCATTTTCAAAAACCTTTGCTCGAATGGTGGCAAATAATGATATGGTCAGCCAGGTGAGGCAGGACACAGATACATCATTGGTCTTAGCACAGCGTGCCTTGAAAACCGCCGAAGCAGCCATAGCACAGCAAAAGAATATCAACGAGGAGACAACAATAAAGAATATTCGTTCTCAATTACAAAGCCAATTTGACAAAACGAAACAATTGGCTCAGTCATTATCAGAGAACACTTCACGTCTCAAGGAGATGTCATCGCAATATGACTCACTCAATACTCAAGTTGTCAATATAAGTAAGACTTCCGCCAAGAGCCCCAGTCGTGATATGCAAGATATGTCAAAATGCCTTGAAGCGACTGAAGAATCATTCTCTACCCAATGCCAGCTTCTTGAGGGCCGTATCAGTGAGCTAGAAAACCGAAAGACGACACCCTCGTCAGATCTTGACACCTTAAAATCTGACATTGAGAATTTGTCCCGCCAGCTGGAAAAACTTCGCGAAATCCAGGAACAGAAGGATAATGAAATAGATCGTGAATTCCAGCGGGTAGATACTGGGCGCGTGGAGATCAGTGACAAACTCAGTGCAGAATGCGCTCTTCTAAAGAAAGAGGTTGAGGCAAGGATTTTGACCTTCGAAGAGAAAGAGACCCGGCAAAATCTGAATGCCGAAATTGCCAAGATTCACACCGCCATCAAATTCCAGTTTGAACGTTTAGGAGCCCATGATGTGGCTGTAACATCTCTAGAAAGCCGTTATAATAAACTATCAAGTGAGCCGATTGTACGCCAAATGGTGGCTTCTATGCAAGAAATGTATCCTTATGCAAGTACGGCTCAGAAAGAGATTGGAGTACTTAAAGAGAACTTAAAGGAATTAACCAATAGGCTAAATGCCATCTCGGCCCAACTACAAGCTGCAGATGCTTCTCAAGCCGCCCTAAAGAGAATTCAGGATATCGAGAAAGCAGAACGGGCAACAATGATCAAAGATATGAATTCGGAAAAAAATCGAATTAGCAAATCTATAGAGGATGTAGTTGTCAGGCTGGGTGAGATGGAAAATATCACATCTGGGCACCTGGCGAAGGCTATTTATCAGTCCGAAGAATCATTATCGAAAGCGAAAGCTCTGGAGGAGCGGTTAAACATTGCGGACAAGCCAGAATCCTTAGGTACGCTTTCTGATACACAATTTAACTTGACGGCCGTCACACCACCCACTCGCAATGGAAGTGGAACAGTCCCTATAATAAATGATGAAAGTGAGAAGACGCGTCTATCCGGAACGTCTTCGACATCTTCACTATCTTCCTCGAAGCGTTTATTAGCACCCAACATACCAATCGAACCTAAAGGCCACCGCCAAGACTTCCGAAATCCATGGGAGCCTTCTGTCACCGGCCAGCCGAATGTCCGGTCTCCGGAAGCATATACCAACAATGAAGCACCACGCGCTGCGCCTTTTGGAAATGCGCCCCTGAGCCAGAGGACAAGTTGGCCCAATAGTGGTGATTCACTACAGCATCAAGCTTCATATCCGCGACTAGGGGGCGATTCTTACAGGCCTTACTATTCGCCGAGAAAGCGAAGACGCACAAATGGGATTTCTTCTTCAGATGACGATAGTTGACTTCGACAGCATGGGTATTACGAGTCAAGTCAGTGTCATTAGTTTTCCTTCACGAACAGAAGGCGTTGGGGGCCGCAGTGGGGTTGTGTCGCCCGCTCTTCCGGACCACCGTAGCACAGGTTTACTTCAATATCTATTAAAGAACTGCATATTAGCACCGGTTACCTCTACACGAAAGCACTTCAACTTAATCTATAACTACCTTAAAGGGTAGTAGTATTTATATATTGTATTTTTAATCAACGGCTTATCCGAAATTCATTGCCTTGATTGGGATATTCAGTGTATCTCTCCTTAGAGCCCAGTGGCGTCGTTCTGATATGTTATTCAGAAACATGGAGATACCCCATACCCAAACGACCACCGTGTCTTTGTTGGAATGACGTTGAGAAATTACCTCTGATTTGCTAACGTGATGCCATAGTAGTCGAATGGTTTTCCTACCATAGCAAATGCACCAGTCAAGAAATATCAGGTAGACACCCGTAGCCGAGTGACGTGCTTGGGCCTTGCACGCATGATTCCGTTCCCTCACTCTTTATTTTTTCTTACGCTGTGCGCCCTTCGCCTCCACAACACTGAGAAGTTAAGATTGTGTGTGAGTGTGTGTGTGTGTGTGTGTTCTGTTGCCCGTTTAATCCCTCCAGCTCGGTAACGTCCAGATACTCAACAATGAGTCCCACATTATTATAAGTCTAAGGCGTAGAATTTTTTTTTGGCATTAATGAAAGCATCGCCATCAGAACCATTAAATGCTTCATTTATAAAATCTTGAAACACTCTTTTAAGAGAGTCCAGTTTGAAGCTTCCACGATCGTAAACGTATTCAACCATGTAAGTAACCAAGCAGAGATAATGGACTTCTCCTAAATCCGACTTTCGAGCTAGCCTTGAGACGTTGATAAGGCATGCTTCCGTAAAGCATGAAGGGGATGGGATACGAACGAACGCATATTTAGGTGGAAGTGCACCACTACCGTATCCTACCTGAGGGCTTGGTAAACTTGGGTCGGCCGCGGATATAACATCGGCTATAGACTTTGTTAAATTAGGTAAATTTGGCAGAACCTGTGATTGCGGGTAGATTGATATATAGAGGTCATGATTGTGGAGGTGAAAATGCACGGCAGGGTGTGGATGTGTCCGGAATGGATCCATAACATAGCATTCAGCGTTGCACTCTTTCAAATCTGTTCTGCAAAGTGTCGCTCGAGCAGCTGATACTTTGTCATTAGGAACAGCAAATGCGATATCCTGGGGATATATCAGCATGAAGGTTTAATTTTCACCATTCACTTATGTATCTTACATTAGAGAGTGACGGGACTCCATAAATAGTCACAAGAAAGTTGCCCCACAAGACGTTTGGCACATCGTTGGATTCGAGAAGCCGAGATACGCGGGCAAGGAGAGGCACTCCGAAGGGAAAATCAAACAATTGCCCTGTCGCCATTTTTAACGGGTGGTTTTAAATTTCTAGCACGACCAGGTTAGGAGGTAACTAACTAGAGAGAGGTTGGTCAAAAGTGCAAAGTGCTTTTGTGGTCATGAAAAAAGGAAGAAGCTATTGATTAACTAGGTCCCCATGTGACTGACCGCTTGGGCCTAGAATCCAATTGAAACAAAGCAAATAGTTACCGGAGCCATGCATTAATTAGCTACTGTAGTACAACCGGATAACTAACCTAGGCAATCAGCTCTGTGTCCAATTTCTAACAACTGGCCGCCTTCGAGTACCGTGAATCAGTTATATGATAACTATGGGGGTTTGAAAATGGTTTGCTTTCAGATCCTTTCAGATCTGCATCTTGAATCCCCTTCAGCCTACAGTGTTTTTAGCATTCCCCCCAAATCTCAACAGCTTGCTCTTCTGGGAGATATAGGCAATGTTAGAGACCAAGAATTCTTTCCATTCATAGAAAAACAACTTGCCCACTTCCAGACGGTCTTCTTTCTCCTTGGAAATCATGAACCATACCATTCGAGCTGGGCGGAGGCTCGGAAGCAGGTATATGATTTTTCAAACGACGTCGCTTTGCGAGCGGCCTCAGATAAGCTAGGGAAATTTGTCTTTTTGGATAGGACCCGTTATGATATATCAGAAGATATAACCATACTCGGCTGCACCCTCCACTCTCATGTTACCGCTGAACAGGAGGAGAGAGTTAGTTTTGGGCTGAACGATTTTTACTACATCGATGGTTGGACGGTGGAAGCGCATAACTTGACCCACGCAGAGGACCTCAAATGGTTAAACGAACAAGTCACTTTGATCTCGACATCACAGCCGAAACGGCGTATCCTGATATTCACGCACCATAGCCCAATTATCCACGACAGCCGGGCGGTTGATCCTGCACACGTCAACAGCCCAATAGGCTCCGGGTTTGCAACGAATTTACAAGACGAACAATGCTGGAAGGATGGCAACGTTTGTCTGTGGGCTTTCGGGAATACCCATTTCAACTTTGATTTTACTATACCATGTGAAGCTGGGAAAGAAAGAAGGATTATAAGCAACCAAAGAGGGTACTACTTTAAGCAGGCCGAAGCGTTCGATATCACGAAAGTTATTGATGTTTAATGCCCTTCGAGATTATTCATTTGTTGTAATTCTTTTTTCATTCTATTGATAAAAGTCTATCTACCGTACTCTAAGTTGATCCAGAACTTGATATCTTTTTGATTGATTTCCACTCCATTCCTACCGAAGAAAGTAATGCTGTGGCAGCAAGCGCAACTCCGCAATAAATTGTCTTTGTCAATGCTAAATTGTACACCTTTAGCACATCACCCAAGAACCTCGGTCCAGCTGTGTCCCGGAAACCTGTTGCTCCTTTGTCGATTACAACTTTGGGGTCCAAGCCCGGAACGGAATTTTTAAGGCCTTCAAGCAACTTGCTGGTGAGCACATTCTGTGCTACAGATAGCCACACAGCGCCACCAAGGATTTGCGCAAATATAATGACAACAGCCCCAACCGGCACATCTACTGGTGCGAGAACTGTTTGAGCCGCCGTGTGAGACTGCTGAATGCCAAGTCCGGCACCAGCGCTGAATATGATCTGGTACCCTATCCATTGCGCAGCGGATGATGACACTTGCCAAGTTGTCATTAAGGAGGCACCAGTAACCAGCAAGGCAGCACCTAGAATCATAAAAGGAGTATAGTATCCCGATTTTGCAACGCCAATACCTGCAACGACAGAGAAGACTACAGTGCCGAGGGTGGTTGGCAGAATGCGGGTCCCTGAGTCAAACGCTGTAACACCTTGGATAGCTTGGAACCAGATGGGTATCTAGAGAACAATTAGTAGATGATAAGTAAAAGGTTATGCGAAGTACAAACAAAGTATTGAGTGACGTTCAGTGCACCTCCCGCATGGAAAACATAACAGGCACTTAATGCCACGCTCCGCTGCCGAATAATTCGAGGAGGCACAGTAGCACTCTCTTGCTTCCAGACCTGGATAATAACAAAGATTAACCCAGCTACTCCTGCTGCTGCTAGTAGAGCGATTGGCGGAGCGGTATTCCATTGATAGACCGAACCGCCCCATTGAAGAGCGAGAAGCAAACAAACGATACCTAGTACCAAAATAGTGGTACCAAAGACATCAATCTGACCAAGCTTTTGCTTCCAGGTGGTTGATGGCTTTTTTCCATTAGTCGGTGGGTGGAAGAATAATATCATGGCGAGTACAGCGGCTCCACCGATTGGCAAGTTTATATAAAAGCACCAACGCCATGTCATTTTTGTAGTGAATGCCCCTCCCAGTAAGGGTGCTACGACGGAGGCAATGCCATACATGCCGCTATATGAACTGACATATATTGGTCTCCTTCGGAGAGGGAGACAGCTTGCCAAGATACTATATAAGCATGAGTGAGTGTCCTTTGGAATGAATGGGGCCTCAGAACATACATGATAAAGCCGGCATTGATGCCAGCGCTGCCTAAACCCGCGAAGGCACGGCCTACAATGAAAGTACTTGAGTTTGAAGCAGTGGCACAGATCAGGGAGCCGACTTCGAAGATGGCAACTGAGACAAGGAAGACGTATTTAATAGAATAAAATGAGAAGAGTTTGCCGAATATGAGTTGAAAAGCAGCAAACGTCATAAAGCTATGACCAGTGAGCATGTCTCCGTTCTATGAGAGGTTTCGGTAGTCCCAACTTACTACGCAGATCCGTACCACCCAATATCATTTATGGAGTGGAAATCATCGGTGATTTTTGGGATTGCTGTTGTGATAATAGTTTCATCCTGAAAGTATTCGGGGTATGTTAGGCTGGTATGCGCTCGCAAAACACGATTCTCATGCGGGGTATCCCTACCAGAGCGACCAAGAAGACCGAAGCAGCCAGAGAGCCGACAATTACGGCAAGCTTCATGCCATGAGGATAATTCTCCTCCTCGGCATTCTGACAGGTGGTATCTAGCTCCAAATTCGTCTCGTGCTGAGAATTATCAGTATGTTTTGTGCCATTCTGTTGCTGTAGCTCTATGGACAGAGTCCGCTTAGTCCGTTTTGTAAACATTTTTTGTGAATCAGACGCTGTAGCTGTGTGGGATGGCTGTAGGCGTTTTGCCCCTGCTCACAGCAGGTGGCACATTATAGGCTGATGGAGCTTGGTTGAACGAAATATGGTCGTGGCAGGTTCCGGCGGTTCTTACTAACTAGTTTACCAAAGTAACCAGCCCGAGAAGAGAGCTTTTCCAGGCGTCAAAAGTGTCACATCCGCTCGTTCAGCCCCGACAAGCATGTTGCGACTTTTTGAGAGAAAACAGCCAGCTCGCAAGCCCACCGGCCAGCCGCGCTGCCCTTTCGTCCGGAGACAGCCCGGAGAAACAGAGGTGCCAAGCCCCCGTTTAACTACTTGCTGTTGGAATTCAGCGATATGACCGTGTTGGGTTGCCTGTTCCACGCAACAAACAATGGGTTACATGGTACAATGGGAATTTCGCCAAGCCGGAAAAATCAGCTCATTCTGACCGCAATTTACGCCACCATCCGTCCGTATGCCAATATACGCTGAAACCTTTGTGCGGGTATTGAGCACGCTCTGGCTGTGAATGCAACATTGGCTGGGTCTGTGGACTTGAGTATCTCGTACCCGGTATGGAGTACTGGCGACATCTAGGTAGTGAATCGAAGATGATCTGGTCCCCAAGACGTCTTTCTTGACTAACTAGTTACTTGAACGCGAGTTCCTATGGACTGTAACCATGTGGTCTCAACAATACAAAGTGCATTCGTGTTGCCAGAACTACATATGTACCTCTTATACATATATAACTAACCAATCCATACGTGAACGTTCAGCCATATAGCGCCAATTAAGCAAGGCGGCTCCCTAATACCCGCTAGCTACATCCCGCTGACCTAGGACATCGTATTCAGTATCCTAATCCTTTAGCCTGCTGATCACAATCGACCTCGTTTCCAGACTCTTTCGGGGCTGAGAGTCTGCTGGCGCACGCTCGTTTACAAATGAGACATGTGGGCAGTCTGTTTCCTTGTGAGCATACGGAGTATGTAGATATGTATAAGAATATCTGCGGCGATACTTACATCTGGCATCATTGCCTGGGTGGCTGTCATACATAGTCATGACAAGGACCTAAAAGTGAGCATTAGCGATATAAGGCTCGAGGTATATTTAAACCCATGCCTAAGTCTAGACATAGGAGTCTTCTATGCGCAGCAGCGGACTTAAAATAGCATACATCTGTTGGAGTTTGGTCCTCGATCCAGCACCTAGCAAAAATCAGTCGATATCATAAGAGTTTTGGCTTTGGAGAAAATTACCAACGCTGATTCTCATTATACGCCAGATAGTAGATTTCTCCCACTGAATGCGGGTACACTCGATCTGCCGCAATTAGATCTTTAGGGTCAATAGTACTTGCATCACAGAATGCAAGAGGATTATCTTTGCAAACAGGCCGAAGAGGGCGCCAGGTACTATCCTTATCAGCGCCGGGCATATAACAATGCCGAACGAAAAAGACTCACTTCATGATTCGAACACGGTATCCTGGCTTCAGATAGTCCTCTTGGCCTTCAAGTAAGTGGTTGAAGAAGATATCCGGGCCAGATTTCAATGTGACATCTAGTGGGATAATAAGTAATTCATGTTGTGCTAGCTAGAGAGTGCAGCAACAAACCATTGTGGGCGCCTCTGGCCCTTGGCTCCACAACTAACGGATTCAGGACATCGACTTGATCTCTCGGCGTTTCGTCATTCAACCTGGCTCTCAGATCATATGTATGAACGAAAACAGCGCCAAGCTGATCTTTCAACCACTCGGCCATCTCTTCACGGTGACGTCGTGCCAAATCAATCGTACTCACGTCCCACATAGTCTTGCTTTCTTGCTTGAAAATTTGAAATCCGTTTTTTGGTAACGTGTACGCAGGGTCGTTGGCAACATCAACGACTCTACGTCTGTGCTCTGTAAACTCAATATTATCGAGTCGATGGCCTCGGGAAAAGTAAACATTGCCATCACTGAGAAGTGCTCCATATGGTTTTTCGACTTTGTACAGTGGAAGATCTGCCAAGTGTTCAATATTTGCGAATATATCAGGCATTTTGATGCGGCTTGGGGTTCAATATAGATGATGTTCAAAGGCTGCTGTCGACTTGATATAATTGAGATATTGTGTGATTAGAAGGGGCTGTTCGCTCTTAAAATACACTCTCAAATAACGGGAGGGCCGGGGGAATCTTCTCACTTGTGACAGCTTTATTAAACAGACATGGTACTGTAGCCGACTGAGGGGAATTCAAAGCAAAAAAGCATTTTCATGGTATCGCAGTATGTAAAGATGCGCCTAGAAATGCCCAGGGGGCATTTGCCCAATTAAGAAGCTCCTCAACACCCAACATCCGATACGGTAACAATAAAATGTAATAAAACCGAGATGGAGCAACGGTATCATGCAACAAGCAAGGATAGTCCCGATATGAGGGGTTTGAATAACCGTCTCCGCTCGAGAATGGCTCGTAGGACGGATATAAATAAGAGGCTGTCGGTGGACATCGATCCTCAACTCCAGAGGAAAAGAAGAACAAATCACCTATTTTTCAGGTAGGCATTCCAAGCTTGAGTTGACTTATGAGGACTGACAGCCAAGCAAGAGCCACTTCAAGCCACAGTTGGTACTATTAAGCCGTCGACCATCCGCCCAGCATGCCCACCCAATCTTCCAGTAACTTCTTCACGGAAGTTAGTACGAAAAACATGCCACCCGCGACTGAAAAGGTTCAGGCATGGAAAGCATTTCATGAGCCCAAGGCAGAGCTCGCAGACAGTGGTTCTGTTATAGTTGAGATTCCTAAAACGGAAGAGACAGGTGTGAACATACCCCCATTCTATCGAATCTATCCTCGTATGCTAACAGTAGAAGGCGGTTATCTTGGTCGATCTGCCATGACTGGCTCTCTCGGAGGCTCCTAAGATGTGCAAATATAAACATAAACCGCGGGATGCGGCTGAGAGAAAAGAAGAATGATTCCGGGTTGGGATTTGGGTATAGCTCGCTACCCTGGTATGTTGGGGGAAAGGGCAGAGACAAATTTGGATATTACAAGGGTATCACAGTCATTTCAGAGCTAGTAGTCAACAATAAATTTGATACGAAAGGGCCCAACTTTGTAAGTCAGAGCATTATGCTCCACAATCAAAAAGGGTCACATAGATGTGTTGTTGAATGTATTGGGGGTTCTGAGTCACTATAAATGCCCAATGATAGTAAAATAGGGGCCTTCCACGCAATTGTCACATTTTCATCTCCCTCAAATGGTAGATAATGAAAACGGGGGGACTAGTCAAAGGAAGTTTTCTCAGAGTGGTGCATCATAGAGGATGAGATTCGGCTTGGGTTGGGGCGAGCACTAAGCACAGCCTAAATCTGTCTTCCTAAGGCAGCATCATCGGCCATGCGTCTAACAATGTGTAGTGGTTGGCTGACTTGCCATTATAACTAGTGGATGCTTGTTTGCACTTCAGGAAGAAATTTGCGGGATTGGAACGAATGTAAACCTGGGCTTGGCGTAGTTAACTAACTACGAAGTACGGAGTAGTTAGTTAACTACAGCTACTCTGCAAAAGTTTGTGCGAAATCTTAATTTTACATGTCCCAATGCAATGATTTTTTACCATAATTTTAATGGAATTAATTACATTCTGTGGTTGTGCTGTTGCTTTGAAATAACTAATAGGGTTGTTGGGCGCCACCGAGATTTTGGGTGTTCCGCACAAACTTTTGCGTTAGTACTTTAACTACCCGTGACCTTGCCAAGCCTCTTAACCTGTTCATGAGGTTCACCCGCCGATAGATCGGGTAGTTTGGGATGCCAAATAGGACGGGAATATTCCGAGCTCAGTCACTACATATATGTACGGAGAACGAAATCGAAGTATTGCGCTGGCTGAGAGGCTTGAGACTCTATTGCCATCGTTATAGTACCTACATTTTGGATTGAGAAATTGACCCTGCCGCACTCATGGCGCCATCCCCTATCCGTGATGAGGACGATACCGATGCCCTTCTTGATGCCCTCGAGGAGGAAGACGCAAACCTAAGCTATAACACCCAGCGGATTGCACAGCTAAAGGCAGAGCTCTCCTCCGCTAAGGCCAGCCAATCTAACCCTTCCTCCGGCGGCGTCACGACTCTCCTCAACAACTCCCCACTCCCCACGCTATCGAATGACCAGGCCGTCCTGGACTTCACCACCCAGCTCGCCCACTGCATTATTCATTTCTTTCACCCGGATTTTGCACGCTGTGGGGTTATGGACAGGCATCTCACCCTCCTCTCTGACGCACACTCGAGCACCGGCGCAGCACGTTTCGCACGTGTAGATGTGCGCAACGTCCCGTTTATAGTCGAGAAGCTCAAGATCAGAGTATTGCCGTGCGTTATTGGGTTCATTGATGGGGAAGTTACAGAGAGAGTAGTCGGGTTTGAAGGCTTAGGCCCTGGCGGATTGGATGGGCTGGGGGACGACTTTGAAACGGGTGTGTTGGAGGAAAGGCTTGTACAAAAAAGAGTGTTGAGTGCTGTTAAAATTGGTCGAAATAGGCCGAACGATGACGATAGTTGCAGTGATGAGAGAGGTCAAGAGGAGAGGACAAGAGGCGGTAGGAAAACGATCAGAAGCAGCGCAAAAAAGACAAACGATGATGATTCGGACTGGGATTGAGGAGAAGATTCTAAGATCGAAGAAAACAGCTAAATGTACAGATGGTGGATATGAAAATGCTAGCCTGCATCTTCTCATTTTACCGAAGACACTTGATCGTTTGGCGAGCAATGTCTTGATCAAGGAGACCACTACACCGGGTTTGGCATGTCCCGAAGGCGTGTCACTCCATTCGATTACATACGTACTAGAAGTAGGGATAACCTAACGTGAATATCCCAAAAGAAAATGGGAACAAACTTCAAATACCTAGCGGAGAACAAAAGCAGTGTCAATTACGGGTGTGTTGCTGATATTTTGGACTCAATGCATTCTGCTAACTTTACATCGTCAATAAAATAATACATCTTTCAGCAAAAGCAGTAGCCCGGAAGGCCCCGGCATCAAATCGCACCAGGGTTCTTGTTTTTAGGAAAAACAATACCTAGATATCAACATTCTTTTTCTTTTGTGTTTCCATGGCATGCGTTCGTTAATCGGTTCGGCCTCTGTAGCAGGGGAGAAGGCTCGAAATGTAGTGACCATGGAAAGACTCATGGGGGAAAGCCAATGGATAAGGCACACGAAAGGCTGCTCAATTGTACATACAAGTTAGAATAGAAGCAGAGAAAAACGGAAGATAGAGGATGGCAACAAAAGCAATAGAGTTCCCGGGAGAAGAACAAAAAAAGGGCTCCACAGGAAGAATGCCAGGCAGAACCAAATTCCACAGCGCATAGCCGCCGAGATGACCTGCATTGATAGAGGGATTAGAAACATACGGTTCGTTGTGTGCGTGTATCCTCGATCAATTCGTATCAAAGAGACACGGAAATAAAAAAAAAGCTGGAGGAAGGGGAAAGAAAAGAAAAAAAATCTATGAGGAATCGTAATAAGCAACATGAATGAGGTAGGGTTGGATATAAGACTTGACATTTCCTAGCGAAAAAAAAACCAAACTCCACCCGCAAAATTCAGTGCGTGATCAAATGGCAATGTTCTTCATTCCCTCGAGTTCAAGAGCATCGAGCCCAGCGGAAGACCGGGGTGTTGATACGCCGCTTTTTGATTTATCCGCCTTGCAGGTGCGTTTAGTAGGGGTATGCTCAGCATCGACATCCTTCTTCGCATCCGAATTTATACTAGGCTCGGCCTTGACAGATACAGCGGGAGAGGTAAGATCAACCAAATCCGAGTCTTTCCCTTTAGCTTTATTCGCATCATTAGACTCATTGTCTTTGACCGGTGAAGTTGCCTCTTCTGCAACTCGAGCCAGCGGGCTAGACAAAGCTATACCTCCTTTGGGACTACCGTTGGGTCCACGGCCTGGGAATCTGTGTGGCGAACGGCCTCTCTCCTCACTCGGAGTTGGGCTGCCGTAGGGTGAGTCTCTAGTTGTTTTTCCATTGACGGCAGTATTGACGCCGAGTCCACCCTGCCCGGGCCGTTTTCTCGGCGGTTTACGTCCATGCTTCTGGTCACAGCGCCAACGCAGGATCTCCAGATATGGAGGATCAGCAGTTTTAAACGGTTTTAGTCGCAACTCGTTGGAGTCCTCGTCAACGATGACTTTTCCAGAGTGGAAATCATCTGCCGCTGTGGCCAAGAATGCGGCCCAGGACCGAGCAATGACATATTTGCAGTCATAATCTCGCCCAAATAGAATAACCTGGCCCCATTTGCCGGCAGGTCCAGGTGCGAGGTCTATCGCAACGTTATTGCCTCCCCAGTCACGTGCAAGAGGAATCCAGCTTGGGTGAGCATATGCCTTTTGAATAGCTCGAGGAGGCTGTGAGTCTTGTCTGTCAAGGAGCTCCTGTCGCCAGAGCGGGTTCAATTGACTCTGTGGAGCAGCAGAGCTGGATGCCGAGGTACCTCCATAAGCCTTAAGAGGAGGCTGCGGTCCTGGTATCGTGGCAGTGCTTAGAAATTCCTCATTAACTGTCCTCCAGTTTTTCCACTCTTGAACAATTTCCTCGCAATCAAGGAGCATACAGCCGAACAAGACACCAGTGGGTAGGCCGCCCCGTTCTTGACCATCATGTATCATCAGTGACTCCCGAACCTCTAGAGGGAGACTGCAATCCAACTCGTGTTCTAGCTCATTCACGTCATTCTGGGTGCAACCTTCACACAATTGATCAAATAGCTCTTCATAGTTATGCTCGCACCATTTGTCTATCTTTTTCCAAGAATAGGAGACCGGGGGAGGTGGTGGAGCACCATCGTGAAAACTCTGCATCTGCACACCTTCCTCCTGGTCATGAGAGCTTCTTTGTTTAGACCTCATCCCTGGAGAGTATGGCTGGGTAGGAGAGGTAATATTGTCCTGAGATTCTGACCAGCGCTGGGACTGCTTCGTCGAATCCTCTTCGAAGGACGTGGTGAGGTCCGGTCTGGATTCAATGGCACTGGTGACCACGGAGGTGAGAGGAGCGTGGCGACTTTGGCTGAGGGGAACATGCTGGCCAGTACGATAAGGAGAATCGTGAGAGGCATGCCTGTCATTTGAAGTCATGGTGTGCCAGAAGGAACGCCATGCCGACCCGAAGCTACATTATTTAGTACGACGTTGAGAAGCGATATTCGCGCGTCAGAGTGGACTAGTCAGCACTTACGACGTCATGGCTGGGATCGAGAACGATTAGTCCCAGCCGATGTGAATACGAAGGGACGGCGAAGAGCAAACCAGCGAGCGAAGCCGTAGAGAATGACAGCGGGAGCGGCGTCGAAGAGTGCCTCGTAGCTGCAGGAACAAGCCAAGGCGCAGTCGAGTCCCGAAGCTGGCTGGCACTGAAGTTTTCAGGGGGCACGCGTTGCACAAATCCAATGCGCGCTAGATGCCGCAGAGCGCCAGCGACAGAGCTAGAGAGCCCGAACGAAGCGAGAGACAGAGCAACGGGAGCCTGAACGAGGGAGGGAGGCACACAGAGCGGTCTCTGGGCCTAAGCGCGAACCGGAGATTTGTTGGCAGGAGAAGGACGAAGTTGTTGGCGGCAAAAAATAACAATCACGTTGATGTGGCTGAGCGGCCGTAACGACGGCCAGGCCCGGCGCCACACCAGGCTAACCGCTTTCTGCCTGTGGCGCACCACCGCAATTAAACTGCAACAGCATGGTTGTAGCCGAGCAGCAGCCCGTGGGTGGGGATTCACCCAGGCTGGGTGGGTGGTTAGCAGATGCCGGGTAGGCCTGCACAGTCCGGTAACGACAGTGGTTGTGGTTATGGCTAACCTAAGCTAAAGAGCGTATAATACATACAGAGGCATAGAATACAGTACAAAGGAAAGAGGCAAACGAGTGTGTACTGGTGGGAAACACAGGAAAAGCCGATATTAGCGAGCGCGTGGACAGTAATGTCAGGGGAGACATGGTGGGGTTAAAGCAACGCCAGAGTGGAGTAGGTATATAGAGAGACAAAGGGAAAACATATAGAGCCAACACCACCCACACCCGCAATCATGGATGGCAAGGATGTAAAATCATGACAGTAACAGAGGGACTCACAGTCGATAAACAAGAGCGCAGCCGAAAGCAATGTGCTGTCTGCAATACCAAGGTGCAACCCATCCAATGGACGGGCCGCACCGGGCAGAAAAAACCATACTCAAAACCCAGAAAACCCCCAAAAGAATGCATCACGCCGCACAGCATGCAATGCCACCACCGCTTTGCAATTCCGTTCAAAATCGCAGATGCATGAACCTTCCAACTCGACGCCATACCACAGGTAGAAGGGCAGCCTAGAAAAGACACGACAGCAAAATGATGTGCAGGCGTCAAGCATAAACCAAATCATTCAAACGCCATGAGCTCTCTTGTCAACTGAAAAACGGCAAGTGAACAATGCCAGTAAATTCCGAAAAAAGAAACATCAAAGAACGTCAAAGGTCTCGAATATCAACCGAAACGCCGCCCCTGGTATCACAATAAATATATTGCACGAACAATGGTTAGAACCGTCATCGCTCATATGCAGAAGACAATCGCAATCAAATGACTCGAGAGAAATTCATTCACACGATCGGACTCCACTCTCAATCACGCTAAAGTCTAACTCATATTATTACCGTTATGCCCGTCGCTCACGCGGATTTTGAGTAAGCGCCGTAAATCGTCCTCCATTTTTTTAGTGTCAGAAGGACCTATTCTGGTTGAAACACCTTGAACAGGTCGCTTCTCCTGTGGTAGCGAGGAAACTGTGCGATTTGGTGTGGGGGAGACGTAGGTCCCATGTAATGTAGAATGTGCTGAGTGAGAGCGGTGGGGGGAGGGGTGCAGCGGTGAATAGCGATGATCACTAGGTCGAATTCCCGCAATCATCCTGTCTCCAGTAGGGGGGGGAAATGTACTTTGAATAGCGGGGCCAGGGTTACCAACGGAAGAAACGCATTTGAAGGGAACGTTTTGGCCTTGAAAACCTATATTTCGGGGGGAGTTTTCAGTTGATGCAGGTGTTAGCGTGCCAGGGGGAGGCTGCGGATGATACTGCATATTTGCTCTAGACTGTGGGCTGAATAAGGGGGAGTTGTTACGCGGCCCAGGCGTCATTGAGAGTGGCCCTTGTTGGGTAGAATTGAAAAGTAGTAGTTTCAGGGCGTCGGACTTCGCCTTTCTTTCTATTTCATTGGAGGCATTAACATCACCTGGCGTCGAAGGAGAACTGGCAGACCGAAGTGCGTTCATTCTTTCTTTATATGAAGTAGCAAATGCGGGGCCGATAGCCGTTATTTTGCTGCTGGGGGTTTTCACTGACGGTTCAGAATTCTCCAAATCAAGGGGAAATACGGTATCAGTCATCGTAAGGGGATCCTGGGAAGGCCCGGCTTTAATAGTGTCCTGGTGCGCCAGACTCGAAGGCCGAGGTGTACCATCTCGACCACCAGCATTATTTCCTCGCCTAGATTCCATTGCTGCCTTGAATAAGAAATCTAGAGGCGACGAAGTATTTTTATCTTGCCCCTCAAGGAAAGAAAGGGCTGGTGTTTTTGTGGGCGTAGAGTTGCCGGGATGGTCTATGTCAGGTGACTCATCCACGACACGGGTTTGGAGAGGAGAATCTCCTTCAGGAACAGATTTCGACACAAATGAAGGTACAGGCAATGCGGACGGTGCTGGAGAAGCGTGAAATGTCGGTCCCGCATAATGTGGGCTATCGCGAAATGTCAAAGGTGACGGAACTGAAGGTTGGGACGAGGTGTGACGATGACCGGGCTTTACATTCGTAACATCGGCTTTTGCCCGGGGCGAGTTTGCATTTGAGTCCTTCTTATTACCCCGCTCTTTCTTCTTTCGCGATCCGCCCTCAGCGCCAGTGAAGGAATCGATGGTAACATTTGCATCGTTGCTCGAGATGGGACTTTGCGCTTGTTTGCGGGCTAAGGAGGATGGGTTGTTAGGGGCCGAGGGTTTACGCGTAGCGGGCGTAGTCGTGCGCTTGGCTTGTTTCCTGGCATTTCGCGGCCCTTTGGGTGTAGTTGGTGGTGGGGTAGACATCCCGAGGGAAGTGGCTTAATAAATATAACAGCCTCTGGAAAATTAAAGGAAATAACACGGAATAAAGGACGCTGAAAGGCAAAAAGCAAGACGGAAAATAATCAATTCAAAAAGTGCAATGAAGAAACGCAGCAACAAGGCTTGATCACGTTGTAGAGGAGGTTGGGCTGGTCGTTGGAAGCAGGCCTTTTTTCCAGGAGCAGGGGTCTGGTGATCGTAATGAAAGGGTAGTAACGAGTGAATAAATCAACGCGGGGAGGCAAAGGGAACGTTCCCTATACATATTCGTAGTTTTTATAGAGGGTCTTATGAAGTGTAATGGGCAAAAATCAACAAAGATGGTGTAAAGTGTTTCAAGATATGCTATTCTACGGTCACTTCGAGTCGATGATTCAGGCGGCGAAATAGCTAACTAGCTTTGATGAGTCAGCCGGGAGCATGCCGCTGCTATGTAGTTAAGCAACCTAAAAGGGATTAGGCTTCAAGGCCATCAGATTACCTAATTAAATAGGCGACACGCTTATTTTTTGATGAGGTCAGCATTGGTGTCATACAAGGTACGCGGGCATCACAGGTTCCCCCCCCCCCCCCCAACTTTCAGGGAACTGGACAGCAACTTGGGCTTTTACAAATTTGGCATGATATTTTGCCCTTCTGTTGCTTTCAACTGTCTGCAGTGACATCGGATCTCAAGCTATGGCGGACGTTGAGATGGTAGATGCCCCCACGGCGTCCAAATCGAAGGCTGCAGCTTCAACAAAAGCCTCTAAATCGGGCGCTTCTGAGGGAAGTTTAGATGCGAAGAAAAGATTCGAAGTAAAAAAGGTATGCATATTTTCAGGCTACGTTGAATGCTGCTGACTCTTTTGAAGTGGAACGCTGTTGCGCTCTGGGCGTGGGACATTGTTGTAGACAACTGTGCTATTTGCCGGAATCATATCATGGACCTGTGTATGTTACGAATGTATTTTTTTTTAGAAACCTGTGTGATGATCTAATGCTGTGACCGATAGGTATCGAATGCCAGGCAAATCAAGGCTCCGCCACTGCAGAAGAATGCACCGTTGCCTGGGGAATTTGTAATGTATTTTATTTCCGCAGCCCCCCATGGACTTACAAGTATCGATACTAATTTATACTCATATTTCTCACAGCATGCCTTCCACTTCCACTGCATCTCAAGGTGGCTGAGAACCCGGCAAGTTTGTCCTTTAGACAACAGAGACTGGGAGTTCCAAAAGTATGGTCGATAAATATTCGATCAAATTCACGCTTTCTTAGAGTTTTCCACGGTACTGGCGGATTCATAACGTACAAGATGCGTTTATGGCTGCTCAATGACGGTCTCCTTATATGTTTTGCGGGGTGTTACGGCGACAACGGTCAATATGACAGTAATGATAAATACTTTGCCCTTACGTACTTTCCATGTAGCTTTAAAGAGATTAACTGTCAGTCCTTCCGATAAAACAGAACTATGCATGCCTTTTGCAGAGTGCATGGCTGTATGCGCTCTAGCCATCCCAAGACGTGTTGCCTAAGCAACTTGTAACTATTTTACAGTGAGTTCCATGTCGGCCCCAATTTCAACTCCTATAGTGCCGATTTGCCTATATTCATTGTTTCTTGATATCCCCCACCACAATTTTGCCGCCTTGGGCTGGTTGTAAGGCCGGAACAAACCAAGGTTCGGGATGCTTGTTATATATAGGCCACGATGGTACCACAAGTAGAGCTGTGACCACAAACCCAAAAACCCCGATTAATACGGTAATAAAAACATCTTGATAGATATATCCGGCTAAGAACCCGACGGCCTACATGCAATACCCTGTCAGCAAAGGGCGAGAGTTGATTTCAATGTTAGGCAGCGGTAGCGACGATATAAGGACCATTTAGGTAGGCACGTACACCAAAGATGATAAGTAGAGTATTGCTCAGCAATTCTGCAAGCTGTTGTCCGTGAAAGTCCTATAGAGGGAAAGACAATTAGAACGAGCTGAACGCTTTTGGAGGGGTTAAGGCTAGGGAATTTACTATCTGGGCCTCGAAAATATCTTGAAGGGGGGCAAGAAGATCGTCCATCCCGAAGAAAGCACTTCTCTAGTTAGTGAGGCCTCAATATGGTTTCTCGTCCCTCGTTTGCACAGCACTCTTGAGCTCCGTGAAGTCTATGGTAGATCTGGCGTCAGGTCACATGCCACGCGAAACTCTAATTGGTTTGGAGCTTAGTTTACCCCCCCGTAAACTCAAATAATGCTGGAGCATTGACTTGTAAATGTTGACGGAACAAACAGGAGAGGAACGGTGGCTAGTGCGGAGTACTTCGGTCGGACAATGCATTTGCTATATAAGATACTCTTCAAAGCCCTTTTTCAGTTGTAGCTTCTGGTGATGCACATCACCATCCCCTCAGGAGTGCCCCTTGTCATTCTTTATCCAAATTAGAGAAACACGATGACCCCTAAAGCGCGGGATCTTGCCTCTCTTGATACGGAAGAGCCTAGGAATGTTCGTCATATGGCCATCAAGGTAAAAAACGGGTACCTTAAGACGGCGTTGCCCATGTTTTGTTTTAATGACAGTTCTGACTCCAGACCCGATTGTGGGAACGTCGTTGCATGTTATATAAAGCGCGTATGCTACCTGCAAGTTTACTTGATCGTAACCATAAGCTTGAGTTTACTTTTCCATAACAAAAAACGTTGAGGTTTTTCTTGGTATTGTATCATAATAAGTCATTTAAAAATTGAAGAAAGACGAGTTTTTTTCTTGGATATGATAGCACCGAAGATTAAAAACGAGTACGACTTGCTGCTCCCAACGCTGCCAGGAGAAGAACTGGCGGGAACATCTCAAGGGAATGATTTCGACAGGCCACCAGAGACGTGGATCCTTGACGAGCTAGAAAAATTCAACGTCATAGGTTGGTTTCCATGGGGTATATCATCTAGAAGCCGAGGCTTAAGCTGATACATCTGCATATGGGCATATGTTTTTAGATGTTCAACATCCAACAATGCCGAATATAGAAGGATCAATACACCCAATATTTCAGCAAAATAAATGGCCAGAATTAATAGATTGCCCGGAGAGATATTTCTCATTCCAGCCAAGCCTGATATTGGCCACAAAACTGCTGGAAGTGGGCCTTCCATTCCTAGCAGCGTTGATCCCTAGGCTCACATTGGATTCAACAAAAAAATATATAGAGGTCATTGAAAATGTTCAGAATGAGCAATTACAACATTGCATTGGAAGGCTTAACCTGATAGCCCAGCACACAGAGTGGAAAGAGAATTCGATCATGTGGCCACGACTTGGTCGGCATGGTGTTACAGTACCAAGTAACGGAGGCATCAAGCCAGATGAAGAAGTAAGAGATGATGAAGATATTGAATGCTGGGAAGAATCAACACAACGCGATATTTCTCAGGGACTACCCTGCCGTAAAATAACTGTTTATCTTGCCAGTCAATTTGGAGATGCTTTAGTTGACTTGCGAGAGGCAGAGCCTCCCAGCATGAGGTATTCTCAAGCTGCTTTCATGTGCGCAGTAACTCTCGTTCACGAGGTCGCACATGTAGTTTATGCTGCTGACTTTTCAAACAAACCTTGGCAAGGGGAACCCCTAGTGAGGGACGAGGTGTTGCCTGAGCTTGGGACAAGTCTAGTCGCCTGGTTATTCAAGGGGTGGATTCCTGAGTGTATAAGCATTGATCCAAGTGGCAATGAAGATAAATTATTCCAATATGGATGCTGCTGGTATAAACAGCGGCGTCGACCGAGAGCATACCCACGGTACAACACAGTGCATTCAATGCCAATGTCGTACATTCAAGCTCTCCTGAGTAAGAAGAGGTGGGACAAAGTCGGTGAGCATGACATACTGACCTACTCTACTCACATTAGGGAAAGTCTCCTCGAGCCTCCTCTACCCTTTTACGAGGGCACCACAGCTCGCACTGCAAAAAAGGTAAGCCGGTTTCGCTTTGACAGATCTCCAGCTCTGATGCCATACTTTGAGCTATGGGATTACCATGATCCAGATTGGGACAGCACATCTGCATTCCTCTCCAGAAGAGAGGACTCGCCTTCTCTGAAACTATAATTCGCGATGCGAAGGGCCATGAGAACGGCGGTCCAGCAATCCGCATTTCCCAAAATTGAAACAAGGTAGATCGTCGGATTTCGAGCCTGCCGCTCCGCGCATCAACCTTCGGCCCATCCCACGCCTTGAGCTGTCATCATTGAAGCAAACATAGGGAGCTCAAACAGGCTTGGCACGTAACAGCCAAGGATATGATGTAAAAGGGTGAAAATGTTGAGCTCAGCATGTCAATTCGTAATGAGAATATCAAATATCAGAGTGGGAAAGTAATACAGCATGAACCACAGTCAGTCTCTAGCAGTGGCATATCAGGAAACACAATTGGCTTAAAAAATACCTCTTCAAAACCTGATAGACCCGATAGCGAAAATTCCGAGTATCTTATCTCTCAAAGTTCTGTGGAAGACGATAAGCGGAGGTTAAGGGGTATAACAGACCTGGATATGCAATGGTGCAACTACCGGTGGATATGGGTCCCGTCAGAAGAAGTAGGAGATTATAAGACCTAGATCCTGAGATGGCCGAAGGGCTCCAAGACAATAAAAAACAGCGGGGCCTGTAAAATTATTGGGCAAGTCTCGCATCATGTCTAGAATCTCAGTTCTGGGGGCCAGGAGCAGGCGGTAATCTCAATCCTTTAGGATTGCTTACAGAAAACACCGACCGTCATTTGTCTCACAAGACATATTGATGGCCTGGGATTCAAAAGCAGTCTAATCCGATGGTCCATAGCAGCATACGGAGTAGCTGTCCTGGGCTGGTATGCTGTGGAACGCCACCATGCGGCTGATCGGACAACAGCTGTGACAGGTTATTCAACCCAAATCCATGAAAGCCTGAAGATGAGTAGCACCGGCTAAGGATTCCACCGCTGCGCAATTAAACGCGGGCCCCAAAGGCAGCTATCGGCACCCCCGGCCGGTGTTTGTTGTTGTTGATGTTGCTTGATCCGCAAGGCTGGTGGCGTGGCGACCCTTGTTTCATGGTAGTTGGGCGGCTGGAGAGCGGCGTGGTGTTCTCCTGAAGACAGCTAGCGTCGTATATAGTTCCACGCAAAATACCGCTCATTCTAGAGCCGCTGTAGCAAATAGCTTAGTCACCAGGCCGCCCGCATTATGTCAGCACCCCTCGAACGAGTTTTTCTTCCGAACTTCGATCCAGCCCTCTCGCCTGCAGAGTTTTATTCTATCCGTCCAACCATCCTATGACTACACCAGTCATTCGTGCATTCTATCTTACTTGCCAGTATATTGGCTACCATATCGTACCTTCAACAACCTATACCGCTCTGGGGTTAACTTGACAATCACGCACTTGTTCCGACACAGGACAGCGACAGTCCGCATTCTTCCACCCGTCCAGCCGTCGTAACGACTCTGGAGCACCCAGGCTCCTTCTTCTCTAAGACATTCAAGTTGGCGGGGATTAACTACGCCCAGTACTCCTTCATTCACCCTCTTCTGGGCCCAAAGTTCCGGGTCTTCGGCGGAGGAGATACTCGACCTCCATAACTGGGCCTGCAACAGTTCTGTGACTTGACTATCAAATAGGTAAACAGCAGTTGTAGCCGGCCCTTTACTAAGGGCTAGGCTGAAGGGGAACCGACCCGGAGCGCTGTTTCGCGACGCGCCTCTCAACCATATCCGTTTTGGATAACTCAGACGAGTGAGCGCTCCCGGGCGTTCGCTCCCTCCTACAACAACAAGATTATCCGGCAGAGTTATCCAGCGTTTAAATCCTTGAAATATTGTATTCACAATGAGCGAATCACCCAGGTCGGAGAAGTGCCAAACTAGGTACAGCACTCCTGTTCCCGAACTTGACGATCATCGCTTTCAGCCTGAATCGCTACCAAGAGCGGATACGATGGAGAATACCGCACCGAGGCCAAATATCCCCCAAGTTCTTACATCACATGCAGACGAGCAACCTAGTATCAGCCACGTACGGGATGCCTTACTAGATGGATCTTTGAAAGTTCGGGATTTTGAACAAGCTATCGTTGATGATGACCATTCAATTCAAGAATTTGACCGTCTGGGAGGCAGACGTCCGTCTTTGAGCCCTGCAGCGGTGCGATCCCATAGGCGCAATAGGACGAATCAAGATGCAGTATCCATCGCATCCTCGAGATCCTCATCTCCCCCTAACTCAGTGGATGCTTTTGCTGAACCTCGTCGTCGCGAGCGTGCAAATACTCTTGACACACAGTGCCCGGCAGACCTTGATGCGCTCTTGAACCGTACTGTATCTGCCAGTACGCATCACCGACGACCAACATTCAGTAATGAAAGCGCTGTTCGAGCGGATAGTGTAGACCCACGGGTCAACATGGGCGAGGGTGGAGATGTCTGTTTTCCTGCACACGAAGAGCTCAGAAAGCCGTCGCTCATCGATTTTGAAGAGCTTGAAGAGTTCGCTGCTTTGAAGAAAAAGGCGAACCCACAAACCAACGGCCCAACCCGGCGCAAGCACAGTATGAGCTCGCAGAGTAAATACCCACGTATATTCCATGATTTGCGCCCCAACCCTCAAAAAACTGAAAAGTCACATACAGGCGTGGAACCGTCTAGCCCCTTGGAATCTTCATCAGAGTTTGTGGACAAGACTGACACTGTTGCTGCACAATTTGGGGGGGCGCCTGTAGATGCCGTTGATGAGAAGAGGTTTCTTGAAGTACTTCAGAACGGCAATGATCCAACCCGTTTCAGTTTCTTCTCTTCTGAATTTGAAACTACAATCCATGCTGCTGAGATTGGTGATTTAATACTTCCAGGCGACAATTTCCGTGACCTTTTCGAGCTTGGCCCAGAAGGGGGAGTTTGGTGGCTAGACGTCAATAACCCAAGCAAAGATGAGCTTGGTGCAATTTGCCGTGCATTCTCGATCCATCCCCTTACTGCTGAAGATATTATTACCCAAGAAGCCCGTGAAAAAGTTGAACTATTTAAACAATATTACTTTGTTTGCTTTCGGACTTTCTATCAAGTTGACAAGTCCAGTGAGGAATACCTCGAGCCTGTTAACGTGTATATGGTCGTGTTTCGCGAAGGAGTTCTCTCCTTCTCGTTCATTGCCAATCCTCACGCTTCAAATGTTCGAAAAAGAATTGGGAAGTTGAGGGAATATGTTTCTTTAAGCAGTGACTGGATATGCTATGCTATGATGTGAGTTCTTCAGGTCTCTTGTTGACATTGTGCATCTAACGTTTGTCTAGCGACGATATTGTTGACAGCTTTGGACCCGTCATTCGTGACGTGGAGAGGGAATCTGAGGCGATTGAAGATCATGTCTATGTTGCCCGGGTGGAAGACTTCAACGTTTTTCTACCCCAAATTGGTGGTCTCCGGAAGAAAGTTATGAGTCTTATGCGTTTGCTTGGTGGTAAAGCGGATGTGATTCGAGGCTTCTCTAAGCGCTGCAATGAGCAGTACTCAGTAACTCCACGGGGAGACATTGGCCTTTATCTCGGTGATATTCAAGACCATGTCGTTACTATGATGTCGAACCTTGGTCACTTTGAAAAGATGCTTGGTCGTTCTCACACCAACTACCTTGCCCAGCTCAACGTCACCAATATCATGTTGGGCAATGATGTGAATAGGATTCTTAGCAAGATCACTTTCCTGGGTAGTATCTTGGTCCCGATGAACTTGATATGTGGCCTGTTTGGTATGAACGTACCAGTACCCGGCGGTGAGCGTGGAGATTTAACCTGGTTCTTCGGTATCCTCGGCGTCATTTTTGGAATCATGATTCTCTGTGTGATAATTGCTCGCAGGTATAAGCTACTCTAAAGTCCGCCTCTTTTGCAGATGATATGTTTCGATGTTATTTTAGTACATGTTTGCTCTGTTTTAATATCTTTTGCCTATTCGAATGTTTAATGTGTTTGGTTGTGTTGTATTTAGTTTTGTCTATTACATAAATATGGAAGAACTGTACAAAGTTATATCAAACATTGCCAAAATACCACCCGTTCAAGCTGACTCCAGCCCATTCCAAGCAATATTCCTATTTCCGACCATCACACCCCACCAGCGCCTTTGCCATCATAATGTGCATCATCTTACAGTATCTTTTGACGTTTAGTGTTTGAAGTCCCGAATGAATTACTGCCTCTAGCTCGTTTTCGCTCCATGTCTTCCTTCATAACTTTCTCAATGGCGCTAAGAGGCCTAGATGGCGCATCCGAACTTTTCGGGCTTGCTGTTTTTTTCGACATTGACGCAAAAACATTTTTTGGTTTCGAAGTGGATGTCGATCCAAGTTTTGTTGGGGCTTTTTGCTTTGGTGGACCAGGAGCAGTCGGCAACAATGAGGAGTCTGACACCTTTTCTTTCAAGGATGATAGATCGGAATCACCCTGAGAGTCTGTTGGGGTGAAATTCTGTAGGAGTGTAGTTTTCATAGCAAAATTCAGCTTTATTTTTTCACCTTCTACCCTTTGCAACTCTTTCACGGTATCTAAATCATCGCCATTTTCACCTGTAGTTTCTTTATCCCTATGGGCCCTTTTGATTTGTTCTTCGATTAACTTCCTCTCACGTTCTTCCTCTCCACGATCCTGTCGTTCCTTTTTGCGAATGGCGTCTTGTCTTCTCAGCGCTTCCGGGCTATTATCAATCCATGAAATAAAGATCCCCTTCTCTCCCTCCTCCACGCGACATATCCCTTCCCGGCCCAAGTGTTTTGCAAACTCCGTTAAGCTTGACCATTTTGTGGCGTTCATGTGAATATGTTCCTTATTCGCAATATACTCCTGGTAGAAGTGGTTGATATTGACTTGCTTCTCTCCATGAGAAGTCCGTAATAACTGAAGGAAATCCCGGAGAAAGTCGTTGGAGTAGCCTGCTATGAATTTCTTGGGGTCTTCGCCCACTAGGAGCATCTGGCGAACATGCGACTCGGATTGAGTGTGGCATTTGAAACCATTCTCATCGCGCATTTGTCGTTCGCATACCTGGCAATACCATCGTAGGCGCTGTAGACCCTTGGACTTCAGCTTATTGGAAAGATGTTTAATGCTGCCAACCTCCGCGCGCGGCATGATAACGACTAGTCGACCTTGCTAACGGCAAAGGATGTTGCTCTGCCTGACACCAGGCTTTTTGAGAGATGGATGGCTAGTTAGTTGATCCACTGCATGCGTGGCGCTTCAGCTGTGGCTGGTGTGAACTTTAAAATAACCCTGCTTAGGTGGTTAGTTACGTGTTGGCATACGGAGTACGGAGTAGTTACAGAGTGGTCGAATATAGCCCTTCCGGCGTCAATGCCCGTTCGTGACTGCAAGGTTGGTTTCTACGAGAGCCCAGATGCTCTGCGAACTTATCTTCATATTACTTAATGGGGACGCGGCAGTTCTACAAAATGTAACTGGTATGTTCGCTCAAATCATTGAAATCGCAACTCTCCCTGACACTATTTCTGACACTTTTGCTGCCTACATATAGGAGACCGATTGAATATACAGGCCACGACTGTAGCTCATGTCAAATGAACTGGTCTTTGATATAGACTTCCTTCGTTTTCCCGCTTCTCACTCTCCAAATGCCTCCAAAGTTCCCTCTACAAGCCCGCTTTGCGGCGTGCCTCTCCACTATCATTTTGCTCATCGTCCTTTACTTTATCCTATCCAGCCCACGATTTGCGTATGCAGTTGACGTTGACTCTATAATACGCGAGGATCACAACCACCGTGTAATACGAGATTCAAACGTTCAGTTTTCTAAGCCGAGGATTGCTGGGCATGTCGAGATGCTTACTGACAATGTTACCGGCCATGCTGTTCTGGCAAGAAGAGCTCCGGAGGGCGTGGATTCACTGACAAATAACGTACCAAAGTTAAAAAACATTCAAATGGGAGAGACGCATCATTGGGTAATTCCGAAAAGCGTCGTCACAGGTCCAAAGTCGCCGGTACCTCCAGGGCTACCAAAAACCGTTGAAATAAAAGAAGTGCAGCCAAAACCCTCCCTTGATGAAGAAAGCATGCAGGAACAACGAAAACGCAACGAGGAAGTATCTCGCAGGACGAGTACGGTTTATGTGACGCTTAATACTTGTATCCAACCAATATTGAATGCAACCCAGCGAGCAGACGATTCTTCTCCACCACAACTCCAGCTATTTTATTCGCAAGACGGTTCGGTAAAAGAGCCAGGCCCAAATACGCCAAATATTCTGTCGGTAAACTTTGACGATGGTTACGCTTCCGTGGAAATCAACGCAGCTGGAGATGTATACATTGGGGTCTTCGCGCCCACCCATCCGAGATATGGTGGTATATATAACTATGAAGTTGCAGCGTCGATAGATGCTCCATTTCATAGCGCGGAACAGAATACCCCCTTTTTGTATTTCGTCGATAGCGACAGCAACGCTGCTCTACTTCAGACAAACAATCTCACCTCAGCCTCGGCCGGTGAAAGTTCATACGAGGAATGGATGAATTTAGACCCACCGCCTTTCACTCTTTTTGCTCATAATATGAACCATTCCGCCATACTTGGAATCCAGAAATCCTTTTGCGGACTCAGCAAGAATGCCCAGATCAACAGGATGGGTGGCTCGCTTCAAGTTAAAATGTCAAATAGAAGTATGCACCCCAGAGAACAGTTCTATATCACGAACCTCAATCGTACCTCGTCGTACTATGGAATCATAGCAATGGAAGGTAACTCAACGGCCTCTGGTAGCGGCGTTGTAGGTGGAGGAGGCAAAGTCTGGAAAGCGATGAATTTTACCACAAAATCAGGCAAGTTCAAAATTACTCAGGCTATTTGAAATAAATCTAACCTATTCAAAGAAAATAATTGTGCCCTCGCGTTTGACCTTGACTTCTGCTCTGGGGTGGCTTATGCCGTTCCCTCTAACCCTTCATTCAAGCGCGCCGATCTTGAGAAAATTTACGACAATCATGCCGCGAGCCTTTACAAAAACTTCACATACTCTCTCCAACAAATTCCTTGTAATACTTCTGCTTCATCGAAATACTCTCTTGCCCGAGGCTGTGATGACTGTGCTGCAGCATACAAACATTGGTTATGTGCCGTTACAATTCCTCGCTGCCATGACTTCTCCAGTGGCCTTCCATTTCTTAAGTCTCGCAATACAGGGCAAACCTTTTTGAATGGTAGCAGTTTACCTGAAGATTTTCCGGGCCGTCAGGTCGTTGCCAGCAATTCGTCACGGAACGATTTGATTGACAATGAAATAAGACCTGGTCCATACAAGGAGGTGTTGCCTTGTATAAATGTTTGTCATCAATTAGCACAGAGTTGCCCACGTGCGCTGGGCTTTGTATGTCCGTCGGATACATGGCAACTTGAATCATATGGAAATTTAGGTGACAGTGGTGACGTGACATGTAGCTATTTAGGCGCTGCATATTCCCTCAGAAATGATGCATCAAAGCTCAGCGCCATGCATATGGGTATGGGTTCTGCGGTTCTAGGATTCTGGCACCTTGTCTGGTGGCTAGGCGGTTGAATGTTTTTGAAAACTATATTTATAATTCTTGGTCAGGTCCTTGAACTGTTCTTCTTGAATGGCCTAGGAAGGTTGAGGTCCGAGCGCTTTCGACATTTCGAATATCAAACTATACAATACTCCGTATAGAGAGGTTTTCAGAAAGAAACGAGGGTTAACTATACGTAATCATATTTCCTTTACGCCGTTTCATTAACAATGCAAGCCATCTGAAATAGGCAACATTATATCATGCAGGGGTATCTTTATTTATACAACAATAGTAGCCATTGGACATGGGAAAATCCCGCATCCCCCATGACAGTTTAATTATTTTCTTCTCGCGGTTGGGGTCCAAATATTCTTTAACCCAGACTGATTATTACCCGGGTTCATCTGGCGCGGAGTACTGTTACCTACGCTGGCCCATAGTCTCTGCCCAGCAGGCGTTAGACTTGCTTTATTCAACCCAGATGGGCCACCAGGTGAGGCGCCGCCAAATCCAACCATAGGGCTACTGGGGAATTTTGGTACGGGCGTTTTTGTGGTGCTAGCAAGTTTTTCTACTCGTTTTGTCTTTGCAACTCGTTCAACCATGCGGTGATGCAGGGCTTCGCGACGACGGGTGTCTTGAAGTTTGAAGGGGTTTGAGGTGGATGATCCGGCGGATGAGAGGAGTTTGAGGTGGTATTCCTCTTCGTTGCACTCAGTACTGGATTTTGAAGGCTCGGGTTCGTCCTCATCAACGAAGGCGTAGCCATTAACACGAGGTGTTTCGCCCCCTGCGAGGTCAGCTTCGGTGTCTGTAGGTCGTGGGCGACCAGCAATGGCGTCACGGATGGCGGATATGGACGGCGACGGTGGAGGTTCTTCTTGCGTATTAGACGTGGATTGAATTCTAGTATTGTGATATAAAACATGTTTTGGTCCAATGCGAGAAGTGGCTTCTGCTTTCTGCTGGACAGTTTCGAACGTGTCTTCAATAGACGACGGCGTAAACATCAACGAATTCTCTGCTTTCGGTTTCCAGGCATCTGGCCTTGCAGGTCTGGAATCAAGGTCGGTCTTGATTAACTCTTTGCTTCCCTCTGATCTCTTCTGGCCTTCCAACCTCTTAGTCTCTTGTCGTTGATAAGCGATTTGCCTTGAAGTCGGAATCTTATTTCCATGCCACATCCAAGCATACTTCGCTTTTCTTTTGGCGTTTTGGGCATCCAATACTTTATAAAACGATTCATTATCTTCACTCGTATATCGTGCCTGGAAAGCGCCTAAACTCATGGTGTCGACCTCGACACTGGCTGCCTTTGCTGAATCTGTTTCCGTATCAGGTACCTTTGTAGACGCCACAGACAACGGCGTATCGCCACTCCACTGCATCGGTGTATTCATCGGTTGGGCAGTATGCCTAGGTGTGGAAAAATTTACCCCTCTCCGGCCTTGGGGACCCGGAGTCATCACCTCCGCTAACCTCCGCCCTGCCGTCGCGATCCATTCTTTATTCTCAGAGTCAAGAGCGTCTAGGTAATCCTGCTGCGTTTGGGTCTCAAGGAGCCCCGGGAAAAAATCTCTCGCGATAATGTGCGATAATGCATCAGTGTATTCATCTTCGTCGAGGACTTTTGGCGGTCTCTTAATGCGTTTTAGTGGTGGCGGAGGTGGCATCAAATCCGAGTCTGAGTTCCGCTTTGCTAGAGCCTGAGAAGGTGACTGAGAAGCCATTTTTAGGAGCTACCTGAACAAACACCTTATTAGAAAGTAGAAACAATAGCACAGCTAGGAAAGTGTCTAGCTAATAGGTATTCGTAATTATATTGAGAAAGGTGAGAGCAGCTAGTTTGTTAATCCGGTGGAATTATATCATCATGACATAATCGTACTAATATTCCCAAAATACCCTCGCTGAACATCAAATCGAGATATGATAACTACACGCTGTATGGAGTATACCCTGTGAAGACGAGAAAGTCTTTCAAATAGCAACTATACGGATGTATTGGAATTAACTGTTCAACTACCTACTGCGTGCTACCTATTACTCGCTCCTCGCACCTTCCACCTTTCAACCACACTGCTCACTGTTCCAATATAGCCTGCGTAACAGAATCCACCAAAAATTACCTCCCCAACTTTTCCTTCGAAAACGCAGTACACTTCACACCACCTCTTTTAATATCCTGAGATATGATTTCTATAAACGAGTGTAGGAAAATATGCAAAAAAGAAAAACAAGGCCATGTGTGACAGGCGGCGGAGAAATAAAGCCAGCGCTCCCAAGACCCGGCCGATGTCTATAGATATGTGTTGATTGTTTTTGAGAGTCCAGCCATGCAAAAAGGAAAAATACCAGTGCAAAAAGTGCAACGAGAGTGTTGTGGAAGAACGTCTCGATAGATCCACAGTGACAAGGAGAGAGAAAGGGAAATCGTGAAAGTTTGGTACACCAGGCAGCAGAGCCAAAAGCACCATCTAGATGTTTTTTGATACAAGAGGAAAGGGTGATGTTGTATGAGCGGCGTTATTTGAGGTGCCGCAGTCATATTGCCGCTAACCGAAGGTGGAGGAATGTTTGGCAAAAAAGAGATGACATTATCAAAATGGAATTATGTCAATATGTGGATCATCAAGTCGTACAACGTGTAAAAGAAATTTTTTTGCAATAATACCTCTGTGGGTATGTGCAAGGAAAATGGTCATGTCAAACGAGAGGAAGGGAAAAGTTGGAAGAGGCGCCTCGGCGAACGGGCAAGCTGGAGGGTGGCAGCTGGTGACTTCGAATTTATGCTTATTTGGAGTTAGCATTTGGTGTTGGTGGCGTTGTCGGGCTTGAAGACGGTGCCGTAGGGAAGAGAGAGTACGAAGTACGAGTCTTGCGATTGGCAGCGCCGCGAGTGAGAGTTGACGAACGTTTTCTTCCCGGCACACTGGACTGAGATTTAGTCGACATGCCGCTCCCGACGGAGTCGATGGTGGATTCCGATTTAGCACGGTCGTGAAACGAAACAAACTGTTTATCGGCAGTCTGAGCCTCGCTAGGGGATAGCGACGTGGCATAGGCGTCCCGAGGGAAATAGGTGCCATGAGACTGAGCGGTCGCTACAGGTGACCGAGGGACGAAGTGTTTGCCTTGGTCAGCCATTGGGCTCGCATTATCACGCCCAATGGCTTCGCGGCTAATGCTGGGACTATGAATCAAGTCCGGAACGCTATTTGTTGATGTAGAAGAACGATGTTTTCGGGCGCTGGATGCAGCTCGAGCAAGGATCATGCTCTCTTGTGAGTTGCATTTGCTAAGGGGTGAACAGCTACGGCCGGCGGATACAAGTTGATCGTCCAGCTGAGCATAAACGACTTCTTCATCGCTCTCCTGTATATTGGGCATCATGCCTCCGTACATTTGCAAAGGTGACAGCCTGTCATCAAAAGAGGGCCCGAAGTCTTGGAACGGGTCTGGCTTGTACTTGCGGGATTTTTGTCCGTTTGGAAAAAAAGAATCGGATATATTTTGATCAGCACATGCATTGTTAGGTAATGCAAAACAGGTATTGCCCTGTATAGTTGAAGCTGGTCCACTATATGGTATCTCCTCAGATGATTTAAATGTCCGAAGACTACCATAGTTCGCGTTCATCGACCCATCTTGTCCAATTGCGAGCGAAGCAAGGCCTTCCTCCAGGTTTTCAACGGATACCCGCTGCCAATCAAAGTTAGAATTCGATTCTGCTGCATGCTCATAGCAATAGTCGATGTCGTCTTCCCACGAGTCCTCCAGGATATGCTGAACTTTCACAGAGATGTTTCGCTCACGGAGGCGATCGCTCTGGGGATTTGGCTCTTTGCATTTCTCCTCCAACGCTGGGATAATTGGCGAATGAATATTATCCGGGCGGTAGTCAAGGTCAGATTTGACCGGATGCAGGAATTGGGATGTCTTGACGATAGGAGACATAGAAATGTGGCTATTGCGCCACGCAAGCTCGTTCTCCTCTGGGATATTTGCCAGTCCAGATATATGATCAAAGGAAGAGGTTCTAGGGATGGCTGGGGAATGATCGTCGCACGTGACCGCATGGATAACGTCTTCAGGTGGTTCGGGAGATTCGAATTGGAGCAACTGCGACAGTGCCATTGCATTTTCTTTGAGCGGCGATCGAGAATCGCCAAAAGTTGCTGATGTTGGTTCAACACCCAAGAGGGCATCAATAGTCTGAGACGTTGGGTCAATAGGTTTTGAGCACGCATATTTTGACGAAATACGAGGCGGGGGGGTGATAGATGGCGTTGATGTAAGTTTGCTTGCTCTCGATACGGGGCGAGAGAAATTCTCGACTGAACGAGACGCTCGCTTGGTACCCTGTTCATTGGGCAGTTTTCGTCGCTCTATGCGGGTAGGCGATCGTGGAGGGCTCCTGGTGTATAATGACTGTGAATCAGGCGCCAGGGTTGAAAGATTCGTTCCTGTTATATCTTCTGAGGAGACATTGCGGTCAAAAATGCTCTCTGCTCGGATCCCCTTGAGTTCTGCACCTGGTCTTTGAGAAGCTCGAATAATGGAAAGCTCAGCAGCCAGGTCATGGGGGTGGGTGTACTCGACAGGAGGTAATTGGCTCTGGTTGGTATGGGTGACATGCTGAAAGTCAAACGGCTCAGAGATGGTTCGTTTCAGGAATTCGTCTATTGTTTGGAGGTTAGCTTGAGATCAAAAAAACTTTCTGAAGGATCAGAGCTGAACATACGCATGTCATGGTGTCGCGGCTTATGGATGCGGTGAAATATGCCCAGGCCTTCCACTCTTTCCTTCTCTTTGACAATTCGTTTATTCCTGCCTCGTCTATACTTCTCTCTGGACATCTCGTCCTCCGGCTCAAAGGCCGAGTAGCTCGTGAGACTGGACTTGCTCCCCTGGCGCTTCAGCATGCGACTTCCGCGGGACATCAATGATTTTCCCAGTCCATCTTTGTCGGCAGGTAGAAAGAAAGAGGATAACGTACGGCCGTCCTGGGAGGATCTTCGGGATGAGGACGAGTCAAGGGAGGCCATTGGCAGGTCCGGAGACTGGCTGGAGGACGCGCTGGACGCGTTGGTGTTGCTGCGCGAGCGACTCCTGAACATGGATAGGCGTTTCGGGCTATTGGTGCTGGATTGTGGCCTGACAGTCGAGGAAGGGTCTGGAAAGGTCGAGGCGGACGGAGTTGGCGGCTGTCGAATGATTAGGTCATAGTAGGAGGGCGAGACGAGGAATGAGAGCGACGCGGAGGTTTTGGGGCGGGGAGGTGTTGAGTCCATATTATGGGCGACTACTGTTGCAGCGTGTCCCTTCTTCGTGAGCATGGAATAAGGGTCCAGGAGGGGTGCGAAGTGCCTCGACACTCGACCACGCGAGAATAGGGCGAGGAGAGAAAAAAGAGCGGCCTTGAATCATGACCCCAAGCAGGCGGCCAGGATCATGGGTATATTATAAAAACAAAAAAGGACTGGCTCGGGCAGACCAGGAACAGGGCCAACACGTTAGCCTTAGCAGTGCCCCCCGGTCGTATCCCTCGCGTCGAACCGGGGTGGGTGTGCACGAAGCTAGGGAAGATCAATTGCTTGGGTCTACGGTAACTAACTTAGACCGCGACGAAGACCGGGAGCACGCACAGAGGACGAGGGGAGCAGGATGGGAGCCGGTAAAAGGGGGGGGGGGATAGTTCGAAGGAAAGGAGCCGGGGCGGGATGTAGTCAGTGCGGCGGAGGGTGGGCTGGAGGCAAAAGGAACGGGCGAGAGGCCAGCACGGCTTTCAAATAGTGGTGGACCGAACAGGAAGAACGAGCGAGGGCGAGGCAAAGGAGCGGCAGGCGGACGATGGCAGTCGAGAAAGGCGGACGCGCGCCCGGAATTATTTTTAAATGCTAGCGGGCGAGATAAAGATAAAGACAGCGATGAGGTCTTTTCGACTGCGTTTCCGTACCGTACCGTACGCGTCACGTCGCCTGTATCTGGCGGTACATCCATACGTAAATGCGCGGCCTGCAGTGCGTCTGCGTCTGCGCTGCTCGCAGCTCGCCAGCTGCTGCTGCTGCTGTGCTTCACGCCGGAAAATTTACCGTGATCTGGGTGCTGGGGCGGCTGAGCTGGTATTTCTACATCCCGGCCGCGTCGTCCTACCGCCAGCAGCCACCTGGGCTACCTCTGGGCACCGCGCTCTGCCGCTGGGTACAAAGCGGACGGCATCAGGGCCTCAAAAAACGCGCCATGTTGCCCACGCCCTTCTATTCGCTCGACCAGCTCTAGGGCGGAGTCCGCTTGGTCGGTCGTTTTAGTGTGCTTCTGCGGGTGGTGAAACGCCAACAGGCTCGCATGCACGGCATCCCAAGAGCAATAATAAGCAAGCAGCAGAAGCAGCAATGTGGAAACTGCTAAGAAAGAAAGCAAAGAAATAATAATAATAATATAGGAAAAAAGAAGAAAAAAGAGGGCGTCGAATCCACCACGACTGGCTCGCCCACCACTAACCCCTGACTACCTTCTCGACAAAATGCTACTGTCCGGCCAATGGCGGCGACGCTTGGCTAGGGATTCGGTCCAATGCAACAATGGAGAGCCAATGCAACTGGAGAAGGCAGGCCTTCCCCGACCAACAATCCGATTATTCTGCCAGTGAACGGGCCTCCCTCTGGACTGGAGCGCGCGCGGCGCATGTGAGGATCGAGGCGCCCTCGCGAGCCGGTCAAAGAGAGAGCGGCCGCCAGACGGCAGTGTTGCATGCGTCTGCAGTGTGGAGGAGGGCTCGAATTACATGGCCTGTACTCCGTACGGAGTACTCCGTACAAGCGCTATTAACGGCCGTTCTTGGCCGCTGGGCGAGGTCTCCAGTACGCATGCAAAAAAGTTACGAGGCAGCAATTGAGTTTGCCCAACCACTACTGGGCCGGCCAGGAACGAAATACCCTATCTTTAGGGCCCTCGCCGCCCGCCCTCGGCCGGCCCACGGGCGACACAGCACGACAACACCCACCAGAACGCTGGCTGCGGGTGCGCGTGCGCGCGCGCGGTGTCGGGCAGGCCGCGGGCTGTGTCGCCGTCGCGAGTCTGTAACGTCACGGGCTGGACAACCCGGAACGCTGGGTGGCCCCTGGCGGCACAGCCAATGGTAGCCCACCTACTCCGTACTCCCAGCCGTTGGCCGCCAAGGCCGCCCTTTGGACTGCCGGTGGGGCGCGGCGAGGGGACCATCCCGTTTGGGCAAGGCGTGGGGAGCGCGTCCGCAATCGTGGAACAGGGGGGCTGGCCGCGCAGCCAATCGCCGCAGCTGCCCAGGCTGGTCCCCACGCGCGCTCTGGTTGGTCAAGCGCCGCTTTTGGTTCCCGGAACCGCACTAGGGCCGGCGGAGCGGCTGGCGTCGCTTATGTCAGCCAGGGTCGATTACGTAGCGCGTTTGCGGCCAGAACCGAAAGCGGCACCATGTGAAGGATCATCCACCCAGGCAGGCATCGCGACGGCTCACCACCCGCGTCTAGCCTGGCGTGATGCTACTGCTGCTGCTGCCGTTGCTTTCGTGCGTGTCTCCGGCCAGTTTCAGGCGTCCGCAAACAAAACGCTCCTGCCCCAAAAATATCCCGCAACGCACCGACTCACGCTCTCTTTTGTCCCACCCCCGGCCGTCGTACTCGAGCGCAGTAAGCGGATATAGGCAGCGTTCTTCCCTTTATACGTGGTCTGAAGAAAAGCAATGCTGGGACCTTGCGACATCCCCGCCGGCACCTTAAAGGAGGTCAAGCTCGTCTTCCTAAAATAAAGCCCGTTTAGATGTTTCTTTTCTTTTTTGTGGGTTTTTGTCTTGTACGGAATCCATAGCACCAGTGCTCCGTTCCTGGGAGGCTGCAGTATGAGGGCCTCTGAAACAGGCCGTATACATATTAAGGCTGCTGGGTCACCGTATCGTCGTCGTTGCTGCTGAAAGGTCGGCCTGCTGCCGGGCTGCCCCAGACAAGATGCAGTGCAACGTGCTTTTTAAACGCAACAGGGTTGGCATTCCCTCGCGATGGGGCTTTCTCCGTCTGTCTGTATTTTACCCAATGTATGTATGGGTCCCGTATGCACGATATCTCCATGGCTGCAAGGAATATACGGACCACGGGATATTATTATGGCCGCTTCTCCGGACGAAGTAGCTGTGATGTCTGCCTTGCCCCTGCGTCGCGGTGTGGTTGGCAATGCGTGCGATTCAAAAATAGTCTAACCGGCAGCTTATGGATCGTCCTTTTTCATGTAGGAGTATTGGAATTGCACTGTCCTCGTCCGACTTGTGCGTGTGCGCTCCCGCAAGGTGGACGGACGGACATATGGACGGAGCACTCACCACTCCCACGCGACTGCAAAAAACCACCCACAGCTCCGCATTACATCAAGACGAGATGGGGCCATGGAGCCCCCTAGTTAGTTAACCCATTGGAGATCTATAGGACTGGTCTGTTCGCACTCCCAGCCCCCTCCATGCTCTAGCACTCATTCTCTGGTTAGCTATCCAGGCCCCCTCACGAAAACAGCGGTGTCTCGGATAACTATCCAACAGACCTCGATCTCACCAGCACATTGCCACGAGTCGACAAAGAATAATTGTTTCCGGGCCGAAACCGAGCGAGATGCGACAACTTCAAAGCATCTGACGGCAGCTCCTTTGGAGGCCAATACTTCTGCCCCACAAAGCAGGTTTGCAGAATTGTAAAATCATCCTCGGGAATTCCTCGACCTCACTTTTCTTCTATCCCTCTGCGCGACTTTTAGCAGAACCTGGGGAAGGGCTAGCGTCCAGCGGGGGTTTCCCGCGCACACCTTCCAAGGTGCAGAATCCACATGCTTTCTCTCTAGCTCGGCGAACACAAGCTTATATGTGGCCTTCTACAAGCCGAACTGCGCTGGTGATGCAGCAAGAAACGCCGGCGGCAATTTGCAACGGGGGTTCGTACATACTACATGCACACCGAGATGTAAGTTATGTATCTGGTGCCGGCGCATGCCCACATGAAAAAAAAAAAAAGCGGCCTGAATTCGAAGAAACATTACAGCATGTCCGTACCCGAACCCCTCAACAGAGACCACCCACGGGCTGACGAATTTTCTCATCTTCGCATGTTCTGCATTTCACAGGCTGGGCAAACTGCCCTGAGACAGCCCTGCTGGCACCCCCGTCAATAGTTTGTGCGGGGGCGCTTGGGAAGGCGATGATGAGATTTCGGAGTTTTCTTCAACCAGATCGACATAAACTAAGGCCTGTATCACCGCTCCGTGGTACTCCGTACGGAGTACGGAGGTAAGGACATTACGACAGTGGCTTTACTTCTGACATCTACGACATGCTCGAAACGGAGTACGAGTGACGTGAACGACCGTCCAGGCCGCATGAGAATGTGGAGGTTTCGAAGCCTGGCAGCTGGCCGATCGATGCGGAGAACCGGCCTACCATGTAACTATGTATCTCCCTCTCCTCTTTGCGCCCTGCGGCGCGCCGTGGGACAACACGGCGGTCGCCGGCTAACCCGCTGCAAGCGTTATCGCCCTTGCGCTCGAAATCGATAAACGAACTGCGATCGACACGGCTGCGTTGTTTCTCCCGTTTTCTCCCTTGTTTCGCGCGTTTGTTGAAGGGTCAATGTGGCGTCTATAGTGGACGGGTACTGTGTTCATCGCGACACGGCCTCAAGGTCTATACTACGGAATCCACACAGAGTCCTCATTGTCCCGAGATATGGTGCCTTTTTCCTGTGATACATTCATACATACATACGTGCGGAACCAAAACTGTATGTGACTCCAGTACAGATACAGTGTTCTGGATGTCAATATTTGGCGCCTTCTAGGCTCCCGGTGAGCCTCTGCAGATGCTCCATACTTCGATGATCTTCCTGTTGCATTGCATCAAGGTGCCTATCCAAATTTTCAATTTTGTGCCAGATTATACTGGAGAAATAGAGACCCTTACACAGAGTACTCCGTCCATGTAGTCCCTTAGGCCACTAGGTCTTAAGGATAGCCATCCTTTTGGCCCGGTGGTTAACACTCTCGTTTAATGGAACCCAAAAATCCATCCTCCTTCCTTAATGGATTTCGCCATTCGGTGGCCGCTGGTTTTGGTCTTCTCGCCACCGATGGCGGGACTTATATATTCATACAAATAAACAAACAAACAAACATTGCTAATATAGTTAGCGGTTCGGACGTTCTTTGGGCACACTAATAATCGGCCGTACTCGGTACGGGGTAACGCTTGCGATATGGGCAAGTTTTACTCCGTAGATAGCGCCCGCCTGCCGGTTGAGGTCTGTAAACGCGACCTGGGCCCAGATGGAAACCTAAGACACACTCAGGGTAGCCCTTGATCTGTCAACCGAGAAATGTCTGTTCGTTGTATGCATCTGCCGAGATGACAGGTTCTTCCTGTTCCATGGAAGGGACCGGTGAGGCAACACTAGTAGCTGGTACAGAATCCTTTAATTCCCAGTTTAGAGTATGACGATGTTGAAAGCAAGCAGTGGGCGACTCCGGTACTCAGGTATTGCCTTCGAAATCGAACGAGTTCGACACCTTGGGAATATCCTTTGTGCCCATCGCGGCAGTTTCCGCAGGAACTCTCAATGAGGCTTGAAACACAGGTTGGCGATCTACACACGGAGGACAAAGATTAAACCAGATCAGAGCGAACAGAAATACAGCCACACGCAGCCAGATCGTAGCAGCGCTTGTGGGTGTTGGCAGGCCGAACCGCGGTCTAGGGCTGTCAGTAGGGCGATCATCAGACATCCTGACACTGTCGTTCGCCGCCGATGAAACGATGAAACGCTGCGCTAGCCAGGGCTCCCACGACATGAAACGAACAGGTTTGCCGTCGTCGCCAGACCAGCGTTGTCGAGCCCTCACTCTCGCAAATGGTCAACTAACCAACTAACCGACTGCTGGCGATACGAAAAAGGGGGGACGGAATGCGCCTTCGCTTCAGACCGCTTCGCCTCGACGACCCAGTCTCCTAAGGTCTGCCGTCGAGCCTTGTTCAACATTTCAGGTTTTTCGAGGATTCACTCACCGCGTGTTCTGGACAGCTCTGCTTCTCTCTGTCTCTGTGGCGCGCGCGGTTGGCCGCCTTGCTGCCCACTTTCGTCTTCTTTTCCTTCGGCCCAGCGCTTCTTGTGCTGTTGGGCCAGACCTCCTTTCGAGCATGGATGGCCAGGATGGACGCCCCGTTATATAGTTACTGGGATGCCCATGCCAGAAAAAAGACCAAGGCCATCCTTAGCCTGTGTCTTGGTCTTCTAAGGGTCCGTGAGATGCCATGTACTCCGTACATGGTGGATCTTTCCACGACGATAGAATCCTCATGGCATGGCTCACGCAGATGAGGCAAGCCGATCCTCGATTATTTTTATCCGAGCTCAACGCCTGAGGGCGAAAAGGAGCTGACTGAATCCTCCAGCAAAATGAATGCCCATACATACTCGAAATAATGTATGTATGTGAATGGCCCAGCCCATATGTGCCGTTGCCAAGGGAGGAATGGCCTACAGTGGAGGATGCAATGGCATCCTCTGATTCTGAAATCATGGATCACTTTCTCCAGAAAATAATAGCTGTCCGCAGCTCCGGCCGGTATATCATCAAATCACATCTGCTTTCTCGAACATGATTATTATTGGCCGTTGATCGGAACTCCGCATCCCTTGGAAAGAACATTGTCGCCCCATTGAAGCGCGGGCCGCACCTAAAAATATGACATTCCAAGCAACGAGATCTCTATCTCTGACAACTCTCTGCGGACAGCTTACTCCGTATTTATGTCCGTACTTGTCGCTTGGCTAGCACAACATGCTCTCGGCCACTCAAGACCTGTCACTCGTTGATCATTGGTTTCAAAGCTCCTGAATGTTTCTCCGTGTCTTGGGAGCTTGGTTTCTTGACGGTTCTCGATTGGTTGACAATTGGAACTTGCTTTAAGCATAGCATGGTGCCCCCTTGACTCTCCGACCTCAGCAAATAATGTACGGAGTATTTCAACAGCACCCTAGAAGCAAATCCTTTAGCTGAAAGGCGGGCGTTGCTTGAGTCAGGAGGTGTGGGAAATTCCCAACCTAGACAACGCCCCGAATCTTTTCCGTCGCATGTGTATGTATGTAAGTGCATACATCACGGGCGCTCCGCACTGCTACCCGCGAGGATTCGAGTCCAGCTGTGTCCATGTCAAATCGCCCGTTGCGGATGTATCTTTACGCTGCACGGGCATGAGATTGGCACTTGACTGACGAACCTGGAATATTTATGACTGAAAATCAGCATATACCGCTATGCTTACTATTCTAGCACGGAAATCCGCATTACTGTGTTACCATAGCTCCCTATGAATGCCCATTTGTCTTAGGGCAGTACTTTGCTCACTGTAATAACCACAGGCTCGAAACAAACTTGCGAGAAGCAAAGCTGCATATGTGGTATTCCATACATATACTTCCAAGCACTCTATACAGGGACTCCATTCGTGACAGGAAGGATGACACCCATCTTAGATACTTACTAAGTAGTGCAGCTTTATTTCTGGTCCTTTTGTCGAGAAAACGGGGATGTAGAGCTAAGCCCTAAGTACTGAGTACATGACGCGCATATACTCGGCCTTGACATTGAATTACAACTCCAGGGAATTTCATGAAATCCGGAAGGACATACAAGTATATCTTTACAAGAGTTGTTGCGTTTCCCTACATCGAATGCATCCATACACGGGCATGAGGCATAGACTGTATCAAGTGAACTGTTCTCGTCGGATCATCGTGTGTTCCCCGGGGCTCAAGGTCCCTCACATCTGCTAAGTCATAAAGTCACATTCATATGCACGTCAATTTTACTACTCCCCAAGCCTTCTGGGCAAGGTTGTACAGTACGGAGTACTGATTGGTTCTTGCGTTCTGCTGTGTCCAAGTCGCAGTTCGAGGTATCTATAAGCCACTCTTGAGGGGTAAACTAACAGATCCTTCACCGATTGACCTGGTGTAATGAACATGTATAACAATGGTCTCCAGCGTTGGATAACAACAGTTACATACTGTACAATGACTCGCCTGCAAGAAAAATAATATTCCAAGGGTGCATTCAATTCCAAAAGCCATGGATACTATGAAAAATATGTCCTGTAGCCATAACGTACTCATCGACGCATAACAGTACCGAATCCATTTTCAAGACTCAATTTCAACCAGAGCCCCTTTGGCTTTCAGCTTACAGAACCACAATTCCTTCTCACTAAACATCCACATACCGCCCCTAACAAAATTGAAATTGGCTGTAGTTCCTCCAACAACAATCTTTCCCAGCAATGTGCCTTGCGAGTCCCAGACATGGACACCATTCCCGCAGCCCGAGTAAACATACCCCCTGGTGTCACACTTGATCCCGTCGGGCACGCCTGTATCACAATACGCAAAAGTCCGTCGGTTGGCCAAGCGCTTTCCTCCATCAACCACATCGTAGACATAGATCGTTGCCGGTTTTCTTGGATCTGCGAAGAGTTGGTGCCCATCACCTGGCCCATTGTGAGCCTGGATAGCACCAGTGTCTGTGACATATAACCTGGAGTAGTCGGGGCTAAAGCACAGCCCGTTACACATTTCAAACCCGTCGGCTGCTACAGAGCAGTCCCCCGACGAAGGATGCAGCCTGTACACCTGGGCGGGTAAATCTGGCGGTGGTCGAAAGGCCTGTGCATATCCGTATGTGGGATCAGTGAACCAGATCTCTCCAGTGGAGTGATGCACGACTACATCATTCACTGAGTTGAACTGGCGTCCGTGGAAATTATTGATAAGTATCTCCGACTCAGCCGTAACAGGATCGACAAGAACCAACGCCGATGGAGTGTCGAGGTCACCCTGTGCGCAGTACAGCACTTTGTCATGATAGTTACATGCGCCATTTGCTTGGACCACCGCAGGGTAGTCCAGTTTGGATACCTGGCGGGTATCGCAATCGACTGCATATAGCTCGATTGGGTCACAGCTTTGGAAGTTGGCGGTGAAGTAGACAGAGTTTGTTGTTTTGATGTAGACGCCGGCTTCGTGTGCAAACTGATAGTGGCGCTTTTCAATCAACTCGAGCTGTGGGGGATCAGGCTCGGAGCCGAGAACATCATCGATAAAACGAGAGTCATAGACAAGAAAGCATGGGTATCCAGTAGTAAGGCTAGAGACGTGCGAAGACTGCTTGACTGCGAGAGACTTGTCAATGTGGACGACGGGCGTAGCTGAGACTTGCGTCATTTTCTTGACGTTGATGCTAGATTCTTACATTAACACGCGGTTCAACAGATGAAGTATGTAACGATATAATAGAAGGTCGCGCCTAAAAAGAGAAAGTAAGAGATATTAAATCCCGCGGGGCTGAAAGGAATCGCATGCATATTATTCTAAGCGTTCAATACGACCTTTCCTGCTAGCCCCTTGCTGAACAGCTTACTGTCCACGCAATAACTAAGTGACCACCTTTGCAGAAAGCTACACCACAGTTTCTACAAGGGTAATCGAGCCGCCATCGGGGCTTGGGGTAGTCCGGACCTTGATATATTGGGATTCCAGTGACATGCAAGATAAGTGTATCCATTCTACCTCGTCCAAATATTCAACAATAGTGTACATGCACAAGGCAGATTTTAATAACAGATCCTCGAAAGAAAGAGAAAAGCAAAACGCCAGACCATGTTTCGTCCTACGCTCAAAGGACAGAAAGGAAGAAAACGTAGACGAAACCCAGGGTGTATTTGAAATTAGTAACGCGGAACGTGTAGGGACGATTACGGGAGAAAGGAGGAAAGAAAAGCACTACTCATTGCCATCATCGTTCATTTCAGTGTCCGTACCGGTGTTCCCATCAACCTTTGCTTGGTCTTCCAGATTACCAGACGGATCGGTGGACCCTGTGCCGAACAATTCGTCATCATCACCATTGACTGCCATGTCAGGCGGTGATAAATTGGGCTCCTCAGGTTCCTCTTCATCCTCATCGTCTTCAACGCGCAAGCTGGCCTTCTTGCGTCGCCGTGAGACTAAAGTATCTTCATCATCTTCGTCTTCATCGGCCCTGACATCACGCATTTCTGTATCATCATTATCATCCGCTGCGGCTGGGCTGCCATCTGTAGCCGGCGCCGCATTTTCATTTTCACTCTCAGATTCGACAACAATTTCGGTACTCTTGAATTTGTTCGATTTTGCTGTAGTTCTTCTTTCCAAGCGTCTTCTCCTTTTTGGAGCCGGTTGGTCGTCTGCTTCAGAATCAGATGCAGAACCAGAGCTCTTCGCTCGGGACTTTCGTGACGATTCCCTTTCTTCACCATCCTCTCCCTTCTTCTTTCGCTTTCCGCCAGCCTTCTTCCTTCGTTTTATTTTTTCGCCAGTTTCACTATCGGTGGTATAATCAGCAGCCTCTCTTTCTTTTTCTGCTTGAGTACGAATAGCAGCGAGTCGTTGAGACTCTTCAACCATTCGTGATCTTTCCTCTGCCATCTGACGCTTCCGTTGGGCTTCGGCCTCCTGGACTTTCTTCTGTTCTTCAAATCGCCGTTTTTGTTCCGCTTCGCGCGCGTCTCTAGCTTGTTGCAATTTCGCAGCATTCTTCTCTTCGTACTCTTTTTGGCTCTGCAAGGCACGCTGAAGTTGATTAATCGTCGTGTTCTTAATCATGTTTGCACGTTGCTCGAGGGAAATGGCAGGATAAGGGGGATTAGGTGCTTTTGCAATTTTCTCGAAAGAAAGTACAGCTTCTTCGAGGCCAGCCAAGGCTTCTTCGGTTTCCTGGGCAGTTTTCTGCGTCTCAGGCAAGTTCAAGGCAAGATGAGCTATTTCATTTTGCACAAAAGCAATGTTGAAGTCGAGATGCTTCTGCTCTGGGGCAACAGAGCGAGCACGTTGTGCATATTCCAAAGCTGCCTTCATTGAAGTTATGTTTTTTTCCTGCTTTCCTTTCAAAAACCATACGCGACCAAGGCAAGACAGGACCTGTGGATCCCTAGCTCTATCCTTAGAGAGGGCAATTTCATACTGTATTGGTGAGTTAGTAATCGTAGAGAGAAATTTAAGAAAAGGTGGCGCTTACATTTTCAATCGATTTTGAGAATTGTCTCGTCTCTGCGAAGACATGACCCAGGTTCAAATAAACGCTGGCGTCTCGTATCGCATCCCGTACTTTAGAAAAGATTTGAACTGCGGAAGAGAAATCCTTCTTATCGTCGACAAGCGCGATGGCAATTCCTTGAGCCGCATATGCATTTTTCGAGTCAAGTTGAAGAGCCTTATCAAAAAACTCAACTGCCCTGTCATACGTCTTTCGCCGCCTCTCTCGATCTTGCTCCCCGTCTCGTCTCATATCTCGCGCTGCTATGAGATGGATATTGCCCATTCCAGTAAGAGCATATCGATCATGCTTATCATAGCTGAGAAGAGTATGTTTGTAATGCCGCTGTTCATGGTCCTCTGCGATATTGGCTATCTTGCGTTTCGATTTATTGAGATACCACCCAAACAGGGCGCGAACTTCCAAATTCGTAGCCTCTGCCTCGTATAGCTTTGCCATCTGTTTTGGACCTTCGTCGGTCGGACTTTGACGCAGTAGCATGTACGTAAGTCGAGCATTTGCCTCCGTGTAGTCGCTGTGTCTTTCCAATAGACCTTTGTAAACTTTCTCAGCTTCTTCTAGCATTCCTGCGGCTTCATAAGTACGCCCAAAGTTATAACTGATCGTTGTAACAAGCGCATCTGTATCAGTACCGTCATCTTTCTCCTGTGTTTTTACGCAGGCATTGAGAGCGGCCTGAAACATGGCCCGGGCCTGGTCCATCTTATCGGTCTGGTAAAAGAAACAGCCCATGTTGTTCAGCAATTGAGGGGCTAGACGCTCTCGAAGGATGCTAGCCATTGTTTCCTCATTCTCAACGTCGCTAGGTTTATCCTCATCTGGAACCTGAGCAAGCTGAATTTGTTCAACCTGAGAAAGGCATTGCATACTCTTCTCTGGCGCGGCACTTTCGTATAGTCTGGCAAGATATAGCAAGACAGATATATCTGGCGAGATCTTCTTCTTTTCATCCTTCCACGATGCCCGTACGGCTTCAAGAAGGCTGATAGCTTTTTTGATTTCAGCGGATTTTTCCTCTTTTACTCCGCTTGCTGCAGCTTCAAACACTTCTTCAGCATAAAGAGAGCCCAACAGGGTCATTGCCTCTGGGTTTTTCAGTTGCTGGACAATTTTTTCAAGACGAAACTTTGCGCCATCCAAATCTTTCATACGAATCTGCATTTGCACAGCGCCAAACTTTGCAGGAAGGTACCCCTTATCCAAACCTCCTCTAGCCTGGTCAGCACGGTTATAGTAATCCTGGGCCTTCAGTGCATCTCCATCCTCGTGCTCTTTTCGAGCCAATAAGTACCAGCCATCACTAGCGATCCCGTTGACATCGGTGAGTTCAATCGCTTTTCTCGAGAGAGCCTCAACAGTGGGAAAATGTCTGCGAAGAAGGAAGTATCCACCAAACATAGCACAAGTCATTGGGTATTCTTTATCTATTTTGAAGGCTTTTTGTGTGTACTGAGTCATTGCAATCTTGTATAGAGAACCGAACGCAGGGTCGGATGTTGGATGACGAGAACTATCGTAGAGGTAGTAAGAGGCAAGGAGAATATTAGCGACTTTGGATTCCGGATTCTGTAATCAATTAGAGACATGCAAATCAAAAGATGGAGGAATTTCCCATACTAAAGCAAGAGCTCGGCTCCAGGCCACTTTGGCTTGATCCTTGAGATCTAGTTGCCATAGACAGCAACCAATCCCAATCCGAGGGTCCGGATCTGTCATATTTGGCATTTTGATTAACACCTCCTGATATCCTTCTAGAGCCTCGGCATAGCGCCCAAGCATGTAGTGGGCTCTTGCGCGGCCCAGTATGGCCATGATATTCCTGTTTCCAGAAGCTTTGGAGGCCTCCTCGAAACACTTTAGCGCTTGTCGCAAGGACTCGACTCTTTCTGAAGTGTCTACAGTACCGGGCCGGATCGCCTTGGCTGGAGGTTGCAGGGATGCACGTAGGATGGAGAGTACGCCGCGCGCGAGAAAAAGCGGAGGATAGGCGGGGTTGATGCGAGAGGCTTCGTTGAGGGTAGCAGTGGCAGCCTGGAGATACGAATCTTTAGTTCTGACCTCAGAGGCCAATTGTCCCTCGGGAGTAACTCTGGGAGCCTGTCTGCTTTTGAGCAAGTACAGCCAGCAGATCCAGCCCAGAAGGCCGAGCTTCTCCTTCGACTCGCCATGGGTCAAAGATGCTATTCCACGATTCAGGATCTCGATGGCCAAGTCAAGTTGGTCATGCTTCGCGTAAGCGAGAGCTATTATCACCCAAAAATTCTTTGAAGCTTGTTCGTTGTCGAGTAGCGTGCAGAGTTCGGTAGGATCTTCGGGGAGTTCTTCAAGACTGATTTCGACTTCAGTATCAAAGGAGGAAGCGGGGATATCGATCGCGGAGGGGATATCGGAGAATCGGAGGGTTGCGCAAAGGGCATCCGCTGAGCTATCCTCAACGGGTGCGGCGCCGTTCACATGGCCATTCTGAAGGGAGGTCATGATGGAGAGTCGTCGCAGACCAGTGCAAGCCGGCACTGGGAGATTAGTGGTGATAAAACAATCAATGCAACATCACTGCATGACGACTGAGAAGATAAAGCCACTTAAAAAACCAGAGAAGAAGCCGAGCTCAGAGGAAAGAGTTTGAGATGTTTGAAAGGTTCGTTGCATTCGACTCAAAGTTGAGAGCGCGAGAAGCGCCGACTGCCAAGATAACCCACTAGCCACATGTGTGGCGCATGGCTGGCTCCAGCTACAGGTCTTATTTAGGTACAAGAGATATCACAGAAAAGGAAAAGTAGCCGAGGAGGCATAACAGGCCGGGAACTGTTATGCCAGAACGTGCTCGGCTCACATATAGGAAAATCTACCAATGCAACCAAAAATCAAGCCAGGTCATCAACATCATTCCTCAGTGAGGATGGGCCCCTCACAGCAACACCAGATCGCCTCCGCTACGGCCCGAGAGAATGACAATGGGTAAACGCCAGATTCCACCATATAAGGGTACAGAAAGGAAAATTGTGACTCCAAAAAGCTGAGGCAGCTTAAGTAAAAGGTCGAATGAGCACTCTCAGCGCGAGGCCGAGCATGCCAAGCACAGTAAATATCTTGCCGGCTTCAGCCCAATGACCCAGCTTAATCTCGCTCTCAATATATTGCTCTTCGCTTGTGCTGGCTGCCGGACCATCGACATTTGGAATGCCTTTGTTTGGATCAACTTCCGCTTGGAAAGAGGGGAAGCGGCCGTGTTCGACGAATTGCTCCAGGAGTTGATCTTTCTCCTCCCATCGTTCGTAGATCCAGGTCTCAAATTCTTTAGGGTCGTCGAGGGGGATTTCAGAAATAGGGAAGCGCCGCCAGTAAAAGTTGACGGCTTTTGGTGGGCGTCCTTTTATATAGGTAGACCGAAGGGTGAAATAGGCGTCAGCGTAGCTCCCTTTACTATAGGCGCGAACACTCAGGTTAGCATGGCACAAAAAGGAGACACTAACCAGTACTTACGGAGGGCCTTCATAACCAACTGTGCAGTCGTAGACATAGTCAATCGTGTTTCTTAGTTGCTGAAGGCAGAAAAATAGGCCAGTGGAGCGAGGAAGTAGTACATGCTTAGGCAATGGAATCCCTTGTTTCTCACAATAGGCGTCACTTCTTCTTTTGGTGTTCTTAGATAGGTTTGTGCCTTCAGGGAAAATCAGGAGCCACATCGGGTCAAATAATGGGGCCCCATTGGAAGAAGTCCCATGCGTCGTCTTCAACTTTTGTAACCGATGTTCCAACCGTGGCTTATCTTGAGCCCACTTACGTGCCATGAAAATAAAGCCGTATATCCTCATCCCTTGTCCTATAAGTGGGATATACTTGAGCGACTCCTTCAAGATTATGTATATATACCCGTGCATATTATTGGTATAGGTGACCCACCACAGGTAAAGCCAGTCGGTGTACACTTGGTGGTTCGCGATCAAAACTAGGCGATTGGGAAATTTCGTGACTACCCTTCCGTCTGGCTGAAGGCTGAACTGATCCCGCATGCTATAATTCCCACTGATGCGGACGGGAGTAGGGCTGCACCATTCTGTAAGTGCAGTGATGATAATACCGAAGAATTGTTTCGTCATCGCAATATACGAATAATACCACCGCCTGTTGATAACATACAACGGCAAGCCAAGTGTCTGTGTGATGACAATGGCTACGCAGCTGCAGTTGAACCAGGATATGATCAGCATGCCACGAAGTATCTGTATGAGAAGGCCGTAATTTCCCTCAGGCCGGTCATATTTATGCTGTACAGTCTCCTTTAGAGCTTCCCAGCCCGATGGAAGTGTTTCGGGAGCCACCGGCTTCCGCCGCATTGCGCCATTCGTCGTCATTTGGAGTGCTGTTTCGTCGTCCTAGGAAGAGTAAAGGTGGGAGGTCTGGGTTCCTGGATGCCTTGGAAGGAGGGGCCAATGCCTCAGGTGGATGGACTATACTGTGAGTTGAATCAATAAGCTGAGGCCCAAACCCAGGATAACGTCAACGACTTTATATCAAGTGCTCACATGTCCAGATGCCTTGTATGGCACGGTTGGCGCCGGGCAAGTCGCAGTCAAAGAGCACAATACAAACGTTTTGATACGCTAAGAATACTGATGATATTGAGAGCACAAAGCTTCAAACCCAAGGCCGGTTAGTCGCAGCCATACTGCTCGCTTAGCAGCCCAAGCTTCGCCGCAGCCCTTCCAATTGTGAAGCCGCATTTCACGGCCGCCAAGCTTTGTTGCCTGCGAACCGCCCGTCTGTGGCGGCATCACGTCAGAGCAGGTGACCGCGGGCTTGGCACCACTTGCCGCGCTTTGAATTCTGCCTGAGTCACGACACATCATGCTACGAGCGATGCGTTGTCAATAGCTAACATGAGATAGCCGGGATTATATGTTCTTTGCTCTTTGTGTATGCACCTGCTGAGAAATATTGATGGCAACCAACGTTCGTATGTACTCCGTAGAGTCTGTCAGCGAACGGCTCTGCCATTTACTCATCTCCGATATAGGACCAAAACCCGGGTTCCATTACCTGACCGGCGCTGTATATAGACCTTGACGCGAGTAACCAACAAAATGCTGTTTGTAGCGAGCCGTTTTCAAAGGCCACCACCGGCTCTGCTTTTGAAAAGGCTCTTCCGAAGTCGCGAATTCTCCAGCTCTCCATGTTTACGACAAATCGAAGACGTAGACAAGCTTCCAGATCGCATATCTCCGCGGTATGAAGGTGTGCGTTGAATCAGCCCAAAAATAATAACCGCGCTTCTTCTAACTTAAGCACCTACGATAGAGTCGAAAGGCAGTGACCTACTGGCTCTGCGATGGCCAACGCCGCCGCGAAACATTCTCCTTGTCCGGAAGAAAGGGGCCCCAGCTGTAACCAAATCGGTTATGGAGTTTGCAAAGTTGGTGTTGTCTGCGCATGCCCTATTTTTTTTTCTATGCTAATAGAGCCGCAGTCATATCAAATCTACCTACCCCTTGGTTTCTGTTGTACTCGAACGAGACACCGCGAACGAAATCCATGGGTCATTAGGGTTCCCCGTATATACAAATACGACGTCTACGGACATGCCCCCTCGAAAAATCGATTTGGTGGTGACATTGGGGGGAGACGGCACCATTTTGCGCGCCTCGTCCTTCTTCGCGACATCGAAGACGGTCCCACCTGTTCTTTCGTTCAGCATGGGTACATTGGGCTTTCTGGGGGAATGGAAATTTTCGGAATATAAAAATGCTTTCCGAGAAGTGTACATGTCGGGCTCGGCCCCAGGTTTGCAATCGCGTGAGCCTGTGGCCTCATCGGTACGCCCTGCGGAGGGGTCCTTGGAGGATATGGGGGCGGAAACACCAGCACGAATTCTGGTGAGGAGTCGGATACGATTCGGTCTGTTCACGCGGGACAAAAAACCAGTGTACGGCAACGGAGTGGCCATGTCGCCGTCGTCGTCATCGGCTGATAGCGACGATGACCACGCCGGGGTGCATGCGATGAACGAGGTGGTGATTCATCGAGGCAAGCAGCCGCACCTTGCGATTGTGGAAGTATATGTTGGCGGGCGATTTCTCACAGAGGCGGTTGCGGACGGAATGATCATTTCCACGCCCACGGGGAGCACGGCATACAGCCTCAGCTCCGGCGGCAGTATCATCCACCCGCTGGTGCCGTCCCTGCTGCTGACGCCCATCTGCCCGCGCAGCCTGAGTTTCCGGCCGCTGGTGATCCCGTCGCGGACGCCGGTGACGCTGCGGCTGAGCGAGAAGAACCGGGGCGACGAGGTCGAGGTGAGCGTGGACGGCGTGGTGGTCAAGCACGGGCTGCGGGTTGGGATGGAGATTCAGGTCTGGGGAGAAGATATCGCGGTGGAGGACGGGGCGTGGCACGGGGGGATCCCCTGTGTGATGCGCAAGACGATCGGCACAGGCGACGCCGCGGACGGATGGGTTGGGGGCCTGAACGGGCTGCTGAAGTTCAACTATCCGTTTGGGGCGGAGCCGTGAACAACGGCGGCGGCGGCGTGTGGAAACCGGGCTACAGGCGACTTAAAACAGTCGAAGCTCGACGGGCGTGGGCGATGCTCGCGTCCGTCGTTTGCGCCGGCGAAACCCAGTCCCCCGCCCGACGGAGCCCCGATGATATGCCGGGCCGATGTGCAAGTCCTCCGTGGGGTGTAGTTAATGTAGAGTATTGAACTATACACAGCGCTCTCTCTCCACCATAGCTGCTGCCCGTATGCAGCGCGCTTCCAAACACGCTCGAGCTTGACGTGCCCACACCGGCTGCAGTTTCAGCTCCGCGCGGCGAGCGAGCGAGTTACATAGCAGCGCGCAGCTAAGCCAGTCCAATGCGACGTGCACGCTCCGCCTGCGTCTGGTCGCGTTTCGGACAGAGTGCTCCCTCCTGCTCCTGGGCGTATTACCGGCGTCTGTTCTCGAAAACGCCGTGGAATTGTCGGGGCGATCCCGAAGCATTAATAATGATACTATGACCACAACATCGCAGCTCCGCGAGCGACCCGGCCACGGCTAGGGAGCGGGTTCTGTGCGGTCGGCCGCGGCGCCGCCAGCCCCTGTCATGGTCAACCAGGGAACAGCACTGATTAGGTTTCAGACAACGGGCAGAAAGGGGGCGGCCAGCGCGAAAGGGGCCCTGGCCGCAAGCCTAGGACTGTAGTGCAGCCAGCAGCCCGCCAGCGCACGGCGTAGAGGGGCGCATGCCGGTTGATTCCAGGAGGACGCCGTAGCCAGCCAGCCAGCTGCCAGACGTGCTCGCCGCGAGTCTGGCGTGGGCTGGCAGGAGGAAGTTCAGCTGCGAGTTGAGTGGGCTAGTTAGCTCGTCCCGCCCCCCCCCAATCTAACCACTAGTGAGTCGGGCGAACCAACTCCATCTGTTCCAATTCCTCGCCCTCGCTGCTCTTCCAACGCTCTCTGCCCGTTCAATCCCCTCCCTCCAGCTTCACGCTTGCCGCTTGTTCTCTCGCTGGGTCGTGCTCTGGCGTGCCCGACCGCACTCCTCCCGCTCGTTAGCTGGCTTCCCAGCGCGTCGCCCTGCTGCCTGATCGCCACCTTCACTTCATGGCCAGGCCCTCCTCTCTGCACCAACCCCCAATGCCCGCCCTCTAACACTCTCCTTTCGCGAAGTTATCAATTGTCCGCGAGCGTGCAAGGTGTCCTTGTCCTAGACAGCCTGCTTAAGCACTGTATTAAGGTCTATCTCCCTGGTTCCCTGAAATCCCTTTCTCCCTGACGCGTCGGCCACAGGGCAAGGTGGGACCGCAACACCATTTCCTCTGCTGCACATTCTGCCCCGGCGTGGTTCATGGTTTGCTGCGCTTATGGGTTCAATTTCCTTTGCGCTGCAGATGCTGTCAACTGAAACTCTCATCCTGGCTGCAGGTGGATAACAAGACATTACTGACAATCTTAGCTTTGGAACAGGTCATTAATATCCGCCGTTTAATTCATAGGTTCTTGTAGAACCGCCTAAAACTACCGCGTTACTGCGTCTGCCCACATGAGACTCAATTGATTTGTCAAAATGGCTTCGCAGAAGTAAGTTGTGTTTCTACCACTCTGCAGGAACCTTAAAATCCCCCAATTTTATATCTCGTGTTACGGAATGTGCACTTTATTTCTTCTTTGTACCCTTCTATTGCCAGCAAGTCTCACGTATCGCTCTATAGTGTCTATTCGCAGGACCAGTTCATGAATCCTGGCCCTGCTCCCCGTCCTCCTAGTGCCCGTCCTCGACTCAACACTGCGTCAACCGTGTCCACCACCTCGAGCATTCCAACTAGTTTTAGCCAAATGTCCCTCAATTCTCCGTCCACGCCAACCCTTTCCATATTCCCCAATTCCAGCACGCTATCTTTGAGCCAGAAGAACGGGCAAGGGGGTGTTGCTGTAATCAAAGAGGGCTATGTGCGCTGCAAAGAAGATAAGTTTTTGGCGAGCTGGAACCAGAGATATCTTGTTCTGCGCGAGTTTAAATTGGAGTTTCTGAAAAATGAGACCGGAAAAGTGGTATTGTCGATTCAGCTTAATAATATAACCAATGTCACTCGTTCGGAGGACACGAGGATGGCCTTTGAGATTACCCGCCTCGCGAACCCGAAAGATGCTAATAACCGCGTTACGCTTGCAAATCGAGATGTTGCGACCAAAACCATCACCTGTGAAGTCCGAAGCGATGATGAGATTTATGAATGGATCGACAAGATCTACGAACGCTGCCCAGGTATGGGCGGGGTCAGCAACCCGACTAACTTCAGCCATCGTGTGCACGTTGGGTTCGATCCGCATACCGGTGCCTTCGTCGGCCTTCCAGCTGAATGGGAGAAGCTCCTGACAGCATCGGCTATCACCAAAGAAGATTATAAGAAAAACCCCCAAGCAGTCATTGAGGTCCTTGAGTTTTACTCCGATATCAAGATGCGTGAACAGAACCCTCAGTATTACCAAGGTATAGGCCAGGAATACTCGTCTAGCCAGCGCTCCGCGCAATCTTCTCCGGGGCAGCGACCTGTAGTGCAGCGCAATGAGCCCTCCCAGTCTCAGCGGCAACCCAACAACATGTCGCCAACATCGTCACCCGCATCGATGCGTAAACCTTCAGATGCTGCTTATGCGGCATACCAGCCAGAACGCCCGAAAGAGGCTCCAGATGCTGAACAGCGACGCCGAATGGACGAGGAAGCACGTCGTATTCGGGAGATGCAGCGCCAACGTGAGGAAGAACAGAGGCGTCGTGAACAAGAAGCATATAACGCTTCAATCCCAAAGAATATCACGCCAATTGCACAGCAAGAGTTAGGCGGATATGGTGGCGGTCGGCCCGAGTTATCCAACAACAGATTCAACCCTTCACGCCCCGCTCCAAGTGTTCCTAATGCGACTCGTGCTCGTCAACAGGGCCCAGGGCCGTTCAAACCGATTACCGCTCAACGCGCTGCACCTTCGACCCCCAAGACTGGAACGTCGGCTCCGATGAACACAAGAATGAACGAAGCCGCGAACGGCCAGGGATCTCTACGCTCTGCCCCTCGTGCTGATGCTGCTCGTCAGCCGACAGCAGACCGGTATGGCGCAGAGAAGCGTCCCAACCTCAACTCTCCTGGTCAGCCTCCTAGCCGACTTCCTGCCCCTGTCCAGGCTGTGAAACCACTCAACATTGCAAACAAAACAAAGCCAGATCCGGTCCGACAAGCAGAGGCAGCATTAACCAAGAAAGCTGAGCCCCGCCACAAGGACGTGCGGATGTCCACCATGTCAGAGGGAGAAGTCATGGAGAGGTTGAAGCAGGTCGTATCCAAAGAGAATCCAAACGAATCGTATAGTAAGCAACGTAAAATCGGCCAGGGAGCTTCGGGCTCCGTATATGTTGCGCGTATCAAGGAAACCGCCTCGTCACCTGTTGCTCGTGAGCTATACCGTACTCATGGCCCCAGAGCTCAGGTTGCCATCAAACAGATGGATCTTAAGAGCCAGCCACGCAAGGAACTTATTGTTAATGAAATCATCGTGATGAAAGATAGTCAGCACCCTAATATTGTGAACTATCTGGATTCATTCCTGCAGGAGCAAAACAATGAGCTCTGGGTTGTTATGGAGTATATGGAAGGCGGACCTTTGACTGACGTGATTGACAACAATGCCCATATCCAAGAGGATCAGATTGCTGCGATCTGTTATGAGGTGAGTAATAAGGCACGTCATGTTCTATTGAGAGGCATCTGACACCATCTGTAGACTTGTAAGGGACTGGCACATTTGCACAGCCAGTCAATCATCCATCGTGACATCAAGAGTGACAATGTCCTGCTTGATCGTGTTGGAAATGTGAAAATCAGTACGTGTTTGCTGTTGACTCACATGATCTTTCATGTTTGAAATCTAACATGTCGTCTAGCCGATTTCGGTTTCTGTGCCAAACTCACTGAATCGCGAAACAAGCGTGCAACCATGGTGGGAACACCTTATTGGATGGCTCCAGAAGTAGTGAAGCAAAAAGAATACGGACCACGAGTGGACGTCTGGTCTCTGGGCATCATGGCCATTGAGATGATTGAGTCAGAACCCCCATACTTAAACGAAGAACCTCTGAAGGCCTTGTATTTGATCGCTACCAACGGCACTCCAGAGCTTAAGAGACCCGAGAAATTGAGCAAGGAGCTGAGGGCATTCCTTAGCATTTGCCTTTGCGTTGAGATACACTGCCGAGCTACCTCGGAAGAACTGCTCAATCATGAATTCCTGCGCACTGGCTGTAGTACTGCTCGCCTTGCAGAGCTTCTCGCTTTTAAGAAAAATGCTAATCAGTAAAAACGGGTATCCTTTCAACGATCTACCTTGGGCGGGAAAGAGCAACGCGAATTGCAATAACAGTCAGCGGCATCATCGATTCGATCGACTAAATCATCTCCGACTTTTTCCGTCTCCCAGAACATCTCTGTTTTAACTCAAAGTTTCTGCATATGTCTCATTTTCAGGTCCGATTTTCGTCAGCCTTCTTTTTTTATTCGCACTCCATCGACCCGAATCTATATCCCATCTGCATTATTCGATTTTCTTTTTTTTTTTTGACCTCAGATGTTTTGTTGTTGGGTATGCCATGGAAACTCGGCGCTCGACAATACTACCTGGCAGGCGTTTTTTTAACGGATCCAATGAACTCTTCGATTGTAATTAAAGGCAAAAAACAAACAAAAGACCCATGGTCAACGGCCGCCCATCTGCACTGCTTATGTTTTGCTTTTCCTCCCCCCATTTGGACAGGTTTCGAGGCGGAAGCTCCAACGACTATTTCTCCAAATACGATCTGACGCCTGATACGTTGACCGTGCGATCTTTTATGCAGTTTGGTTCGCAATTTTTCTTAGGTTTATTAAGTTGGTCTTCCATATTCTACATATCCCTTTTTTTGCTTTTTTTCTTTCATCCTTCCTAGTTTAGTGGAGAGCTATATTTGACATACCTGGCATCTTGAACGAACAAGAGTTCCGTTGCTGGGTGGTCTCAGGTGTATACTCTGCATTTTAATTAGGAAAACCACCAAGTTATTTTCTGTGTTTCTCTTGAAAAAAACTATGCGAAGCGAATGACCACGTAGTAATTCTTATTTGTGTCTTTGTATCTACCCAATTGCTTAAATTGGGGGGATTAGGCTATATAGACAGCCAACCAGCCAGGGTTCGGCGTTTCCTTTATGACTTTTGGCCCAGTAACAGCTGATCGAAGGAATCGGCGTCTTAGGGATGACTAAAAAGCCGCTCCACAAACAGCAAGGCCAATCAACCCCCTGTAGTTAACCCTGCAACAGCACGGAAGAGAACGGCTTTCAAAATCCCTGCGCGGATGGAGGGGGGGAAAATACGAGGACGAGCTACCACATCTGCGGAGAACTCATTCCTTCTCGGAACAATAAAATGACATACATACGGTACACTTACTACTAATAATACTAGAAAAACTGGTAACGGCGTTGCTACCACCGGTCTCTTCCAGGCGGATGGCTGTTGGAAGCGGGATGGCTCCCCCGAGGCGGCTTGGAATTCCTTGGGTTGGGAATGCTTAGCTAACTAGCCTTTGGGCCTTTCCGGGTTCTCGGACCCAGCAAGGGATCCCACCGTAGTGGTAGGCGGGCTGGGCGGGCCAACGCATCGGCTGGAAACGACGGGCATTGGAGCAAGAGGGGGGAGGGCACGCAAATGATAGTCCAGTGCGTTGATCGGCATGGGCACTGGAATTTGTTTTGAAGGAGGCGATATAGCAATTTGTTGATGGTTTTAATTGGTTTGAATATTATTATTATTTGTCTGACGGTGGAATTTAAAAAAAAAAAAGCGGTCAGGGCCTTTTGAAAATTGCGATGGCTTGGGATAAGAATAACAAACAGGAACAACATGCATTAGGCCATTATATGTTACTGTAGTATCACTGGTGGAAAAATTTTTTTCATGTGCCCTCGGAATAATAATGCTTAACTAGCTAGTAGGCTGCCACAGGCCTTCGTGCCACGACTATTTTGGCTTTACCCACCACCCTTTCGCCGTTGACGATTTCCAGCTTCACCTTCTCGCACAGGTCAATTACGTCCTCCGCGTTCCATCCCATATGTCTTGTCAGCAGGCGCATGCTTTCGGCTTCCAGACCTTCTAGCAGCACAATCAACGCCATCTTGCCCATCGTCATTGCCCTTGGACTTGCTGGCCAAGGGCCTATAGGGACGTCGAAATCATATGTCCGGATATCTTTAAATCCAGCAGCAGCAAGTACGCCGGGACGAAGGTGTTCAAAAACGGGATTTTGCCCGTCTAGCTCGGCTGCAGACGCCACCGCAGAGATGTAGATGTTAATGTAAGAATCTGGCCGTAGGTCCCCAGAGCACAGATTTATATCAGTGACCTGGATGGCTCCGCCAGGTGTAAGGTGCTCGAACGCTTGCTCGTACAGATAATGCCAATCGGCGACCGCCCTTGAAAGGCCCCGAACGTGAATAAAGTCGAAATGCTCGCGAAAAGTCCACTTTTCTTCAAAATCATCTATTTGGAAATATACATTTGGCGGAGCAATGCTGATGGACTGGGTATCAAAAACGCTAATATCCGTTGCTATTACTTCCACCTCTGGGTGTTCTTCACCAATCGCAATGGCCCAGTCACCCGGCCCAGAACCAAGATCTAAAATGTGCGATATGGAGTCGGGAAGGGGGGTTTGGGTTAGATGGCCGTCTAAAAGAATGAGAAAGAGTTGGTGGAGGATGCTTAATCGAGTCTGCTCTGCCTCGTCGTTGGGCATGCAATATGTATCATTGCAGTATTGCCGACCGTTCTCGATGACATTGCATGCAGCATGTTCCGATAATGATTTGGTGGATCTGAAAACTGTCAGTAACTATGAAGGAGACTGTGCTATTTTGAGCCTAGAAAACCAGAAGAGATAGAATAGAGTCAACCAACAGTGACAAGGGTGTAATTAACAGAAGCTTACCCAGCATTTCCTGTATCGTCCTCTGCTTCAATGGATAAGTAGGAGTCGATCTGAGAGGAATCAGAGCGATGCGCTTCTGAACTCATGACGACTCTTGTCATGGTAAATGCTTGATCACAGCGAGTGGGGTTTTTTGTTGCAGCAGAATTGCTGCAGCTAATATGACATGACCAAAATAATTTATATTCAGCACGTATGTGGCGGAATTAGTAGGCTGTAAGTATAAGCAATGCTGGGCGAAAGTTCGACATATAAATCACCAGCCACGATGGTGAAGAGAAGATGCTTCGTGCAAAACAAGCGGCAGACTCATCCGCCTATTTCGAGACCAAAAACTAAACTATATGTACTCGTCAATATAGCCGATTGCGGGGTTAAAGGTAGCCCAGGGAGACGGAATTCTGCTGAGACCAACGGGGGCAGCAGGCCGATCTGGCTTCAAGGGTGCATGATAGCGGGGAAGCCAAAGAGATATGCTGGGCCTGCAGAAATGCCGCGCAAGCTCGGACTGCACGCGAGACAGAGAGAAGATGAGCTGCTAGAAGAAGCACCGGATTCCAAGCTCGATGACATTGTGCTCAGACGACTGCACGGATGCGGGTTGACTTTTAACAAGACCAGTACAGCAGCACCGCAACACCGCAGCTCTGGCAACAATAGTCGGCGCAGGGCACGGCTAGCTGGGGGGGCCACAGCGATTCGACCGGCGAGTCGGTTGCGGGACGCTTCCCTGCATGTCCCGACGGCGGATTTCGCTGCTGCAACGCGGCGGTGGCATTTGGACGAGCGATTGACGGGCCACTCGCGGCACTCCAGCGCGTTGGGCCGAAGCTAATCGCGCAGCGGCCAAGCCGACACCTGCAAGCGAGGCCGGCGAGTGACTTTGCGCGAGCGGATTTTTGTTGTTGAGTTGTCGTTGTGTCCCGTGGCTGCAGGGCATCCCAGCAGTGAACGGGTGGTGAGCAGCGTTGCGCTGGTCATGTTGAAACGCACCCAGCTCGTCCAAGAGACATCGAATGCGCTGGAAATTGCTTCTTTCGTGTCAGACGCCGTGTGAAGAGACATGAAAATTTCGCCATGGATGCCCAAGTGCGTGCATTTGTCTGCATCTGGCTGCCCCGGCGACTAATCGGACGGCTACTTGAGTCAAGCGTGCATGCATCACGAACTACTCCAGGCGCACAGCACATACGAGATATACCACCAAATCCGGCCTTCAAATCTCTCTTTTCGGCGGATCGCCTGAATCACAGCCTGCATCTCCTACGACCCTCATCCCGTTCCGCCTGCCGGATGCATGAGGCGCTCTGCAAGGCACCAGCTATCACCAGGCCAAGTGGACCACGCAGCCAACGGGGAATCATGCCACTGTTACTGTGTCTCCCTCTCCGATGCACGCGCTTCCTGTTTGGGGGCTGACGCTCGTGTTGGCTGCTCTTTCAAAGGAGATGATATTCTGCGAGTCAGTCCTACTGTATTCCAGTTTGCGCTCTCGTTCAAACCCAAATCTGCCCACGCCTGTTGGGCCGTTGGAAACGGCCGCCAACCAGGGTTCTCGGGCGCAATTCATATTGTGCTGGATGAATTGCATGCAGAGTAATAGGAAAGCCCTGTTTCTGGAGTATTCGACTTGTTTTGAGATGCTGGCATGCTGCCCCGAGGCTAGCCTTCGAGAAGTATTATTAGCAGCAAATATGCATCATGACCTTATGCCCACAGGCCTTTTTAATCCAAAAGTGCCAAGCTAGCGAGGAAACAACCATATTGCTCCTTCCAATACGATGTTGAGATTAGGTATCATGGGTTCCAGGCCCCTTTTGATACGGTATGATGCTTTGAAATGCCACTTTTGGCGGGTCCTAAATAGACACCTTCACATGGCAGTGCTATACTGATTGCCTGCCTTTTACGTCCTCTGCGAGAGGGTGTTGGCATCAAAGACGTGGCCATTGAAAACAGGTATATTCAAACTTGTCCTATGCCTATTGAAGTACGAGATTGTTCTGATTGGACATGACCCTGGTTGAGAGAGGACCGCTGGTGGAGTCACGGCGTCATTACGGCGGAAGAGAACCCCTATATTGCATTCTTTATTCCCTTCGCCGAGTATTGTCTTGCCAGACGATTGTCACGTTGGCACAACTCAGTTCATTCCCCAGTCAATGATCATCCCCTCGAAACCGGTAAAATTGCGTTAATATAGCAAGGATCTCTGCCCTGAAGAAAGCATCCTCCACCCATAATCTACCTTTTCGAGCATATACCCGAGCCGCGGCCCCGGAACACGCAAGCTGAGAGCAGCATTGGCGTTTCTAGGATGCACGCTTTCGGGCCGGTCCGATCCGTCTCACCAGGTGATCTTTTGCATACGGACCATGTTGGCGAAACGTTGCCTTCTTTTGCCCAGGGCGTTGGTAGCACCATGGTGGTTTCGTTGGTCGACCAACAAGCAGATCTATTTTCTTGTTTCTGTGAAGGACTGACGTATGCGATTGGAGATGTGTGGACGTTTTTCATTCTATGAAAACGACAGGTAGGCAAGCGATACATTTGATCGGGAAAAGAAATAACCGGTGTGTAGAAGCGAGGCAGAGTATCAAAGCTGAAACTTTGTCCGCTGCTTTTCCATGCGACCTTTCCATTCCCATTCCTGTCCACTATGCCTCTGTATCCCTTTATCTATCCGTCTTAATTTTAACGTAAACCGAGGTCCCAGCTCCTGTAGACCTGCCCTGATACCTTCGACACCCTTAATTTCCTTACCATCTGCATCCACAACGCTCTTCTCTGTTTCCCGCTTTTCTCTGAAAACATACCGATGCCTTCTTACAAATATATAGTCCCGCTGGTTGTGCAGGGTCACTACCTGCCGGCCTATGAGTTCTGGTTGAGGCGGGAAGAGAGTGCGGAAAAGATGTGCTGTAAGTAGGCCCAAAGGCGTACGGAAGTTGTTGAGTATCAGCTCTGGCCAATGGCCAGTGGAGTTTCCATGGCCAGGAAGCTTCTTGCCTTCGATCCAGTTACTTACTGAAAAGTGGAATGTTGGTCCAACTGGCAAGTGGACCATTGTCAGTCCAGATACCCGCTTTTGATCCTCCTCTACCACGACCACCGTTGTATAGTTCCGGTTCGAAGCGAATTGTGAGATTTCTCTAACCGAGAATTTGTGGCTATATCGGTGTGAGGAGCGGCGAATATAAACGCTGTTCGGGAAGAACTCTGTGAGGATATGAGCTTGATCGTGTAACGTGGAATTGAGCCCTGTTGTAATCAAAATTTTAGGAGAAGGAGGAGCGTCTTTTGGAAATAGACTGGGAAATTTGGCGGCTAGGGTATCTGGCGTAAGGTCGAGGTTTGTGCTTCTCATAGATTGTGTAGGGCTAGTAGCGCGTTCCGTGGCAGACCGTATGTTTGACTTCCTCATCTCGTCACGCTTGTTGTTCTCGCGCTCAGCTTTATTCTCGTCATCGCCATCACTCTCAGAATCAAGCATGCTGTCCACATCATCCTGTTCATCATCATCTGAACCCACCAAGCCTTGCTCCTCCTCCTCTAATGGCTCATTCTCGTCTTGTCTGAGGCGTTTTATACGCTCGACATCGAAGCTCACCCCCAGGCCATCCTCCACATCACTGTCCACGTCGTCCCAAACTCTTTTTCTTTCTAAAGTAAGCGGTATATTTCGTCTCAAGCGGTCTGCTTTCAGTTTCGGATCCTTGGCCTCTTCTTTCTTCCGTGCGAAACGTTCTTCGCGTGAGAGCTTGTCTTTGGTTTGTTTTCGCTTGATATGCAGCGCCTGTCGCTTCAATTTGTTCGCTGGTTTCTGCTCCAGGGCCCTCAAAGGGGTCTGCCCAGATTTCCTGGACGGCATCGTCTTGAATCGTCACCCGGATCTAGTTGTACTTCCTTCTCGATATCACCGGTCTTTTTTTTTTTCGGACGGAGAAACTATCTGCCGTCGGCCGTTGACTCAAAGGGGGAGACCATAGTAGACCTGCAAGTCATCCTGCACTCTACCCCGCAGCCTCTACACTCCAAGCGTTGCTTTTCAATTTATTTCCCTTCTTTAAAGTCGGTGCCTGGGCCTCATTGCCATTGAAGGCTTTGAATGACTCGTTCCCTTTTCGCGCGCCTTTTTTCTTCAACTTTTCGACCCAGGTCACCCCAAACCAGGCTCTTTTCCTGCACTGTACTTGTAAGCAAAGCGAAGAAACCAATTGCTCCACCAATCGCTGGAATTATGGCGACCACAAAGACAGGGCAACCTCTCGATCGGTCCCTAGTGGACTCTATGCTTCGGAGGCGATTGTTCTACACCCCTTCGTTCGAAATCTACGGTGGGGTATCCGGCCTATTCGACTACGGACCGCCGGGATGCGCTCTCCAAGCCAACATCGTCGATCTTTGGCGAAAACACTTTGTATTAGAAGAAGATATGATGGAGGTGGACTGCACAATGCTCACCCCGCATGAGGTTCTGAAAACCAGCGGGCACGTGGACAAATTCGCTGACTGGATGTGCAAAGACCCCAAGACTGGCGAGATTTTCCGAGCAGATCATCTCGTAGAGGAAGTGCTAGAGTCGCGACTCAAGGGTGATAAGGAGGCACGTGGGCAAAAGGTGCAGGTTGACGAGGAGAAGGAAGCAAAGAAGAAAAAGAAAACCAAAGAGACCAAAGCAGTGAAGCTCGAGGACTCTGTGGTTTCTGAATACGAAGAAATTTTGGCTCAGATTGATAATTACGACGGCGAGGAACTCGGTGCTCTTATCGTCAAGCATGATATCAAAAATCCGGCAACCGGAGGAGACGTTCTGCCCCCAGTCTCTTTTAACTTAATGTTTCAAACCGCAATTGGCCCCAGTGGACAACTTGCCGGATACTTGAGGCCAGAAACCGCCCAGGGACAGTTTCTTACGTTTCAGAAGTTGCTTGATTTCAACCAGCAATCCATGCCATTCGCATCCGCATCCATTGGGAAATCTTTCCGCAATGAAATCTCGCCGCGCTCTGGCCTCTTGCGTGTACGGGAATTCTTGATGGCTGAGATTGAACATTTTGTTGACCCACAAGGTGGTAAAAAGCACCCCCGCTTCCATGAAGTCGAAAATACGGAAATGGATTTCCTCAGCAAAGAAGTTCAGCTTTCTGGAAGCACGAAACCCAATCGAATGACCATTGGAAATGCCGTTTCTACTGGCCTTGTCGACAACGAAACATTGGGATATTTCCTCGCCCGTATTTACATGTTCCTCTTGAGGATTGGTATCGATGAATCTAAAATCCGCATGCGCCAACACATGGCAAATGAAATGGCACACTACGCTACTGACTGCTGGGATGCTGAGCTTTTTAGCAGCTATGGGTGGATTGAGTGTGTTGGCTGTGCCGACCGGAGTGCTTACGATCTTACCGTGCACAAGAATAAGACTGGTGCCCCTCTAGTTGTTAGAGAAACTCGGGCAGAGCCTCTTCGCATTGAGGAATGGCAGGTGGATATCGACAGAAAGAAATTCGGACCTCATTTCAAGAAAGATGGCAAAGCTGTAGAAGCTGCTGTTGATTCACTTTCCCAGGAACTTCGCGAGAAATTATCGTTAGACCTTGAGAAAGACGGAAAGATTATCATTGATGTAGCAGGTGTCAATGGTGGACAGGCAGAGCTGGGCAAGGATCTTATTAATATCGAGAAACGTACCCGTGTGGAAAACGTACGAGAATACACTCCCAACGTCATTGAGCCATCCTTTGGCATTGGAAGAATACTATACTGTCTAATGGAGCATGTATACTGGTCTAGAGAAGGGGATGAAGCTCGCGGTGTAAGTTATCCTCCATTCCCATATGCTTTTCTCTGTAAACCTATCGACTTGCGTGGATTTGATCTGACTTGGTGCACAAAACAGGTGCTCTCTTTCCCCCCTGTAGTCGCTCCCACCAAGGTTCTCCTTGTTCCCCTCTCCAGCCACCAGTCATTCCAGCCTCTGGTAAGGCAACTTACACTTAAACTCCGACGTATGGGTGTTTCCAATCGTGTCGATGACAGTTCGGCAAGTATTGGCAAGCGATATGCAAGGAATGACGAGCTTGGAACCCCCTTTGGTATCACAGTCGACTTCCAGTCGGTAAAGGACAACACATTCACCTTGCGGGATCGAGATAGTATGAAACAAGTTCGTGCTACTGAAGATGAAATTTGCAAAGCAGTCAAGGCTTTGGTTGAAGGCGAAGAGACTTGGGATGATGTTAGAACTAGACTTCCTGAGTTCCTTGGTCAGGAAGTCGAGTAGATCTGGGCCGATATGTCTTCATTTAGAACAGTGATAGAGTTCTGCTCTAATCTTGCATACTTGACGCAGGGTTCTTCAATGGCACATATTTTAACTTCATGTATCTTTGCGGCTTGTGAATAAAAACCCTGTCCATGATTCTAAGCTGTTTTAGCGATGGACAGCTCCAAGTACTGCCTAACTAACTATACGTGGCGTGGTACCTCCGCCTATCCGGTCACATGCTGTGCTAGTTAGTTGACCAACTCCAATGACGTTGAGTTTTGGTCTCAACATCGCTGGCATCAGCTAACTACACTCCACCCTTCGCCCCATCAACTTTCCTCTTCCAGATCAGTTTAGACCAATATATTCTGTACCACTATCTCTTTGCAGTATTTTTTTAGAAATACTTGATACTAGCCGTTCCTCAGGTCGATGGCACCTCACATACCCTCCTCAAAAATCACGGTCTCGTGTCCTCTATTTGGCGCCGATTTCGACCCTCAAAATAATGGCCGTCTGTTGGTAGGTGGAGGTGGGGGTGAAGGGCGCAGCGGTGTTGGGAACAAGATTGTATGCATCTCTACGCTTCTGTAGTTGATTTCGAGTCTCCACTGATACTTGAGGCTCGCATAGTTTCTACTTAACACAGCACATCCAGATAGGACTGCTGAGCTTGTCGACATCACCCTATCACGAGATGAAGACTCTGTAATGTCGCTAGGCATAGCGCAGTCTAGCCATGATTCCCTCGTAGCCTTTGCCGGAATAAACAGCTCCCAAGCCGAACAGAGACAGAACAATAACCAGCACTTACGGTCATTCAAAGTAAAGTACCCGAAGCAAGGCGACCAGAAGTCTCCGTCAAACACAGAACAATCCTCACAAAGTACGCCACTATCGCGTATATCGCTATTTCGGACCACTGCTGTGAAGGGTAAAGAGGACCAAGAGGCATACCAGAGGATTCTGCGGTTGTCGCCTTGGAGAGGCGATTCTCCTCGAATAGCTGCGATAGCAACTGGCCTGGCACCGCAAGGCGAGATCGTCTTGTTTAATGCCAATACCCTGACGCCCCAGGAATCCGATGTTTTGGGGCGAGTTTCCTTAGGCAACCAGGAAGAGGCCGAGGATCTGGACCTATCGGATACAGGCTCCGACGGAAATTTCAATTTTATATATACTAATGGATCCTCACTACATATGTGCGAGGTATTGTTAAAAACGAAGACCAAGTCTTTGGAGTTTCGAAGCGTGTATACCGTTCCACCGGAAAGCGGGAAGAAGCCGAAAATCCGCGCCGTCCGATTTCTCACACCCACCTCCGTCGCTTTACTAATAAACTCTCCGAATCGTTCAGGATGTGAACTGGCTGTACTATCTTTGAAAGATTCGCCGCCGTTGATAAAACGAAGGCGGAGGCTTCATGGTTCCATGAAGATCGGTGTAGGTTTGGATGTTTGCCACTTGAGTCCCTCATCTACGAATGAACAGCAGCACGTTTTTGCTGTATCTGGCAATAACCAATCTATTGAACTCTTTACGATCGACTACTCACCAGACCGGGGCTACGGAAAAATCTACCACTATGTTACTCTTCGAAATTTACATCCTTTCTCTATGACTAAAATTGTGTTTTCGAATTTCATCCATCCCTCCCACCCTGACGCAGCAAAGGTACCTCCCCAGTATATCAAGCTCGCTTCCGTTAGCGTTGGAAACACGGCTGTGGTGCACACGCTGCCCCTTTCCCCATACCCAGCAGACTCTAAACGTCCGCGTTACGTCCTCGTTATACCTGGGCCATCAGAGATCTTACAAAATCTATTCAGCATAATTATGGCAATAATTGTTATTGCCCTGGGGGCTTTTCTTCTGCAGGCATATACTGAACTACAAGGCGATGTTCCTCCAATATTAGGTGTGAAAGAATGGCTGCCTAAGTTGATGCCTCGCAACTATTTCGATAATGCGTGGGAGCTATGACGCGAGGATCCCGCATGTTTGCCATTTAGGCAGCACCTAGAGGATAGACTGGATGTCTTTCCTTTCTTCGTAATGATACCAAATCAAAAGCAATATGCGAGCCAAGTTTTGGATGGAGAGTGTCCTTAATAGTAATGATTTACTTACCTCTTTGTTTTTTGAGGTCTTTTTCTAATCTAATTATATGTTTCATGTATAATCGATGGGGTACGGAGTAGAACAGTGGGAATGAAAGCGAGTCCAGTGGCATAGACCCCAAGCGGAATGACGAGGCTCAAATAAAACTGCCGACCCAAAATCATGAAGACCAGGTAAACATACATACGTACATATAGATCCATCATCCAACCAACCAGTAGCCCATCAGAAAGAATTATAAAAGCGCCGATTATTCAACAAAAACACCAGACAATGCAGCAAATAGCAGGGAACAACGCATAAAAAAACAATACCCCCCAGATTATAAGCTTGAAAAAGATGGGTCCAGCCATCCTAATCGTACAGGAGGAAGCGGTTGATATATAACGAACCCAACTTGTTGCGGCAGCGAGAGCATAAAAAGAATAAAAGGCTTCAACAAAAATAATATTTCAGGGCGGGGGTATATTGGCAAGTGCTAAACGCTTTTTCAGACGAATCAAAACGAGTTGGGAAAAGAAAGTAGAAAGCGAGAAAGCCCTGGCTTGCAGCGGCATAAAGCGGGATACCGAGGAAAGGCTCTCTCCTCGTAAAGGACAAACGAAGCAGTCAAAAAAGCGTGGCATCAAGCCCCAAAAAAGAAGAAAAGAAAAAAAAAATCATTGCAACATTATTGTAGACAAGGGGGGATAATTTAACTACCGGGGGCTGAAAAGTAAGAGGGGGAATAACGAAGAAAAAAAGTCGTTTCATGATCGTAAAGAAAAAGCGTATATACAGCGAAAAAAAAGACGAATACCAAAGACTGACGAGGCATTTCCACTGACCCAAAAAGGCAAGTAAAAAAAAAACGAAAAATTTTCGGGCGCGCGAATAAAGTAGCGTCGATGGCAGTTTCCACCCAAAATAATTGGATAAACTACGTTTGAGGCTAAAGAGGTCTAAACTTACAAAGCCGAACTACCAGAAGAACGACTGCAGCACAGACCAACCCAGCCTCAACAGGACGCGCACGCGACAAAACCGGCATAATCAAAAATGCAGGGGTAGAAAGTCGATGACGACGAACTTGTAGCATTGTTAGCGAATGAATCCTGGGGTGGATATTGGGAAGAAGTTGTGGATAAAAGAGCCGTAAAACCAATCGTTGCAAAAGTGAAAGCTAAAGCGAAATGAGGCGTTGAGTCAAGGAGCCGGACCTAGACGACGTGAAAGTAAACTGAACGAATTAACGAGACCCCAGTCTGCGGGGTCTAACTCGGTGTAAGAAGGCCGTAAGATTTTTAGGACGTTGAGAAGTAAGCATTTTTGGAAGGATGGTGATGAACCCAAACTTAGGTAAGAGAAAGCATGGAAATGACGGTGACGGATTTTTTGTTTTCTTCAAAATCCTTCTTCACCGGCTCTGCAGAGCTTAATTTCACGAACCCATTCGGATTTCAAAATTTGTGATGCAGTGATACGGCGACCAGGATTTGGATCAAGGATGGAATAAATGACATTACGGCACCGAGCCTAAAAGAGAAGACAAGTCAGTGGCTGAATACTACACTGGTTGTTAGGGAGAAGGTAATGGGGTCCACATGCCCGATGAAGGGTTTCGATAGGCGCATAGCCATCTTCGTCCCGTCGGCCTTCTAGGTAGCGCTCGTAGAATTCGTCCTCGTCCTTTTGTGCCACTCTCCAAAGATGCCTACCAGTTCTCATGGCCATATAGATCACGCCGGTAGCCCAGACATCAACCGCGCGGGGGTCGAACTCTTTGTCAACGTATTCCTCTGGAGCGATGTAAGGCGCCGAGCCGCATAAGCCTGCAGTCATATGTGCTTCTTTTTCCCATGCCATGCGGAAGCACTCTCCGTTTCCGAAATCCGTAATTTTCAAAGCGCCGTGTGTCGTTAGGAGAAGGTTTTCTGGTTTCAGATCACGATGAGCAACGCCCATTTCATGCATATACTCGACGCCTCGCATGAGCTGCTTAAAGTAACAGTCGGCTTCGCCAACCTCAAGCTTTCCGGCGGCAAGAATGAGAGTGTATAGATCACCGCCAGCACAATACTCCATGACTTCACAATAGTCACCTTTAGAGTCCTGCATTAAATCCAGAGTGTGGATGATATTAGGATGGCGGAGCGAAGAAGAGATACAGAATTCGGAAGTCAGACGCTTTTGGTATTTTTTGGCCGTCTCCTGGGGTCGACGGCGGAACTCCTTGACGGCATACAACTGTTCTGTTTTCGAGTCTTTCGGGTCCACTTTGTGAGAAATGCGTACAATGCCAAACGCGCCACGGCCGACGATTTCTTGGCATTTACCATACTTGTCAACTAGCGATGCTGTTGAATTTGGTCCGCCTTTCTTGTCTGCCGCGAGCTTTTCTCGCTCTGATTTAAGCTGATCCACCCAACTCGACATCAGAGACAATTGTTGATCCTCAACGTGCTCCTCCTTCTTCTTGCCACCCCCTAGCATATCGCGAAGCATGCTCGAGAGTTTTTCTTGTCGTTTGGCGCTCTTTAGGTAATGGTTATGAGTTCCATCAGGGTGTATATCGAAGCGCTTCAAGGGCTGAACCGGCTCCTTGGCATGTTTCTTCTCGTCGGGCTTCTTCTCGGCTTGCGTAGTTGGTGGGGGCTTGAGATTTGCGCCTTTGTCACTGCCATTCAAACCAGGTGACGTGCGAGACGAGCTTTTTCTCTGGAGCGTGGTATCCGACGCACATTCCCGTAGATTATCGGGCTCTCTGTGCGTAGAGAACATGCGAGAAAAGCGATTCGCCATCTTGGCCTTGGGGGGTTTCTGAGGGAGAGCTGCACCGTTCGATTGCTGAGGGGTGGGAAGGTGCATGCCCTCCAACAATTGTGTTATCGGCTCGCCATCCGGATGGTGAGAGGGATCTGAGGCAGTGGATCTCGTGGAGGAGGTCGATAACGGAGTGGGTGGATTCATGTGCGTGGATATACTCTAGGAGGTGCTTTTCAAGAACCGAGGCGGTCAGATAGAAAGGTTAAACTGAGGCGCGCGTATGCCACTGCTTGCTGTGGAAGTGAGGGGAGGGGTAGTGAGACAGGGTTGAGGTCGGTGTAGGGTCGACAGTCGAGGAGATATCACAGCGGCAGGGAGAACGAGCAGGCGACGAGGGTGATAGAAGCAGCCGCCTGGATCAGCAACGGGAAGCCCACAGATGGGACGAACCCTGGGGCGTGGATCAGAGTGGCGGCGACAAAATGGTGAATGAGCGGGAATGCCGATGGGAGGATGGAGGAGCTTCAACCGCGACGTCGCTGGACGACAGGCAGAAGCGCAGAGAAGCAACAACAGCAGCAGGACGGACGCGGAAGGAAAGCGAGGAGAGGGAGAGAAGAGAAGAAAAGTCGGGGCGGCGAAGGTCTGAAATAATAAGTTGTGGCCGAAGCTTCGGCGGGCCCGTGGGAGGAAAGCGGTGGCTTGACGGTACGCGTACGGTATTCTGCCGGACGGGTACCGTACGAGCGAAACGCGGCGAGACGACGACGAGGACGACGACAGCGACAGCGAGACGGCGGCACCGCAGCGTTCGCAACTGAACTGGCATCCGGGCGCCAGACAAGCGGTGCTGCAGTGGGTGTGCACGCCCACAGTATTTATAACTCTCGACGACGCCAAGCGGCCCCTGCTGCGCCGGTGATGATGTCAGCCATCCTGCCGCCAGGATGGAAGACGAGCAAGAGAGCCAAAACCAGGCCAAGGCCGAGCTGAGGGTCAGGCGGGAGAGCGCAGGCAGTCCGGCGCTGGCTGCGGCTTCATGGCTGTAATGCAGCACCCATGATTGGCACGGCCATGCGTTCCTGGGGGCGTTCCATGGAACTTCCACGATCACTACTATGAATTTGAGATCAAGCACAAAAACAACCCCCGAACGACCCCGGCACAGGCCCGTCCGTAGAGCCAAAACTGGCCGCCCGCCCGTACCACGCAAACCGCCTGACGATGAAGAGGAACAACTACCCGGACCCCGAATTGAAGCTGATATACAGACAATGTTACCCCGCAGATGTGACCGTATCAGCAGTACAGCTGTAACGTTTGTTACATACGTGGGATACACACGCCGTACGAGCGCGTTACGCGATGCTCGCTGTGCGTCCAGACAACGCATCGACAAGCTGGAGCCCAGCCGCGGTCTCATTCTCCAGCAACGACTATCGGGGGCTTGGTTGACTACGGGCCAGTTAACTAGCTGGTTGCTGAGTCCAAAGTGCCGAAGCCTGTGAAAAACGGACCTTCCTGTGCCCTAAAATGCACCGCAACAACCATAACAACAACAAGCTCCTCACGGCGGTACTCCGTACGCCTGAGCGGCCGCGCGAAGCGATCCGCAAGCCTAAAATTGGTCGCCGTATAATCGGGTATATATGTTGTCTGCAGCGCCCATCACTGAACGCATTGCTGCAACGGGATGGTACACGCGAGCGCCGAAGGCCCTCACCCCCAGGGTCGTGTTCGGCTCGCTCATCCTGTGCGCGCCAAAAGAAAACATCGGAGATGGGAGGAATACGGGGTTTTTGCTGGCCATGCTGGCAGACCCCTCGTCTGGATGCTGACCATGGTCCGGTTTATAAATACCCAGCACCGGTGCTGTTGGCAAGAATCGAGTAAAGCGACGAGCACCCTCCGCATCATACATACATCGCAGCAGCCGCCTTCGCAATACTAAACCACGCTGCGATAGTTACATAGTTACATACGCTACCCCCCAGCAATCTGACACTCTGCACCGGCTTCACGATATGCCTCAGGATTCCCCAGAAAGAGCAATTCTTATCTACACCCGAAGCGATAGCATTGGCGGGGAGCTTGGGCCAGATCTGACCCCCCGCCCATCCCGTTTATTTGCGAGCCATTTACCCAGCATTAAGCCACCCCCGAGGGCGGGCAGCAATCTAAAGTAACTAATTGTTATGTTGCTTTTCGGCTGAAGTTAACCATTTTGGATCACTCATTCCAGTCCGGGTGCCATTCGTCTGTCCTTCCCTCCTCCTAGAAATAACCTCTGCCGGGGAAGCAGATCCAGAAATCCGGCTCGCTGCTTGCTAGCTGCGATGCGACGTCCGGTTCATATTATGAGGCGGGGAATCAAGTCACCGCCTGCGGGTACGGAACCACTTTTTCTGTTCTCTCGGGCGGCTTCCTTCATCCCTTCGGGAGACAGCGCAGATCAATCGCACCCCCAGAGCTCGAATCAAGGGCTGGCTGGGTATTCACGGTCAGAAGTGCCGTTTTCCCATTGGATTGGGCTGGCAGCCGTGTCATTTTTTCCGGGTATCATTGCCTGCGACGGTAAGCTCTTGTCCCCGCTGCTCTCGGACAGGGAATATTTTCCGCCGATGGAAACTTGTCCAGAGACTGGGGGGGGTGAAAAAGGGTGCGTACGGAGTACACATACACAGGTATCGCCAGATGCGGTGAAAACCTGGCACGCTGGAAGCTCGGCTGCAGTGGCTGTGCATTGGATGCTCGCAGTAGTCGAAGCTAAAGAGACGCGGCTACAAGGGCAGCACACTGCCAGTGCCACTTCGGGGCTGCTCTGATTTGCCCGGCTTCCTTACCAATGCACGCATCCATGCAGTCAGAAAAAGCGCGCATGGGAGAAACCCTGTCGTGACATCTCCAGACTTCCATCGTATCGGCTTGTATTTTAGTTACCGCTTCCAACATACGGGGCTGACGGGTATTTACCGCGCAAAGCCCGTGTAGAGCAACCCCCCAGGCTCCCATCGCGAACGGCGCGAACCCGCTATATTCCTGCTTGCCCACATGAGTTGCGCTCGTCACGTAACTATCCAGGCCAGTGCCAGAGGTACTCACGTGTCCGACCGCCTCCGACTTGTCAGCATGCGGCGGATTCCCGATCGGGAAGCTCCCTAACTAAATCAAGTGGACGGGTCTGTGCGGTGGGGGCTCTCGATCCTTCGAGGTAAAGTTGATGAGAGCGGTGGGGGAACCAACGGCATCCGTCTCACCTAAGCAACGATGATGTGCTTGTCAGCCGGCTGCTAGATCAAAAGCAACTCTTCGTCCATATTGAGATCGCTGCACGGCATCGTACCCACAAATGACAGCAGGGCACGGCGAGGATAAGGCTACGTTCTGAAGCCTACATGCCATACCGAGACGGTGAGAGAAGTGAGCCCAACCGCCGGTCGTATATTCCGCATGAAAAACATCACTGAGTGGTATTTCAAGGCTCCGTGTGGAATATAGGTTGGCCACAATGCACGACGAAAACGGGCACCTTCGCATGTTGGAAACATATGTACAGAACTACTACTTTTAAGAGCGCTTTGTGATAATGGCCGCTTCGTCTCTGGGACAAAGAGCAACTACAACAACACCGCAAGCCACACTGTCCTTGTCGTTGCTGGAATTGCTGGGTCTCTGGCGATGTTATAATATAAGTTTCATGCACTATCCACTGCCAAGGACGATTCCACAGCAAACGCCACAGTTGCCCTACATGAATACACTGCCCTACAGCTGGCTGAAGCCCAATCACCATGTTTGAAATTCGCCAGGCCACTGGCCCGCGCACCTGGCCTGGGAAATTAAGCAAAGGGATGGCTCATTCAAGCATTTTCGCCGAGACAGCTGGCGGAACACGGCGACCCTCCAGTTCTCTCATTTCGCTTGACAGGGGTCAAGCCACACCAGGCCATCCCTGAAACGAGGCACAGTTGACCAGCATTCGCAAGAATTTGATTTGTTTATTCGAGCACGGCATCGGCTACGAAGTGCGGGCCTTGACCGTCAACTAACTTCTGTGCCACATCATCCTGCGGGGAACAGCCACAATCTTAAACGGGGTCTAACTCTAATTTGTCCAATATCAGACCTCGCTTCTTTAGTCACATTACTATGTATGTATGTAATTTGTGCCTTATCATATGTTTTGTATTTGTAACCGACCGTTCTCCCGGCCCAGAATGGATGGTACGAGGGACAAGAACCAGATCTAGGCGGCGTTGGCGACGAGCTGCCTACGCGTTCCCAAGCTGGCTAGGCTTGGAATCCTCCGTTGTGGGCTGAGTCTCTTGAGTTCCTGGCGTCACAGTTTTGATGGGGAGAAACTCCCTAAACATGCAGACTACTGGGATATCGCAATCTTATACCACATCCAGCCGATACTTTACCCAAACAGTGCATTTTATGTTCCTAGTCCAGCTGAGATTTGCTCCAGGCCAGGGATGTGATGCGAGGAAATGCGACTCTTGAGCAACTTTGCGGGGCCCCCAAGACATAGCAACGTGGAGTAGGGCTGACTTCTAGCCAATGGGTAGTTTTCAGGCCCTAGCAGGCGTGAACACGTTGGGGCCAATGCTCCCGAAAGACACAGGCTACTATAGCACGCGGGTCTAGTAATGAGTCAGAATTGCTCAGCGAGCCGGCAGGTGGGGGCTAGCCAAAACATACCACAAATTGTTCCAAGGATTCCTCGAACAGCTCATTGTTCACGCCGTCACCGCCAGGGTGCTCGATAGGAGATAGTGGGTTTTTGACAACTATTACTCCGATCAGTACGGCGAAGAAAGACAACGAATGAACCCTATATGGAAGGCGAGCTAACCATATTCAACGTAGAGGCTGACGTATATTTGATGCAAGGCTAGCCGCATGTTGTTGGATTTGGTGTCGGTAAGCATAACAAATTTAATATTTGTCGGGGTCTCGTAGTAATGCAATTTGTACTGGCTGGTGCGATAACAGAGAAAACTACGGCGACTCCGTGCATTAGCCCTTCGGACCTTGGGGGGGGGGGGGGGGGGATCCTGTCATAGCAGGCCGGAATTCCGGAGAGCATGTTTCTCACTTGTCATCCTCTCCGCCCAATTTACGGACCATATTCCGTAGGGAAAAAACAGTTCCGAATATTAGTTTGGCATCGTCTTCTGCACTGAGAGGGCCATGGGAGCCCGTCTTAGAGGCACCGTTGGCGAACGGGGAGTCTGAGGTCTGGCGAGATGATTTGCTATGAACAGAGGTCGGCCTAGGGAGCCAGAGGCGCTTGTAGATGCACTCCGCTGCGATGGAATTCCGCATTAGCAGCTGTCAACACAGACGTGGCAACAAGGGTAACGCGCAAAGCGCCAATCAAACTTACCGTGGCGGTCGAAAATATAAAAAGAATAGACCACCATCTTTGCGATGTGCAAAAGTCGACAGTGCTAAACGAACGAGAGCGGCTACCGGTGCCGGCGTGGACAATGGCGATGCCTGTCCGCGAGTCCAGGCGGAGGTTGATGGGGTTGATATTGCCAAGGCCCTTGACAAACACCCTTCGACCGCTGCGAAAACCACTGAGGCCCCGGCGCTCCCGACCCTACGAGCCTTATCGGACATCCCCAGGGCGCGGGCCTGGAGGAGCCATTGGGCAGCCAACACTGGGCCGCTCGAATTCTAGATAGACACGCATGCTCGTCACAATGCGGCTGGCGAGAGTAGTGCCGCATGGTGCTCCGGTGAGAGTTTGGGCTAGACAGGGCTGGCCTCCATGCAGAAACGGCCTGCTCCAGCACTGCAAAGGGCCAATAACCCCCTGGCCAGCTCTTTGTCGTCGGCGTAGAGGAAAAGAACTGAAAGTGCCACCTTGAGACCTCAAATGATCACGAGGGGGTGGACGACAAACTACTTAAGCATGTAGACTTCTCGCGCTGCTGGAGTGCTTCATCGAAACTACCCCACACCCAGCCAGCCCTATTCACAGTTCGCCTCCGCCAACAAGGTGCAGAACTTTGCAAAGATCGTGGTTTTATCCTGCTCGTCCCTCTGTCGCTGTCTAGCATTGGCTGGTATCTTGTTCTCTCTGCCCTCCTGTTGACTTTGAGCCCCATCATGCGATGGCCGACGACGTCAGTCAGCGTGATCGTGCACATACCCCGAGTCCTTCCCCCGCACAGAACGAGAGACTCCTGACACAAACCGGCCCAAGGCCGCATCCCCTTCGAACGAATATCACTAGGTGCGTGCTAATGAAGCGTATTTATTGAGCCTCTCTGTTACCAGGTTTTCGGGGAATCTTGTCCAGGAATCCGGGTTTACTCTTCCTGGGGAGCGGTGGCGCATCCTTATTCACGAAGAGCTCGATACTGATATTACACGAAACTTCTTCAGCAGAGCTTCTGGTCCTCCTCTTAATAGTCCTTTGCGGCATCATACTCGAAGTCACACGCTCCCACGCAAAGTAAAAGTTGGTTGGCCTTTTTTCGTCTGACTGCATTCTTAACCGTCCTGATAGAGAATAACCCGAGATTTTATTGAAAGGAAACGCTCAATGCCAGGTCAGAATATACAAACAGTGAGGATGATGGCACGGCAGAACATCGCATCAACCAATACTTGATAAAACAGGAAATCGGGAGAGGGTCGTTCGGTGCCGTGCATCTGGCTATAGACCAGTACGGGCAAGAATACGTGAGTAATCCCGTTTCAGCGCATACCTCTCAAACGACTGCAGAATTGGCTCCATATTACGTTGTGACTGACATCGACTTTGTTTTTAGGCTGTCAAAGAGTTCTCCAAATCGCGACTACGCAAACGTGCACAGTCTCATGTGTTGCGAAATCGCTCCGGAATGCGCCGCCCTGGGGCTCGCGCTGCTGGTATTGGCTTCAACGAGCCATTGCACCGCAATCCGTCGAGTCATGACCTTGAAGATGGGGGAAATTCTCTGAATTTAATCAAGCTGGAGATCGCGATCATGAAGAAGCTACATCATCCGAATTTGGTCTCACTTTATGAGGTGCTTGATGATCCGACTGAAGATTCACTTTACATGGTTATGGAGATGTGCAAGAAAGGAGTAGTGATGAAAGTTGGTCTTGGTGAAGAATCCGATCCATATGACAGCGAAAGCTGCCGTTACTGGTTCCGCGATTTGATATTGGGTATTGAGTATCTTCATACTCAAGGCATAGTCCACAGGGATATCAAACCGGATAACTGTTTGTTGACTAGCGATGATGTGTTGAAGGTAGTTGATTTTGGTGTGTCGGAGATGTTCGAGAAAGATTCGGATATGTTTACCGCCAAATCAGCAGGATCTCCTGCTTTTCTACCACCGGAACTGTGTGTTGTGAAGCATGGCGATGTGTCTGGCAGAGCTGCCGACATTTGGTCGATGGGTGTGACTCTTTATTGCCTGAGGTATGGCCGGATACCATTTGAGATATCAAGTATATTCGAATTGTACGACGCAATCAGAAACGATGAAGTTACTTGTCCTGGGGAGACCGATGAGGATTTCAAGGACTTGATCGGAAGAATCTTAGAAAAAGATCCAAAAAAGCGAATAACAATGGAAGAACTCAGAGTAAGTTTCATGAATTCTTTGGTCTTTAATATCTACTAACAAATTTAGGACCATCCCTGGGTGACGAAGGGTGGTACGGATTGTCTTCTATCTGCTGAAGAAAATACGTCTACTTTGGTCGAGCCGCCAACGGAAGAGGAAATGAATACTGCTATCACCAAGAACTTGTCTCATGCAATTACAGTGGTACGTTGTCTTCTAATCTGACAATATTCTCAGTTCCCGTCATTTAATCAAATTCTCGCCTCATACAGGTCAAAGCCGTCCATAAATTCAAGAGGCTTATTGAGCCGGCAAGTCCACGCGTCATGCATAGCATTTTGGGTGATGATGAAAATTCACATTTTGTTCTACCACCTCTCTCGATAGGTGAATCGGACTCTGATATGCATCTGCATAATCGAAAGAAACATAAACCCGAGACGCCGGTTTCTTCAGGGAATTCGGACCCTATCCATCAACTGAATTTAGGTGTGATGGATACGGAAGACGTCGCAAAGGGGAGTGATAGTCCAGCGTCACAAACACTAGATAATCCAAATCACCCCAGTCGATTAGCGCAGAAACGCGCTCCAAACTCATCGACGTCTGATATCATTATGCACCAGGGATCGCGTACCAGCACACCGAGCAAGAGCAGCGTTTTTGAAGGAACGCGGGGGCATGCGCGAGATCCCTTGGAAGAGGAAAACCCATATTTATTTATTGGGCCATCTAGATTTTTGACTAATGATTCATCTGGCAATATTCAGGATAAAGCCTCCGTTGACATCGAAGCGGTCGATGTATCCCCAGATTTCGATTCAATGCCAATCGTCAGCGAATCTCCTAGTGCTGCCGACATCGATATTTACGAGATAGCATATCGAGAAGAAATCGAACGAATCAGTAGTGAAAGCCTTGGGCTTCATGCCTCTGTGCCTACGGTGTACTTGAACCGCAGAGTTGACGGGAAGACATCGAGTCTGACGGCGTTGTTGGAGAGAGCTAAGATTGACGGGAGGCTAGAGACTCCTGATAACCCACACGGGCCCCCAAAGAAGCACCTTATGGCAGCGCCACCCTACAAGTTACGTGCTTCTACAGCTTTTGCTGCCGCTATGTCCAATCTGAAAGCGAATCCGATGCTATCCCAGGAGCAGGACTCCGGGGAAGAGATTACAAATGCAAAGCTTCAAGAGCCTTTAGTTTCAAAAGCAGCAGTAGCGAAACCAGGTACGGCGGCTGCTACTCTCACGACGTCAATGGCAACCTCACCAGAGATCGTTACAGGGACATCTTCAGAGGAAAATCAAAGTGGGCTAAGAAGCCTACTCAGTCGTGTAAAGAACCAACCTTGAAAACTTAAAATGAAGAGGCGTTTATTCATAGCTTTTTGGGGGGGAGTTTCCAGCCATTTATTAGCAATTTGTCAAACGAGAGCAGCAAGGGGAGGTAGAAAAAACTGGAGTTACTAGTGAAAGGCACAGGCTGCCAAAATTTGATATTGTTTCTGTATTTATGACTTGACGATAACCAGATACCTTAGGAGCTCCTACGATATCTAGAGCATATGGAAACGCTGTGTACGGAGCAGGGCTTCGTTTGGACTCGTGCAATACAGTTCTAAGGGGTATTCGATCTCAATGCAAATATATTTGATGATTACATAAGCTGTATCCCCGCGTAGTTAAGCATTACGTAGCGTTTTGAGCCACGCCAAGCCCCATTGCACAGCCACGGTTTCTGCCAAACGCCGCCAGCGACGCCTGGCCAACTCGTTTGCTGCGTCGTACCTGTTTGTTGCTGTCCGTGAATCTGTGTCTATCCATTTGACATCCTCTGTGTACAATATCTTGCTCTTATTGTTGCTATTGTGTTTCTTTTTCTAGCGCCGTTTCCAGATCAGACGGTAGATTCTTCGCGCTGCATTTCTGCCAGTGGGACCGACATTGCGAAGCAACAATGTCTTGGGCCGGTATGCTGAATGGCGAAGTTGGAGTTGAGAAAGATGTATCTGATCATTCTTGATTCTAGGATTTAAGAAAAATGTCAACCGGGCGACGACCCAGGTGATGATGAAGACAGGTATGAAGCCCCGCGGATACCTTGTTTGCGACGACCCCGACTCCGAAGCTATGAACGCCATTTTATGAAATCGATGCTCCAAGCAACTATTCTTAGCATAAGACTTATAGACCGTGGACAATTATAGGGCATGTGGAAAAGACCAATGATCGCGATTATGAAATCGAAGAAAGGTATGAAGAACCTGATTTGCACGCAATATTGGGGCCGTGGTGCTTATGGTCTCTCTCACAGACGTTATCGAACAATGGAAGCCGCTGCCAATAGGCTGCAAAAGGAAGCAAAAGGATATTTGGACTCGCTTAGAGGTATGTCCGGCTTGTGCATGACCTCGAAAATTTAGCTTTAGATGATTGGCTGATGTGTCAATTGTCTTTTCAGCTATGACGGCCTCTCAAATGCGCATTGCGGAAACTATAGACGCCTTTTACGGTGATGCTGGCGCAAAAGACGGCGTGAGCAGAAGTTATAAGCAAGCCGTCGAGGATCTGGATGCCGAGACCATCAAGGCTCTCGATGGCCCGTATAGGTATGCTTACCCGAGAGTACGCCTCGAATAATTGGGCATCTCTGACATGGCATTCCTTGCCCAAAATATAGAACTACTGTGTTAGAACCAATTTCCCGATTTTGTGCATATTTCCCCGACATCAACGAATGTATCAAAAAACGTAATAACAAACTCCTCGATTACGACGCGATGCGTGCCAAAGTGAAGAAACTCGTTGAGAAACCCGATAAGGATGCCACGAAGCTTCCACGAGCGGAAAAGGAAGCAGACATGGCAAAACAGGCGTATGACCAGTTGAACGACCAATTATTCAACGAGCTTCCCCAGTTAATCGACTTGCGGGTGCCATACCTGGATCCGTCATTCGAAGCTCTGGTCAAAATCCAACTGCGATTTTGCGCTGAGGCGTACAGTCGGATGGCACAGGTGCAACAATATCTCGATGCGGAGACGCGAGAAGAATACGCTTCAGGCAATCTGGACAACAAGGTCGAACAGGTACTGCAAGAAATTCGAGATTTGAGTATTGCCGGAACAGTTTAAAACGGAATGACTAGTGCCAATTCGTGTGTCAAGAGGGCCCTTGCACTTCGGATTTTACCCTTACATTTCTTTTTGGAGAAGCGGTATTTTTCCTTCTTTTTTTTTCGCTCTTAGATCGCCCTTCTGCGGATATGACTCCTAAAGGGACTTTTTATTACCCTTCGTCCTATTTTTTATTCCATCCATATGGCTTCTATCCCCCCTTATAACGTATTTGTTCTGCCATACCCGGTTACTCTTTACGAGCCACGAGTCAAAATTGATGTTATGTTTCACAGTACGGAGTAAATGATTTATAGATATAACTCCTTACATAACCACACTGTTGTATTCTATTCTAATGCCTAGAGGCCCTGTCCCTCGCAGCATTTACTATGTCATGCATCCTTATCTTTCGGTTACCTGCAGGCTCCCGCGGTGCATACCACTAGCTTTGCTTAATTGGATGACTCCTGCACCACTGCGAACAAACAGGAAAAAAGAAAAGGAAAGAAGAGGAAAGAAAAACTCAAAGTCCCCGTCCGCTTTGGCCGTTTTTTTTTTTTTTTTTTTTCTTGCTTTGCACCCAGCACTCATGCAAGTATATACGAGAGAAGCGAAGTTCCTTCACCACGCACGGCACGTCTGATTTGAGCCCCCTTTTTTTCCTTGCATCCCAGACTGTGCTGGTGCGATTTCCTCCCTTTCGGCATGTCGTGCAATTCAAATCTGGAGTTGCCTTTTCGTACGGAGAGGGCTTCGTATAGTTAGTTACCTCCGTATGTTTCTCACATTCGAGATTACTTGAGTCATGAGCCCTGCGGGCATTATTATAAACTCAATTGGCCCACCCAAAACAGCTACTTGGGCTGACTAGCCTGGAGTCTTATCTTGCGCTCATGCGCGCGCGTGCGTGCAAATAATTGCTGGCATTATTCTGCTGTAACTATGTCGCGCATAAGCTGAAGCGATCTTCCTCTCCCCCGCCGTTCCTGCATTTTCGCGAATATTACCGCTCAAAAAATGAGTTGATTGATTTCTTACTACTGCATATGTATGCACATACTACATACACAATTCTCTCTATTTCTCTCTCAAAATTTTTCTTTTTTCCTTCTTTTTCTCCTCTCCAAAATCACAACAAGACTGAAAAATACATGCTCTGGAGGGAAACGTAAAGAAAATACACCCATACGTAATTTACGCCGTTAGTGGGGAACGGTTTACGTAAGATACACCGTACTGCGCTGCGTTACATCAGCACTTAGCCAATCAGAGTCACAGTTCTTCAGTTAAAGCGGGGCTCATAATCCGAACAGAGACAGTACCCGCAACCAGAAACCCCTGATGGTGTAGTTGGATATCACGTTCGGCTGTAATAGGAATACCTCATGCTACCGAAAGGTCGCCGGCTCGATTCCGGCTCGGGGGAATCATCCAATTCTTTTTTTTCCTCCATCTTTTTTTCTTCCCTGTTAGCTAAACATATCGTTCATGTGCTATTTTTTTTGTCCAAAAGGAAGATGTATTGCGATAAATATTGGATATTGGATCCTGGACCGCACGCACTTCTGACTGGCCCCCCACATCGAGATCGCGCAGCCAAGTTCTCAACAGAAGGCCCTATTATTGTTATCGCTACCGTCGCCCGCATTGTATGTAGGTCATGCAGCCGCTAACTAGCCCCTGAAAGGGTGCATAATTGGTATATTTTCAGTCATTTAATTGACCTAAATGCATGTTTTAGATACTAAATCTTGGCATGTAATTGCTTTATCCTTCACAGAATTTTGCTCATAATTTGGGCCATAATGTGCTCGTTGAATGAACTGCACTCAATGCCCCCGCCTACAGCTTCCAGGGGCATGGTATACACTAGGAGTGGTAGGTAGATAAATTGTTTCGCTATACCGGTAGGTGCAGAACCCATTCGATGTGCCGTGTTTCCCATCGAAACCCGACCAAAAAACAAAAGGTCTCTTCAACAAGAACAACCAGGCCGAAGCCACAAGAACCACCAGCAAATGCGCCAAGAAAGAAATTTCTTAGATTTTGTCAAATAAGACACAAGATGAAATAAAGAGTAAAAGAAGAGATCGAGGCTTTTAACCAAAAATTTGACCTGATATCTAAAACCTACAGCCCAAAAAAAGAAAAAAAAAAAAAGAACCGCAATTTTGGATAGATGAAAAATGTAAGACATGTAATACATTAAGGTTGTAAAAGTCGGAAATTCGTCAAGAAGCACTTTTCCATTAGTCATTAAAGACTTTCCGTGGATAATTCTAGAGACCTGGGCCGTCTCTTTATTATCGTTGCCGTCTTTTTTTTGGTTTAAGGGAAAGAGAAATGATATCGAGGTTGCGGTTAATTTCCGGGAGGAACTAAGAGAGCGAAGCAGCATCATAGATCTGCGCCTAATGGGCCTGCGGTGGGGAATTGTCCAAGGAGCAAATCTTTTCCTTGTAGTGCAATGGCACCATTTTCTTCAAAAAGGCATGTATTGGGCAATTTTGTCGCTCCTTCAAGAGGAAAAAGATGCCCCTATACTCCAATTTCTGCTTGTAGAATCTCTCGTAATGGAAACAAGTTGTGTTCCTTTTAGCCCCAGAGCCTCGAGTTCATCTTGGGTTCAGCCATCAATGGTCATACCATTCTTTGGCATGTCTATTTTTGTGATCTCATACATCATCAGAAGCGTTTCACGTTTCTCTGTGGTCGTCCAGCATAGCGTGTGCGGAATCAACCCCGGTCTCTGCCTCTGCTATATTGGCAGCCAGAGCGTCGTGTCGAGAGCCGGGATTCCCAGCGCTGGGCTGCATAATATTTCTGAAAGTAGGAAAGGAGGTTGGAGACGGCGCCATCTGACCTTCTAGTGTTCTCGGCATCGAATCCTTTGTTAGACTTGGTGAATGGTCGCCAAACACTGCTGCCTGTGCCGCGGCCATTCGGCGTACTTGCATATCCTCCGTTTGTGATGATTCCTCCCGCGCGCCTGGAAAGCCAACACCATCATGTCTGTGTTGGTTTAGCATAGGTCTTGGAACCGCGCCTGACGGGGAAGACATCGGCTCAGTGGCTGCCATAATCGTTGGCGACGAAGGTCCAAAGCCTTTCTTGGCAATTGGCCTTTTTGGGGCAGGATACTGTTCACCACGAGCCTGTGCCATTTGCGTTCGTCTTTGTATCTCCGCCTTACTAGGCCTACCCCGTTTTCTCGGTGGTTCTCCCCTCGCCGGATCTGGCAAGCGCGGTATCTGAAGCGCGGGCCGGGCTTGGGGTGCTTGGAATGCTTCAGCTGATGGGGCGGGCTTCGGTTGTATTGCGCGAGGCGCCGGCGCTGATTTGTCTTGGCTGATGGCTGGAAGGGGTCGTTTTCGAAGTCCCGGGGAGATTTGAGGCGGTATAGGCAGCCCTGGGAACGTTTGCCTATACGGATATGGATATTCATGTTCCATGATGCGAAAGGCTGCTTGGCAGGCGTGAAGCGATCGTCCTGCAGGGTAAATCGTTAGCTCTGAAGGGTTGATCGCAAATGGTATTTCTGGTGGTGCGTATACCTGCAGGCAGAGGGATCTCCATCCAATTGGGGGATACATTATTCTCTTTTATAATTCCGAAGAGGAACGCTGGAGTAATAATCCCGGCCTTTTTCAGGATTTCGGTAAGAAGACTGTCCTGCAACAAATCGGGTCAACAGCCGGCGAGAGATAGAAATTGGGCGCAACACGGCGAAGTCATAAAAAACAATGTTTACGCTCACAGGGCAGGCAAATTTACCTTCTCCTCCTCAGTCCATGGTCTGTCTTGTAGGCTCGACATATCCCGCAAGTCATAAATTCCCGAGAAGTAGCTCGAATTTGCATTAGGAGGATCCCAGGGGAGGGCCGGTCACGGAAGCAGCTTTCAAATAGGTGATGCAAAGCCAGCTCGACTGCGCATAAAGATGTTTGGGAGAAAAAGAACAAAAGAAAAAATAAGAATAAAAATAAAAACAACAAGGGTGGAACACAAGGTGCAGAGGCCAACAGAGAAACACTGCTGCCCAGGATACACGCTGCCAGTCGCATATAAAATTCGGGGGCTTAGGGGGTGGAGGATAACGGTTGTGGCGTTTGGGCGCAACGAGCAGGCCCAGAAACAAAAACTAATCAATTCGAAACGTCAAAACGAGCGTAATATGAAGAAGAGCGGCGACGGAGTAGCGAATTAGTCACACACACACGCGCGCTGGCGCGGAGGCAAGGAGGAAGAAGGGGAGGCGTTTGGAGAGCGAAACAAAAAAAAAGAGCGTGAGAGCACTTTGGGGAGGGGGGAGCCGTCAACATGGAGGCATTTGGGGGAACTAGAGCAGAGCCATGGCGTCCTTTTTGTGGTTTGGGAAGTACACTTCAACGACAGGGAGAGAGCACAGGGCCCGGGCCAGCAACACACACAAAGGAACGGCGGCCGTGCGGCCTGAGCGGAAACGAAACGAGGGCTGATAGAACAACAGCACCCAGAGGCGCGGAGGCAATTGGGGAGGGGGCAACGGGTCCAGGCGCTCTTAGGGGAAGGAGGGAGGGAACAGGCAGAAACAAGAAGCGCGCGAAAGAAGAGACGAAGCGAACGAACGAATGAAAAGAAAAGAACGAAAGAAAGCGAAGAAAAGAGAGAAGAAGAGAGAGAGAGAGAGGGAGAGAGAAGAGGGAAAAACGGCGGGCGGACGGGGTGAGGTCGCGACGACGCAAGGGACGGGCGAGGTACGCGGCGGCGGCGGTAAGGCCGGTACGGGCGGCGTCCCGGTACGGCGCCGACGGTACGCTGCACGTAACGCTCGGCGCAGCGGGCGTACGGCCGTGACAAGACGGCGGAAATGAGCCAGAAACACCCCGTACCGCGCTAGGCCATACACGGGCTAGCGGGCCCTCCAGCGCCCGCCGCCTGCCTCGACGACAACAGCGAAGCGTGGTGCTTTCTGCGGCGGCGGCCTGGCATTCATTGCAGTCTCGTCGCGCTGCTGGGCCAGAGAGAGACGGGAGCTGGACAGCAAGACAGTCGAGACAGCGCCAGTGTTCCTCCCGGCCTGCCCCCCCCTTTTTTTTTCCTGTCAACCTGCGCACAGAGACGCCGTTCCACCCACCCCACCCATGTCCGCGCGCCCACATATACGGTTCCCGATATGTATGCATATTATTATCCCTCCACGCCCCCCCAGGACGTGCACCATCCTGGCTTGACACGTCCAGTGGCCCCCGGGAGGCCGGTATGCTTGCTTGGGAAAGGATGGGGGACAGAAGGGGGGGGGAAGGGGGTTTTTTTTGGCATCGTCGCACCGAACTTGCCCCAATCCCTGGGGAGACAGCAAATGAATTAAAAATATAAAATAAATAATACAGAAAACAAAGGCTGGAGAACCAATAGTTACTGGCCCCAGGGGAAAAAAGCTGCAGGCAGGCGTCGAAGTTAATCTCCTGCACAAGATCACGCTTGTGACATGTCAGAGCTGCCGTGCCTCCCCAGCCGCCGCCCGGGACCCCGTTTCTGCCTATCATGCCCGTGGAATGGGAAGAGCCTGCCCTTAGTGATGCGGCGGCGGACCTGAGGGAGGTGTGCAAAAAAAAGATAAAAAAAGAAACACAAAAAGTGCGGATTGCCAGAACAGAGCAAGAGCGGTGGAAGTGCGACCAACGGTAGGAAAATTAGTTGAGGCTGTGCTGGGCGATGACAGGGCGGGTGTCCTTGATTCTGGCCGTTGTTGCTTCGATTCTGCGGCCCTCTCCCCGGCATTATGGGTCGTATGTTACTAAAGGGGGTTGGATGTCTCGGATACAAAATCACTACATGTCAGATCGCATTGGCGTAAGGCGTTCTCCATGCAGCATATGATTCGAAACCGGCGCTGCGTCCCTAGTCCGTTCCCACTTTTTTGTCTTTTTTTTTTTTTTTGATGAACTGGGTGTTTTTTTTCTTCCAGTCTAACCATTCTGCTTATGGATTGCCGACTTAAACCTTTACGGCAATTGCATGATGCCGGCAAGGCCTAGCGTGTAGCGGCTGCATGGTATCGTCTCTCGTCGAGGAGGCCCGAAAGCTGGCACACTAACCGAACTCACCACGGAATCCCAGATTCGCATCGCCAGGCCATCGTCGGCGGGCCAGCGAACATCAACGGGTGGAGCCGGACGCGGGCCGGTGATTGGGCCGGGAAGCAGAGGGACAGCAAGGGTGCGGCGAAGGCCGTCGGCGGCGGCGCGCGCATGCAAGTGAAAAGGGGACGCAGCCGCAGCCGCAGCACCAGCACCAGCACCAGCGTCTCGCCATGGCCTGTGTATTTTTTATTTCTGGGCCGGAGGATGGAACTAACGGCCTGCGCAGATTCCGTGCAGAGTTACATGCTGCAGCCCAAGTAGTGAAGTGGCTCCCCTTCCCCCCTCTCTCTCCCTCTTTTCTCCCTCGATGGCGGCATGGGCAGGCAAGCAGGCCGACCAGCGCTTCCCACTTGGCCTGAACAATAGCTGTCGGCGCCGGCTGTGATTGGCGACGGGGCTGGGCAGCGGGATATCGCGATCCTGTAGTGTAACGTGGCCGTGTATTCCGCAGCGGCTGGCGAGTTGATGGCAGAGCGGAGGGGTTCCATCCCAACGTCGGCAACTCGCTCACTTACTCGCACTGGCTGGAGGAAACTCGGTGCCTTTCTGTATGTACGGACTTCCGTACCCGCCACGACGACAATACGGTCACGCAGCGTAAATTGGGCGGGGCCGTGCGGCGGGCGTGTATGGTCCGTACCGGTATTTTCCGTACGGCGCAAGTCTCGCGCGAGTACCTCGCCGTGCGCCAGATGAAACGAACAAACCCGCTATCCATGCCGCCGTCGTCGAGGCCCGAGGCGCACGGCTGATGCACGGAGTATGCAGCACAGTAGCAACGAGTAGTCGGGTTGGGTGGGTATATGTATGTATGCACAGCGTAGGAGTAGGTACTTCGAGCACCAGCTGCTCCAGCACCACGGCACTTACACTTCACCCATATCAGCATTATTCCACCAGTGTTCCAGACTGCCCAGGCGCGCGAAGCTTGACACGCAAAACAACCACCGCCCGTCCCATCCACAGTGGTTTGTTGATTTGTTTTTTGTTCTTCGTTCTTCTAGACCCGAGGCCCCAGCCAGCGCACGCATCGCCAGGCAGCCAGGCAGGCCAAAAAAACCAACTGCCAAAGAGCCCCGGCTGAAACGCTCCCGTCGATCGCCTCGCTTGCTTTTTTTTTCTTCTTCTTCTTCTTCTTCTTTTCTTTGACTCTTTCTTTTCGCCAGCCTTACCCGCCGCCCGTCGTCGAGACTCCTTCGAGAAAACGGTGCGGGCGGGGCCCCCCTCCCTCCCCCTGGTTCGCGCGGTGCCTGGCATCCACCGCCATGCGCCGCCGCCGCCAATCCCGCGCTTCCCCGGGCCAATCCTCTGCGGCCTGGAGAGAGGATCGGTTTCGACGGTGGTAATTTTTGGGTATGATGGATTCTATTTATTAATATTTGCTTCAACGGCCGTGCCAACTTTTCTTGTGTGTGTGTGTTCTTTTCTGTGTGTTTTTGCTTCTCCAAACCTGGCGTGCTTTGTGGATTTTTCAGAGGGATTTTCGGGCGGGAAAATCTATCACATCATCGGCATATTTTTAGCCGGACGAGGTGTTAGGCCCGTTGCTTCTTTCGCCCTCATCCGGCAGCGAGGCGTCGCATCCACGGTAGTCGTTCACCAGGATGTTCTTCCATCTCGATCTCTGGCGCGGTGGGTGCCTAGCCAGGCGATCTCCATGCCCGTCACCACGCCGGCGCGGCGGGGTACCTAGTTAACAGTCTGATACTACATCCCTCCAGGGTCCGCCGTCTCTTGCCTGCGCCATCGCGGGCTTTGCACGCCTGGTGCTAGGACGGCCGTACTGCAGAGTTGTCTGCTGCAGCTGCCAACTCTCAGACATGCTGATCAGCTTGGTCCTCTTGTTGCCGCCGCGCAACGTGACATTGGGTACTTGACTGTCTTCCCTCTCCTCTCCCCCCAAAACTGCGCTCGTGAGAGCTGGATGCGCCGTCTGATCCGTTGCTCTAGGTCGTCAGCTTCTAGAGAACAAGCACCCTTACAGACGCGATCTACACAGCACTGCTGCTGCTGCTGCTTTTCCAGGCAGACATGTTTGTCCCCCCGCCCAGGTCTACTGCCAGTTTGGTTCTGCGATGGGGGCGTATCTCTCTCTCTTTTGTAACATAGGCTGGACTCGGGATGTCAAAAACGCTCAGCGTCAAGGATTGGACTGGGGTTTCGAGGTTTTTTACAGCTGGACTCTGGCGCCGGAAGCGGCTGCTTTGGGATGCCATCCCGGTTCTTTGACTGGCTGGTCGAGAATGAGACGTGCAGCCTGGGGTTCCTGACGGTGATGATGACGAGGGTCGCGCAATTGAAGAGCAGGATGACGAAGGTCTCCGTCCGGGAGAAGCGTACTCTCCACGGTCCCCTCGAGCAGGCGTAACTGTCTGAGGGCGCCAGACATGCTGGGCTTTCTCTGCGGGCTGGATGGCGCGGGAAGCAGGCTGAATTGCCACTATTTCCACCTCCCCCAGCGCATCGCGTTTTCTCTGCTCACTTTTTTTTTTTTCAAAGTTGCCGCTTGATTTTCCTCCAACCTTCACCTTCTCCCTCACATTTCTCCTCTCTCCTGGCATCTGTCGCCAGTTGAATCGCTTGTTCCCAACAAAACCAAAACAAAACACAAAAAAAGAAATAGTTGCAATAGGAATAAATGACAATGAGATTGGCTGCGAGCCCCTGATGGCCGTACTTTTGTGCCTCCAATTTGTGGCTGCGATAGAAACCCAGCGGCCGCATAGCCTGGTCGCCCAGCTGGGCTGTTTCTTGTGATCTTGTCTTCTTTTGCCCACGCATGGTGGTGAGAACGGGCGTTTCAGATATCCATTGGAAGAGGAGGGCAAAGGGGATCGCATCCACGTCGCTCCGCCGCGCACTCTGATCCAGCGCGCGAGCTGCGCTTTTACTGTTTCAATTTTTTTTTTCCTCCCATCAGGCGGTTGTTGCGGACGTCAAACCCTTCAACCCTTCCCTCCCCTGGGCGGCGGCACACCCGCCTCACCGAAGCCGTCGGGACGCTGCTGGCGCGCGCCGGTGCCTCGCCCGTCTCTATTGTGCTCCTGTTTCGGGGCCGGAGATCTCCCATTGTGAGAAGCCATCGATTCATTTGTTGCCTGGGGGCCCTCGCAAGGTTTGGCGGACGGCCCTTGTGTTGCCCGTCCACGCTCCCCCTCAGCCCTTTTTTTTTTGCTTCCAGCCATCCATCACCCGCCACTCTGCTTCGCTCGTGCAGGCACAGTAATTGCTCGCGCTGCATCATTCAAGCAACGGGAATCGTCTACGTGCTGCCTGTGTCGACGTGCTGTTGGGCGCCGGAAGCGAGGTCCGCGCCCGTTTCGCGGGCATCAGGTTTCGGATTCTTGGCGCTTTCTCTTTTTTTTCCTTCCACGGAATCCGCATTCGAGCTTTCAACCCGCCTCCCAACCCGCCGCCACGACCGACTGGCCACGCCGGTTGCGAGCGCACAGGGCGTTCCCTCTCCCCGGCTAAGGGACGCAGCATCGTCTAAGCTCGCCAGTAGTAAGTAGTGTTGTTGTTGTTGTTGTTGTTGCATGTGCATGTCCAGCCATGGCCGGCCGTGACCACGATGACGCCCGAATAGAAACCGTAAAGGATGCCGTGACCGACATGAAGCTGGAGCGACAGTCGTCGGCGGACAGCCTCGCGCCGCCGAACGGTGTGCCCGACTCCATCGCCCCCAGGCCCGAGACCAACGGCGTCTTCGAGTCTGCCAGCAGCAAGCCCAGCACCCCGCGCCTGAAGCCCGCCGCTGCTGTCTCCAAGCCTAGGAGCCGCCCCAGCAATTCGGCGGCCGTCAAGGATGAGCTTGTGGACGAAAAGGTGGGCGGCGACATCGCAGTCAAGCAGGAGCCCGGCCAGCCGCTCAAGCTGACCCGGTCTGCGTCGCAGAAGCTGCCGTCGAGGGCTGCGCCGTTGTTCGATCATCTCGACGACGTCACGGCCGAGGCCTCGGGCACGTTCCAGGTGATCGAGACGTGCACGTATGCAAACAAGTACATGGGATACACCGAGCATGCAATGGACTGCGATTGTGCTGAGGAATGGGGTGAGTTGCTTATGCCGTCCTTTTCAATGCTACAGAGTACATGTGAAGCTTGCTCGGCCGTGGTTTTTGTTTGATTCTATATCCAGAAGTTATTACGAGGAAGAAAAACAAAAGTCTCTAGTTATAGTGGGATGCTAACAGCGATATCTAGATCCGGTGACATCCAAAAATGCCGCCTGTGGCGAAGATTCTGACTGTATCAATCGCGCCACGAAAATGGAGTGCGTGGGTGATCGTGGATGCGGTGATTCCTGTCAGAACCAGCGATTCCAGCGACAGGAGTATGCTCAGGTGTCCGTTATCAAAACCGAAAAGAAAGGCTACGGACTTCGAGCGGATGGCGACTTGCGCCCGCACGAATTCATATATGAATATATCGGAGAAGTCATCAACGAAAACCAATTTCGCCGTCGCATGTTGAATTACGATGAAGAAGGCATCAAGCATTTCTACTTCATGTCTCTCAACAAGGGAGAGTTTGTCGATGCCACGAAGAAGGGAAACCTGGGCCGCTTCTGCAATCACTCCTGCAATCCGAATTGCTACGTGGATAAATGGGTTGTCGGCGAGAAGCTTCGGATGGGCATCTTCGCCGAACGACACATCAAGAGCGGTGAAGAGCTGGTGTTTAATTACAATGTTGATCGCTATGGTGCCGACCCACAGCCCTGCTACTGCGGCGAGCCAAATTGCACGGGTTTCATCGGCGGGAAGACCCAGACGGAGCGTGCAACGAAACTGTCTAATGCAACGATTGAGGCCTTGGGAATTGACGATCCGGATAGTTGGGACACCGCCGTTGCCAGGCGGCCGCGGAAGAAGAAGGCGGTTGATGATGATGAGGAATATGTTGATAGCTTGCAGCTCAAGTCTTTGGACGAAAATGGTGTCACCAAGGTTATGGCAGCGCTGATGCAGTGCAAGGAGAAGTGGATTGCCGTCAAACTGCTTGGCCGTATCCAGCTGTGTGAAGATGAACGTGTCCGCCACCGGGTGGTGAGGATGCACGGTTACCAGATCCTGAATTCGCAACTAAACGCCTGGAAGGAAGACTTCAACGTTGTTCTGCAGATCCTCGATATTCTCGACAAGTTTCCGCGGCTGACACGGAACAAGATCATTGATTCGAAGATCGAAGAAACCGTGAAACCGCTGAAAGAATGTAACGACGAGCGAGTGGTGGAGAAAGCTACGGCGTTGCTGGAAGTCTGGGCTGCTCTAGAAGTTGGCTATCGTATTCCTCGGATGAAACGAGATCCTTCAACGATCAACAACACCCCTAGTATCACTCGTTTCCAACGTCGTGATGCAAAGGAAGAGCGCAAGCCCAAGGTCGAGTCCAAAGCTAAGTCCAAGTCGAGATCTCGATCTCGATCGCGGTCGCGATCAGTCGATGTCACCCGAAACGCTCCCCGAGGGCCTGCCGCCCTCACCCGTGGCGGGAAGAGCAGTACAGGTCCCTATCGCCCCGGCCCTCGACCTTTCCGACGACCATTCAACCCGCTTCCTCAGGGCTGGTTTGCGGCTGAGTCCAACGGGCGCACGTATTACTACTCGAGCAACGGAGAGACGACATGGGTGCGACCAACGGCGCCGGCAGCACAGCCACCTCCGCCGCCCAAGCGCGAATCGAAAGAGAAGACCCTGCAGGATATCATCGATGGGATCATGAACGCGAAGGAAAATACTCCGAAGGCGAAAGACGTATCCGCGACACCGGCTACCCCTGCTGACGCAAAGAAACCCGAACAGAAAGAGCGCAGGGAGAAATGGCAGTCATATAGTGAAGAGAAACGGAAGAAATTATATGAAAATACGGTATGTGTGGCGAGTCTACCAACGTTTCTACGACTGATACTTACTGGACTTAGCTGTTTCCTCATGTTAAGTATGTGGTGGACAAATTCAAACATAAGCTCCCTAAAGACGACCTGAAGCGTTATGCGAAAGAGGTATGTATTGACTACACATCTACTTGTTTTCTTCCTCCTCGACAATGGCTGATATGTCTCCTCCAGGTTGCGAAAAAACTTGTCAATTCGGATTTTAAAAATAACCGAGTCAACGACCCCACAAAGATCAGCGAAAAGCAGATTAAACAAGTGAAAAAGTTTTGCAAAGAATACTTTGACAAAGCCGTCGCTAAGCACCGAGCTTACGACGAGAAAAAAGCAGGACAGAAAACTAAAGATGGCGACAAGCCTGCTACATCTACATCAACAACGACAGAAGTTAAGAAGAATCTATCCGTTTATGAAAATGGTACAAAAGTAAACGACGAAGATAGCGACGATCAGCTATCCGATGCAGAGCCGGACAACGCTGCTGAGGACTCGACGCACCGCGATGGATTGAAGCGAAAGCGCGCCGACACCAGCAGTTTCGACGACGACACCAGCAGCCAGAATAAGAATGCCGCCGTATCTCCCTCCAAGCGACTCCGCTCGTCCACCTCACCACCACCATCATCATCATCCGCCGCCATACCTCCCCCTCCCCCTCCTCCGCCCATTAGCCCCGGCAGCGCAGCCCTAGAAGACGGATACGGAGATCCCCTCAAACGCAAGCGCAGCGAGGATTTCGACGACGATGACTTCGAGAATACTTCCCAGTCTCCTGGCAAACGCCAGCGGTCCGAAACCCCGCCGCCACCTCCACCCCCTCCCCCGCCGGGTGGTCCTCCTCCAGGTGAAGATGGAAATGAAGAGTACGAGGAGGAGGACGAGGAAGCGCAGCAGGAGCTGGAGAGGGGAGAAGGAGAATATGATCCCGATGAGCGGCTTGAAGATAATGACCATGCGGCCGCCTGTCGTTCGGCTTTACTGCCGCAGTCGATATCTCTCCATAACTTACATTCCGAGGAAGCGGAGAGGGACGCATATTCATGATACAAGCGTTCCATGCTCCTCTGTTTATATTTCTCCTCCCTCTGGCCGATACTGTATATCCTCAGCACTCACCTTCAACCTACTTCTTGTAATGTCTTAGCGAGCCTGCTATAGGGCCTATTATTTTTTTATTTTTGTATTTTTTCATCGGTTTTTTTTTCTACTTTTCACCGCTTGGGAGCGTTTTTAACACTGAAATCTTGACTGGCAGGGCTCATTAGATAAATCAACTTATTTACTATCACTGCTTTCAGGTCGAGAACGAGGTTAGGCGCCGGACTGACTTTCTGGACATTCATGTCTCTATTGTGATCATCGTTGAAGAATTAACGAGTCTAGGTAAAAAGGTATCAAGAATGAAGAACTAGGTATATGCATCCCAGCCAAGCTCGCCCACTCAGTAAAAGCTCTCCACCAGACTCTCCTTATTCACATTCCCCAGCCCGGACGCCTCACCAAGCCTAAACACGCTCTCGACCACACTCAGCTCCGTCGCCGTGGTATCCAGCCCCGTGACCGCGAGCCAGTCGTTCACCACCATGCCGGCACCCACGACGGCAGACCCGCGGTTCACGCTGCCGGCCACGAGCGGCACCTGGAGGAGCGAGGAGAGTTCGTCTTGGTCTTGGATGGAGGTTTTGGGATGCACGATGCCGCCCTGGTTGGAGAGCGCCATGTACGAGCCGGTGAGCACGTTGTCGGCGATGGTTTGTCGGAAGACTTCGACGCCGAGGACGTCTGATATTCTAGAAGGGCGAGTTTGGTACGTTAGCGAAAGCGATAGGGAGGAGGAGACAGGGAGGAAAATGGGGTGCTTACATTTCTTCGGTTTCGCGCTCTAGATCAGGATGCACGAGGGCGACGTGGTCGTTGCAGCATATCACGTTGCCTAGCGCCGATAACCGCTCCTCTACACGTTGTATCTTGACGGAATCTGGGATGGAGTTTCGGAGATGTTGGAGCTCTTGGTCGGTAGTTGTGGTAGGGACTAGTAGGCCTTTTCGGTTGCTGTGCGCCACGGTGCATGTCAGAAACATGGATGCATAATAACCCGCGCAAGGAAGGGGGAGTGTTTGGCCTACCCGGCTGTTAACCGTCCGACAATCCGTGTGCCTGCGATGGTCGCATGGCAAATGGGAATGACGTCCTGCAATTCGGATTCGAATACACTATATCGACGCCGGGATAGATTAGCCGTCTGGTGCCACTGTTTGACTTCGTATGGGATATATGCGTGGTTCTAGCTGAAGGCAGTCCTGTCAAGCCATCCACAGCAGCTTGCATATGCCGCACAACATGGACACATGCTCGTACGCCTCGAGTCGTAAGGAATACAGTCTGGCCACAGGCTCATTCCGATAACAATTCACTTCTCCTTATTGTTGTCTCTTGGAAGTTTTTCTCTGCGGCGCAAGACCGGGGTGGGTAGAGAGACCAACCTGTAAAAGTTCTCCGAGCCACCGATCGCCACAATCGCATAGGAATTCGTTAACGTCGCAAAGACGCCGACTCTACACACCGCCGTCGAACAATCGCCCGTTAGCTTAAACAGTCCTCGAGCAACAAAAGGCGCAAGGAAGACTGAAAAAAAAGAAAAGTAACTAACTCATTCGAATTCTCAAACTGCGCGCGCACAGCCATGGTCGAGTCGTAGGGGGTTATCGGCTGATCTTTCTTCTTTTGCTGTTCTTCCAGGGTTAAATGCAAGAGGATACGGTAGGAATAGTATAGGAATGCAATTGCTCGCGGCGGGGGTATTAATGCTTGGTTGGTAGTGTTTTTTTCCCGCGAACGCAAAGGTTGGTGGGTTAAGAAGCTTAATGGCGGGGGAGGTTGCGTTGAGGGCGGGAAACGGAAAGCAGAAGCCACCAGGTATTATACTACGCTTCTAGATTTGATTTCCGGCTTTGTAGCGAGGAGAACTTGTTTAAGATGGTGGGTTATCTGTATTTTATAAACACAGCTCGGTTTCTTTGCATGGACAGGATTTTATTATGTTTTTTCGTGATATGATGCAAGGTGAGTCATGGGTGGGCTTGGAAGCTTTGACGACAGATGAGCAATACGCGATCGATGGCAAGACGGACGACCATAGACGGCGCCCTGACTCACGCATTTTAGCAGAACCGTCTCGCTTAACTACGCCTCGATGCTGGTACGACCCGAGTTACTAGGTAGGTACTCCGAAGTCTTGTCTACCAGCGAATACAAAGTCCTGTCGAGGCGGTCTCTGCAGCGGACGCAGTGTGTCGGGTTCTCGGCCCCAAGTTTTTCCGCGAGTGCCTCTTTGATCGAATGGCGACTGTAGCTTCGAAGACGACCAAAAGATGTTCTTGAAAGGGAACAATATTACTTAGCCACGCCCTTGGTGTTACGGTCGATCGAATATACAAAGCCGTTCTTGCAGTCTCAGGGCTGCTCGGATGGGCGAAGAACCCTAATTCAACACCCCCAGTCTCCCTCACTCCTGAGCAAGCCATCCCCGCATCACTGCTATCTGATCACATTCAACAGTCTCAGAATCAAATCGCAACCTGACTTGGCTCCTAGGATTGAATAGAATGCAGCCCAGCAGCTCACTGAACATCTCTCCGGCTAGATCACTGTATGCAGCAATACACTGATCCGCATTCATTCCAAGTCAGCCGTGCCTGATCGCAATGCGTCTCTTTTTTCAGCTACGCCAGCCATATCGCCCAAGGAGCATAGCAACTCGCCCATCAGTGCCAGTGCCTCCCATGGGATTAAAGATCTCACAAGGCTTCACCCGATCCAGGGTATCTTTTTGTTCGTTCTTCAGTCAATCCATGGTGCTTTGCAAAACGTAGGGTCGGGAAATCCAAGGTGATTAACCGAAGCTGAGCCACCAGTTTGGGGAAGATAAAATTACGGAATCACCGCCATGCGGGAGTGAAGCATGGGGGGAGGAGCCACAGCCTGACACGTACCAAGAAGCAGCAGCAGTAGCAACAGCAGCGGCGCCAAATCCAGAAAGGTACAAATTGTCTTGAAATTTTTGGAGCAGATACCTAGAGAGAAACAGGCAGCTTGTACCGAGAAAGGTTGAGGACCTCCAATTCTGCTGCGACCGAGTGGGTGGTGGAGTAATGCGAAAAGAAGCTGGTCTAGAACACGCCTGGCTCCGCGAGGGACAACGTGCAGCGGGCCGTGTTGTCGAGGGGGCTAGGTTCGCCGGCCGTGTCTGGTGGCCATAGCTTGCTCCACAGCCGTAGCTGTTGTGCTTGCGCTTGGATATAACGCAAATCAGCAAAGTCTCACTAGGATGTCGCCATGTAGTTGAACAGTCCCCGCCATAGCGTCACTGTGAGGGCCTATCCCGCTTTTCAGTGCATGATCTTACGTTGGCCTTCTAATAATATCGATTAGATGGCTCGATGCTGCAGATATCTTGGTGCCATAAGATGAATCCACACGCTCTCATTCCCAGGATTATCTACTAAGAGCTCTGTTCTCGTTGCCATGCTGCGGTCAGCTTGCGCGGCAATGCGCTGCAAATGCTTTGGAGTTCTAAACTCTGCCTGGTCTGCCCCAAAGTTTTTGCGAGCCACAGAACGCCCCCCAATCCTCTAGGAATCCTGGCAAATCCTACAACTCTCTGGCTGCTTTGCCCGACGAGCTTGACTCTATTCTCATAGTTAGTACCTAAATATTCATAGAATCTCCAAGATTAATAACCAATCAATAAAAGTGTTTTTCGGGAGGCAACCTTATTGCGAACTTCGAAAGTCATCCACAAATAATGTCATATAAACAATTCAATTTCTACGGCCATGATGATATTCAATTTGGCCAAGATAAACACTACGTATGTACTTGGTTGGTGCACCTTCAAATAGCCAGGAGGATTCACATCCCCAGTACAAGACGGTAGCCAGGTGAGGCCTGGATCTACAATCGAGTGTATATATAGCTGAATGAATTCCCTCGGGCTGCATTAATTATCAGGATCAGATAGTCATTATCGGATATTCTATCAAGCCTCACTCACTCCTACAACATCATTCAGTATGCGTTTCACCAATGTTCTCGTCTTGTTCATGGCCTCTGTGGCATCTTGCCAGGCGTCTGTGTCAGGTGAATGGACGGCGGCAAAAAAAATAATAGAAGGACCGCTGAAGTCCAACGGCGGGAAGGTGGATGAAGAAATGCGCAAACAGAATTCTGCTCTTTCTAGCTCAACTCTGTCTGTCGACTTAGGAGTAAGTGTGGATATACATTGTCCCCGGCCCATTGCAAATTGATTGATGTTGGGCTAATAAAAACATAGGAATTGAAGAAGCGTGTGAACGATTATAGTCGAAATTGGAAGGACATTACCACGGCTCTGGTGAGGAATATCAACAAAGCCACTGATGAGGCTGATATCTGCAAGGTTCTCCCACCGGTGAGTTCAACCCCATTTTCACCAATGCTATTCCTTTTGTTCTGACAAAAAATAGGCCATGGACGGAATGACCAAGATCATGAAAGATCTGACTGATTTCGGCCAACGGGCTGGACGACACAACAGAAGATTTATCAATCATGGCAGTGGAAATTTCCGATTCCGAGACATCAAAGCGGAGGTCGAAGTAAGTCTAACCCACTTGAACAGTGCATTTTTAAAGATTGTCTACTCGAATGGGTTAACTGACCCAACGCTTTTCGTTCATCAGCTCGTCCCCAAGCAAATAAAGGTGAAGGGAATGACTTGTGTCGACAGATTTTCTCCCACCTTGGACGCACTCTTCCGTGATCTTGCAGCGGCTTGGTGTTGGGCGGTTTGACAGGAATAATTGACAGGTTGGGCTGTGTTTGCATCAAACACTCCAATGTGCTTCAGCAATTTTGACTTCTCATTTGTTTATTCTGGGATTTTGCAGGCCATTTGTCTCCGTTTGTCTTCAACCCCATCCAATGTTTTTTTTTTTTTTTCTGTGATTTTCTCGGTAGACACAATTTAGTGAAAGAGTTCACCACAAAAATCGACATTGTACAATTGATGTAACAACTGCTGATCAACTGGAATCGGTACCAATAGAAGAGTCTTCTTATCTTCTAACATGATTCATAATCGTTTATGTTGCTAGGTAGGCTAACTAGGCAGTTTCCCTTTGGATGATGGTGGTTATGTAGTTGGTTCCTGGAGACTCTTGTAAATAGATAGCAAACGAATAAATAAATAAAAATTTCAAGACAAGAAAGCTATGCCGCCCATCCATCACCCGTTGCAGCTTAACAATGCTAGTAGTATCAGGGAACAAAAATAAAATAAAAATAAATCCACTCCAAATGTCACCACCAAAAAGAAAACTTCTCCAAATAAAAAAAAAAAATTTACTTTTCGTCTCTTTTCTTTTGCTTTGTACTTTTTTTAGTATTACTATTTTCTTTTCAGTACCGCGGCGGCGGTGGCGGCGGATGCATCTGCGGATGGAGTGCGCCGCGCGGCGGGTGGCCCAGCTGCAAGGCGTCGCGGCCAAATACCGACTGGTGCGGTCTCGGGGGCGCCGCCGCCGGGTGCGGGTGGTGGTAGGGCGAGTAGTACGGCGGTGGGTAGATGCTCTGCGGCTGGTACAGAGTTCCCGGCAGAGGGAGCTCGACGGGATGCGCATATCCCGGCGGAGGTTGCTGTGCGGACGACGGCGGAGGGGGTCCGGGCAGGTATGGCGGCGGAAGGGGAGCGGCGGCGTAGGGAGCGGGCTGGGAGGCGCGGCGGACGTGAGGGTGGGCGTGGTGAGGAGGAGGAGGGGGGGGCGGAGGAGGGGGTGGTCCGCCGGTGGAGTAGCGCAGGCCAGCGGGAGCAGGTAAGTGCGGTGGCGCGGAGGAGAATGGGTCCGGCAGTCTGAGCGCCTCGCTGAGCTTCTGCCGGATAGGCGGGAGGTCTGGAGGCGGAGGACGGCTGGCGGGGAGCAGTGGTCGCGGCATGCTGGGGTAGGATGCGCGCATGGGCGGAGGAGCGAGCGGCGGTGGCAGTTCGGGAGGTGCATATTGGTGATGCTGGTAGAGCTTCTGCGGGCTGGGAGGCGCGGGCAGGATCTGGCCATGGGTGGGCTGTGGCAGGAGAGGGCGTGGATGTCCACGCGGCGCCGGTAGGCCGGCATATTGGTGCTGTGTGGGCGCTGGTAGATACACTGGCGGAGGCTGGGGAGCTGGTTCGGGCGGTGGAGCGACAGCAGCAGCAGCAGCAGTTGTAGCAACAGGTTCCATGGGGGGAGCAAAAGGAGCGGAAGTAACAGAAGACTGGATGCTGGTTGGCGACTGAAGCGCGATATCCGCGAGAGCATTCAAGGCGTATGCTGGCGGATTTGGCTCTTCCGTAGCTTTGATCTCCTCCTCCTCCTCCTCCTCCTCCTTCTCGTCGCTGCCGCCGGCCTCTGCAAGCTGGCACGCATCTGCCAGCGCAGAAATCAGCCGCTTAAACCGTTGCCGAGAATGGACTGGCTCTGGCACGATATCGCTGTCAGAAACCTCGCTCTCCTCTGCTGCAGCTTCTCTATTCTTCTTCTTCGCCTCCTGACGCAGCCTCTTCTTTTCCTCCTTGTCGCGCCGCGCCTCCTGGTCCATGTCCTTCAGCAGCGCGAAAATATCGCCGCCAATTCGCGCTCTCTGGATGAAATCGTCCCAGCCGCTGTCGGCACGGTCATACAGACTGGCACCGCTGGGCCGTCGAATATACGAGCCGTCAAACCCACGGACAGACTGGTGTGAAACCTTGCGGTTGGTTCTCCAATTCTCCGTATCAGATTCCTCCGTCTGTCATGCAGCAGGTTAGAAAGAGGGATTCAAAGTAACAGAAGTCGACCATATATATACCTCTGTGTGGTCGTCATCTCCAGCCTGACGACACTGGTCGAGATACTGCAAAAAGCTACCTTGCGCAGCAAGAATATGCTCATCTCGCACAGACTCAACCTTTTCCTGCGTGTTCGAGAATGGTTAGCAGGCAAAGCCGATATCTAGCCTTGCAGTATAGCGCTCACCTCAAAGCCAGAATTGATCCAGTACTGCGCTGCCTCCAGATACTGCTTCTCACATTGAACCTTCAGATCATACTCTCGGTTGATCAGAGCCTTCTGCTTTTCCAAACGCGCCTCCAGACCATCCAACACCTCCTGGTACAACGGCGTACTCATATGCGCCTTGGGATCTTTCGCCAAGCGCGATTCCGACCTGTTCGCAAGCACCAGCAGAGCCGCGCGCTGGGCCGACGACACTCGCCGAAACGCGCCCTGGAGCTCCCGCTGCCGGTCTCTCAGCTTCTTTACCGCCGCACTGGCCGAGGGCGACAAATTCCTATCATACGCATGCATCCTGGGCGCAGCAGCCTTGCCGGCCGCAGCGGCCGCCTTGCGGTTGAGGGGGGGCTTTCGCGCCTTGCCTTTGCCGCGGGGCCGGCCCCCAGCGGCGCGAGTCCTGCCGCCCGCGGCCGGAATCGTGCTGGCGGAGAGCTCTGCGGCCTCGGACTGCGTTGCGGGTGGAGACATGGAGAGGGCGGACGCTGGGCGGCCCGCGCCGCCGCCGCCGCCGCCGCCGTCGGGAGTCTCGACATCGGTGGACTGCGAGGCGGGCAGATCGGTGGCCAGGGTCAGCGCAGGCACGGATCTCGAGGCGGCCGCGGAAGGAGTGTCGTCCTGCGCGTCGGAGTCGTCCGAGTGCTCTCGCTTGGGGGTTTTGATCGGCGACGTCGTTGGGGTCTCGACGCCGGGGCCTGGCGAGTCGAGGTCGTCCCGTGCGGCCGATCGTGCGCGTTTGCGATCAGACAGCCTGCGGCGGCGTTTGGGCTTCGCAGAGCTCGATTCTCCACTGGCGTCGTTGTTGTCGACAGCCTGCAGGCTGTTCTCGAGGTCGGTAGGAGCACTAGTAGTTGCGGCGGTAGGAGCAGCAGAAGTTGGGCCAAGGAGGAGGCCGGCGCCGAGATCAAAGGACAAGGACTCGTGCGAGGTATCAAAGGAGGCCACACCAGGCACACCGGGCTCCATGGAGGCGGCCTTGGGCAGAGAGCCAGCGCCGAAGGCCACATTGGGCGCGGGGTCGGTGGCACGTCGCTGGGAGAGGATCCTTGCGGACTGGCGAGTGGTCCGGGGCCCGGGCAGCTCATCGAACTGCTCCGCCAGGATCTCATCGCGGGTGCGGCGCCGTTTCTTTGCGGGCGACTGCGGCTGCGAGCTGGCAGCGCTGCTGGGGGTGCTGGTGGTGGTAGCAGCAGCAGCAGCAGCGGTGGTGGCAGTAGTGGCAGTGACAGCGGCAGCTTTGGGCCGGACACGAGCACCACGAACAGCCTTGGTGACGGCGTTGGAATCCCTTTCTGGCGTCGCAGAAGCCGCTGGCGAGGATGCTACGTGGCCGGATAAGTAACGGTTGGTGTTTCAAACGTGGAGGGAGGTTCATACCTTGGGACGGATGGAGGTCCGGGTCGGGCGCGTTGGGCGCTGGATCGTGGTCCAGCTTGCGCTTGACGCCGGCCATGCTGGCGTGCGGGCGACGTCAATTGAGCGGGCGAGGATGAGACAGCCGCGCGGGGAGGAGGAAGGGGAGGGATATAGGATAGGATGGGATGGGTGATGGATGTATGGAAGTGAGTGAAGTAGTTCGGTCGAGACAGCGAAGGAGGCTAAGAGTAGCAGGGATTGGCGGCGATGCAACGAGCACAGAGCACGGGAGACAAAGCGGAGAGAAAGAAAGCACAGAAGGAAAGAAAAAAAAGTAAAATAAAAAAAGAGAGAGAGAGAGAGAAGAAGAAGAAGAAGAAGAAGAGAGAGAAAGAGAATTACAAGGACGGGCTGGGCGGTGTTGTGGTGACGAGTTGGCGGACCAGAAGGTCGTTAGTTCGTATATTGACTGGTTGGTGAATAGGTTAAGAATAATACCAATGGGGGCGCATTGAGCAGGCAGGCAGCGCGACCGAGCCCAGGGCCGTGTAGACGCCGGACGGGCTCGGGGGAAGAGACAGGCGAGGCAGACGGCGAGACTGCACCGCCAGGCGTGTAGGCAGGGTGTGGGCGCGCGCGAAAACCAAGCCGGCAGCAGCGCGGCGGTGGATGGCTGGGCGGGCGGGCGGCGGGCGATCGGCGGCGTGGCGGGCGAGGGCTGGATTGTAGGTAGCAGCAGTAGTAGTAGTAGAAGTCTGCGTCTTGATATTCTCGTGTCGTGTCGTCTCGTCTCGCGTGCGGGCGCTAGCTAGTAGTTGGCTTGCAGGCCTGGAGCCGGGCAGCTCAAGCTTCGTTAGCAGCCCGCACGCAAGCGACAGAAGCGACGGGCCAGCGAACTAGCCACGGCGCAACTACCGCTCAGTATATCCATAGCTGCTAGCTAACCATTACTCCGTACCTCCCACCACTCGCAGCCCCGCCATCCCGCCCCTTGCAGGCGCCCGCCGTACCACCGTCGGCCGCCGTGCGACGTCCAACAACTCCGGGCCGTGACATACGAGCTGAGCACAGCTGAGCCCAAATCCTATCCTCTCTCTGCGCCCACATCCTGATCCTCCACCCATCCTACCGCCCGCCCGCCACGACGCTGCTGCCCGTGTTCTTCACCTCGCCTCCCGCTTGCGCGCGCACACATCCTACTCGCCCTCACCCTCGCCCTCGCCCCGTTCGCGCCTGCGCGTCTGCCCGCGATGGTCGTTGCGCGCCCGCCGATTGGCTCATGAAACGAAGCTCCGCGCTAGCAAGCCCGTGACCCGGTGATTATGTCATGCATTCGCTGACTCGGCGCTGTGGTCGTACACGACCGTACGATATAAAATACATACAAGAAAGCAGAAAGCTGCGGAAGAGAGGAACAAGAAGATGAAGAAGAAGAAGATGAAGATGACGAGGAATGCGAAACCCAAATGCCCGAGACTGCCAGCCCGCCCGCCCCAGAACGCCCGCTCCGTAAACAGAAACAATAATAATACCTCCGCTCCCCGTAGTTAGATCAGAAACACACGCCGTTTCACCGGCACGGAGGCAGCGAGCTCCCCCGCCGCCCGACGCTCATCTGGCTCTTCCGTCGCCCGCCTCCCCCACCACCACCACCACTGCCGCTGTTGCGGCTGCGGCTGCTGCTGCTGCTCTTCTCCTCCACAGCCTCCGCGCCCGACGGATAGCGTGATGACCCGCCTGCCGTCTCACAGCCCGCTCTCTCCTTCTCCTCCTCCTTCTCCTCTTCCTGCTGCCGCTTGTAATGCACACCCAGGCTCTGTGACCGCGGCCGCCCTCGCGACCGAATCTGCTGCAACGTGTGCATCGAGATCGTCTGCCCCGCAAACGGCGACGCCGTGACCGTCGTGCCTGGCGACACCCCCGGGATCGAAAGCGTGCTGCTGCGGAATAGCGGGTGGATATTCTCCGCCGTTGCCGCCTCCACCACCGGCTCCTCCTCCTCCTCCTCCTCCTTCACCTTGTCGTCCTTGCGCCCGCTGAACGCCGGCGATGGCGTGCCTCGCATCGTGCTGTGGCGGCACGATCCGGCGGCGCCGCGTGAGGGTGAGCGCGAGCCCGAGAGCGGCGCAGGGTACAGTGCGTCGTGCCGCCGCACGCTGCGGCTGCTGCTGCCGTGCATGTACGTACTCAGGGTGGCTGTCGATGCGCTGGCGTGCAGGTTGATCTTCTGCAGCTCGTCGTGCAGCTCGGGCACGCGCCGCGAGAACCCGCGCTCCCACCGCTGCGAGTCCGACGACGATTTGCGCGCCCCCGGCTGCTGGTGGTGCTGGTGGTCGGCCGGCGGCTCCTGTTCGCCGGCGAGGTCGCGCAGGAAATATGAGATCTTCAGCTGCGACATCGACGATGCACGCGAGCGCGGTTTTTCCGGCGGCTCGTCGCCGGGGCCCTGCTGCGTCGACCGGGCTTGTTCGATGGAGCCGAGGATCCGGTTCTCCTCGTCGTCCTCGTCATGATCGAGTCGTTTCGTGTGTCTGTGTTTCGCCGGCACTGTCGACCGGCGGCGGCGGCGCCTCGCCGCGTCGTCTTCTCGTCCCCAGACCACCAGCACGCCGAAGCAGGTGACTTGGAACACCACGGCGATGGCCCAGAGCGTGCACCACAGCGCGAACAGCAGGCGGACATCGCCGCGCGTTTCGCCGGACGAGATCTCGCCGATGCGCGTCGAGCTCCAGCGGATGGCCATGGCCACCACGGCGACATCCAGGCCCAGCACGACCGCCACCGCGATCAACGCCCGCCGCTCCTGCTGCTTCGCCACGTGGACGTGTCGGTTGAGCCGCCGCCGCAGAAAGAAGACCAGGAAGCCCTGCAGCACGCAGCTGAGCGCGCAGCCCGTCACGCTCACCACCTGGAAGGCGCCCAGGCCCGACAGCTCTCGGCTGATGCCCGTTGCGAACGCGCCGTTGGCCACCGTCGACAGCAGCGTGAAGATGGTCGACAGCGCGCCGGCCATATAGATCAGCCCCGTTCTTGCCATGCTGGCCCGGCGGCCCCGAGTACCGGGTGGGCTTAGACTAGGGGGTGCGGTAAAGAAAAAGCTGAAGGATGGAAATATATCTTGGAGTAAGGGACGGCAACTGCCCAGGGCGAAAGATGGGGGTCAGTTGGGTAGGGTTGTTCATTGATAGTCCAGAACGAGAGAGGGAGAGAGAGAGAGAGAGAGAAAAGAGTGCAGGTAAGTCGTCTCGCCAGCAGACAGGACTAATGGGGCGATTTCGGGATGACTGTGCCAGCCATCAAGGCCGCGAAATCCCCTATCTTTGAATCCTTGGTTTGGGGCCGAAGTAGACGGGCAAGCGGCCACAACAGCAACGAACGGGGGCACAATAATAATAATGGAAAAGTAGGGAGGGAAAATCGGAGCAAAAGAGATATCAAGAAGGAAGAAGATGACGACGGGCACAAGCTTTCAAAGGAGGGCCACTGAGTCCACGGGTCCTCACGCCCGGAGAGAAACAAAAACGAGATCAACAACACAGGCCGGGCCCAACGAATCCCGCCGCCAAAGCCGGAACGTGTCTAGAAGCACGACATGCCATATCCGCAGAGCGCCGGAATCCCGTCGGGAATTAACCACCGCCGCCAAATGCAATTTATATTATTGCTTGCTGGCTGAGTCAATCGTAGGAAATTAGATTGGCTGGCTGGTCCGGGGTGGGGGGCGGCGAGGGGGGGGGCCGTCGCCTCTTCTCCGTTGCTGGCATGAGGGACGCGACACGGGGCCCGGATAAGCAATAAACAATTTGGTTAGTTTGACTAGCTTAGCATTTGAGATAGAGCCCGTGTAGGGATCCTCGAGTTTGAAGGATTCCGCTGACAAAAAAGAAGATTTTTTTGGTTTATGTTGTTGATTTTTTTAATCAAAAACGAACTCAGTTTGCTTGGGGCGGATGCGACTGTTTCTAGGCGGGCGGGGGGGGAATGGGATCGATCTCCGGTAACTAGACGGGAGACCATCCTCAGTAACAGGCAGTCAACTAGTAGTTAGTTAGTATTACTGCCTGATGTCTGGCCCATAACCGCAGATCTAAAAACAAACCCTCCCGACACGAGCTGTTTTGGCCCCATCTCTCTAGCAGGTCGTCGTCGTCTTCGCCCGTTTCACGTCTGACAGCGCGCCGCGAACGCCCGCCGCCCGCACGGGCAGACGAGGCGCGGGCGGCCGGGGGACTGCTTGGCGGGTTCATCAAACTAACTTGTTGTTAGCTTAGTGAGTTAGTTAAACCGCGGGTTGGGCGGGCTTGTTATTGTGAAACAAACAAACCCTTGCCCAGCAGCCGTGGGTTCGGGATTATTATATTGTTGTTGTAGTTATTTGTTTGTTGTTGCAGGCTTGTGCTGCTTGCTGGGTGAGGATGGGATCATCTCTCCTCCGCGGTACAGCCCAGCGCGTGGGCTAACAGCGAAGTTAACTAACGGGTTCAGTGAGTTGACTACGGAGTAGTTACGCCACTGTTGTGGCTATAATGCTGCTGTTATGCCGGATCTGCACGCAGCGGCTCTTCACACAGCCCAAGTCTACAGGCACGGGGATGGATGGATGAAATGAACGAGTGAAAGGGGATGGATAGATGGATGGATAATAATGGACTTGTCTACACCACCGGCACGCTGCCAAATCTCTCAGTCATGAACGCCCGCAGCTCGCGCAATCCCGCCTGCAGCACCGCCGTCTCCTGCACATAGCCGATGCGCACATAGCCGCGGAACTCGTCGCCAAAGCACCTGCTGCCCGGCACGAACATGACGCCCTTCTCGCGCTGCAGCATCGTGCACAGCGCCACATCGTCCACGGCAGACCGACGACGACGACCATCATCGTCGTCGTCGTCGTCGAGCGGCCGCGAGAACCGCACAAACGCCGTGGTGCCCGCGCGCGGCTCGACCCAATCACATGTGCCGCGATGCTCGTCCACAAACTCTTTTAAAATGGCCAGATTCGTCCTGGCCAGCCCGAGATTCCGCTGCACCAGCCGCTCCACCCGGCAAGGGTCGAGCGCGAACGCGGCGATCCCGTCGTCCACCTGGCTCACCGAGATTGTCGTGTAATCCCGGGCGCTGGCGCACCGCTCCACGAGCGCCGTGCTCGCCGACGCAATCCATCCCACGCGGATGCCCGCCAGGCTGTACACTTTGGACATCGACCCCGTCGCGATCGCCTTGTCGTACCCGAACGAGAGCACCGACGGCGGCCACTCGTGCCGGTCCGCCAGCCCGTGGAACAGCGGCCGGTACACCTCGTCGCTGTGCAGCAGGAGAGAGTGCTGCCTGGCGATGTCGACGATTCCTGCGAGGATATCCGCTGCTATCAAGGCCCCCGTTGGGTTCTGGGGGTTGCTAAAAAGGTAGTATCACCGTGCGTTTAGTGATTGTTGCTCTCAAATCCTCATACTGCTAGAAAAACAAGGGGAGGCAGCCCGAGGAGAACCAACTTGATAATAATCATCTTCGTGTTAGGCCTGATCAGCGCCTTCAGCTCGTCCAGACACAATCTCCAGCCATCATCGCTGCGCGTCTTCCACAGACTAACCTCCGCACCCAGCGAGCTGGGAACAGAGTACAGTTGCTGGTATGTGGGGTAGTGGCATATAACATGGTCCCCCGGCTGGATGAGGGTATAGAGCAGCAGGAAATTGGCATTGATAGCCCCCGGCGTAATCAAGATATTCTCAGGCGGCAGGCTCGCACGCGACGACGACGACGACGACTCGTCGTCGCCCGGAGGAGCGGTGTACAGCAGCCGGGCCAAGTTGGAGCGTAGCTCGTTGGAGCCGCGAATCGCGCCGTAGGTCAGCTTGGTGGCGGTTGAGAACGGGGTCTGGGGTGCCTCCGGCGCCAGGGCACAGAGATCGTCAAGCGAGAGGGGTGCGCAGCACGTCTCTGCGATGTTGTATGTTGCGGTGGTTTCATACTCGTCCATCCACTGTAGGGTTGTATCAAAGAGAGTCAGCCAGTCAGTCGGTGTAGATGCTCGTCGCTACATACAACAGTCTGCATCTGCGGCTTGGAGGGGGATCATACATACTTGCTCCACAGCAAACGGTACAATCTGGACCATGGCTGCCAGGGATGTCTTGGGCGATCAATGATATGACTTCTTGCAGATAACAATCTTCTTCAGGGGGTCGTTTGGCCAGGGAGGCGCCGTTTTGCTCGTCAAAGTGCGTACGTCGTCAGGGAGGCCTGTTGTATCAAGAGTATCGATGAGGTGAACTCTTCGCGGGCATGCTGCGGAGGTCATTCATGCCCCTCTTTTGCCGCCAGCGGACAGCTTCATGTCGCAGGGCGTTCCCACATGCCGCCCGTCTAGCCCATCCCATCGTCTGCTAGTTTGAGATCGAGGTGACTAGCTGGAGGCGGGCCAAGCCGCTGCCCGTTCTCGGCGACCCCACGGCCTCCCGCCAACTTCGACACAGCTCGAGGTTTTTCCTCAGACAACGCATGCAAGCGGAGCACTCTACGGCTTGAAACTGCCGTAACTACATAACTAGCGTCTGGGACTCAAAACGCCCGTTCTCGGCTGTTGGGTTGGCGAGACAAACTGAGACTTTTTTAACTGTTTTGTCCGATCGACCGCTTCAAAGGGCGACTCCTTAGGGACGAAATGTCGTTTACCTCTAGCCGACCAAAGGAGTTTACAGAAAAGAAATACTTTGTACAAAAGACTCCCTTTATGATACGAGCTTTAAAACCCTTAGTGCCAAGTGGATGTTCGACACCGACGTTCAATCCAAAACCCGATGTCCCTGACCAGCGGCCCGAGTGAACCTACTCTGTCACCGCGACGAACGCCGCTTACGGTAGACGGGATTCTCCAAATCTTCAGCCTTGCGGGTAATATGTCCCAAGATCAGAGTTAGAAACAATATGTCGCAACCTGCACTGCACACACACTTGAAACCTGCCACTTGAAACGGCCCGATAAGGCGAAACACATTCTTCTGACAGTTCCTTGGCATGGTTCGTTTCTTCTTGTGACTGAGCACGCGGAGAGATGTTGAAACTCCGCTAGCTGAATGTAAAGCCCCGAAAGCTTTGGCAACGTCTGCCTCTGCTTTGTTTCATGTCCAATGCGCTTGTTTCTAGTTGAAGAATCGGTCTGGTTTCGCCTGACATGCAATGTGGGCTTGGATGTTGGCAGTTTTGAAGCAGAAGGAAAGTCTTTTAGACACTAGGACTCTAGAGAGACCCCGCAGCTGCTGGAAGAGTTACAGACTCCGGAACTGCAGCATTGACATCTTTGACTCCCAGGGCTGGGATAACCTGGAGTGGTTGGCATAGCAGTTCGCTGAATTTCGCAAACTCCAGGGAATACGTGACGAAAACACCCGGCGCCATGCGCTCTCTGCTTCATGAAGCATATCCCCGGTGAAACAGAATGGTGCTTGCAAGATATCATATTCTCAGTAGATCTTCCATAGAAGACACATTATGGCAATTCTACCTTTCTAAAATAACCTTGAACAGTTTCTGTCACAGTTCCGACGGGAATTCGAGGCAAGTCCTACTGTTTTTGCCCTTGATGAGTCTTTGTCAAGTCCATTCACAGGTTTCTTTAATAGAAGAGTAAAACCCATGATAACATTTCTAGCTCTTTGATATTGTAGTGTTGTTTTGAATCTTAGTGTATTAGCAGTATCAATACTGCCTGAACTCAGGTATCTATCAAACGAACTTCTCAAACTTGATATATACTGCTTCTCTGTGTATGTTAACTAGTATCTCTACTTGTCCACGCCTAGATAGCTTACAAGGTTTATTGGCCTTGGATAAAAGGCCTTCATACCTAGAGGCAATCATTTCTATCATTTGAGTTCAGCTATATTACTTGACATTCATGAGAATGCTTATTATCACTCCACACCCTATGTGCGGTTGCGGGGAGCTCTGGTGACCATGTACGAGATAACGAACTTGATATTGAGGAGCAAAACGGGGTTGGAACGATAGACAATACATCTAAGATCATTTGTCTAGTCTTTCTTTTTGAGGGTGCAAGAGAGTAATTAATGGCTAATATATTATAGGGATAAAGATGCATAAAATCTGCAGGATGATAGTGCCAATTAAAGTCATAAAAAGTTATTCGAGAGCAGAAAATCCCAAGCCAAAAAACAATCTAGTTGTCCATAGTGGTCGAGTACAAAATTCTCTTCATATATGTTGAGACATTCCCATGGAGGTATGTAGCGCTATACTCCGCACACGAGCAGGACATAGGTAAAATCCGAGGTTAATTTATATTAAGCACGACTGATCTATTCCTAAAATTAGAGTAGTTAAGTAGATTCTGTCAAATACGATATGTATAAACAGGGGTAGAATAGCGCGCATTGTATGGACTTCACTTTTGCTGTTTTATGGCTTCATACTACACAGGCGTGGTTTGCGCTAACCAGATGGGATCATGAGGGTTTGGTAACGTCCCAAGGCGTCTCAAGGTCAAGATTTGAAGATTGCCATTCCCCTGTTCGTTGGCATTTCGACGGTACGACCAATGTGCAACGGTGTCACAGTGCTGATGTCCACACTGCACTAGTTCATCTTCGATGCTGGGTTCGAACAGCTGATTTTCGACAGTCGTGGCGTTGAATCGTGCAACCAGTGTATCCGGATCATAGCTTTCTACGAATCGGGGATCGTCCAGCCGCATGTGTGGACAGACAGGCGTATCGTCTGTGGCCATGCGTTTTTGGATCTGCTGCTTGTTGGGAAGGTTGGGTTCCCAGATTCGTTGCACGAAGATGTTTGTTAGCATTGATATACCCGGTCGCTCTGTTGAGACAACAAAGCAAGGTTCGCTGAGGGTACCAGAGTTAGGGTTACTTGTTTGGCAGTAGGGCCGGCCGACATCCCACCCGCGTACGTGGTATCTGCCCTGATTCCGGAGGGATATGTTCCAGGTCTCCACGTCTTTGAAGCTTAGAGTGTGATGGACACAGACGTAAAGCACCGGCTTTGTGTAACAGCAAAATCGCACGGTAGGGTCCTTTTCTAGTTCAGACGGTGAAAATTTATCGTGGTCATGGAAGCGCGAGCAGCCGCGACAGACTAGCTTGCTAGTAAAGTCGCATTTTTCGAGAAGGCAAATATATTCGAACACGTCTTCAGGGAATAGTATTGCGCGATTCGCCCAGGAATCGCTCTGGTAGAAGAAACGTCGACATGAATAAGAAAATATTCGGGCGCCAGCGGGTGAGAGATATTCGACGATGATTAGAATAAGTTCCAGCGGGAGACCTAAAATGTGAGAGTGCTGTGACTTGCTGTTATTGCTCAACTGGCATTCATGCCGGATGCGTGCTGCCCATTCCTGCAAAATCTGTGGCTCCCGGCCAGAAGGCGGACGTAGCTGTGGTACCAGGCTCTTCATTAGTTATGTATTCTGGTGGGTGGTCAAGGTTGGTGATCTGCACGCCAACAGAGCAGGCTTCGGACGTTGGCAAGGGAAGATGGAGAGGCTTGGAACGAAGGTTCTTAAATAGAGCAGTTTCAATCCTCTATTTCGCTCCAAGCAGAAGATTCCGGAGTCGTCCTTGTTCGCCAGATGCCCGGTTTGTTGGACGAAGCCTGCTGAATGGCAGAACAGTCGATCTGGAGGGACATGCCTCCAAAACAACAACTGGCACTTGACTGCCCGGCTGGCATGTTTTTTGTCACAATGGATGCCAGTCATATAAACCGTTGGTCGGTTCTTGTGGGAGCACGTCGTGGTTGGGCCGTGGCTGGAGGTTGGCGAAGCTTGGGCCAATTTCATAGCGTCAGGGATGACAGCCCGCCGCATTTGGCCGCTCCTGGCAAGTCGCTGGTGGTCGCCGCTCTCGTTTAACACGCAGCGAAGCCGCGCGATTTGAAGCAGGGCTGACCCCTTCACGATGCGCTTCTTGTCTTCTGCGGCCTGGCTACTCTCTATGCGTCTCACCATGGACCTCTGACGCCACCACCACGCTCTTTGCCTACGGTGCAGCGAAAGCAGCATCTCTCATTTAATGGCGATTCGCTTTTCGAGGCCGCCACCCCCGCGACGTTCCAGGAGACTGCGCGTGGTCATCGTGGGTTGCTTTCTGGCCCTCCTGCTTGCCTTCATTACAATTCGAAATACATGGTTTCCGCCACCCCCCCTGCCGATTCCGCCGGCTTCTGAAGACATTCCCCGAGCGCTGGTGCTGGCGAAAACGCGGTGGGAAAATGTTCAGTGGGCACATCGGTTGAGACCACAGTAGGATAGCTTAAATCTATATCGATTACAAGACCTACCGCTGACACCTTAGCTCTAGGTGGATTCCATTCGTTTACTCGATTGACAAGGAGCCAGGCTTCCCTTTGCGGCTCCCAGCTAACCGCGGCCGTGAGGCTATGGCATACCTCACCTTTATAATCGACAACTACGATACGCTTCCCGAAATCACAGCATTTGTGCATGCCAAGAATTATCAGTGGCATAACGATGGCGCAGGATCCAGAACCGCAGGTATTTTGAAGAATCTGTATATGAGTACTGTAGAGCGCAAGGGTTACGTGAATTTACGCTGCAATCCGGACCCGGGATGCCCAACGGCAATCAGTCCGTTCTCTCCAACCGCTGAAGATATTCGAACTGGCGACGTCCGAGCTCATTTCCCCGAGGTGTACATGGCCTTGTTGAACGTGACACGAAAAGAGGTCCCGAAGAGAATAGGATCAGTTTGCTGCGCGCAGTTTGCTTTGAGCAGGGATCGAATCCGCCTGCGGCCGCGGGACGACTACGTTCGGATGAGAGAGTGGGCCCTAACGGCTGACTTTGATAGTCAGACGATTGGATGGGTTTTCGAGATGATATGGCATATCATTTTCAAGGAAGATGCAGTTTTGTGAGTTATACACTTTGAATATCTCTGAGATACTCTCTAATCATGTTGCCCAGATGTCCGTCACGTAACCAGTGTAAATGTGACTTGTACGGATGGTGTGAAAAGTCAGAGATTCGAATGGCTAAATTCCGCTAGAAAAATCCGGGACGCAATATTCCGTGTTCCTAGCTGGCTCCTTGGGACAATGAAGCACAGGCCAAAATATTTAAACAGAACATCTTGTCTAAAAAAGGCCACATCTTTAGATTACTTGTGGCACACATATTAAGAAGGATACATCTGGTGTTATACAATTGTTTGATGCGGTACTTAGCCCTGTTGGCGGTGGGGTCGCTGGGTTAAATATCTTCTTGTGTCTGGTGGACCTTGCCTCGTTAATGGAATAGATGGGAGCGAAGACAGAGGTAAACAACGAATAAACCACCTCCCACTTAAAAGTTAATATTTCAAAGATTTCCTTGGGAAACCCTGGGTATCACTTAATGGCATCTCTGATCTCCGAGTCGCTCTGTCATGAGAGCCCTTTGACGACTGACTTAACTCCTTTTGCTTCTGGAAGATGCTTTTGAAAAAACCCCAGCATATCTAAGTAGGAATGGAGGCATTCTATACCGTTGGTTAGTGCTTTCTTATGATACCCCCATGGTTGATGTATATATACACAAATACATATAAATGCCGATCTGGATCCCCTCATTCATGATGGTGTAAGGCGGTCCGGGACACTAAATCCACCTAATGTCTATATGACTGAAACATCGTAAGCCCTGAACACAATAGGGAGATATGTCAAGTGTGAAACGCAGTTTTTGTGGGTAGGGTAAGATCCACCAGAACGGTTGTGGTGGCTTGTAGTTCAGGTGATTGGCTATGGCCAAATGAAGGTAAACTTGCGGGGCTACTTAGTTTAAGTAAACAGAGCAGACGTACTCCGTACTCCGTAGAAAGCGAGGCTAAACATGATTATCAAGGCTAAGGCAAACAATAGATAAGAGAGCACGATAGGGCATAGAGACTTCACTTGATATCCGTTCGAGCAGCAGAAATTTCACTTTCACAGGATCAAATCTTTCAAGATACATGGGCAGATTTAGACTGGAAAAATCGTGGCTAGCTCTACAAGTACAGTTGCAATTTTAGGGTGGCTGTTCCCAGGGGGTAACTGGATGCTACCGTGGCGGTTCGACAGCGCAATTTCCGCGTCCTCGGGGCTGAAATTGTAGAGTATGAGATGCAGATATGGAATACGGAGGTTCTATTGCTTCCACCGTTATGTCGTTGCGGTGTGCCTAGTTCCCTTTCAAATAGTCAACGGCATGTGTATATGGAACATATGGGCAAAATTTTATAACCTGCTTTTGTAAAACGGAGGAGCTGAGGATACGGCACTCTTTTGAGAAATACAGTAGATTGAAAAACCGTCTGCTTTTGCGATCCTGTACAGACTACTGTATGGAGTAGGGAGGGAAAGATCAGGGATTCTAGCTTTCTATCATCAATCAATTATTGGGCATCAATGCATATTCACAGCCCTTCCTTCATTTGTGCAAGGAATAAGCCATATCAGATATAGAACTCTAGAAATCCAGAGATGGAAGAAGATTCCGTAGTGTTCACTAGAGAGGGGATGAAGGGTGAAGCTTTGGCTCAGAAACTAGCACTCGTATGCCTGGATGAAGAAATCGGAAAGTCGAAGAACTTGAGAAAGGCAGCCCCCATAAAGTTCATCGTCGTTGGGGGGTTTGTTGCTGTTACCTATTTCCAGAATCGCGATACTACAGAGGACCTGGACTACATGCTTGATCCATCGCTCGAGAATTTGGGAAAGGTGAAGGAGAAGCTTAGTCGAGCAATAAAAACCGTTGCTAAAAGGAAGGGATACGATGATGATTGGGTCAATGATAAAGTCCAAGTGTTTGCTCTTGGCGATTCTGCCCAGCCATTGTTTCGAGATTCAATGGCCCAAAACATCGTGTTATGGTCAGGGAAACATCTTATTATTTATGCAGTGAAATGGGAATGGTCACTGGCGCGAAAAGTAAAACGAATTGGCTCTACGAAACGCGATGCTGATGTCAGCGATGCAGTTGTGCTGTTGAGAAAGATTGTGGAAGAGACTGGGAAACCAATACCAAGAACAAGAGCCAAGAGCTGGGATCAAATTGTGTTTACACCTATTGAAGATAGTGCACTCGACAGGGTCGCTGAAGAGTACGAAAAAGGTATGGAGGGCCGGGCTTTGTGTGATATCCGTCCTATATGTACTCTGTACGGAGTACTCCGTACTCCATAATGTAGCCAGATTACAGAATAGCGACCTGTTAACTTTAGCTAGCTTGTGATTAACTAAATATGTACGGAGTAGCTTACTAGGTAACTGCCAATAACTGCCTCCTAGGTAGGCATATAGGTACGGAGTAGTTACTCCGTACTCCCATGTTTGATGGCACTGGCCCCTATTGTAGTTAACCAATTGACTATGAGTCGGCGCCGAAAGTGTTGATCGGGGTTTAATGGAGTAATATTACCGTATAAATATTACTCAGATACACTAGGGTAATTGAGTTGAAATGACACCTAAGTCGGTAAGTCTTGTTAAATTTCAAGTCTGAACGGGGTATGAAAGCTCAAATAAGTCACTGCAGGGCATAATATAAGCCAAACTTAACTGAGGCAGTAAAAATTGAAGCATACTAGACTGATACATTATGGGTTTAAACTAATTGAATATAGTGTGCAACGTGAAAACTTGAAAAGATTTAGTGGCTGTTGCCGCATATTGTACTCTGTTACATGGTGGTAATTTAGCATCGCTGGGGGATCAAAGCTTTTGGCGCCGATCTCCACTAGTTAGTTAACTAACTAAGTTAGGTAGGGTTAGTGAGCCTCTGATGGTAAGTTGACAACCTTAAGTTCTCAACTATCAATAACCTTACTTACTCCATATCATTCTATACGTTAGCTTGGCAATTTTGAAAGGCATCAAAATCTTAGCCTAACTACAGTGCGATGCGCAATTCACTCAGAGCTCTGAATTCGCCTTTGAGCATTAGGGAAACAGTACGGCGAATTTGTGCCTGCCCTTATCCGTGGACGACCTTCGTTTTTCTTGTCTGGCCATTTCCATTGAAGTATTGACTACACCTTCCGCTTCTATCAGTGGAAGAGATTGAAAGATGTCCTATCATCCACGATGAACGCCAACCCGGAATTCTACAACTCTACAAGATCCCGATCTACCGTATGCGGGATACACCACTCCGCTCGCTATATCGACTCTATGAGGATCTCTGCGCCTCTGATTTCATTATGCTGGGCTACGAGTGCACATATTTCTTTCACCATAGCGAGCCTTCCTGGTCACTAGCCTGCCTTCCCGACCCTCAAGACAATGATCCTGTCCGATATTCCATTCTTGCTAGTATGGTAGAAGCACTTGTCGAAGCATTCAACTGTAGGCTAGAACTTGGAATCCGTCGTGATAACACAACTGATTTATCTGAAGAACGAAGCTCTAATTTTACCAGCAAGAAGGCGCCGTCTTGGACCTCAGATGTTACCGCCGTCACAAAAACTCTGGTTTTCTGCGAGGTTGGCTCCGGTAGCTCTGACATGACAATGGAACAACACTTTTTGAAGAGGAATATAAAAATACCAAATGGGTATTTTTATACAGTATAGCTAGAACAACAAACCTCTCACATAGGGACAATTCTATAACAGCTCCATGCCCCAATGGATTGACAAGTCGGTTGGTTGATCACTTTACACCTCTTAGGCGCAGGATTGCAATCCTAGATAAGAGGTGTGACTTGTTGTCAAATAGATCTTCTTTTTTCTTAACCAGTACAGAATAAATATGAGCCATATAGCGCGGGTCAACGCCACCGTCCTTCAATAACCCAAGCCTTAGACCTCTCTTCTTTCAAAAAGAGATGCAGCCTGCTAGGGTCAATTCTGACGTTCATTTCTGATGAAAAGCCTCGTTTTATGCATTAGATGATTTTTATGCCCATACACCTACCTAACAAACTGCACAAATCCAAAGAAAAAATAGATACAAGGAGATGCAAATTTAGGTCTGTTCAGCAGGGACGGCTCCCCGCATCCCACCATAGTGCTGACAACCACAGTAGAAAACGAAAGCCGATATCACCGACTCGTAAATCTCGGCTTCCCCTAACGTTAAAAACCAGAGCTGACTCAGCATAACTGTGCTAGTGCGCATTGGGGATAGCCGGCGAGGGGCGCTAAGGGAACCTCTTGAGTGACGAAAGAAGGCAGCCGCCCTCAGTCGCCCGCATCGTTAAAAAGCGGCCAAACCTCACACTCCCCTTATTGCTCGCCCTTCTCCATCCCCCCTTACTTCCATATTTCATGTGGGACTTCATTTCCTGATATATATTGTATCTGTGCCACTGATATCAGTTTTATTCTCCATTTGGACCCCTCTTACGCACTGTCGTTGGCTCTTGTCCTAAACGCCACAATGAAGCTATCTTTTAGGGTAAGATCTCTGCCTTGATTAACTTACGATTTTGGATATTATGCACTGTGCTGACGCATTCTCCTTTCTTGTAGGATTTAAAGCAGCAGAAGTTTACTATGGAAGCTGAGCCTTCGGAGACGGTAAGCCGACTCGTACCTCCGAAAGCAGTTGCCGTCTGCAGGTGCTGATACTCCTCCTTAGATCGGCCAGCTGAAAGAGAAGATTGCTCAAGAAAAAGGATGGGAAGCCTCCCAACAGCGACTAATTTACTCTGGTGAGATTCAAGGACTCACTAATTGTTGGAGGGGTCAAAGTTTTGGGTTTTAATGTCCCGTTACTGTCTAGGCAAAATTCTTCAAGATTCAAACACGATTGAATCATACAATATTGAAGAGAAAGGATTCATAGTTTGCATGGTATCTAAGGTATGCTTTGCGCCGGCTGGTGCAGACTTGTTTCTCGCATACTAACCGTCCATCTCAAAAGCCCAAGGCCACCCCGTCCACCGCTGCTGGTCCTGCACAGCCCCCGGTTACTCCAGCCCCTGCCCGAACATCAACCCCCTCTGCTCCATCTGCTCCCGCGCCCGCTACGAGTGCTTCATCCGCCCCCCCTGCAACGCCCTCACCCGCGACGGGCCCAGCCTTCAATGACCCATCTGCTCTCTTGATGGGCCCTCAGAGCGAAGCAGCCGTTCAGCAAATGGAAGCTATGGGCTTTCCAAGAACAGATATTGACCGGGCGATGCGTGCTGCATTTTTCAATCCTGACCGGGCTATCGAATATCTGCTAAATGTGAGACATTCTACAAATGCTTTACGCTGGTTTTTATTGATGTTGGTAGGGAATACCGGAACAAGCTGAACGGGAGGCTGCTGCTCGCCAACAAGCTCGCGCCGCTCCACCGGCTGCAGCTGCCTCAACTACATCCAATCAACCTGCTGTGGGGACCGACGCAGATGAGCCAGTGAATCTTTTTGAGGCTGCTGCTCAGGCCGCCCAAGGTGGCACTGCACGCGGCAGTCGGTCTGGTGGTGCTGGTTTAGGGGGAGCTGCTGGGGGTGACGCTCTAAGTAATCTCGATTTTCTGCGAAGTAACCCCCACTTCCAGCAGTTGCGCCAACTGGTGCAACAGCAGCCACAGATGCTTGAGCCTATTCTCCAACAAGTCGGTGCCGGGAATCCCCAGCTTGCTCAGCTTATTGGCCAAAATCAAGAACAGTTCTTGCAGCTACTGAGTGAAGACATCGATGACGATTCACAACTTCCCCCTGGTGCGCATACAATTAGTGTCACTGAGGACGAGAGAGATGCAATCGAAAGAGTAAGCGAATATTCTCCTCTTTGTGATATCGGGTCCTAATGTCTGTGCTTCTGCTCTCAGCTTTGCCGATTAGGTTTCTCGAGAGACGCCGTTATTCAGGCCTATTTTGCCTGCGATAAGAATGAAGAACTTGCTGCAAATTTCCTTTTCGAACAGCCTGATGAGGAGGGCGAAAATTAAACATGGCTCCTTATCTCTGGCCCTCGTCCTCTAGCATTGCAAGCCTCGCTGCAAGCCCTTTCTCTTCTACCCCTCACCAGGCACACGAGAATGATCTATCACATATTCCCAATAGGCAACAGTGTATACAGCGGAATTTTGATACCTCACTACTGAGCAAAATTTAGCTTCTGTTGCTGCATCGCATGCTTTAGCTGCTATATGTTCTAATTTCTAGCCTGGGTCAAGTTTGTAGTCCTGCTTGTGTTAGCTAGTTAGCCTCTTAGCCCCTGTGATGCAAGTTCTCCTCCAAGCAAGATCCCTGTGCAAGCAGTATCCTTCTAAGTAGTTAGATGAAAGTAAAGATCCTCCGCTTCCAACCCTAGCGTTGGTGCTGGGGTGCTGCAGTCATTGGCTTGTTGTGCTCACATGGGAGGCTCCGCGGAGGTGAGTGGGGAGCTGGCAGAACACATGAGCTTTTAGTGAGCGTTTGCTCACCACACTCCTTTACCCGTCCCCCAACAAGTAGCATTTCTTAATTCACTTCTATTCTATTCTTTTTTCTTTCCTTTCTTCCCAGCACCATGCTGCAGCTGCTCTGCAATCCTTGTCCCTTCAGCCAGAGAGCCCCAGGTGTTTACGTCGCCCACTGAGTTGTCGCGTCACGAACCAAGACTTTCACAATGTGGAGACGAACATACCTTGTTTTGCTGCTTATTCGCGTCTATTTCGCACTGTCGCCGAGCTATCTTCATCCAGATGAGAACTTCCAGGGCCCAGAAGTGTTTGCCGGTAAGAAACCCACGCGTGATTTGCCCGCGTCAGGACTCCTGCCCTGGGATATGAGTGCCAACTACCCCTCTTGAAGAGCAGTTCGAAGGCTAACAGCGCGGAGCTGTCTAGAGCAAGTCTATTCTTATCCGGCTCAGCTTACCTGGGAATTCACCTCCGCCAAACCCATCCGAGGCATCTTCCCGTTATGGCTAGGCTACGGCCTGCCTATGACCTTTCTCAAATGGTTCTGGACGGAGGCTGGGACGGGTAACACGCCACCATACCTAATCTACTATGTGCTGCGCGGCTCGATGTTTGGGCTGAGCTTTGTGCTCGAGGACTGGGCTATACACGAGTTGATCGCGTCTCCCCGCCACCGCCGGCAGGCTGTAGTGCTGGTCGCGTCGTCATTTGTGACATGGACGTATCAGTCGCATACATTTTCGAATTCTTTGGAGACGTTACTGGTAGCGTGGAGTTTGGTTGTGATTCAGAGAATTTTGGAGAATGAGGTATGCTTCAGAGGGGGGAATAGCTGCTGTTGAATGAGAGAACTGACATCTTTTCGTAGCAGCGCTCGTCTGTTTTGGCTTGCGCAATACTCGCTTTTACGACCGTTATAGGAGTGTTCAATAGGATTACCTTTCCGGCATTTATTGTGATACCTGCGATGCGATTGATTCCTCATTTGTGGAAAAAGTAAGCCCCTTTGCAAGATGAAAATCTATATTCTGCAAAGACTGGACTAATGGTGGCTTATATAGGCCCTTTTCATTCGCTTCTCTGGTTGTTTCCGGTATAATATTCTCCCTGATTGCTGTTTACGCCGATACAAGCTTTTATAGCTCTTCTCCGATATCACTGTCCGACCTTTTCCGAAGGCCCATAATTACGCCCCTTAACAATCTTCTTTATAACACCAACAAAACAAACCTTGCATCGCACGGTCTACACCCTCATTATCAACATTTTTTAGTTAATGCGCCTCAGTTACTTGGACCTGTCTATCTTCTTCTAATGGCGTCGATTTTCTGGCGTACAAGCCGCCTTCACTTTTCCCTCGCTAATATGAGAGCTATATCAGCATTATCAGGAGCCACAATTCTGTCAATTTTTCCGCACCAAGAGCCCCGATTCTTATTGCCTTGCGTCCCTCTTTTGCTCACTTGCTTCAAGTTACCGAAATCACGTATATTCCTTGCTTCTTGGATACTATTCAACGGTATTATGGGGACTTTGATGGGCATTTATCATCAGGGCGGCGTCATTCCCACCCAACTCCAGATGCCAACTATTCTGTCCGATATAAAGTCTAACGTGGATAATGTTCCTGTAGCTAATGGGACGGCCAACGTTTTCTGGTGGAAAACCTACTCCCCACCAAGGTGGATGCTTGGAGATTTGGCCAACATTACCATTAGAACTCACGACCTTATGGGGGTACCCGGTGTCGAAATGCTGGCTAAAATGAAGGAGAGTATACCACAGTGCATTGATGCGCCGATTATACGCAGTGAGCAAGATGCCTTGATCAATCCAAATATTCTCGTTGCGCCAAGATCCGCGTCATTTCTTGATGAGTACACCAACCATGCCGCTGGCACCAATACGAACAGCGAACGTAGCCTTACCCTTGAGTTCAGGCAAATCTGGTCGTATAATCGCCATCTGAGCCTAGACGACCTAGACTTTGGCGACGATGGCATTCTGCCAACACTAAAACGCGTCCTGGGTCGGCATGGGCTTGATACTTGGCACGTCACCCGAGTATGCAAATGATCGAATCAATAATTAAATCTATGTTTTTCCAACCAGCGAACAGGCATTTGGAGGGGCTTTTGAGTCTGGCGTCACCTTTTCATCATTTTCCCTGATTTTTGTCGATTTTATCAGATACCCGGTTTTAGGTGATTCTCCGCTTTGACTTTACTGTGCACTGTTGGGTCTTTTGGTTACTGTTGACTTTCCTTAGCTTCCCTTTCTTTCTTTCAAAATAGTAAGCTGGTATTATTGCAGGGAATCATCCCTTTGTTATGTCCTCTCGGAGACCAAAAGAAAGAAGGAGGTGGAAATTCCTGGGATTACTAGCATCTTTTTTAGTAATAAAACATGAGAGTTCTTTGAAATACCTGCCATTCAATTAATATTTAGACTAGCCTCTTAATCCTGTTTGAGCCGCAGTCCTCCAACTTCGAGATGAAGTTTTTGCAAAGAACAGCATTCCCTGCTTGGTCAAACGCGTGGGGGTGTTGTTTTGCATACGGAGTACATAGCCATCAATAGACAATGTCGCCTTAATGCTGACAGTAGACATGGAATTCACCGGCCATCAGACGGCCAGCGCCCCGAACCGTTGCAGCCGGTAGCATGTCACTCAGCAACAGTTTATGATGACGAGATGTGAAGGTTTACCAAGTTATTCTGCGCAAGTTCTACTCCGTAGTTGACTAGGTCAACGGGCGCCACTTCCCACGTCGGCACGTGACCGAAGCGCTGCCTGGTCCCCTCATGCCCGCACTTTGGTCAATCAGATACGCGGTAACTTCCCTCTGCAGGCCTTTGGACCCCAGACTTGTTTTCTGCTATAAATACCCCCTCTCGCTCTTCCTTCCTCTCTTACTCTCAACAGCGCTATATTCACCGCATAGTTTTACGTGCATAGCAAGCATCCCACCGCCCCTGTATACCCAGCATAGCCCTGCTTTCTCTTGGTCGGTTATATCTCTGCTAAACAACGATCTCTTATGCGCTCTATGCTGACCGTCAGTATTACTACTCAGTTACTTCACCGAAACAATGTCGGCCACAGCGACAAGTACCATCACTCTCACCAGCTCCGATGGAGTCTCCATGGCCATGGGCAAGTAACTTGCCAGAATACCCCGCGGAACGACATGGAAACGAATAAGAGGGTTTGCTAACCTGGTGTATTACCCAACAGAGCGCCAAGTTGCTGAGCGATCCATCCTTATTAAGAACATGCTTGAGGATCTAGGTGACTCTGGAGAGGCGATTCCAATTCCCAACGTGAGTGGCGCGAGAGTAGCCTAGTCTATAAGGAAATATTACTAACTGTAGTATTATAGGTGAACGAGTCTGTTTTGAAGAAGGTTGTGGAGTGGTGTGAGCATCATAAAAATGATCCCCCAAGCACCGGCGACGAAGATAGCGACTCTCGGCGCAAGACAACCGATATTGATGAGTGGGACCAGAAATTTATGCAAGTCGACCAGGAGATGCTTTTTGAGATTATCTTGGTAAGCCTTAATTAGTTGTGACGTAATGAAGCGATCTCGCCTCTTCGCTTGATATCTACTCCAAAGCAGAGCCTAACCGCTACTTCACCTCTGCAATAGGCTGCAAACTACCTCGACATTAAGGCTCTGTTGGATGTCGGCTGCAAGACTGTTGCCAACATGATCAAAGGAAAGTCTCCCGACGAAATCCGCAAGACTTTCAATATCCAGAATGACTTCACCCCTGAGGAGGAAGATCAGATCCGCCGTGAGAACGAGTGGGCCGAGGAGTAAGTTCTACTTGCTTGTATGGTTTTCCTGCGCTTAGGTACTAATACCTTGGACCTACTCCAAATTTAGCCGCTAAATTGATCGATTCGCTTCTTATTGGTCCTCGAACCTATTAGTTGGTAGCCGTTTTGATCCTCAAAATGTCTGTATTGCAACTAAGACGGCTGGTCAGCTCTTCTACCCCAATCACTCCTTTTGTTTTTGCTCTAGATAGAATCTGGGGCCCCGCTAGGCGTTTTCTACGGGTATTTGCCCACCCTGGTTTTTGATTCTTTACATGCGTGGCGTGGTAGTGTTGGATGGTTAAAATACAAAAATATCGACAAGCGGCCAAGATCATCTTGTGTACCTGCCTCCGACTTATTTTTCCCTTTTACACTTTTCAGTAGGATAATGGAAACAGGTGTTATTGTGCAGTGCAGTTTTATAGCAGATAACCAGCATGTCTTAGCTAATAGATAATATTTTTGCATGCGTACCAGGCTTCATAGGTATTAGCCCAAGGGGAGGAGTTTCCGTTATATGTTTCGTATGGACACAATACACATGGCAGCTTCAAGGGCAAGGAGTTGTGTGATTTTCGAACGGGCATGAGTAAAATGAATCATGAAATATTTATCTGTTTCATACACAGAAGGCTTTCATCGCCAATTTTAAACCGACAAATCCTTACCCGCGCCCCTTTACCATTGAATTCATCGATGAAGCAGAATCATTGACGTTGGCCCAGTTTTCCCAAATCATTGTCTAACAACGGAACACACAAAAGATAGAGAACCGGCTGAAATTTCGACAAAGATACCATGATGTCCAACAAGTGGGAAGTAGGGCGATGTGCATCGATCGTGGCTGAAAAAAAGGTAACAAAGGTTGCTTGACTGTGTTTCGCGTATCGAAGACGTCGCAGTGTTGTTCTTTTCTCTCGGCTTTTCCGTTTCGCTTGTTGGTAGGGAGAGGGTTGGGCGTTTAGATACCGAGACGGGTCTTGCGCCAGTGTCTTCGCTTGGCGTTATATCTAAAAGAAGGTGGAAATGTCAGTTAAATGTTGATTGTTGCGGCTGAACCTCTGGTTCCGGAAAACATATGCGACGTGTCTCGATGGTATTTGAGAATTGGATTGTAGTTGTTTGCGCTGATCGAGATTGTTGTTTGTACCCAAATGAGCATCGCTTTTTCCAACCCGTCCATTTCTTTTTGAATCCATTTCGCTCCGTTTCCTTGATTTCCTTAACGGGAATGGGTTGCATTACCTGATGGTGTTGCCGGTTCTCAAGCGAATCCATTGAGGAATAGGACGGTTCTGTTTCTGGGCTCTGGCAAGCTTCTGCTTGGTACGGAAAGACTTGTGGCTCTGGGGAATACTAGGTCAGTTTCCGCAGGGCAAAGCAATTCCACTTAAAATACGTACCGGCATCTTGACGATATTTGTTCACGGTTTTCGTCGAGGTGCGATGGGTTTGACGATGTCGTGGTGGAAGCCAGTTTTGTGTGGGCGTTCGCTTACCCGGATTAGGTTTCGGAAGCTACATCCACGTGACATGAAGGCTTGGCACGGCTGCCAGACTTTCGCGTGGAAACTTTGAAAGAAAATGAGTCACGGCGGAGCATCCGTGTTGTATTACTAATTTTAAAAGATTCAGGCAGCGAAGTATTGTTGAAGTTCTACTGGCGAAATCTGAGATTTCAGCCCCATGGGAACATGGGAATACGGAGGACCATGGATTGATATGATGCTGCTGACTGGTGGGCTGCTCAGTCAAACTTTCGTGGTTGACCATCGGATTCCGCTTTCAGAAAACACTTGTCGGTAGCGCACAGGCGAGACAACTCAGATCGGATAGCCGACTTGCAATCAGCGCGTTTGCTGCGCAGCTGGGATCTGGGAAATTCGGTTGCCTAGTCGGACTCGGAACCGTCGAAACAGTGCATAAAGGCGGATAACTCTAAAACACCCATTGTGACTCGACTCCTTGTCTGTCCAGGAGATTTGGCACCAGCCAGATATTTTGTTTAGTCACAGTGAGCGGGGAGCCTGGCCTGGTACGGAGTAAGCTGGGGACAATGTGGAGGGACTCTTGCCACTGATGATACCTGAGATTACCCCGTCCTCTGTACTCTGCGTGGAGCTGTCTGTTATGGAGGGCCGCCCACCACGCTACCCCTTTTTTCGAAAGGACTAGCTCCTGCGCCGTATTATTGTCGTATCGCGAGGTGAAGCTGTTGACCGTGTTGTCTCGCGCAGGGGCTTATTTTTATGTGTCGTGGCCGGGCGCTCGCCTCGCTGGTGGAAGATCACCCGCCCTGCCTAGGAGGGAAAGACTTGCGAACGACCCTGTAAGATTCCGGGTATTAGACATGTTTCATCTTCCCAGCCCGATGTAGCGGAAGTGCTGCAGCCAATAAGTTGCAGCAGGCTGGGCCGGGAGCGGTACCCCATGGCGCGGTAAGGGGCGCGTATGGGGCGAGTAAGTATTAACTAGTTAATGCAAAGTCAACACGGGCGACTTATGCACACAGCGCGGGAGGCAAAGTTACCGTGCACAACTCGCAGCTTGCCTCTTCTGGCGGCGGCGGAAACTTCACGCGGGCTGACCGGCCATGATGCAATGACGGCTGCGGTTATATATATCGCGTCCCGCCCCCGGCCGTACTGTTCTCTCACCCCAGGTCGTGATCGCTGGACGGCCAAGCTTGTTACCCGATTGCCTGAGGACCTAGACTGCCCAACCCAACGCTTGATAGACCTAGTTTGCACCGCGTATTGCGCCTGGTGATTAAAGACGACGATACCAAAGACCTGGCGACGCGGCATTGACATCTCCTACAGTTTCTACGCCTTACATGCAGCGTGCACGGTGACGCTCGACCATGGCGGGAGACCCCGAAAAGCCAAGCCAGGACAAGCCTGATGCGCAAGCGGCAGTGGACCTGGAAAAACCCTCGAAAACTGGCTCCTCCGCAGGATCTACGCCCAGTCAGCGTGATGATGTGGACAGGCGAGACACCACGGTGACTGTTCCTGAGCCTGAGAAGGGCTCCGATCTGGACGCCTCTCTGGCGCATCTCCCACAGCATGAACGCGACATCCTCAAGGAGCAGCTCGAAGTCCCTGATGTCAAAGTCGGGTATTTTACTCTCTATCGATATGCGACGGTCAATGACATGGTTATTCTGGTGGTTAGCGCCATCGCATCCATCGCGGGAGGAGCTGCGTTGCCATTGTTTACGGTGCGCATGGCCCATATGATTTGCCTTTTGCTACGTTCTTTTCGCCTAGTTATGCTAATTTGTTTGCTAGATTCTTTTTGGCGCAATGGCCGGATCCTTTCAGGATATCATCTTAGCTAAAATAACGTACGATGAATTCAACAGCGTTTTGACCAAGAATGCATTGTACTTCGTGTATCTCGGTATTGCTGAGTTCATTTTGATCTACGGTTGCACCGTTGGTTTCATCTATACAGGCGAACATATCTCTTCAAAGATCAGAGAAAAATATCTCGATGCAATTCTACGGCAGAACATCGCCTTCTTCGACAAACTAGGTGCTGGAGAGATCACCACACGTATTACAGCTGATACCAATTTAATCCAAGACGGAATTTCCGAGAAAGTTGCTTTAACCTTGACCGCCCTGGCAACCTTTATCACAGCCTTTGTGATAGGCTTTATTAAATACTGGAAACTCACCTTGATCTGTTGTTCCACTGTTCTGGCCATTGTGGTCATTATGGGCGGTGCTTCTAAGTTTATCATCAAATTTAGTAAGAACAACCTCGAGTGCTATGGCGAAGGCGGTACATTAGCCGAGGAAGTATTGAGCTCCATCCGAAACACAACTGCCTTTGGGACCCAGAAGCAGCTTGCTGAAAAGTACGAAAGCCATTTAGAAGAGGCCCAGAAATGGGGCATGAAACTTCAAAGAACCATCGGTTTCCTAATGGGCGCTATGATGTCGATTGTGTTTTTAAACTACGGTTTAGGTTTCTGGATGGGTTCGCGTTTCATTGTCAGCGGGGAAACCCAGCTGTCCCATATCATCACAATTTTACTCGCGATCATTATTGGCTCGTTCAGTTTGGGAAATGTTACCCCCAACAGTCAGGCATTCACATCCGCCATAGCTGCTGGTGCCAAAATATTCAGTACTATCGACCGAAAATCTCCAATTGACCCGACATCAAATGAAGGAAAGAAGCTAGATCATGTCCTGGGCAACATTGAATTCCGTGATATTCGCCACATCTATCCCTCCCGCCCTGAGGTCGTCGTTATGCAGGCGGTAAATCTATTTGCACCTGCTGGTACAACTACTGCTCTTGTTGGACCATCCGGCTCCGGAAAAAGTACTGTTGTTGGTCTTCTTGAGCGGTTTTACAACCCTGTGGGAGGCTCTATTCTTCTAGATGGCCACAATATCAAGACCCTCAATTTAAAATGGCTTCGGCAACAAATCTCTTTAGTCAGCCAGGAACCAACGCTTTTCGGCACCAGCATCTATAATAATATCAAACAAGGCCTTATTGGCTCAGTCTTTGAGCAGGAATCCGAGGAGAGTATTGGCCAGCGTATCGAAAACGCCGCAAAAATGGCAAATGCGCATGATTTCATTATGGGATTGCCCGACAAATATGAAACTCAAGTTGGAGAACGTGGTTTCCTCCTCTCTGGTGGCCAGAAACAGAGGATTGCCATCGCTCGTGCGGTTGTGAGCGATCCCAAAATTCTTTTGCTCGATGAAGCTACTTCCGCTCTAGATACAAAATCCGAGGGAGTCGTGCAAGCGGCATTGGATGAAGCTGCGAAAGGAAGAACAACTCTTGTTATTGCTCATCGTCTATCAACTATCAAGACCGCTGATAATATTGTTGTCCTTGTCGATGGTCGTATTGTTGAACAGGGAACTCATGATGAGCTAGTTGAGCGAGATGGAACTTACCTTCGGCTTGTGGAAGCCCAAAAGATCAATGAAGCGCGTGATTCAGAAGCAGCCGGGGACTCCGATGATACTGGAGAAGAATCGGTCGAGGACAATGGCATCGGCCTTCAGAAGACTCGTTCGTATGCCAGCAACTCCGGAAGGTTCGCAAATGAAAACCTGGATTTAGAGCTTAAAAAAACCGAAACGAAGAAATCTCTGTCAAGTGTTGTTCTGTCGAAGCGTGAACCCGAAAAAACGAAAGATTATTCCCTGGGCACATTAATAAAATTCATATCCTCGTTTAATGCCCAAGAATGGAAGCTGATGGTTGCAGGTCTTTGCGTTTCAATTATCTGTGGTGGAGGTCAGCCAACCATGGGTATTCTTTTTGCCAAATGTATTTCAGCCCTGGCACTACCACCACCTCTATACGGGAAGCTTCGAGACGAGGCAAATTTCTGGAGTTTAATGTTCTTGATGTTGGGACTTGTTATGTTCATTTCTTACAGTACGCAGGGAACTTTGTTCGCAATTTGCTCTGAAAAACTTATTTTCAGGGCAAGAAGCAACGCTTTCAAGTCAATGCTTCGACAAGATATTGCATTTTTCGACAAAGAAGAGAACAGTACCGGAGCGTTGACTTCGTTTCTTTCTACAGAAACGAAGCATTTATCTGGTATTAGCGGTATTACTCTCGGAACTATCCTCCTCGTCTCTACCACGCTGGTTGCGTCTATGGTGGTGGCTCTTGCTATTGGCTGGAAGCTTGCCCTGGTTTGCATGTCTTGTGTCCCTGTTCTTCTGGCTTGCGGCTTCTGGAGATTCTTCATTCTGGCTTCGTTTCAGAGGAGAGCCAAAAAGGCTTACGAGAAATCTGCCAGCTATGCTTGCGAGGCGACTTCTGCTATTCGCACAGTTGCCTCCCTTACTCGTGAGCCAGACGTCGCCGATACTTATCATGGACAGCTGGTTATCCAAGGAAGGAGAAGTTTGATGTCCATCTTGAAGTCGTCCACACTCTATGCCGCCTCACAATCCTTCCTGTTTTTCGTTCTTGCGCTTGGATTCTGGTATGGAGGCACATTACTAGGCAAGGGTGAATATACCTTGTTCCAGTTCTTTGTGGCATTTTCAGAAATCATTTTTGGTGCACAGTCTGCTGGAACAGTTTTTTCTTTCGCACCTGATATGGGCAAAGCGAAGAGCGCTGCTGCAGACTTCAAGCAGCTGTTTGACAGAAGACCTCCCATTGATACGGAATCCGACGACGGCGATGATGTGCCCCCTATTCAAGGTACAATCGAGTTCCGTGACGTGCACTTTAGATACCCCACACGACCAGAACAGCCCGTATTACGAGGCCTTGATCTAACTGTCAAGCCCGGACAGTACATCGCTCTGGTAGGTCCTAGTGGGTGTGGAAAGAGTACGACGATCGCTTTATTGGAGCGTTTTTATGACGCTCTTTCTGGTGGTGTCTATGTCGACGGAACCGATATCACTAGGTGGAACGTGAAGGCCTACAGACGCTATTTGGCTCTCGTCAGTCAAGAGCCAACCCTTTACCAGGGTACTATCAGAGAAAATATTCTTTTGGGTATCGATAGTGGTGCCTCTGAAGAGGACATTATCGAAGCGTGCAAAGCGGCGAACATCTATGACTTTATTATGTCTCTTCCGTAAGTTCCCGTTTCTGCTCTCTCTTCCGCCTCATTTACTAATAATAATATAGGAAGGGACTCTCCACGATTGTAGGCAGTAAAGGAAGCATGCTTTCTGGCGGACAAAAACAACGTATTGCCATTGCTCGCGCCTTGATTCGAAACCCTCAAATTCTTCTTCTCGATGAAGCAACCTCTGCCCTTGACTCTGAGTCCGAAAAGGTTGTCCAGGCTGCCCTTGATGCTGCAGCAAAAGGCCGCACGACAATTGCTGTTGCTCACAGACTCAGCACAATTCAAAAGGCAGACATCATCTACGTCTTTGGCCAGGGCCGCATTGTTGAGAGCGGAACGCACTCCGAGCTTCTTGCGAAGAAGGGCCGATACTACGAGCTTGTCAACTTACAGAGCTTGGGCAAAACTCATTAGAAAATTCAGCGATTTTCTCTTTGGTGCATACTATTTATATAATATCAATCGCCGAAGTAAAAAAGCGGTTATTTTCCGAGATACCCTTATTTTGAAAGGTTTTTACTATTTCTGACTTGTAGCATAATTTGAATGTTTTATTATTTTTCCCAGCTTTTCTATGGCTAGGTAGCGTGCATGCTGGTTTCTGCATATATATATATATCCCACCTCTTGGTAGATAAATATTTAGTTTAATAGACAAACTCCCTTTCTCTTTCTCCTCCCGGCGCATCGAAGAGGCAATTGGAATTGTGTTTTGCTTCACGACATGACCTGGGGGTGAGTATGGTAAGGTTGATCACAGTCCACCTTGCCTGCCTTGATTAACAGTCATCAGTCACATCCATATTGTACGAGAGCCATGACGGCACTCAGTAACGCCAAGAGGAGCCCCTGGTGAGGCTGGGCACTGTGGCTGGGCAGCATCAGCCCCCGAAGTCACTGGACCGCCAACTGTGATCGAGTCAGCCTTGTCACTCCCTCTGCAGCCTGGCGCGAACAACCTCAACAGCCAGCGACGGGGTACTCCGCCTGCAGGTATCATCATGCCGTAGAGTTGGGCTGTCCGCTATATAATGGAGGTACATGTCCTTCGTCAATGAGAGCATAGCATTTTGCAGCATTTTGGCGAGCATCTTTCCTCGCATTTGATGAAAGGCGAATTTGCTTCGTTTTCATTTTTTTGGAATATCAAAACATTTGTTTATTCAAGTTTGGTTTCGTATTCATTTTGTTCCTGGTATTAGTCTTGCAGAGCGTTTATTTCCTTGGTCATCCTGAGCCTGCTATCTCTTCCATTATTATTGTACCTCCCTGATATCTTATCGATGGCCCATGTCCGAGATTGCCCTGAATTTCACCTTGATCGTTCTGATTCCAAGAATCCTTTGACGACGTGTCAAGGTGTTACTTCTGACGGTCGCAAATGTCGGAGATCCATTGTTTCTGCCAAAGACGCTGCGAAGAAGGCAGCAATCGCCAAGCAGTTAGGCAACAGGACTGCTGGGAAGGCTGAAGTACCAGCGGAAGATCTCTTCTGCTGGCAACATAAAGATCAAGCATATTTTCTTAAAAAGAAAGGAGCCCCTACAACCCAAGTTCGTGGAAGATCAAGCATTGATTCCCTAGCCGAGAAAGTCGGTATTTTAAATATGGGTGACGGAAAACCATCAAATACCAAGGGACCAAAGCCGCAACATCCTGCCCCTCCTTCTCGTCCGGAAAGGCGAGTGCGCGATGGGACTCAGGCCCAGCAGCGTTCGTCAAGACCTAGCAACGAGACTCCTGCCGTGAGTACTCCTCGCCCCAAAAAGAGGCTAAGTGCTGGGCGACGGTTGTTTTGCTTCATTACCGGAATTGATGATAGCAATGGCACCGTATTGAACGTTCGTCGGCGACCAGAACAAGCTCGACCTGCCCCCCAACTCGAACCTCAAGTTGCCAGGATGCCTCCTCGCTTTCAACCGCAGCATGCAAAATGGCCAACGACTGCCCAGACACACAGGCCACACTCTGAGATTCCACAAATAATAGAGCCAGCTGAATACCGAGCCCAGAAGCAAAATCAGAGACAGAGCATGCCGGCTGACACGTCCTCACGGCCGTCTATGCTAGGACAACACAGTTCCTCCTCGTCACAAACGCAGTCCCTACTCTCCTGGATCCCAACATCACTCTCACCAGAAACCACATCCAAACTACTCCAGAAACTCTCTGAACCTCTTTCTTCCTCTGAAGAAGCGGGGTATATTTACATCTATTGTGTTACACCGAATTCAACAGCCCCATTACCGGATATTGCACCTTTTCTCGTCCCACATCGTACTGAAATCGGCCCACCAACTACCGAAATCATGCAGTCAGCTGGAATATCCCTTAATCGTGTTCGTAATGACAATTTAGCCCGAGTTGCGAGCACCATTACCCTCAAAATTGGGCGTGCTGTCAACGTATCTCGTCGGTTAACTCAGCAATGCGCACAAAACCTTACCCTAGTTCGATATTACCCGTACTCGCCCCCTTCGTCAAATGTACCACCGCAAAAGGCGCCGAATGTTCACCGGCTAGAAAGGCTCATTCATATTGAACTAGGTGACAGGAGGTTTAGATTACAAGATCCTTGCAAACAGTGCGGGAAGCGACACCAAGAATTTTTTGAGATTGAAGCCGATAGGGAGCAGCTGAAGATGGTAGACGAGTGTGTTAGGAGATGGGTTAGGTTCAGCCAGCTAGACCCGAGCAGGTGATATTTCAAGCCAGCCCACGCTTTCAGTGCGAGGGCAGGCTACGACTTTTTACGATTCATGTCTGATTAGATGCTAAGGGCTCTCCTGAAGGGCAGAAATTTATGTACAATCCCAACTTACTTCAGTTACATCTGCAGATACTTCATTTGACCTATATGCTTTTATTATTTATGTATATTTTCTGTATATTCGTTTAATAATACTTTCGAGTAGCTTAAATGATCTGTTATTAACATATTGGTGAAAAAGTAGATTCGGATGTTTCATGGAAGAATATATAACCCTTTCGTTTCTCCCTAAGAATTCTTAGCATAGCCTATGGCTTCTCTAATACTTCTCTTCTTAAATGACATAAAGGGGTATAGGACATACTCCGTATGGAGCACCTAGTATGCTCATAAGGGTGTTTCGTACGTAGTACCTCAGTTAACTAAGTAATTATGATTAGTTAACTATGTAACACTTAATTCACTCATGACTTGGCTAGCGCCAAAGTTGGGAATGATGTCTTTCTAATCGCACAGCCTCCACTACGCTTGATCTGGATGAAAATGTTTCCGCAAAGGCACCCGGTGACCCTGGGATATCGATGTTTATCCCGATTATCGATGTATTTAACCTTAACCCTGCTGTACTACTTCAATTCTAACGCGATCACAGCCCCGAAGCAAGGACAATTCAAATGTTTTTCCTCTTGATGGAGTTGACCTAGAGACCGTTTCAAATGCCGACCTCATAGGGCTTTTAGATACTGCTCCTATTCTATACCAAGTTGGCGGAACCAAAGTCGTCCGGATCTCACACAATTTGATTCTGAAATCTGGTGGCAGGGTTCTCCCTCGCGAGACCCGAACGCTTCAATTGATTGCAAAAAGAACTTCACTTCGTGTTCCACGAGTATATCGCACATTTCAAGTGAAAGAACAAGGTCGGCAGTTTGGTACTAGGGGGCATATTATAATGGACTACATTGATGGCAAGAATCTTGGAGATTGCTGGAAGCAGCTCACCGGGCGGCAGAAAGATGATATAGTATGCCAGGCAGTTGGTATAGTTCAGCAACTTCAGGCTTTAACCTTTCCAACTGCTGGCCCTTTAGGGGGAGGAGCACAGGTCAACTTTTCTCGGATTTTGGTGCGGGGCCCTTTGACTCGAATTCAGACATGGAAGCCTGGTTTAATCGCAAACTTGCATTCTGTCAACGGATCAACAAGGCCCCTCCAGAAATCCCTCCATTTGAGTTCTCTAAATTTGTCATGACACATCAAGATATTAGCCCTCGAAATATTATCCTAGATGCCTCGGAGAAAATCTGGTTGGTTGATTGGGCAGATTCTGGCGCATTTCCTCCTGCATTTGAACGAGGTGCTTTGGCTGTAGTTAGTTTGAAATCAGCAACCATCACAGTGGGCGTCAATGGTGATCTAAGCTCCCGGCCCCGCATCGGCCCGCCCCCGCAGTTCGCAGCCAATGAAGAATCACACTCGGGAGATTGTCTAACAACAGAACAGCTGAAGTACAGAGTACAGACAAGAGGCTCAAGCCCAAGTTCTAGCGAGAAACACTGACATGATCGACTATGGAGTATGGTGGGTACTCCATTTTTGATTCTACAACAATATTGCTCATTTGGCTCTGCGCAAAGATATCGCTGTTGTCTAGAACAAGGGTGTGATGTTACCTGATCCCAACTGTGTCCAACCGGATCCATGTCGGTAGTCTTGCCATGCATGGACCTGGTTCATATTTCCAACTGAGAGTTATCAATAAAGTGCGATCCGCCCGCGCATCGGTAGCCTGATCTTTGCTTTATCCATCTAAACCCTTGGACACAAACACCCATCTCTCTCAACTTCGTCTGAACTGCTTGTTCCTTTTTCTTCTCTTCTTCTCGCGCCATTGTTTCTCTTACCAGTTGAGCAACCTGTTCTTCGTATTTACGTCGCCTGAGCTCGTTTTGAAGTCTTTCATCCTCCAGACGCTGGCGATCTTCTTCGCACTTTTGTTGCTCCCGACGCTTAGAGACCCGTGTTTTTTTAGGGAGCTGTTCGGCAATCTTGCGCCTAACTTCAAGCTCCTCCACAGCCCGTTGGATGTCTTGCTTTTTAAGCTCCTCTTCTAAGAGCGCGTCTTGTTGTAATTGAGCCCAGACCTCGTCAGGAACACCATCATCACGGATGATAGTGCGCACTTCACGGATTCCTGAAGCAAGATCTGAAACAAGATCTGAAGACAAGGAACTATCCGCCTTTCTTTTTAAGTTCTGAACGGAGGGTGTCGAGTGATCTTGGGCCTCCTTGTGCAAACTTAACTGTGGATTTTGGGGTACTGGGATAGACCGTAATCCTGCGTTTGCTTGTTCCCTGCGTTTCGAAATCATGGAGCACATGGTGTCGTGCACAATCTTTTCTGTTATGAAAAACTTGTTTTCACCATTTGAAAGGACGTGCCTGATCATTGATTTTGCTAGCGTTTCGATATCCCGTGCATTCCCCCAGAATGGAAAACTGGCAAGTTGGGTGAAGAGGCATAACAATTTCTCGTCCAGACGCTTTGAAGGGGTGCAAACTCCACTGCTATCAATCTCAGGACATTGTTTTAGGCACTGTCTCAACAAATCGAGAGATTCCTTCGGGGCCAAATTCGTGAAACAGATAGTTTCAGAGAATCGACTGGTCAACCCTGGATTCATAGCCATGAGGCGGTCAATATCCTTGTCGTACCCAGCTAGAATAACAACAAGCCTTTTTGCATAAGCTGGCTTGGTAAGGCAGTCTACAAGCTCATCCATGGCCTCTCTAGCAAAGAGCCCTTCGGCCAGCCGATATGCTTCATCGATGAAAAGGACTTTACCAAGGGCTTTCTCTAGTAATTTCTGAGTCTTGGGCCCGGTATGGCCAACGTATTGGCCAATGAGATCTGTTGCAGAACGCTCAACCACTTCAGTCGTGGCCAAAAACCCCATGTTATAGAATATTGTCCCCATGCGTCTAGCAGTAGAAGTCTTACCGGTCCCTAGGAATTTGTTAGAAACATACATATCATAGAAAGGATTTAAAAATACTGACCTGGTGGGCCTCGAAACAAGAAATTAAAAGGTATCACCTCAAGTGGATTCATTCCGAGAGTCCTCATACTTGTCACTGTTTTCTGGTAGCCTTCCATTTTACATATAATATCTTCACAGCCGACAACGCCCTTGAACAGCTGTCTACAATTGGTTAGTGCCCGATCGGCACGATCAAAGTCCGGGTCAAAATCTATCGGTTCCAATATATCAGCGCTTTTGGTTTGTCGGGAGGAGAACCTTTTTTGATGCACCAGTTTTGCTTTGTCAAGTAATATATCTATCTCGCCAGCATTTCCAAAATGGGGTCGATGTCGCGCGCGGTTAAGACATTCCTGAACAACGACTCGAGTCTCAGGTGTAACACCGAAACCAGCCTGGTTCAACTTCAAGTCGAAAATCTTTTGCAGATCATTGTCACTGTAGTCTTCAAATTCGAACGCTGAGCTCATTGGGAATCGTCTGGAAAGGCCTGGGTTAGAATTTCGAAACATTTCCTCCATTTGAGCCCTGTATCCTAGTAAAAGAACGCATCGATCATCACCTGGCACACTTTGTACTTGGGCAACGAGAGTGTCGACCACGGCCAACTTAAATAAGTCAGCACTATGAGCTGTAGAATTCCCATTGAGCATGTAAGCTTCATCAATCACAAGTACTTTCCCTTGAGTCGAAGCTAGAATCCCTTTTGTAATAGTTTCTGAAGCTCCGAGAACATCGCCGACAAAATCAGAGGGGTTTTTGACAACAACTATAAATGATTAAATGATTACTTCGAAAAACCGATCAAAGTGGACGTACCATCTCCGCTGGAAAGAAAACCCAAATCCGCAAGTATTTGACCATACAGCTTCGCCACAGTTGTTTTCCCTGTCCCAGGGTTGCCCACAAAAACCTTGTTCAAGGAATATTCAACAAGAGGCTTCTCTGCCAGCTCACGCTGGTAATTGGTCTCGATTGTATCAAGGAGAGACCTAATCGCGTCTTTGACGCTGTCTAGCCCTGTCAAATTCTGCAATTCCAGCCATGCGGCGTTGTCCTTCAACACGTTGGAGGGTTTTGGCCCTATGAGATCCTCCTGGGTCAATAACAAATCATCGGGCTGTTTTCCAAGGCGTCTCTGGTCCTGTAATCGTTTTGCCTGGCGATCTGCTATCTTTGAAACTTGATTTTGAACTTCTCGAGCGTTTCCAAATCCTTCTCGCCCACGGCCTCTTCCAATACGGCGGGAAACTATGCGGGCATACAGACCGGCCATACCACCCTCCAATTTCATTGTGTTGTTATATTTTTTGCTTATACAATGGCTCAAAATACCTTGTAATTCGGTGTCTGTATAATCTCGGAACTGGAGCTCGATGGGAAATCTACTTGGAATTCCAGGATTATGGGCGAAAAAGCTCTCCATATTTTTGTTGTAGCCGGCGATGATGAACACAATTTTGCCCGTGAGATTTTCAACTTCTGCGAGCAAAAAGTCAAGGACTTGGCCTCCAGTGGGGTTTTGCCTTGATGCCAGTTGGTATGCCTCATCAATGAAGAGTGCGCCACCTCCATCACTGCAAATATCTTCAATGTGCTTTTTACAGCCGGAGATGCCATCACTGGCAAGCCGTGATCCCGATGTCTCAACAAAAGCAGTTCCTGGGATGACTCCCACTGAGCATAGATATTTGGCGTAGAGCCGCGCAACAGTTGTTTTTCCTATTTAGAGATGAGCGCTAAAGCCAAAAATAAATACATAATAAGTAAATTGACATACCTGTGCCTGGATTTCCTAAAAAAGCTGCATTAAATCTCTCATCGTTCAAGCTGGCACTTTGGCGAACAACAGCATCAACTCTGGCTTTGACTGACATGAATTTCTCTTTCACCTTCTCGAGGCCTATCATGTTCATTAACGAATCCAGTGACTCATTTGTCTGACCCTCTACATCTTTTTGATAATCCCACTCCTCCCTAGCCGAGGATAGTACTGGCTGTATGGATGGTTGTTCTGCCAATATAGTTGTCGACTGAACACTCGTAGGGGTAGTTGCGTACTCCAAAGGGCTGGTTGTACAAGGTTGCTGAGAGTGTGTGGGTAAAACATTGACTTTAGATTCTTGGTCCCGGGCGGCAGAAACGGCGGCCTTGAGTCTTTCGAGATCTTTTAACCTTTGATCAAGGGTGGTTTTATATTTCCTTTCAATAGCGGTGCCATTTAAAATCTGTTGTTGTTCATCGATCTTCCGTTGAACCTCTGCCAGCTTCTCTGCATGAGCATGTCGACGAGCCTGTTGTTTCCGCTCCAGATCAGCGTCTCTTCTCTTTTTTTCTTCTGCGGCTCGCGCAACTTTTTCACAAGTAGGGCAGATTTTGGGTTGTCCTTGAGAGCAACTCCACATATACCTGTGTTTATTCGGGCAGGTATTCTCAACAATAGCATGGCAGGCCATTTTAGAATGGTCATAAAGTTGGTGGCACTTTTGTGGACAGGTATGAATACCACAATTAAGTATTGCGGAGCTGGATTCCATTAACTAATGTAAGAAACTCTTTTGTAACGATTCCACACATACCAATTCTCTTGACATCCTCCACCAGGGCATTCAGTTTCAAATTCTTCAGGGAGTCGTATTGTGATCTTGCGCGTTGGATGTCTCTCGCACCGTAGCGGAAACCCGTCATAAACATGGCCTGCCTCCCGTAAGCATTCCAGTAACGATGGCCACACAGTGTTTCCACGACGGCCACCAAGAAATGTTTTCGCGTTTCCAATCAGAATCAGCGCATTTCTCGCCCTTGATAGAAGAACATTTACCCGTTCCGGTGATGCCATGAAACCTATGTCATTAGCTCGGTTGCTACGAGTCAATGATACAAGTACAATCTCACTTTCCTCCCCTTGGTAGTTGTCTTTAGAAAAATAAGTAAAACGTCATGGGGGAATATGATGTAGAGAAAGTTGAAACGTACCTATTGTTGAAATTCGGAGAGGTCGCCTCTTCAAGTTAGCACTGGCTGGATTGATTAGCCCTGCTTGTACTAAATCGTAAGAGTCTAGATCATTTAGAACAGGGTCCGTGGATTGGCTCAGTTCTTTTTGAAGCAAATGTAGTTGCCCAAGATAGGGCGTAAGAACTACAAGCTTATCTGTTCCATAGCCTTGTTGTCCAAGGTAGCGAACGCAATTTAAAATCATTTCTACCTCGAATAGATTTTTCTTGCTTCCTGCTGCCGTAAGATCCCTTTTATCCAAGACGCCCGGTAGCTGGAGCTCTGGATATTCATGGTTCACAAAGATAACATTATCCTGAAATCCTCGAAGCGCCGGTCTGTTTTTGGTTCCTTCGGCATCGATCAAGTCCGAATATGTAAGGTGTCGAATAAGATGTGATATTTCTGGTCGCATTCGGTGCTGTTCAGTGAGTGTAGTAATGGGAAAGCCAGCTAGCACAAGCCTTTCAAACATTGACCTGTTAAGATCAAAACCATCTCCCTTTTCAATAGTCAGATTGTAATTGTTGATTTTCGGGCGAAGCTGCTTGTGATCTCCAATCAAAATTAGATGTTTTGTTGTCTCGGTCATGGAGGTCAGAATATGGCTCTCCAAAATTTCACCCGCTTCTTCAACCAAAAGAATACCCGGTTTCGCCGAGTGGAGAGCAGCCGCGTATTTTGCAGCTCCAGTCGTAGTACAGGCAATAATTCGTTTTTCTTGGAATATGTGAAAGTGTTTTTTATAGTAAAACATATTATCGACGTCGTTTTGAAGCCTGTTGTACTGATCAAATAAAGAAGAGGCCTGGTCGATGCGCTCACGAACAATTTCCGATCTCCATCGTTTTAAAAGGTTTTGACGGCCCCCATATTCTATGTTCCAGATATGATGATTGCCCAGGTTCGCTTTAAAAACACCAGCATCCTCTCCAGTGCTCCAGCGCCTTAGTAAGTAATCCTCTTCAATTTTCTGGTTGCTGGCCCCGACCCATTTCATGCCATTGTTTTCCTCCGGAACACTTAGTCCTTCGTAAAAGCTTGGATTATCGGAAAATTCTAAGTGCTCCAGGACTTCGACCAGGGTAACATGTCCACTGATCAGTCTTCTTGGCGATGCTAATAATTCACTCTTCAGATAATCTAGTCTCTCCCTTTGAGCGCATACAACGGGCCATGGGAATCGCCTCGACGTATTGCGTTTTTGTTCTGATAAACAGAGTTGTTTTGTTTGATCTGTAAATTTTGACCCGAGTCTAACCATCAATTCAGCGGGTATACCAATACTCAGGAGATCTTCAAGGAACTGGTCAAGAGCGTGGTTCGTGAAACATAAAACCAAAATAGTTTCCTTCGTATTTTTACATAAGGCTTTCGCAGCAAGAGCGCCAATAAAAGATTTTCCAGTTCCTAGAGAGATTAGCTTCGCCAATTCAGTGTTGGAAAGGTGACAGGCCTTACCTGGAGGGCCTTGAATGAGGCTTACAGCATGAGACAAACAAGATGATAATGAATTCAACTGCGAGATATTCAGGGATATTTTTTTGGAGACCCCTAGAACGCTTTGAATATCTTCCCCCTGAGAAGATTTAATTCTGTCAATGATGCTGAATAGCCCACTGCCGTGATCAACATTTTGCAACGCTGGTACTGAAGAGAGTATGGTACTCGCAAATGGGAAAGATGTCATTTTCTGCAATTGTTGGAGAATCGGCTCATAGGCAAATACAGCGGTGTCTACAGCGATATATTGGAGGCTCCGCACTGCTCCAACGCACAGCAGCACTCGTTTTAGTGATTCAGCGCCTGGTATCTGTAAAGTAAGGATAGGTATGTCTTGGCTGAGTAGGGACTCGTCCCGATCAATAGAAGCAAATGCAACGATATCATCTCCATTGAGCAGGCATCCAAAAGATTGATGTCTTAGAAAATTTTTGCTCTCAGCAAGTGCTTTTTCTTTGTCATTCTTACTCAGTCGTGATAGCTGCGGGAGGCCATCCCTGCATTCAAAAGCTAAAGAGCATGGCTTTCGATGACCCTTGAATTCGAAGGCTGTAAAGACAAGACCGCTGATAATTGTGGCCGATCTTTTACCTTGTTTTTGCCCAAGCGCAATGTGTAAATCATTTCGCAGTTCCCCCAATAAGTCTTCCCTCAAAAGTCGAAATTGATTGTCATAATGCATCCCAGGACGCAACTCCGCCGGCGCGTCATAAATGTCGTCCATTCTACGGTAAAACGGGAGTTCCATCGACAGTATTTCATCAGGAGTAGGCAAGATGGATATCCTTCGAAAATCTTCAAAATCATTATCGTGTCTTCCCCCCGGCTTATATGTGTCATCTGGGTTAACGAATGTGGACGTTGACTCCAAGTAATTATTGATTTTGTATCCAATCTGTCGAACTTTGGCATATGAAGAATCAACAAACAAACGGTTGACTCCAATATCTTTGGCAACTTTCTTAATTTCTTCAGTGCAAGCCGAAGACTTTAGTAATTGAAGGAGCAACCATGCGAAGGCAGTCAAAGAGTTTTCAGTTAGAGATTGGGTGCTATTCGCTTCAACCATTGCCGACCAGAACGTCGGAGAATCAATTATTGCACCGAGAAGGGATCTAAGAAGCTGTCCGTTGCAAAGTTGCTCAAGACCAGGTTCTTGAAGATAAGTGAGTAGGTCAGCCGCAGGTCCATTGAGAAAACTTTTCGAAAGGTCGAATTTAAGGCAGTTATGAAAGGACTTGTGGAGATTCGGATTGGCAACGAGTTTCTCGACACAACTGAAAGTATTGTTTTGATGGCATACTGCCTCTATGAATAATTTGGCGTCTGCTGCATTTATGACATGTTTCTGGCCCTTCTCAAGGAGACGAAAATGTTGAGATAGTCGTGCAGATCGGCTTGTCAAAGCCATTTCCGAAAGACTGGCGACAAATAACTAGTTACCTATGCCATTTGAGGAGGTGGAAAATAATATCAGGTTAGATTTTTTCCTTCGATTTTTCATTTTTCGGGGGGAGGGGGTATTTTGACGGGATGTACCTAGCGTGCTGGAGAGGTACGGTGGAAAGCTCCGTATATCGGGTGGAAGCTGTAGAAATCCTTGCCTTCCAGCTACTCTTGAAACAGTGACTACCCAAATCAAACTCCGTAGCCACAACGGAAATATAAATTTTCGCCTGATGAAATGTTTGCTGTCAATGCTTGAGCGCTGTCACAAGGGGTAGGGTCAGTTATAACGACATGCTTTCTCCACCCTCACTTGACTTGAGAGGAAATTTGTCTTGGATATGTCGGGTTAAAGGGTGTTTTATTTTATCCTGCATCAAAGATGCCTTAAAGTAGATTCCACGTAGTAATGGAAAACATCAAGTGATCAAGTACTCAACATCCTCAGGAACCCCACATGGGTCTAAGGTAGCACACTGGAATTCGCAAACGGATAATATTGATGGAGGAATAATCGGGAAATACTGTTAACAGATGCATTCATTTGCTATCATCTCCTCCAAAAGCTTTGCTGTGATACCCAAGTCTGTTGTTGTAGTTGTATGTTCGAGCAAGAACGGCCGCTGTTGAGCTTTCCAGATTTCATGGATATAGCTAATTGAAAGATGTCAAGTGTCTGACTATATGTTTGCAGCTCGATAGTTCTATGGCAAAACCCTACGCCATATTAATACATCTCTCACTGCATAGTACATCGTGACTCTGTATGTGTATGGATGCAAATACATAATCTTGCAGCATATTGATAGTCCAGTCCTAAATACTGGAATTGGTAAAAATAATCCCGAGTGGGAAAATAAAGCCATAGGGTAGTATTGTGTGCAAGTTGTGTCAGCAGTCTGAAATGAAGCTTTAGCCTCAAAAGAGTGTCCAAAATATTCCTTGCGTCATGAGGGTTTGTTCCAGACAGATGATTACCTGGCCTGTGCCGTCCAGGAGAAGTGTCAGCTTTGATTTGGAATATTAGATCGTAACATTCTTTCTAGCAAGTATGTAGAATTAGCCTGAGGGAGAGCTGTAAGGAGATTTGCTTGTTTCCATGAGCAAAGACAAGTCAATACGAGCGCGAATGGAATTTATATCCCCGGATTCTTGTTCTTATTATTTTTTTGTTTTTTTTTTCAGTATCCAGGTTCTTAAGTCCACTTAAAGTTGTGGAATATGTAGTACGTAGGGTATGGGCGCAACTTCCACCCAACGCTGTTGTAGAACAAACCACTTCAAGTATAAGACGAACCATCTTAACGGAAGAAACACTTTCGTATTAAACACGTGAGACGAATACCACTTCTGTTTATGCATTCTGACTTGGCCTGTTAGTCTGTTGGACGACTTGGTAGCACTTCAATTGTCAGAGACTGTGAAGTATCCAAAACCTCAAGATAATCCCAGAACGAAGAAAAACCACACAAGTCAGCATGGAAGGGCGATGCCAGTGCTCTCACATACGCTTCGTTACCCCGCTTCCGACTCCTCTTGAAATCTACATCTGCCATTGCAGCGAATGTCGACATCAATCCTCGTCAGCATATGGCATATCCGCTGTATTCCCCAGTTTCGAAATCCCTGACCCAACATCTCAGAAAGCGACCCCCGGTGACGCAAATACAACCAAAATTGGGTCCTACACGCGTCCGACGTTGTCCGGCAAGCAACTCGAGTGTTTATTCTGCACGACATGTGGGTCAAGGCTCATGCATCGGGTCCGAGGGGCAAAAACGTCAAACGTGAAGGCCGGGTGTTTGGTTGGACTGGACAGAGAGACGATGAAGAGGGCAGTGCATATATGGTGTAAAGAGGCGGTGGTTGAGATTCCAGCTGGAGCACGCCGATTTGAGGAGGAGCCGGTTGCATGATGGGATGATTGCTGGGCGTGTCTTCGCGTCGCGGGTTGGCGCGCCAGTTTGAGGGCGCATAAAGGGTGCTGGGAGCAGCCATAGCTAGATTCCAAGCTTTGGATAGCCAACATAGTCTACTCCTCTTGTTGTAGCGCGGCACCTGTAGTTAGTGTCTCGACAGAATCTCGACACGCAAGGTACCTACCTGTTGAGCGTGGATCCGAATGTTGGGACTGCCGGTGATTGATGACGACGGCTGCCAACTCCTGCAACCACTCTCATCAGTGCCATATATAGGCTGTTTCAATTCCATTTTATTGTCATTAAGCACGCAAAGGTCATACTAAAAACAATTTTCGCGGTTATGGGATACGAAACTGACTCCTCGCATCGGTCATCCGTCCTCGGCAACGTTGCCTCTGCAGTTCGATCCACTCTGCGCTCCAACCTCGACTATGTTATTCCTCCAGCGCGACGAGCGGACGTCCAATATCGTGTAAATGTCTTTTGCCGGAATAGACCGCTACTTGCCTCTTTGCTTATCTGTCAAATCCTATGTTCGGGCATCCCGCTCGCCCTCTTGATCTTGCAAATTGTCAGCGTGCTATTCTTCTCCTTCGCAACGGCGATCGTCATTGGTTCAATATGTGCGCTCCTGTTCACAGCCGTGTGTGTGGGACTAGCATTGCTGGTGTTGGTACCAATTTTGATGGTGACTACGTTCCTTGGATTGACAGTGTGGGTCTGGGCGTGGGTGGGGTGGTACATTCTTACGCGGATGGGATTTCTAGAAAGACGGCGTGCATTGGCTAAAAGCATGCCTGACAAAGAGAACCAGAATGACAGGAAGAGTGGCATGGCTAAAAATGGGAGCTAGGCTAATCCTTCAGCCATTGCTGATATGGATTCAAGCGTTCTTTATATTGCCAGTTCGATGAAGAAACACAACACTTCTATTATTACTCACATTCGTTTTATTCTTTCCCTGCGGGATTGGCGAAGTGGCCGATACTGCAAAGATCGTATTGGGAGGCGTGTATATTTGGCAGCTCACTCTCCGCCTTTCACCTCCTACCTTCTCACAGACTCTTAACATTATATACATAATGTCAGCTCTCTTTCGCCCCAAGATATTCGATCAATGTGTGGCAGCTCATATCTAAGTACCAACAATATGTCAGCGGCCCTTGTCAGCTAATTGCAAGACAAGACTCTCGATTGTTTGCTCCAGCTCTTCATTTCTATCGAGAGTAGCGGCCACAAACTTTGCGACGCACAAGAAAGTTTCCCGACTTGGACGATCGTGATGGATTAGCTGCATAGTGTCTTTGAGGCTGTAGAGATACGAAAGTGTTTCGTATTTACCATCAGCGAACTTGGGCTGGAGTCTTTTGCGACATTGCAGGAGCCTGTTAAATAATTTCGTTCTAATTGCAATCCATCTCTCTAAGAAAACTACATCTTCATCCATGCCTTGGAGCTCAGTGTGAACAGGTTGCATACGGGGCCATGATTCCTTTGACTGTTGTGGCTGTATGTTGGTTAGGTTCACCAAGCTCACCTGGTCCATTTTGTAGGCATGGAATTCATTTCTAAAATTGTTAGCCTTAACCTCAAATTCATCAGTGAGGGTTTCTCTGGAAGATGCCGGGCTGCATCTCGTCGAATTCTCTGAAGTGTCGTCTGATTTAGAATCCGAGCTGTCCCCCAGTATTTGGTCTTTGATTGGCATTACTCCTTTCTTTGTCAAGCAAGCCTCATGGTTGGCATGTGGATCTGTCGGGCCAACTTCGACGCCATACCGAGTCAGAACCTTTTTAAAGTACCCAGATTCTTGCTTCAGGGCAAGTCTTTTTGTACTTGGGACAGGGGCTTATTTTTTGGAGAAGATGGCAATGATCTTCTAGCCCAACTATTTCATAAACTGCCTCTTGTGCCGCCTCACGCCACTGTTTTGCTTCGGCTTCATGCCAGTCCCTCTCTTTTCGGATGGCCTGAATTCTTCTCTCAAAGTCGGCCTTTAAGATTCGGATGACATGACACTCTTTCTTCTCATCTACTGCAGTGCACACATCTGTCTTCTGTGATAAATGTGACTCTTCTTTTGCTCTGCCGTGTAAGTTTGCGTTCAAAGAGGAGATCGAATGGTCAGTATGGATGTTAATCCCGAGAATGAATTTGGTTGCGTCTGCTGGCTTCCAACAGTTGCTTCGGAGTACTGTAATGGGGATAGTTTGAAATTCTTGTCTTGAGATGTAGTAGATATCTCCTGTATTCGAGGTCAGGAACAATCTTTGTTTTTACCCTTATCCCTAGAAAGTTGGTAGGGATAGGTGAGAATGTGACTGGGTTTTAGCCTGTGCAAGAATGACCGAAGACACTTAAAATGAATTCCACTAGATATTGACTTCATGCCATGATCATGACGGCATAAATCAGTGTCTGTTCCATCGTGTTCGATGAGGGTCTTACCTTTTTATTTGGAACGACTGGGCAGAGAGGCTTGATCGTGCCTGCTCCATATTATCTGCAGAAGCAAGTCAGTATTATCACAATTTGTAGTTAGTTGGTATTGGCCCTTGTTTTATAAACTAAAATATATGTCACAGGTCTTAATTGTATATCAACATTGAATAGTTCCAGTAACAATGGTTTTGAAGTCAATCATTGTGTGAGGAATAAAGATGAGCCACCATGTTGAATGGTAGAAGCATATTCTTTCAAGCTATGTTTGACACAGTATTAATGGAAAGCATCCATAGTTGAATGGAATGCACTCAGTCAAAGGAGCTGATGGTCGACTTAGCGAGGAGCTTTTCAGATTGTTTGTGTGCGATTGGGGGACAAGTGTAGATGTAATTCTAGAGATTTTCAAATTAGCATAGCAAAAACTGTTACATTCTCTCTTGCACCCACATTTTGCGTTTCATGGCTCCGATTGATGGCTCAGCGTGGATATATTTTCGTCCAACTCAGGGGCCTAGAAGGGGCATGACTAAGCAAACCGCAATGCGACCAGAGTGTCCTCTCAACGGCGTTAGCGCGCCTGGTGGACAAGCAACTTCGAACATCCACAAATCTCGCCCAACCTCTCTCAGTTCTGTCGTTCGTCCGCAACGTCTCCTCTTCTCCTTTTCCTCCCCCCCCCCCCCTTTTTCGGTGCTTAACTGCGCTCACCATTTCCGCTGGCTTCTCCGGGCTGTGTTCTTTAATTTCTTGCCTTTCTCGCGGCTCAATCGAGGAACAAGCCACCCATCATGAGCGGCCGTAAGTCTACGCCCACGTGCTGGCCCTTTTGCGAAGCAATTGAGGCGGGTCTTGTAGTTGACGGGCTGTGTATATTGACTAATATGTGAAGTCCGTTTCCTCGACTTGATCAAGCCCTTCACGCCCCTCCTTCCGGAGGTGGCAGCCCCGGAGACGAAGGTGCCTTTTAACCAGAAGTTGATGTGGACCGGGGTACAAGCAAATCATTTCCTACCAACTATTATAGATTCTAACTAATATGTCGATATAGTTAACTTTATTGATTTTCTTGGTGATGAGTCAAATGCCGCTTTATGGAATTGTCTCGTCGGACACCTCCGACCCTCTTTACTGGCTTCGAATGATGTTGGCTAGTAATCGCGGAACGCTCATGGAATTGGGTATCACGCCCATTATCTCATCTGGCATGGTATTCCAGGTATGTTTAACCGTTTTATTAGGTACTTATTGCATCCGAACTTATCAATTGTAGCTTCTTGCAGGAACTCACCTCATTGACGTTAACCTGGATCTCAAAACCGACCGCGAACTCTACCAAACTGCCCAAAAGCTTTTTGCGATCATCCTATCCTTCGGTCAAGCTTGTGTTTATGTTCTTACTGGCCTTTATGGCCAGCCCAGTGATCTTGGAGCTGGAATCTGCGTTTTGCTCATTGTACAGCTTGTCGTCGCTGGCCTTGTTGTTATCCTTCTGGATGAATTACTACAAAAGGGCTATGGCCTTGGAAGCGGTATTTCTTTGTTCATCGCCACAAACATTTGCGAGTCGATTATGTGGAAGGCCTTCTCTCCCACCACTTTTAATACGGGCCGAGGACCGGAGTTCGAAGGTGCTGTTATTGCTCTGTTCCACCTGTTGTTGACCTGGAAAGACAAACAACGGGCTTTGCATGAAGCTTTCTATCGCCAGAACCTCCCAAATATTATGAATCTCATCGCCACCTTGGTTGTATTTGCCGCTGTTATCTACCTACAGGGTTTCCGTGTTGAAATTCCAGTCAAATCGTCTCGCCAACGTGGCATGCGCGGCTCCTACCCCGTCCGTCTTTTCTATACCTCTAATATGCCGATCATGCTTCAGTCTGCCCTCTGTTCCAACATCTTCTTGATCAGCCAAATGCTCTATTCTCGGTTTTCGGACAACCTACTAGTCAGACTCCTCGGCGTCTGGGAACCTCGCGAGGGAGGATCCGCCCAGCTCCATGCTGCCTCTGGTATTGCCTACTACATGTCCCCACCGCTTAACTTTAAGGAAGCTCTCTTGGATCCCATCCACACTGCTGTTTACATTGCTTTCATGCTTGTCGCCTGTGCTCTTTTCTCCAAGACTTGGATTGAAGTTTCCGGATCTGCCCCTCGTGATGTAGCGAAGCAGCTTAAGGACCAGGGGCTTGTCATGGCCGGACATCGTGAACAGAGCATGTATAAAGAGCTCAAGCGCGTGATCCCCACTGCCGCGGCGTTTGGTGGAGCCTGTATTGGTGCTTTGTCCGTGGCTAGCGACCTCTTGGGCGCTTTGGGAAGCGGCACTGGTATCCTCCTGGCTGTAACGTAAGTCTACTGCTCTCAAGTTGATTTTTGATGTATTGACATTTATTAGAATCATATACGGCTACTTTGAAATCGCCGCCCGGGAGGGTGATTTTGGCGCAGGCCTGAAGGGTCTTGTGCCTGGTAACTAAATAATAATCTTGCCCCTAAATGTATGGCAAAGCTATTCTTCTAACAACAATTTTTTTTTCAATATTCTGGTCTGTATTAGTGTACAGTGGATGGTATTTTCTGAAAGTCTTTTTTGGCTCTGGTGCACCTCGATGGCGTGGGAGCTGTGGGCAGTTAATGAGCTTACCGACCAACAACCAATGTTCCAATATTCATGAATTTTTGATTTCTTCTCCTAACGGAGCATGGTCTGTTAAAAGTAGATGCTGCTATCTGTGTATATACAACGTGTGGACTTGTACTTCGTAGTTTGACATGTGGCATAGAATCCGGACTGAATGATAAATCGAGCTTCTCCGGTATAAATGCAATCGCAGGGTCACAATCACTCTGGATTCAACCTTGCATCCTACGTTCTATACTCACCATTGATAGTAACGTATTCATGGCTAAAATCACAAAACCAGTAAAGAGCATCTTCCACGCCATCTGACTCATGACCAAGGTCAACAACGATTTCCAAGTCTTCATTTTGCAATATTTTAGCCGCTCTTTCTTCATCCACAGCCTCTGGTTCCCCATTTACAAGGAGCTTGAGTTCAGGATTTCCATCTACCGGCCTGAAACTGACACTTGTTTGCTGAGGAATGACCGTGTCAGGCTGAATTCCATGGGTGTAGCCAATAGCACAAAGAATACGACCCCAGTTTGCATCTTTACCATACAGGGCCGTTTTCACAAGAGGGGAACGGGCAATTGTTGATGCAATGAGCTTCGCGTCGCGGTATGACTGGGAGTTCCTCACTCGCACAGTGACAAACTTGGTCGCTCCCTCCCCGTCTCGGACAACCAGCTGCGCTAGGGCTTGAGTGAACGTTGTTAGAACGGATTGCATCTTTTGGTAATCGGGGGTCGCAGGAGAGGAAATCTGTTCACCACCTGCAGCGCCGTTTGCTAGAATCGCTACGGTGTCGTTTGTACTGGTATCGCCGTCAATGGAGATAGAATTAAACGAACGAGCAACGGAATGAGTGAGAAGAGTTTGCAAGGCGGGTGGCTCGATCGGTGCGTCTGTACAAATTATGCCAAGAAGGGTTGCCATGTTGGGATGAATCATTCCGGCGCCTTTAGTTATCCCAGCAATTTTATATGTACGTTTAGGGGACGAGGGAAGAGTGAAAGACTGGGATACGAGTTTCGGAAATGTATCCGTCGTAGTTATTGCTCGAGCGGCACTGAGCCATGCGTCGTGAGTAGAGGAAAGGTTCGAGTAGCCGGTGGGAATGCCCGAGAGGATCTTCTGAATAGGCAGTCTAAAGCATACGTTAGAAGAGTTGAGCCGGGCCAAGATACAACACACCTTTGACCAATTACACCTGTACTCATAACTAGAGTACTCGAATGTTTGACTTCTCCTGTAGAATCATGTCCGATACACTCATCCGTTTTGACGCTCATGGACTTTGCGTCTTCTAACCCGCCTTTCCCAGTAACAGCATTGGCGCAGCCGGCATTGGCTACAATGGCACGAATACCATATCCTGCGCTAGCTTCTAAGGTCTCTTTGCTCACTTGTACGGGCGCGGCTTGGAATCTGTTCTTCGTAAACACGGCAGCTGCGGAGCTTGGAACCTCAGAGCAGATAATTGCCAAGTCAGGGCGCGTAGTATTTGACGCCTTGACTCCAACATGGGTTCCGGAAACGCTGAACCCCAGCGGATATGTTCCAGAAGAAGGAATGTATTTTCGCTTTGAATCAGGGATTGCGGAATCGATCGGTGTGGAGTACTGACGAGCTTGAAGGGTGATGGCTTGTACCACCCCTGCCCAAGCTCCAGGGTTGTGAGTCAAGGTCACGCGAATTGGGCCACTGAGTGCCATATCAGCGATGCTACTCAAAAAGAGTGCGCCCAAATAACTAGCAGAGAGGAGAAGTGCGATGTCAGCAGCTTCTTGATCATGAGTCAAAATCCAAGATGAAACAGAATCTTTGGGATCTGATAACAATTGAGTTTCGGGCAGATTTAGCGGCATCAGATAAGGAGACTCAAGCTCCAATCAGCCAGCTCGGATATTATCGGATAATACTTCTCCCGATAACTGTAACAATCACGTGTAATTCTGTTACGGGCCTTATGCCTTTAAGGTACCAAAAACATCTTCAGATTTAAAGGGCGAGTGGCTTAGCTTTCAACAAGAGACTTGACGCAATTGAGAATAAGCTTTCGTGAACCTAACCTGCTCTTATCCCGAGGTCGGCGCGCTCAGTTTCTTCAAACGCCAGGCTATGAAACGCAAACAAACTTCTTCTGATGAGGATCCCCTACAGGCACCGACAACACCTCAGAAACGAAGACCAACCCCCGAGAATACTGCCGAGTGTGATTTTGCCAATTGCACTTCAAATCTGAGCTCGACGTCGACACGGTTAAGACGTCGCCTAAATACAAAGCCCACAAGCTCGCCGGCCGAGTTACCGATCCCAAAGTCTAAGAGAGTCGCCGCTTGTTTAACCCCGAAAAGGTCGAACAGAGCTTTGAATGCCGTGGAGAACACCCCGTCTCGGTCAAGAAATGCTGACCGCTCTGCAAAGAAAAAGAGCTTGGGAGTATTGTTAAACCCGAATGACGATGATGCATGGGATGGAAACGAAAAACTAGCTCAGCAAATATGGGATATACAAGATGATGATGTAGCAGAAGATGAGCTAAATTGGAATCAGGAGAATGACGATGCCCTTGAAAAGATAGGTGACGCTTCAGAGGAGCCCGGTGTGTCACAAAACCATGGGAAACAACCCAGAGCACCCAGACACCGGCGCACTCCGACTCCAGAGGGCGATATTCCACCGCACGAGAAGTACTTTTTCCAAAATCGCCCTGGACCGGTATTGACGTCGGACAATACCCTCTCCAACTTAAGTCTCTTGACCCACGAGGAGTATTTTGAGCATTTGGAGAAATTACCCGATAAACATAGCAAGAATAAGAAGTCTTTATTGGAGATACATGCACGATCATTTCCACAGTGGAACTTTGAGTTGAGCCAGGGATTCAATGTGTGTCTTTATGGATATGGGTCAAAGAGATCTCTGTTGCAGATGTTTGCGGACTGGGAATATACACGGCATATGGTACCCTGTCCTATCGTGATCGTAAACGGTTATACAACAAATATCACTATCAGATCCGTATTTGCAACAATTATAAAAGCAGTGATGGGCCCTAATGCTCCATCGAAACTTGGAACCCAGCCAACTGAAGTCCTAGATTTACTACAGTCTAAGCTGGCTTCAAACCCACCAGCGCGACCTGTACTTGTCCTTTTGAATTCCATTGATGCATTTTCGTTACGTCGCCAATCCCACCAAGCCCTTTTGGCTCGCCTTGCCAGTCTCCCCCAGATCAACTTCGTCGCCACGGCTGATACACCAAATTTTTTACTTTTATGGGATATCAGCCTACGAGACCAGTTCAACTTTGCCTTCCATGACTGTACAACCTTTTCTCCATACGACATAGAATTCAACGTTGTAGACGAAGTTCACAGTTTGCTAGGACGCAAAGTTCGACGAATAGGAGGAAAACAAGGTATAGGATTTGTCCTCAAAAGTCTTCCAGAGAATACGCGAAAGTTGTATCGCCTCCTTATTACTGAGCTTCTCATGATAATGGGGGATCAGCAACATTCAGAAAATGTGGAGGGCGATGAGCCTGATACCAATAACAGGCAAAAAGATGCTGCTATTGAATGGCGCTCACTGTTCAACAAAGCCACTGAAGAGTTCATATCTTCCTCGGAACTCATGTTTCGAACACAACTCAAAGAGTTCTATGATCACCAGATGGTTGTTTCCCAGATAGATTCAAGTGGTGTGGAGATGCTTGGTGTTCCCCTTTCACAAGAAGAGATGGAAAGTGTCCTTGAGGATTTGGTTATAGAATAATACCTGACGTGTGTCTATTTGCTAACCGATCTTTAATCTATGCTCGATACCCCGATATGCAATATATGGTAAAGCACCTTCTGTGCGGTTTCTAACTACCGAAAGTTGGCCTCATATCATTCTCCCAGACATAACATAGAGGACAATGCCCCTAGAATTCCGAGAAAGCTGAGAGCATCAATGTAGTTCCGAAACTAGCTTTGAATGCCAAGTTCTCAGTGACGGCGCGTCGTACGTCAACAGACTTCACGTATTTCTGTAGGAAATCCGTGGGCACAATGTTGTAGCCCTTCGATGCCGCCCACTACGGGATAAATTTTCACTCAGCAAACACTCTACTTTACGGCTCAATGAACAGCGCTTCGGCCACGATTGTATGACCAACCTCAATCAGCAGAATCGCAGCCCCCAAAGTAAACGTCAAAGTTCTCGAAAATATCCTCAGACCGACGCCTGTAACCAACCCAAGCACGCTTCCTAAGCTAATCTGTCGGACTGTGCGTGGCTCGATGGACCCAAATGGCCGTTCGCACCCCTCCAGTGGCGATGGCGTAGTGTACCAAGTTGGTTGTCCTGGGACCCGTGTCGCATAGTCACAGCGGATCACAGACGTGGGAGTGGTGTACATCAACACCGAAGCACCGAGGGGAATGGAAAGGAGGAGAGGACGACGGATGAAACGGAGGAATTGGGAAGCCATTGGTGAAGGGGTGTGGGGGTATCGAAAATTTCTTAGGTCTTGAACGATTAGAAACCGAGGAAATAGATGCTCCAGAGAATCGTGGGCACAGCGTATTGCTTACAAAGTGGTTGGAAACGCCGGAGATGTGGTTTGCGGCGTGGTTTCGGACTCTCGGCCCGACGTCATCGGCGTTCTTGGTTCCCCGCAGCTGCCGAGCTTAGTTCACTAGTTAACTACTCTGAAACTAGTTAACTAACTAACTAACTAGATAGTTAGGTAGTTAAACCACAAGGGCAACGCGAATACACAACACGTAAATCATTAATCATTGCATCCTACAACAACAATAAGCAACCGCTCTCTACTTTTGCCTCATACCCTCAGACCTTCCACTTCGGATGAGTCAGAAATGGGCTAGGCCCAATGTAGCGTAGCGTAATTATAAGCTTTGGAGCTACCTAGGTAGACCCTTAGAATTACCCGAATGGGTTAGCTCAGAACACCAAATTCGCGCTAAAGAACCTTAACAACACGCGTCTGAGATGATGATCAACTTAATACGAACATATCCAGTGCTTTTTTATATTTAGACTCTTTCCACCCTAAGGATAAGCTGCTCGCTGCCATCGCCCGAGACGAAAGTTTCGTCCCCAATAAACGCCGAATCGTCAATGATACTGGTCTTGAAATTGGTATAAATTGCCGCCACCGCAAATCTCATCACTGTCACGAAATCAAACCATCAGCACTTTTCCCTCAAAATGCGCTAGAACTACTTACGTTCCATGGCTAAATTCTGCCCCAAACATTGACGACTGCCGCTGCCAAATGCCCACCACCACCGTTCCCTAGCCCCAGCCATTGGATCTTTAGCATCAACTAGCCACCTTTTAGGATTCCAGGTGCTGGCATATGGGTAACCTTCTTCGTTTCTGTGAAGGCACCAGGCATATGCTCCTACACGCGTGCCGGCTGGAACATCATCACACGGACCGAGGGTCACCCTGCGCCCCCTTGGCGTTATGCGAGGGTTGAGCGTTGGAGCCGTGTTTCGGAGGCGAAGAGATTCCCGAATGACAGCGTTCAAAAGAGGCAATGATTCCAAATCCTGCGGAGTTGGTAGTTCTGTATGTTTTCCATCATGGTACTGAAATGGCTGCTTGATCGACAGCAGTTCCTGTCGAAGTTCTTCTTGGATCTTGGGGTTACGAGAAACATTGAGGATAACATACGAGAAGGTGATACCTACTATCTTAGTAATGATATAAAAATTCAGAAAAGCTCTACTTACCAAAGGTATCCCTCGTGGCCACTAGAAAATTATCAGTTCCTGTCGAAAGGGAAGAAGAGGGACATGGAACCTACCGAGATGATCTAAACATTCACTTGCGAGTTCACGCCTTTGAAAAATATCGGGTGCAAATCTGCCATTCAATTTTATTCCTTTCTCCAATTCCATTCCAGTCTTGAGAGCGTGGTACAACAGCGGCATGTTTCCAGGACGGATTTTGTCATCCGTCTGGTTTTCACAAAGCACGTCCTCTGCTAATTTTACCCTTTTCATAGCCCACGCTTCTAGCTCTCTTTTTGCTTGATGGAACCCTTTGGGTATCATAGGGATTCCAAAAAGGGTCAAGATTTTAGAGAGCGTGGGATATTCGGTGAGCCAGAACATGTTGTCAGAAGGATGTGTTTGGTCGTATAGATCGAACCACGCCTCGCGGCTGGCTTTGTCTTCTAGGAATTTGACTCCTCTAGGTAACCCGAAGATAAACGCAGAAATAAAATCCAAGCCATATGCTAGATTCAACGCCAAGATGTCAACCGGTTCCTTCTCTCTAGCCTTGCGAGCCAATATGGGAAGAATTTGCTGTTGAATTACTGCATCTAAAATCGTTCGGATATGGGGAGAAGATTGCAGAAATGACTTCGAGTATACTCCACTGATCCTCCGCCTATGTACAGCATGCTCGACTCCTAGCGCACAGAACGTATTACGAAATCTATCCTGAGTGTCAGGAACCCAACAACAAAACATCCGCAATAGCAAGAATCTTACCCGTGGTTTTGAAAAAAGTTATACCAAGGAGACTTGTCAAAATTGTCACTGCCAATGCCGTAAATATTCTTAACGCCGCCTTCCATTGTGTTGACTGCTACTTCGCTCGGTCCCAACCGTATATAAGGGCCTTTTTGTCGAAAACCACAGACAACGGCATCGAATTCCTTGTTCGTCAATCTTTTCCACTGGATCCATAACGAACTTACAGCGGCAAGAGGGTGTGCACTGGGTATTTTCGCAAGCGGAGAAAGGTAGAGTGGGTAGAGGACCCATTGATACAGGGCAATTGCAATTGCGATAGAGACACCCACGAGAAGCAGCATGATACCTACTTAGCCTTCTTAATGGGACGTTGCTGTCTTCAGGTCGAAAGTCTCCAACTGGGGTGAAAGCAGCTGGATGAGAATATACCACTTATGATAGGGTCTTTTGTCGGTGAGGACCGCTGAAATCTCATTCTGGACGTGATCTGCGCTACCACAAACGGCCTATCGGGAAGAGGTAGCCATCAGAAACAATTCAAGTGGCCCCGCCCCTGGCTTATAGTTGTGGTGGCTTGCGCAAGTGGTTTGGGCTGGGCTTGATTCTCTCGACAAGCATGCACCACCAGTAGCTAACTCTAGTTGGTTATGCAAGCGCTCACTGTGGGCTGTGGAACCAGCCACAAGGAACGCAATCACGTACCTTGCCCACACGTCATTCGCTTCAGGTAAAATAATGATATAACTAATCTCCTGTTGAGGAACTATGGGAGGAGTCGGACATGCGTCACGCGGTGCCATGACCGAGCTGGTTGGGTGGCTGGCTGGCTAGGGGTGCTCTCCGTAACTACTCCGTGCTCCGTATTCAACAAGCACTCCGTAAATGACACCGAAGAACGGTTCAATTCCAAATTCGGGGCCCAGTTGGGGGTCCAATGGGTCCCTGCGATAATACGGAGTCTGCAAGCAGGCGTTTTAACCCTGTCGATCTTCTCCAACACCCGGTAAGACGGACAATAACCGAGAGGCTGGCGACACAAACATCTCTATTCGTGCACACTGTTTGGCCTGTGGCTGTTTTGCACAGCGGTGTCTTCCTTTTTATGAACGGGTACTCCGTACTCCTTACTCCGTACCTCGCCTCGTACGGAGTAGGCGAGCAAGCGAACAAGAGACATGCATACTACCCAGTCCACAATCAACTAACTAATACTCCGTACTCCGTGCCTTGTTCTGGGTGTCTATGCTCTAGACCGCGTATGACGGAGTAGCTGCGATGTTTGACATCCATCCATATCGCCACAGAGTTTTCATCCGGAAAGAATCGTAATCTGATCGTCATGCGATAGATGCCAATTTCGCAGGCTGGCCACCAAAGAGTTCACATTTACGATTCAGAACGTTACTTTGTGCCAACGGCACGTTGAAGCGCCGATACCGTGTCACACAGGTGCCAGGCTTGACACTCATGTAGCTGATAATGAGTATCATGAACAAAGCGATTCGCAAAGCAGCCGGTACTTATTTTTTTGTCTTTACTCCGTGCTCTGCATTTTAGGATGCTCAGCCTTGTTACCTGTACTACTGCTATAGATTCTGCTACCAGTGCAAAATGACTGTTCTCTACAACCAGGATGCGAGCGAAAACTTTCGTTTTCTCTTGATACTCGCTGGAGTTCTTGTATTTGCTTATATTTTCGTTGCTCGGCCGCTCTACCTTGGGCCATACAGCCAGATTCCAGGTCCAAAGTTTGGGAAGTTATCCTGGTACTATATTGCTTGGTATGATTTCTGGTTGCGACGCAATGACAAAATTGCAGAATGGCACCGAAAATACGGACCCGTTATTTGCTTTCGTCCCGGCGAGATTTCTTTCGCGTCTCCAGAGCTGATGAGAGAGATATACGGAACGACGGGGAAGTACACAAAGAGCAAGTTATTTGAGAATTTTATGGTTTACGGCGAACGGCCATTGTTCTCGATTGGTCCTTATCGCGAACACAGAAGAAAGCGGATGTTAATTTCGTCGTTCTATCATAAAACAAGCATCACTAAATCCACCACGGAGAAATTTCTCAGAGAGAATATACTCAAACTTGCGACACAGATTAACATAGCAATCGAACAGCAGTCGGGCAGGATTGACACTGGCTGCAGAAAGGCAATTCTAGACGCGTACCCTTTGTTCAATTGCTTCGCATTCGACAACATCACGCATATTCTGTTTGGGTCGAAGTATGGGGCGAAGACCATTGAGAATCAGTGCTTCGAGCGAAAGATTCTTCTGGGAATCAAACAAGCGCAAATGTGGGGGCCCTTCAAGTTCAACTTTCCATTCATTGCTTGGGTGGCTTCGAAAGCGTTGCAAATCCTTCCAACCCAGATAGCAAGTCAAATTCTCCCCGACACTTTGCGTCTTTGTCTCAAATCCGAGGACGAGATGGCTACCTGGAACTGGAATACCTTGCAGGCTGCACTCGCAAACGTGGACGCCGTTGAGGACTACACACTACTGCAACGAATGCTTGCCTGTAGGACCAAAGACCCGGATGGACTAACAACACAGTACATTGCGGCTGAACTATATGACAATATAAACGCCGCACAGGAAACTGTGGCGGTGGGCCTTATATATATGATATTCCATCTAGCAAGAGAAAGAGCCTGGCAAAAGGAAATTCGGAGTGAACTTCAGCGCCTGCCAGTCGAGGACGACGGCTTCCCCAAATGGGCAGATGTTGACGCTTCATGCTTACTGGATGCGTTCATGCGTGAAGCTCTTCGTATCAACCCAGGGGCAAGTGGGCGCCAGGAGCGATATATTGAAGATCCAACAAAGAGTTATGGGGGCTATTTCCTCCCTGTTGGAACTCTTGTCACAGCATCAACCATTGCACTTCATTATGATTCAAAGGTATATACCAACCCCAATTCATTCTGCCCTGAACGGTGGCTAGACCAATCGCCAGAAAAAGCCAGACAAATGGAAAACAGCTTCATTCCTTTTGGGTACGGAGCGAGAATATGCTTGGGAAAGGCTCTTGGAATCATGGAGTTGAAAATGCTTGCGGCTTTCCTCCTCTTGAGGTACGAAATCGAAACAACTCCAGAGATGGGAGATGGGAAATCAGGTCCGATGTGGCAATGTGGCTCAATAGAAGCCGTCCCAATCGGGCTGAAAGGCGAGATGATCTTCACGAAGCTGTAATTAATTTTTGTTTCTCACCATATGTGGAGCTCATGTACGGAGTACACCAACAAGATCGGTGTACCGAGTGTTCCATGATGATAACGTTCTATCCGACGCCTCCACGTATCGTAGTGGCCTGGATGCAGATTTTCGAAGCCAGATCATCCGTGCGAAACACAACACGTCATCCCATTGCAGCAAGCAACACTTCCACGGCGATCTTTTCCTAGGCTCTCTCCTCGGCGATACGGCTTGCAGGTGCTGGGCTGCCTTCTGGTTTCAATTGAAACTACGGAGTAACTTAGAACCTCCGTCGGGAACACGTTTTATCCAGAACCAGAAACCGTCCAACGGCCAAATCTGACACGTCCTCTGGTATTCCGTACCCTCAAGCCCCCTGCACTGCGGTGGAGAAGCCCGTACAACAAGCTCCAGCCAGCGATTGTGATCCTGCCTGCATGCTGTACTGCAAAGCTCGTAATGAGCGGAGAATTCGATCCTAGTCTCTTCCGTAACAGATTAGTTATCTAGCACTGGAGCTCTTGCTAGGACAACATGGATTCCTTTCATCCCCGCCTCCTAGGTTGCATCCCACATGTGCTGCGAGTGTGATAAGCCAGCACAATGCTTCGGAAATGCACTGCCCGCCTTAATCGCGACCTATACCCAGCTGGAGCCTTGCAATGGCCGAACTCTAGGCATGATATGGCTTTCAGAATGCCACCAAAACTCAGGTTCCCCGTTAGACAAGCCGACCAAATGGAAGCGTCTTCGAGGCGATGTAGGCCGATTCCTAATCGCTAGCAATTACCAGTTTGGGGGCTGATTTTCCAGAGCATTTGAAGAGTTTGACACTTTACTCTGGAGAGATAAAACCTCGGTGCTGGTACAATCCCTCGGAGGACAGGACATTTTTATTTTGCTGCAACATTTCCTACCTACACCCCATTGTCCCTTTAATTTGTCAAATATCTTTTCATTGACACCTTAATCATGCCAGCTATAAAACCAAGTTTGGTCTGTGCTGAAGATGAGTGGTCTCCGCTCCAGTCAGTTATTGTTGGGCGCGCAGAGCATTCTGCTTTCCCCTCCGAGCCCGAGCATATGATTAAAGCTACGATGCCAGATGAGCACCAGCACCAGTTTAAGCGATCAAACCCCTTCCCCGCCGAGATTCTTGAGAAAGCGCAGCAAGAGCTGGACTATTTTGCCTGCATTTTAGAGCGTGAGGGTATTCGTGTTTACCGCCCTAATGAGGTCAACTGGCTTAAGATCGGCGGCTACACTGGATCCATGGCGCGAGACAGCTTGATGACCGTTGGCAACACGGTGATCGAAGCACCATTTGCTTGGGGCTGCCGAAGGCATGAGGTAGAGCTTGCTTTCGGCGATATTCTTGCCTCCCTTGTGGAGGACGGATCCAGCAGAGTTATTCGTGCTCCAAATCTTATGGGTAGAGATACCCTTTACGATAATGTCAATTCTTGCGACAACAATGGAACTCATACCTGGGCTATCAACAATAGCCGGCCTGCTTTTGATACCGCCGATTTTATGCGATTTGGCAAAGTGATCATCGGGCAACTCAGCAATGTTACCAACATGAAAGGTGTCGAATACCTTCGGTCCGTAATTCCAGAAGGCTATTCAGTTGAGGTCCTGAATACAAACGACCCTCACGCTATGCATATCGATGCTACGATCTTACCTCTGAGAAATAAACTCATGGTTTATCATCCTGAAAGAGTCGACGAGAAAACCTTGCGACAACATGCTGTATTTAAAGACTGGGAACTCTATGCCTATCCTTTTAGCCCAGAAAACAAGGAGGGCCCGCCTTTATATATGACGTCTCCATGGCTTGTTCTTAACGCGCTCAGCTTAGATGAGCGCCGTATCATGGTGGAAGCAAAGGATACGGTGTTTGCAGAGTGGGTTAAAGAAAAGTTCAATATGGAGCCCATTATGTGTCCTTTCCAGCATGTCAATGCCATTGGTGGGTCATTCCACTGTGCCACAGTTGATCTTGTCCGAACAAGCTAGAATAAAATTCGGGGAATGGCTGCCGTTGCAATGCAGAATAATAGCGAATAATGTCTTCGGATCTCAATCAAAATAACTTTGGAATATAACAAAAAGTAACATAACAGTCCCTTTATGGCAAATATTCGGCGAAACTTCATTGTGTTGCAAATATAGCAAGTAGTTGGTTTCTACCAGGTGTAGACTGGTGAATATGTTACCATATATTAAGTAACTAGGCGACTTGAGCTTATAGAGCGCTAGATAGAATAAGCGTCGGCATCCCGGAAAGCAAAAACAGGCATCACCTCGAAGACGAAGGGAGGATGGAGAAACAGGGTGCCCGCAAGCCAGGACGACAATAAAGGACACTTAAGAGTGAGAATATGGCTGGATTTCAACTGAACAGACATAGATAATCTTAACATCTTTAATATAAATGGTATAACTAACTAATCCAGAAAGCAACAGCTGTTATCAACAGAGGAAGTGCTCACACAGGACATGTGCAGCCAACCAGTACTACAGCAGAACAAGTGTAGTGTTGGGTTATGGAGGATTTAAATAGAAAGCTGGTTCATTCTGACGGTAAAGGTATCGTGAATTTGAAACGCTACTTGATAAAATATCCGTTGGGAGCATGCTAGATATTTTGAGAGACACAAAATGTATCACTATGCAGTTGCTTATGGGACAGGTTTCCAAACATCGTGACGTATTTTAGGTGCCGTGGCCGTCTGTGGGCACTGTTAAGCATGAATGGAGTACACGTAAAATATATCAGCATTGAAAACAGGTATCAGGAATTCAGAGTTGCAGCTCAAGGCAAGTAATAGCCATAGAAACATGTGTACTCCGTAGGGGTAAAATCATGTGGAGCTATATGTGTGTGACCAAACGACATTATTTGTCCCATGGTTGGGCATCCTAGCTGCCAGGAAGACCAACAATTCCACAATTAATTCAATGTACTGTCTCAGTTCAAGTGTGTTGCGAGACATCATAGGGAGATTCAATCCCAGCTGATTGGATTATATAGTAGCTATAACCCGAAGAATGATCAACAAATATAGACGGTGAGACGTGACAGAAAACTAGCCACTTGGTGATGACCATTATTAGAGCCATGTAACCTAAGACACTACTCATATCTTGTTCACTAGCATCGGAATTTTTAAGTATGTATAGCTCCAGATGTCATGAGAAAGAATTAGCTCAATACCATAGAGTCGTTCGGGAGAGCAAAATGCAAGAGGTGGATAACCATACAGGGCTGAAAAGCCACCGACTCTCATTTACAGGCCAATATCCCCAGGGAATAAAATCTCCCTCCGCAAGTTAGTTAGCATATCCATTGACGTAACTCGGTCTTCTTTTCTCCATGCTTCCACCAGGCATGAATGTGTATTTGTAAGAGGACATGGGAGGTGTCTTTGGAGAAGAATATCCTTCTGCACAGGGAGTTCCTGTTCTCCAGACACCTTTGAACCAAGGACTTTGAGAGCAACATCTCCCTGAGTCTTTAGGTCGCAGGCCTTCCATACAGTGGAGAATCCACCATTGCCGAGCTTACGATCTACTCGTGCCAGCCCACCTTAAGTGGGTGCTGGACATCACTCTGATAACGTTGATTTTTATGGCCCGCGGGTATGCAGTAAGTCTGATTCAGCATATCGCCGTTTCGGATCGCATAACATGAAGTTGAGCTGTTGTACTGAAAACCGTGTTCCACGCACTCTATAAAAGAGCATTCGACATCCACATCGTCGTCGTAGTAGTCGCCGTAATCAGAGTCGTCTTCAGCATCCTGGGCAGGGTGACTTCAGACTTAGTTACAGGGAGAAAGCTATGTTAGATTGGGTAGGGATGGGATCATGGAAGGGACAGTGACGCGGAATCGATGTCGGGCCGTTGTGTGTTCCATGGAGGAGCTGGCCAGTAGTTAATCAATAGCAATGCAATATGTAACTAGGCTATTGAAAGTGGCGACGGCATTGGTTCACCGTGGGGCCAGAGAAACCAAAGCACTTAAGGTGGTAAATCGCAGAGCGCCGATTGAGAGGCAAGAAAGCGATGGTACGCTGCGCTAGTCGGCTAGTTAACGGCGCAGTTTAGGGCAGCGAGAACGAACCACGGCGCATCGGCGATGTCATCCACTGGGCAACACCATCACGACAAGCACAAGCCATCTGAGGTGCCCACGACCACGCCTGCGGTCGGCTTTCTGCACGCGTGCAATCGGCAGGCCGGCGACGACACGCAAAGCACGAGGCCAACCGCTTCCCCGCGGCCAAGCGGATATTCACGGGGTGGCAGCTGGTACGGAGAGGCGAGGAGAGAAACGCCGGGGAGTTCGAGCGGGCGAGCCAGAGCGCCGTGAAGCTAGACAGTCATCAGATGCCCAGGCCAGGGTGGCTGTCGGGAAAGGCGATTCCTGCGAGCAAACTCTAAAAAAAATCTGACGGGAAATGTGACGGACGTTGCGGGCGCCGCGGCGGGGATGCTGCGCTGCGCATTCCATCATCTGCCATTCTTGCTTCACGCCCTTCGCTGCACATCCCCGGAGGACGACAGAACGCCATCAGAGCCCCTTGAAAGCGCCATTTTGCGCAGTTCTCCATTATCCCGCCGTTCGTGACTCACCGCCGGAGCCATAAAGACGTGCCGCCCCGCCCCGCACTCCCATCCTCTCTCACCAACTCCCGCTGCACAGATAGCACCCAACCTGCAGTCTCCCTCTGTCGCATTACCACGCTTCACAATGGCAACAGACAGCTCCCAAGGCGCTACCAATGGTAGTGCTGCGCCCACCGACTTTGTCGTCAAGGCCGGTTTGGCGCAGATGTTGAAGGGCGGAGTGATCATGGACGTCGTGAATGCGGAGCAGGTATACCTCTTCCCCCAATAGCAATTGGCCGGGTGAACTCGATGCTGACTTGACGATTCCATTCTTCAGGCTCGCATTGCTGAAGAGGCCGGTGCCTGTGCTGTCATGGCCCTAGAGCGTGTTCCAGCAGATATCCGCGCCCAAGGCGGCGTGGCACGCATGTCCGATCCCACCATGATCAAGGAGATCATGAACGCAGTCACCATTCCTGTCATGGCCAAAGCCAGAATAGGCCATTTTGTCGAGTGCCAGGTAACCGCCAGCCCACCGCCCTGCCTCCCACAATCCCTCTGACAAGGGGGAAGACATCTTGAAAAAACTAACACCGATACCCCCATAGATCCTCGAGGCCGTGGGTGTCGACTACATCGACGAATCTGAAGTCCTCACTCCCGCTGACCACCTCTATCATGTCATCAAACACCCCTACAAAGTCCCCTTCGTCTGCGGCTGCCGTAACCTCGGCGAGGCTTTGCGCCGTATCCAAGAGGGCGCTGCCATGATCCGCACCAAGGGTGAAGCCGGCACCGGCGACGTCGTCGAGGCCGTCAAGCATATGCGCACCGTCAACACAGACATCGCCCGCGCTAAGTCCATCTTGACCTCCTCAACCAACCCAGAAGTCGAGCTGCGCGCTTACGCCCGCGAGCTCGAGTGTTCGTATGAGCTGCTACGCGAGACGGCCGAAAAGGGGCGCTTGCCCGTGGTCAACTTTGCAGCCGGCGGTGTTGCTACGCCCGCCGATGCCGCGATGATGATGCAGCTGGGTTGTGATGGTGTCTTCGTTGGATCTGGCATTTTCAAGTCTGGCGATCCAAGAAAGAGAGCTCGTGCCATTGTCCAGGCAGTCACGCATTTCAACGATGCTAAAAAGCTGGCTGAGCTGAGTGAGAATCTGGGTGAAGCCATGGTTGGTATTAGTGTGCAGGAAATGAGTGACAAGGAGAAATTGGCCAAGAGAGGATGGTAGAAGCAACCCAGCCTTCGAGCTCCTTGTTTTTCGTGTCCAATACTTTGATATCCGATGATACAATATGGGTGGCTGGAATCTCAGCATGTCTGTCAAGCGTGATGTATATAAAATAACACTTACGTCTTTCAAAACCTTGCGCCTCGCCGTGACCAGAAATTTTGCAAAAGCACAAAAAGAAACCTAGTAAACGGCACTTAAAATAGAACACCTTCCTGCGCAGCTTTTGCCCAATTACTCCGTCCATCAACAGAATGCTCTATTTGCTCACACCAGAAAATGGTACATACTCCAATCCAATATGCCTTGTAGGACCAAAAGAAACTCATGTATAGGCAAACCCTTTTCCCCGGCATGCTACCCAGTATTCCTTGACAACAGTATTAGTTGAACGCGCTCCTCTTAACAGCAAAATGGAAGACAAAACCCTATCCTGCGCGGCCGCGGACATTGCCGGCTTTGCATTCAGATTTTCTGGCTGTGGGGTAGCTGGAACAGCACACATCGATGTGAGTGCATTTCCTAAATGAATTTTTGCCGCGGCCTGATGCTTAAACACAAATTTCTTGATGATTTCACTGAAATGGTCGAGTTCGGACCGAGCGCACCGTCCTGCGATTTGATATATGACTACCTCTGCCAGCTGGGACAAAAAGGCGTCGAATAAGCTAGGTGAAGCTCCACCATCTCGTCCTTGCAGTTGACTACTAGGGATAAAAGTTGATGGTAACTTCGGTAACGAGAGCAGAGCAGCCCAGAAAGCGCAGGACGCGCGCAGTGGGAGAGTGTCTGGGCCCCTGAGTGTAAAAAGCGTAAAATGGAGAACGGTAGAAACGACCAACGGTGCTTCTGACGGATCTCCTCCAGTGAGACTAAAAAAAATGTCGCTGTATTTTGGAAGCAGTCGTGTCAAAAAATCAATGCAACAACTAGACGCTTCTGGATCATATTTTTCTGCATCCTGCGCCATTTGAGACATTAGATGATAAACGTGCAAAATAAGATCGACGACGTCATTGTGGATTTGCGATGGAATGCTAGTTTGCGACGCCAGAAATGCAGATGCTGTTCCCATAACAACGGGAAATCGAGGCGATGCCATACTGACCGCCTTCACAAAGTGAACTGTGACTTGCGGAGGTAGTACAAAGGGCCCTGGCGATTGTTCGGTGTATCCAGCTTTCAGAACGTTGCAAACGCCCTCGATAATGTCACCGTCGGCGCAAAACTCGTTCATGAGCTGCTTAAGAATACTGACTATGCGACTTTGAGGTGCAAGGCCGCACGGGTCCGTACTCCAAAAGTTTGCCTTCTTGACATCACCATTTGTTTCCCCATCAATATCAATAACCAAGTCGTCAGGGGCACGCAGGCCTCTGCCAATACTTGCTGTGCAGCCCATGACTCCAATGCCTTTTGCAAGTCCTACCTCCAACTGCCCATTACGGGCCATTTCACAAGCTGCGCTGGCTTCCTGACAAAGAGGGTCTAGCAGTTTAATTAAATATTCAACCTTTTTCGGGTCAGAATCGAGTGCTTGGATAACTGACGATATTCCTTCTACAACCCTCTCGAGAGCATGGTTACTAGTTGAGGTATGGGTCTGGAGCTGGTAATACTTGTCGAGGAATTCGCCAATGTACGGTATCAAGGAATTCCGGCAGGTGCTACAGAGAATTGCCACTGATTTTGCAGCCGCTTGCTCGCAGCTAGGGGATTCCATTGAAGTGAATAGAAAGTTCAAGACCGGGGGAAGAAGGCCATGGTTCCGTTCAAAATAAACAGTATACCTGGCAATCAGGTCGGAAAGCGTTTGTCGTGGCTTTAGTGGAATGCTTGTGGGGTCGCAGCATATTGTGCGGAAAATTTCTGACTGAAAAAGCGCGTGTAATAAATCGTCAGCGTGCTTGTTTTCTGCAACACTCTCTGCCAGAGATGCTAGGCAAAACATAGCGACCTCGAATCTTGCCCAATCCTGATTGCTTATCGCAGTCGCCGCCCGTTCCTGGATTTGCTGAATGACAGGCACTCCTAGAATCGGATACGTTGCTAGCAGGAAATCACTGAAATCTCTTCGAAAGGCGTTAAACAACTTCACATCATCGTCCTCCCAGTCGCTTAACGTCTCTGCATCAGGGAATATTAGTTTATCGAAACATTCGTCAATGACACGACTGAAATTGGCTTTTGAAATCGAGGTCGGTTCATCAAATGCCCCTTCTATAATCAAATCGTTTACGGCATCAGCAATCTCGGTCCAAAATTCAATAAGAAGGCTGCTTGCCACATCATCTACTGCTGCAAACCCTGGAGCCTGAAATAATTTAAATAATAAGAACAAGAGACGTTCTTCTTTTTCGTCTGAAGGCAGCGTGAAAATTCGCACTTGTTCATCTAAAGAAGTGAATTTGAGGAGTAGTTCCAGGAAACGCATCTGGTCGTCGCCAAAGTCGCCCTTCAGAGTGCAAAGCGCGTGTTGTTGCCCTTCCGGGCCAATTAGGAAGTCAAGAATGTGTGATAAATGCCCCGCGCCGAGTAAAGTTGGTTGGTTAATAAGGAGGTCAAGTATCAAATCCGTTGCCGGACCTGACAGACTGGGCGTAGAAAGAAATCGAACGGCACAAGTTAAGGGGGCATTAACGGCGGAGACGACAGCAGATTTTTCTAGCCGAATGCTTCGCATAGCAAATATCCATGCCTAGTAAAAATTAGTTGACTTCTTGCAGGGAAAGCTGTTACATACGTGGAGAGATTCAATCGCCTGCTGAATAGTGTTTCTCGACTGCTCAGATATCGCGCCATCAACAGGGACCTCTACACTATTCATCGCACGGTGAAATGAATAATTGATGAGGAAAAACGCATCATTCAAGTTTGCGACCAGTCTATCCCGGTGGAAGGCGCTTGGACTGGGTTAGAATACACTCCAGACAGAAAGAAGTGGAGACATACCTTGTAGACGAATAACGCGTGGATTCCTCTGCTAGCATGGTGGAGAAAGACATCACTGCCAAAAGACGGTCATAGTTTAGGGCAGGCAGAACACGATTCTGAAAGCTCTCCTGATCCGACTGCTCCTCTGATAAGTATTTGCCATTTGCTAAAGAGGTAGCGACATGGCGAATACAGTATGTCCATGGAGCTTCGCGTTTGAAAAACATTGCAGTCATACTTGTAATGAATTTCCTCATGACGACAGAGGCCTCGTTCCTGCCAACCATATGTACGAAGCAGTCCACCAATCGAACCAACAAATCGATTACCATTTGTTTATCTAGATTGTGCCTGTATCATATGTTAGATATCTAGCAGGCTAAAATGGAATATTCATAGCCTTGCCAGTCTTGATGTATTTTCATAGTGAGGGTTAGGGCGCCATAGAACCGAATGTCGGCTTCATCGTTTCCCAGAAGACCATCGGCAATGACCCAGCCTGCTGGAGATTTCTGTAGGTCCTGGAGCAGAGCTTGAGCCTTCTGGGCCTGTCCAGCATTTCCAGGCCTGCTTAAAATGAGGGCGAGCTGGTCGAACAGTTAGCAAAAGCAGGGGGCGGAAAATTTTGGGGATGTTCTGCCTGACCTCCGTTGCCTCCTGAATGAGCTTATGAGTTTCCTCCTGGTGCTCCATGTTCGCAGTATAAACAACCAGAATAAACCCTTATTATTGTGCGAAGGAGGGGGTGGCGGTCGGCAAAGTTGAGAAAGATATCAATAATAAGCGGAGGACCGGGCGGGAGACACCCGGCAGATCTGCAGGCTGACAGACCGAGCGCGCACAGACGGTTTCAACGTTAGCACATCAACAGAGCTGATGGCAAGTGTTTGTAGGTGGTAGAGGGCAAGTGGGACAGAGCATCCAAAGGTGAGGGTGGGTGGGCTGGGCTGGGCATCAAACAAATCCACGGCAAAACCGACGGTGCGAGCGTGCGAGATGGACTGCAGCCCGTTAGCAGGAAGGCTCAGCGTACGTCAGGACTCAGCGATCGACCAGGGAGCTCACTGGGAAAAAGACTTAGATAGCTGCAAGCAAATACCATATGCCTCCTCCACTCAGAACACTCCAGGCTCAGCGGATCATCGAGATGGCCCCCGGCCCCGGTTTGTTAGCAAAAACGGTAGCTCCTACAGACAGACAAGAACATGAGCAGCGCGGACATGATGGGGGTCAGACCAGCAGGTGCTGCGATGGCGAGGGTTTGCCTTCGCACAATGACGTTTTTGATCGAAACGGGGATTTGTCGGTCCCGTGATGTTTATCGCCTCCAGCCCGTCGCGATTATTGAACGGCCAGGAGGCGCTGGGCTGCGCGGTGCCTGGATCCAGGCTGGGCTCGAGCTGGCTGAGCCCTGCGCTTGCTGCTGGCGATCCAACGGCTGGCGCCGTCGCCATCCTCCTCGTCCCCCGTCGCGTGCACTCGCGGTTCCACGTCGCGGCGACGAGCTTCCTTGCCTATCCGATCCCACCCCTCCCCCGCCTCCCTGCAAATGTTGCCTTTCTTCCGCTGCTCCCACCGTCAACCAGTGGCCTCCCTCCTCGCCCCATCTCGTGTGCTGAATCGCCTTCCATCCTACCTTCCCAGACACCGTCTTTTTGCTACCGCCGATATGGACCCCGTGGATACTTCACAACGTTTGGAGAGGCTCAGAGAGCTGATGCGAGAGCGTAGCGTGGATGTATACGGTATGGCCTGCTGGAATCCGGACCTTTGCTCCCAGACCATCGCTCTGGTTCTAATGTGTTTGCTGGTGGAATAGTTGTCCCGTCCGAAGACAGCCATCAGTCTGAATACATTGCCCCCTGCGATGGTCGTCGAGGTAAGACCGCCCTGTGTGAAACAAGCAGCCTGGCTCTCTACAACCGAAGCCGCTTGCTCATCTCCTGTCTAGCATTTATTTCGGGGTTCACCGGCTCTGCCGGGTGTGCTATTATCTCTATGAGCAAGGCGGCTCTCTCCACCGACGGCAGATACTTCAATCAGGCCTCGAAACAACTGGATTCCAACTGGTTCTTACTGAAACGCGGCATAGAGAACGTTCCAACGTGGCAAGAATGGTATGTTTAGTTGTAATTAACACACAATTTATTATTAATGAGCTTTCAGGACCGCAGAACAGGCTGAAGGCGGCAAGGTGGTCGGCGTTGACCCTTCGCTGATTACTGCGGGTAAGCCGATGGCTCCAAATGTAACTTGTAGGTACTGCTACTAACTATTACCAGCTGAGGCTCGCAAACTCTCTGATACCATCAAGGTCAGCGGTGGATCTTTGCTTGGTGTTGAAGAAAACCTAGTTGATATCGTTTGGGGTGCAGACCGCCCTGCACGCCCAAATGAGCCGGTCAAGGTGCACCCCTTGGAATTTGCGGGGAAAGCCTTCCAGGATAAGATAAGTGACTTGCGCAAAGAGCTCGTCAAGCGGAAAAAGGCTGGCATTGTTATATGTACGAATTTAGCTCCTCAAGATCGTTGGGCCTGACTGACCGTTGCTGTAGCTACACTCGATGAGATCGCATGGCTCTTCAACTTGCGAGGCGCCGAGTAGGATCGCCCCATCATGCCCCCGCTAACTAACTACTTAACTAGTTAACTAACCAAACCTTGTAGTATTCCCTTCAATCCAGTCTTTTTCTCATATGCTATCGTCACCCAGTCAGCTGCTGATCTTTATGTTAATGCATCTAAAATAGCGCCAGACGTCAAGGAACATCTGTCAGGTTATGTTTCCTTGAAGCCATATGAGTCTATTTTTGATAACGTCAAGTTGTTAAGTCAATCTTTATCGAGTAGGGAAGGCGCTCCGCAAAAATTCTTGCTTCCTGACAAAGCGTCATGGTCCTTGAATCTAGCCCTCGGTGGTGAGGATAAGGTTGAAGAAGCCCGAAGCCCTATCTCAGACGCAAAGGCGATCAAGAACGCTGTCGAATTGGAGGGGATGAGAGCCTGTCATATCCGTGACGGCGCCGCATTGTCGAAATACTTTGCTTGGCTCGAAAACGAACTTGTCAATAAAAAGACTGTTCTTAGTGAAGTCGATGTGTCTGATAAGTTAAAGGAAATCCGCTCTGCAGGAGAGTACTTCGTCGGTCTATCTTTCGACACTATATCTTCCACTGGGGCAAATGCGGCAATTATCCATTACCGAGCGGATAGGGAGAGCTGCCCCAATGTCGATCCAAATGCCATCTATCTTTGCGACTCGGGTGCTCAGTATCTAGATGGAACGACTGATACTACTCGTACCTTTCATTTCGGGGAGCCTACCGAAATGGAGAAGAAAACGTATACCCTCGTTCTAAAGGGCATGATCAGTATCGACACTGCCATATTTCCTAAAGGAGTCACCGGATACGCTATTGATGCTTTCGCACGACAGCACCTATGGCGATATGGCCTGGACTATTTGCACGGCACTGGCCACGGAGTTGGTTCCTATCTTGTAGGTTTCCATTAGATACCCTTCTTACTTCTCTTGTACTTACCTCTCGGTAGAACGTCCATGAAGGCCCAATGGGCATTGGACCGAGGGTTCAATTCGCAGATGTAGCTATCGCTGCAGGACATGTTCTTTCGGATGGTGAGTTCATTGATTTTTGTTCATCTCAATTGCAGGCCTTTAGCTTATGAAACGTCCTAGAGCCTGGCTACTATGAGGATGGTAATTTCGGCATTCGAATTGAAAGTATGGGTTCCCCCGCGCGTAGTGAAACACTTGCTTATTTTTTCTCTAGATATCGTAGTCGCAAAAGAAGTCAAAACTCCACATAAATTCGCGGATAAGCAGTGGCTCGGCTTTGAGCATGTTACCATGACTCCCTTGTGCCAAAAGCTAATTGACACCGCTTTGCTAACGCCTGAGGAGATGAAATGGGTGAACGACTATCACCAGGAAGTTTGGGAGAAGACAAATGAGCTCCTTGCAAATGATGAACTAACAACAGCCTGGCTGAAGCGGGAAACCTCGCCGATGTAATTGAATGTATGTTTATACTTCTTGAGAACCCTCTAAGAGGAGAAATAAGAAAGAGGTAGCTTAAAGCGGCATTGTTACCGGATAACAATGCCATGCAAATATTTACATTGTATGTATGTATGTACACCCGAAGGGGTTACCAATAAAATGATTCGCGAGATATCTACCTCGGTAGGAGACTGGGTTTTCAAAAACAAGCCAGGAATTTTCCACGTAGCGTATTACAGCGATTTAAGTATGCTCTTTAATGCTAATACTGAAAGGGGAGATAATTCTTGAGAGATTACCAAACGGAGCTGTTATGTATATGGAAGACAGTATGGAGTGATAATTCCGTACTAAAGCTTTGTAGTGCCTCCATGTAGGAAATGAATCCTTGCGATGCGTACTCCACATAGAATGATCATCAGTTTCTGCCGTTCTATTCTCAAAGATTCTCGGATTTGAACTAGTACTTAGTTTGTCCTGTTTGCTGATCAGATCCTGATTACATCATCAATCCAGCTGTCGCCAAGACGCCTATGATCTAATGATCTGAAGCGCCTCGAGAGGTCTTGTAGACGAAACGCGCGCTGCTTGAGATTTGGCCGAATTATAGTGCGCGTGCATCTGAGCAATTGAGGTTTCCTTATCAGTGTGGACACACAGTTTCCTCGCAAAGGAGGCTTCGACCACCGCTATTGAGCATGAACGCCCGTAACGGCTTACCCTTCACCGGCTCAAATCCCAACATCGGACCTGATCAGGAATACTCTAGGAAGTTCGGCAATTCTACAATCAATCCCCTGGTCACAAATAATAGCTATGCCCCGAGCAGCCATGAGCGCAGAGCAGGTGGGTATGGTGGGTTTTATGAGACACAGAGGCCAGATGCTCTAGAAAGAGATCGCCGGACACCATCAGCAGCTTCCCGTTCACGCGTGCGGGATGATACACCAACTCGAAATCAATACAATGATAGCGGCCAATATGGAACTGCAAGGAGCGATGGGTCATCTGGTTTTGGTAGAGGCCCACAAGTGGATGGTCAGTCGGAACCTCTTTACTTCTTCGAGCCACCTATTGTTTACACTTCTGGACATTGGCTCACCAAACCTGTCAATTATAGATGTAATTCAAGTCATCCAGCAAGAATGGGAGGTTATGTCGAGCAATGACTGTATTCCAGTTCAAGTTGGGCTCCAGTTGATGGATTCGAGTACTCTCGGCCAAGCACAAAGGGAACCCGACTTTTTACAAATACATAAGGATATGAAAACAACCTTGAAAGCTATCGTCAATGGTGTGTTATGCCTAGAGTTCGTTTATGGACCACATTTTGACGTTGAAATAGAGCACCACCAGGGATTTAGTAGCGCTATCGGGACTTATCATCGAATCCAATCAAGCATTCAAGACTCTCAGGATGGAATACAGTCATTGAAATCTACTCTAGTGGAGGCAAAATCTGGACTATTAACGACAAACCCAGAGCTCCAGGGTCTTGCCACATCGTCACAGAGCTACAATAACTTGTTGCAATTACTGGCCCGGATAGAACATATACAATCCCTTCCCGAAACGTTAGAGGCTCACATTTCCGAAAAGCGGTTTCTTTCAGCCGTGGAGATTCTGAAGGAGGCTCTTGGTGCCTTATCTTGCCCAGAATTTAAAGATATACCTGGACTTGGGGACTTACGGACTTATTTTGCCAACCAAGATACATCTCTCACTGAAATACTGATAGAAGAGCTTCATGATCATCTATACTTGAAATCACCATACTGTCAAGATCGTTGGAAGGCCCCTGTAGAGAATTCAAATAATGGCTCGGCCTCGCCAAGTGGAATCGCGACATGGGATAAACCAGTCTATCGGTTTCTATCCAGTCTTAACGCATCTACCCCCCTAACAGATGATGCATCCAATAACCCAGAAGCAGACACGTTCTCATACATTCATTTGATTATTGAGACCCTTGACAGGATGGGCAATATGGAGATAATGGTTGATCGCATTGAGCAAAGGCTTCCTGTCGAACTATATGCCGTAGTCGATAAAACTAGTTCCGAAGTTGCGGCTCGATATCCAGACCATATACGTGCTATGCAGAAAGACACTCGACATCCGCACAGACCTTTAGACGCTATTGAGGAGCATGGGCATGTACTATCGGAGTTTTTGTGGAACTTGTACTCAAAGTTTGAAGCAATCGCTGAAGGGCACCGTGTTGTCCATGACATTATCACTGGGATTACGGAAAGAGAAGACAACCGAAAAGGGACGCTGGGAAATGGGTTCAAGGAACTCTGGAAGCTGTATCAAAGTGAAGTATGAAAGCCCACCCTTTTTTTGGTGTTGGTGTTAGTTTTAATGCTGATATCCTATTCAGATGCGTTCTTTGTTGCATGATTATTTGGCTACAGATGGGACATCAACATTTCGAACTGGCACGGGTGCAGAGAACGACCAATTCTCCCTCTCGTCAGCCCAGAGAGACAAAACTAAAGCAGGTTACCCCGATAAATATCTCATCTATCATGGCTAACTCTATTGTAGAAACTTTTTAAACTCTCCGAAGTTGACCAGAACTCAACTGACATGAAAGCTGAACAAGCCGATTTAGATGAAATATTGAGATCCTCGGTCCCAGGCCTAGTATCAAAGTCTCGGAAGAAGTTGGCATCTAGTGATCTAAACCGATCACATCAAGAGAGCTCAGGGACGGGACATAAGCTACTCATCAGCCCCAATGTCTTTAACATCAGTTTATTGCTACCCCCGGCTCTTTCTTTCATCCAAAGGCTTGCTAACATCGTCCCTGAAGATTCAGATGTTGACGTGACAAAACTGACTGCATTTCTGGATGACTTTATGACGCACGTTTTTCAGCCTCAGCTTGAAGAAGCTGTGACTGAGTTATGCGCTATTTGCTTTATTGCGACAGACTCATATACTGAAGATCCACAGTGGAACTTACACTCAACCAGACCGATCTTCAAAGTATGCCGGCTCTACTCCTTTTCATACCATATTTGCTAATCTCAGCAGGGTACAATAATATTTACAAATCTTGTCAGGAAGTTCAGTTTGATCTTGGATAGCATTCCACATGACCAGGCCTTCACTCGTCTATTACTAACCCAAATGGTGACATATTACGACAAATGCTATGGGTGGTATAAAGGTAACACTCTTAGGATCTACAGCCCAAACTTCCTCACTAAATTGTCCATACTGTAGCCCTCGTAAGCCGTGTATCTTCTCAGCCTCCTGGAGGCATTCGATTAAAAACCGCTGCCTCTTTTGCAGAGTCCGGAGAGACTCGAGACACTACGCTGCAACTCTGGGAGAGCTCAGGGATTAGCACCCAAGAGCTAATAAACCAGGTAGCTCCCCAAGACTTTCTTTTAGAACTATAAACTGATTCCTTTTTAGGAAATTGATCTCCTAATCAATCGTACCAATGCGACGCCATTAGAGCCATATGATATTATTTCGGACCCAAAAACGGTATTTCAGCTTTCTTTACTATATAACAGCATGGTATGTTTCTATGACCCTCTCGATCTTTTGGGCATCTAATGACTTTGTTATTCAAGCATTGGCTTGCAAGCAGCCTTTCAAAGCTTAGACATATCACCCCTTATAAAGTTGATTCGTCTCGAGGGCACTCCAGACAGCTCTCCAGTACAGCACGGAGATGGACAATTTCAAAAACAAGATCTAACCTTTCTAGTGAACCTCCTCGCCTGCCCTTGACTGAGGAGTCCGTTATTGGGTTTGATACGGCAGTCGAGTCAGTTAAAGGTCTTGCGCTCACAGCACTGTTGACGCTACACATGGATATCCGCTGTGGCGCAATTCATATGGTCAGTCGCAGCCTGAAAGGCAACTCGACCTCTCAACCAGGCGAAATGACAGCACCCCCCAGCCCCACAGGGACCGCAGAATCCGGCTGGATTTACATACTCTCTTCCCAACCCACTTCCGCATCTCCCACCATACTCGAACTCAACAACGACCTCATCTCCTTCGATGCCAGTGTTTCATCTTCCCTTGGCCCCAAAGAGCACCGATTCATCACCTCTGGCCTAGCGAAACTAATTGATCGCGCCCTCATGTCTGCCACCAAATACATCGGCGCAATGAACAGTAATGGAGCCCTCAAACTTCAACTTGATGTCCTTGTCTTACAACAGAACCTAAAGAATATCATAATATCCTCCCCTATGCCTCCCACAACACCCAAATCTCCCCGTCCTGATCGAAAATCTAGTACCAACAGCGTTTATAAAGCGCAGGAAACTGTCGCTCTACCCCGCAGTGCAAAGTTCCTGGACTGGTTCCTTGAAGGACCAGATAAAGCAGTACAGTACGCCAAAGAGGAAAAAGAAGCCTTCAGACGTGGAGATGTTCAAGCCATCGAAGCTGGTAATGGTGAACCTTTCACTTACGATGAGCTTAAAATTCTGGTTGAATTATGCTTTTCTGCTGTTCTAAAAGGGCCAAGAGGTGCAGAGAGCCGAGAGGACTTTCTGGCTGCGAAAAGAGGTAGTGGCGATGCCTTGTTGAGATTGAGCGAAGTAATGTGGAATTCATAGTACCAAGCGGTTTGTAATCTTGATTTATCTTAATACCCTATCATGCTTTGGGTTTCATTTACCAGAATAGCGACAGTCATTTTTAACGCCTTTCATGTTAGTTACCTTCTCCAGACTTTAGATGTGCTCTAATCCTCCCGCTTCTATAAGCAAATATTGGCATCTAATAAGAAATAGAGATCGTAGGGTTATAGTGCTTCTGGCGATTATTTAGCAGCACAATCTTCGAGTTGCCTTAGCTGGCAAAACGTCTGAAGTTACATGTACAAAAGAGAAAACAAGCTAATATTGAAATTTGCGTCCATTTTTGACATGTCCTGTTTTCCTTTAATTTAACAATACGGGTATTGTATCGATGGATGGGGAAAGAAAAATGTGTCGTGTTTAGCTTTCCCAGCTGGCAGTCTGTTCGTGTGGGAAGAAATCAAAGAAAATAAAAAGTACATCCACACCATATTTTCGCCATTGTCAGATAATAACAATGTCAACCCGTTTGAACCCGTCATTATCATTGATTAACGCCACTTAGAAAGAAATCGCAAGGTATGATACTGACAAGGGAAAAAAAGGCATTATGTATCATCGAGGTGCCCATGTTCCTTTGATATCTGCCCATCAAAGGAAAGGTAACCCCGTCCTCGTACGTCCGAAATTCTCCTGAGAAATACAGAGGAACAAAAAAAAGAGGTACATGAATCGAAGCGAATAAAGTGGTGCTGCTGAGAATAAAGGAGGTCATTAAAGCTGGACGTCGTCAACTTCGAACTGAGCAAGGTCCTTGTCGTCGTCGTAGTCAGGAAAGTCCAAGCCGGCTTCACGGCAGCGTTGCAACCATTTCATGGCGATGATACCACGACGGTTCACCTCGGCCTTCGCTTTGTTATTCTGGGAGCTGATCTCGGTAATGGCCTGGGTGGTAGTCATCTGAGTAGTATCCCATCGGTCGACCATGTTCTTGTTTTCCTCCTGTAGTTTTGAAATGTACTGAACAGCACGTTGCAGGATAGATCCCTTTGCCTTTTCGCAGCCAGGGACAAGTTTAGCAAGCTCATTGATGCCTTCGTTAATAGTCTCGCGGCGACGGCGTTCGACTAATCACGCATCAGCAGCAAGATCAAGAGGGGGTACAAGGTTTGATTGAAAAGCACTGACCTTCTTTATGGTTATTTTTTCTCTGAGTATGCCACTCAGGGGACCCAACAGGGGGTTTCGCATGACCGATACTTTGGGCTTCACGGGCAGCATAGACGGCGGCAGCAGTGGAGTTGTGTCCGTGAACGCCGGGCATAGCAACCTGATTAACATCGTCGCCAAACGTCCCCATTCCGTGGCTTAACGCGCTGCTGTCGAAGGCTGAGTCTGGAGCAGAGTACTTAGATTGTGGGTGAGCGAGAGCCGCTTTAGCGGTCATTGCATTATCGTCGGAGACCCCATTTTGACCACCGACATGTTGTAAGAGCTGCTGGTCGATGTGGCTCAATTCAGTGGCGTTATTTAGGCCATGGGTGTCGTATCCTGCAATACACTGCTTAGCATGGGGAGGTTGAGTTGAGTAAAGCCATAGCCAGGCGCAAACTACACACCATGGATGTTGTTACCAGCGACAGCATGCATTCCATTAGTATTAACCATCTGGGGGGAGCGAGCCAGGCGCTGGTTGTCACCGGCATCCAAAGACTCGCGTTTGCGTTTGCTATCGTTTGCAGACATGCCCATTTCTGACATGGCAAGGTTTGCTAATACAAAGCATGGTTAGTACTGCAGAAGAGTAACTGAATGAAGGCATAGGTTTGCAGTAAGGATGCTGATACAAAATGCAGGCCTGATGTGATGGAAAAACAATCACTAACCAAACTGCCTTGCTGCCCTTGGAAACAAGAAGGAGTGATGCAAGTTACCCGACAAAAATTCATCCATGATGAAGAATAAGGGCAATAATGAGAGTAACAGGAAAAGAAGGTAGCCAGGCTAAGTTTGAAAGGGAGGGGTTGATAGAAGAGGAAGAGATGAGCTGAACTGAGGCTAAGTAAACGCGATGTGCCAACGAGTGACTTGAAAACAGAAGTGCACAATAGAAAAAAGGGTTACCTTGAGAATCGAAAGCGGCCAAGGGGACAAAGCAAATCAAAGGGACTTATCAATCGAGGGCACAATGGACTCTTGCGGCCTCGATGAGCAAGTCGACAAGACTCGATGAAAAGGCCATGGTGAGGGATTTGTGAAGGGGAGCAAGGAATCCTCGCGACGGGTCTCGAGGGAAAGCAGAGACAACGAAAAAGAAAGAGATTTCATGGGCTAAGCAGGTTGCCAGCACGATGCCAACGATGCAGGCGATGGCGATGAGATGAAGACATACCTTTTGATGATATATCAGGTGACGAAAAGTCACCTGCTCGCTGCTGACGAGCGGACGTGAGTGGATATAGATCGCGAGCAGCGCAAACAGAGGCGGAGAAACGCGTATACAGGGCTTTGAAACGAGGAGACGATAGAGTAGAAGCTGCAGAACCGGGATCAAGAGACGACTTCACGATTTGCGCAAAACCTGGAGGAGGAGACGCGAAATAAAACCGATAGGCAGCTTTGGCGGGAAAAGAGGAGGGAGGATGCGAGAGGGCGGGCTCACGTGGCGAGGTGGCCGAAAGGCTATGGCCGCCCACAGCCACCTACAGTGCAGCAGCCCGCCGGTCTGCATTCGGCTAGCGTAAGATGCTCCGTGCCAAGAAGGTGATTAGAAGGAATCGAGTGCTTCGCCATCTGCTGAGGCTGTTCGCACCGCGCCTCGCGGGCCGTCAGGAGCACAGCGAAAACAAAGCCTACAATGTAGACCGGTCTCTGAACGCAGTGGCATCATGCTCTGCCCGAAACGACTCCATACCGGCTTGCCCTTCGATCACCAATACGCCGATATCTCGCGTACCCTAGTCATGTGCCCCAGTCTTGTGCTTTGATGGCTTGGCGTTGCTGACAAACCTGGTCACGGGCTCCTTTGAGTGCTTGAGGCACCTACAAACAAAAACACTCGAGGACACAAGAATATGGCTTCCGGCCCTACTTAACCTGCCACACCACGGTTCCGCCGGCCTTCGTTGATGGCGCCTCGGGTGCGAAGCCTTGTAGATCAAGCTCCCCTCAACCGGCTGCTTAAGGTAACTATTATATCACATCGGCCTGCGTGTGGTGACTGTTGATTTGACTTAGCCTATCTTGCATATTGCCTTTGAAGCTAATTCCTCCTGTAACGCTAATTCTTCCTTGTTCAGTGTCCATTTGAGGCTTGATCAGCTCTACCCTAGGATATTATTAGCCTAATAATAACAGGAGAGAGATACAGGGAAGATGTGTGCTTGCCGCTGTTTTTGGGCGGGGAAGACACCGATCTCATATTTTGCTCTGTACGCCAAACCTTGCGGGTGCTGTCTCAGGGCTCATGGCTTCCGTTCTGTCCAATCGATGCAACCCAAGAGGCTGCGCGGGGTGATTTTCACGACAATTCTTCCCCCCATCTTTTGGGAGATTTCTGGGGTTCCTGTTATATCTGGCATATTAAAACTTGCGACTTTTCAGGGGAGGTACAGCAAATGTTGAATGGCATGGCAATATCATCTGCCTTTCAGTGGATACCAGACCCCGTGGCTTCTCTTCCCCAGCAGCTTTGTCATGAGAGAAGAGAGATATGAAGAGTTGCTCGCACTTTGCCATAGGCTAACACAATCCTAACATGTACCTGCAATGTTGCCTGAACCTGTATTCTGGCATTTATACTTTGCTGAACTTTCAAGAAAGCGCTTGCAATATTAACATGAAAACTTGTCTATTCTTTTCCGCCCTATGCAGTCGTCTGGGTATACTGAGCAATCAGCGACCAGCTTTGGCTCAGATTCGGTACTACTACTACATTAGTGGGCGCGTGACACAGGCATCTAGTGTTCCCAGAAGACTTACTTTTCGAGGGCTGAAAATCTTGCTGATCAGAAAGATAGTGGACAAGAATATTTCACATCATCCATCTTTATCAGGAGGTTAAAGGAGTCATCTATAGATATCCTGATGATGGCAACAGAGAATAAATGCGAAGGAGCTTAAAAATCACACAAAGTCGTGGGTTTTGTTTGCTTTGGCGTTTACTATCTCGGCACTGGTCACATGGGATCATGGGACCCGAGTATTCTCTCTGGGAAGTCCCAGACATTAGTGAATACCTGGCGGGCTGATGCCCCTAAAATGCCAGATATCTTTTTCTTTTCTGCAGATGTGAAGAAGTGTGAGGTTGTTTTGAAGGTCTAAGAATATATTGATACCCTAATTATAGGGTGAACGATTTAGATGTATACAGATGTGTTTCACCCAATTATTCCCTTTTTTATTGAGAAGCTGATAACAGGAAGATAGAGATCCTCAGTTTATTGTTCTGGGTTTCTGATGACTCTGAAGACTGCCTTGGGGGGTTTATCTGTATCTACAAAACAAAGACCTTCCTCTGCCCGCCCGAGCCACCCCCAGAGCACAATTTCAGTATCGAAATACCTTCCTCCTTCCTTTGCTTTTTCATCCCCATGGGTGTCTGCTTTTGCTACTCTTCGAATGCCGATCACACAGCTTGTCCCTGCGTATCTTGCCGTATCTTTACCCTCTAAGCCTGCTTCTTCTCCAGTGCGATTTGCAATAATCACAATAATATCCTCGCCGTCCCAGTCATCCTTTGTGAATAGCGGCCAGAACCGCTGGATCCAGTACTGAAAGGTATCAGTATCGGGTACCCCGGCCCGGCTGAATAGCTCCTCAGCGGGTAGCAAGGTAAGCCAGGCCATAGAAAGAATAACAATCTTCGCTCCGCTGTCCAGTACATGTGTGGCAAACTCGTAAGCTGAATACGGAGCAATGAATTTGTAAGGATTTATGTCCATGCATATGCCAACCGCAGCAGGAATATATTCCCTCTGGGAACTCCCTTGGGTAGATCCTGGAAGAAAAAGGAATCCTTTCCCATTCTCTCCTTCCAACGCCCAGGAGTTATCTGTATAGTAAAGGAACCTCTTTTGATAGTTAAGTAAAACGTTGCCTGAATCATCAACGATAAGTAAGGAATTGAATCGCTTTGCACCTTCTTGGATATAATCTTGATTTTCTACATGGGCCGATTGTGTGGTACATATCTCAGGGTATCCAACGCAAACCACACAGCCCAGATGACGTGCTGTCGAACGAGCCCAGGCTGAAGATCGACCAGCAGCTGTTGGTTCGAGATATGGGCTGATAGTCCTTAGGGAAGAGAAATTATAACCTTTGCAGGGATATTGTTATTATCAAAACTCGAAATATGCATTGTCAAAGCTCACCACTAAATATCATCTCAGGCAAAACTAAAAGGTCAAGTCCCTCTATTATACGACCACTGGCTTCGTCTAGGATGACATCGGCACGTTTGATATTGCCTTCTACATCGCCTAGGGTTGGAGAAAATTGCAACGTAGCCACCTTCATCTTCACGAATATCCCTCCCTATCGAAAAGTGACTGGAAAGAAATAGTTGGCTGAGAGAAGTCTGTGCTCTATAGCGTTCACACCATTCGTGTGGGTATTGCTACCCTAGGCGGCATGTAGAGTCTCGGCTTTGAGCGAGTTGAAACTAAAATTCAGTAACAGATAGCACCACACAATAGAAAGCCTTGAACATATGAGTCAAAAAGCAGCCTTGAACGAAAATAACGTCGTTTTGACATGACCAAGAAATGATTGATACTAATACAACACAATAGGTTATCTGGCTGTGGCAAATATTTCATATTGACAAGCAACCAACGCCTATGCTACCAACGTAACTATCAAACAAATATTGGTCAAATAAATTGTTGGTTAAAACGAGTTGTATGTGTGTACAAAGTCCCTTTCCTCAAATATGTCTGCTCCAAACTCCGTCATCAACATGCAACATGATTAAAGTACTATTGACTATTAGAGAATTGGCGTGTCATAGCTTTCTGCTTTTCTTTCTTGGACCTCGACTCAAGCACATTCGTAATCGGTTTATAAGCAAGGCCATTTGCGCCGGTATTTCTGATTCGCTGCTCGGTCCTGGAGAGCGTTCTGCCCAACCCAAGCGGCGTGGGTGGTGCCAATGCAACTTCAAACCCATTCACGATGGCACGCGAGTTTTCGTTGCTATGATTATTGCCGCTTACTGGATCGGCGACAGGGGAGGATACGGCGGGTGTCGAATGACGTGAAGCAGATCCTTGAAATTGAGGTAGACCGTGGAATAGCCCGACACGGGACAGTTCTCTGCCTGCGATACGGGCTGCAGTGAAAAGCAATTCATCCTCATCAATCATAGACTTTTGTTCTGTACGTGGTTTCGGTGGGGCGGCTTTTGATGCTGATAGCTCAAGTGCTAGTAGTTCATCAACTGAGAGAGATTTCGTAGCGTTAATCTTTGCCATTTTTGGTTTGCCGCGAGCCAAAAACACATCCTCCTCTTCGTCCTCACCGCCAAGAGCCTTTCGTTTGGCCACCTCTCTTTCAATGGCCTGCTGTTTGGCGATTTCTCTTCCAGCAGCTTCCCGAGCTGCTTTCTCCCTTCGGTCTATTTCTTGCTGCGCCGCTAGCAGTTCCCTCTCTTGTTCTTGAACAGACCGTTCCCTTTCCTCCGCCTCTCGTTTAGCCTTTTCTTTCATCTGCTCCTCCTGTAGTGCAGATTGATGCTGTTCAAATCCCCGCTTCGCTTCTGTCTCTTTGGCAGCCTCTTCTTCAAGTCCTTTCTTTTCCCGCTCTTTTAAGTACGCTTGCTCTAAAATGGTAGGGGTCGGATCTTGTTCTCCAACAGATTTTGCATTGGCCGCGAACAGAGAACTAAATTGATTCATCCGGGTAGGGGCATCAGTGTTTTGGCCCCAGCTGGTCATCTGTTCAGCCTGAGTTGACCATGTTGATTTTGGTACGGTGTCTATGGATGAAAGCATCAGCCCGAGTTCCAGTTCATGAGATCGGATTCAGGAGGCTTACCTTTGTGGTCTGTATATGTTTGAGCCTGATTTTCAAGGTATTGTGGGACACCAGGCGCTGCTGCTGTGGTAAATTTGAATGGCTGACTGGCTGGTGTATTTTCCGTAGCTTGAGACATATGGAAAGCTGCTGGCAGTGGCTTCTGGCTAATAGAGGCATTGTTTGGACGAGAAAATGGGTTTTGAGTTTCCGAAGATCCAATAGCGCCGAAAAGAGGTTTCACTAATGGGCGTTAGCCACAATCATCAGGGAGAGAACAACAACCATACCGTCAGTAAGGGCATCGGTCCGTAGGGAGGACGGTGTACTCAACGACGTCCCAAATAAAGGCTTAGGTTTGCCAGTATCTGCAGCTAAAATCTTTAAGTCTATAGAACAACACCTAAGAGTTAAGGGGCATACCAGTAAACGGACTAGCAGTAAAGGTATTTGGAAACGCCAAAGGAGCTGCGGTTGAAAAGATTGTCGATGAGAAGCCAGGTTCTGAACTCGTTTTGTGATTTTCTGGCGTGGAATCTTTTTGTGGTGCGGTCGGTGTAAAAGGATTTGTATACAGATTTGACGGTGCGGAAAGATTGGCGATATTCTGACTTCCACTTGCACTAGAAGTGGGAATAAAGCTAGGTTTTCCAAAACTGGTAGACATGGGGGCTGAAGGGGCTCCAAAAAATGGCTTCTTAAAGGGCGACGATGTAGGTGACGAGTGAAGGACGCTAGGGAAGGTGAGAGCACTAGGAGCAGACATGTTTTCCAAGGTCGAGCCGAAGGGAGATGAAAAGGCAGGTGCCGAAGCGGACAGCGCGGGTTTCGATGAAAATAGGTTAGGAGAAGAGGGCGTTGACGTCTGGGAGGGAGAAAACATTGCCCCAAATGAATTTTGGAATGGGCTTGGTACAGTATGGTTATTCTGGATATCGATGGGCTGGGATGATACCGTTTTTTGATGTGATGTGGTGTCAAGAGGTTCGGTCTGCTGCTCCTCTTCATCGTCGCTAACAAAAAGACTTTCTTGTTCGGTATCAGGCTTATCGGAAAGGGGTATCGGACTTGAATCTTGGCATAATAATGATTTATCAATCATTCCATGCTTAAGGGCCTGAGAAACATTCATGCCAAGAATGATAGAGGGCAGTGTTCTCCCAAAACGCTTGGATTCAACCAAAGAATAGGAAAATATCTGCTGGGAAGACGGTTGGAAGACTATGGAAGTAAATTAGGTGCGTCAGGATGAACATATTCCGCATGGATCGAGGATCAAGTATGAGATACGAACCAGAAGAATCAAGTGAACGGCTACCCCAGTCAAGGTAAAGTTCGCCTTGTGAGTCGGTCGCAAACTCGAGGCCTTGCTCTTCGCAGAACTTAATTGTCTGTTCTTCTTCATCGAACCATAAAACTCTCGTAAGATCGTCGACTTTCCACTCTTGATTTTTGTGTTGCTGTGAGAGTGGCTGTCGGCAGTAAGCTTTCCATATCGATCTTATTGCGGTTTGTCGAATCTGATTAAAATAAATCTCTGCAACACATGCCATAAGGTATGAAACACTTTTAGAATGGATAATGCCAAAAAATCTATTGTAAAAAGCCTGAGCAATAGCATTCGGCCGTCGTGCATCGAGGGTCCCTTGATACTCCCAATTGTTTCCTGCAGCAGCAAAGAGCTCCATAGCCACACGTATCTTAGGGGCCTGACGTAGCTCACGGGGCCATTTTTGCATACGAGCTTCTAGGTCAGGACGTTGATCATGAATGGAAAAGAGAATGTAATATGCTCGAAATTCATCTTCATTAGAAAAATCCATGCGACTTCGGTTATCATCGTAATAGTATAACAAGGATAATAGTGTATTGTTAAGCTGTTCCCTTTCTTGGTGATGATCGAATTGCTCTTTATTTGCGGGGTTAGAAAGGGAATGGAGCGATAGAATATGGAAACGGGCGATTCTCTCGAGGCACTTGACCGCAATCTCGACATCATGTTGTCGAGTGAGTTGTTGAATGGAAAAGTCGTTGCGGATGGATCGGGTTCGATCCCACACAAATTTGTGGACAACACCAAACTGATGATCGTTAGTAATCACGCACCGGAGGATATAGTTAAGTGTTTGTAACAAGGTGTTTGGGGTTCTGATGTCAGAGGGAAGTTGCTCATCGTAGCCGGCGGCAGATCTTCTAAATCTTTTCAACATTTTTGTTTCCATAATTTCCAGTTCGCCGGTATCAGGATTAAGGTACTGGGAATGCAAATTTAGAATCCTCTTCATCATTTAAACAAGTATTTCGCTCACCTTTTCGCTTTTGTCAACCATTTTTTGAACAATTCGTTCCACTCGTTCGTATTCGGGGCACATCTCGGTGCAAGTGCCTGTCGGAGTGATGGCTCGATTTAAGGAAGTAGGCTGGTTTGGATCTGCCATGAGTCCTTCATCAATAGCTTTAGTGCGTTGCTGGGAGCGATGGCGTTTTAACTGCCGTTAACGCCGGGTCAGTTCTGATGAGGCAATACTTTTGATCAGTAGCGTAGCCACAAATAGTCAGGGAATTACCTGTTCAAAACGACTTAAATCATCCCGGTTCCCGTGCATTGTAGGTTTTTGTAATCTGGCAGCGGCATTATTGTTGCGTCGAGGGTCTCTTGTTTGATCAATAGAGGATACAGTGGAGGCGCTTCCAAATAGCGAACGCTCTTGAGTATTCGAACCACCCGAGCCTATTACTATTGAGTTGGAAGCTGTTCAAGTGGCTTTTGACTGGTTTTTTTGCATACCTGAAGAAGGTTAGAACTTTGGCGTTGGGTGTCAAAAAAATTTACGTACCTCGAGATAAGGCGCCATTGACTTTGGAAGTTTCTATCCTCCTTCCACGGGAGGTATTCTGCCCTCTAAGGCTCGTCGTCGCACCACTGTTCCCTCTCCCACGGCGAATATTCGTATCAAACAGGCTCTTCTTTAAATCTCTCGTTGAGACATCTGGTCTCGACGAAGCTCGGTTCCCACGAGCAACACGACCTCGTGGTGCCTGGGTATTAGACCCACGTTTCGACCCGGTAGCAGTTCCGAACATTGTTGCGGTGAACGCGGCGATCGAACGTTGCAACAGTTGTGTAAATCCTTGTATGTACTTAACACTCAAGCGCAAGTCCGTTTCGTTATCCAAACTGCCGTCCCAAATAAGGCGCGAATTTCGACGAATCAAGTCTGGCGGTTTAATGCTTGAAACGTGCTTGCAATCGAATATTTCTAGCGGGCAGATGCTACATAGCGCACCGTACAGATGGGACAAGCACAACGCGCCCTGTCTCCCGATATATAGTCTGTCCGTTGAAAATCTGAATTAGCGATGGCCACTCAATCCGTCAGGCAAACTTCGGACTTTGCCTCGTTTTTCTCCAACATATCTGACAAAGGGAACCAGATCAACCTACTATTCAGACGAGCACTAAACAAACCATACTGATGTCAGAATAACAGAGGAGTTCCGGTAAATCGGCTTCGTCTGATGGTTGGTCGGATGAGGTAGCCGGATGAGCCGATGGAAATTGCTCCGTCCGGGGAATTTTTGGGTAGATTGGGATGAGTAAGGAATCTAGACAGCAGAAAGTTGATCAATAGGTCCAGCCTAATATTCTCGGTTGAATACAAGGCCTGCTTCTATTGACGGAAATATATAGTCGATTGGGTGAAGTTCTGAATGATAGCTAAAGGAATTGCGCGCTTGTTGTCTGATTTGGCGCTTATTACTATCACGTGGTTTTAGTTTGACTGGGTAGTTAGCCGCCCGAGAATTTCAAAAAAATGTCGTGTATTTTGATTGGAGTGTTGGTCAGTGATATCTCGTTAACGTTATTCTATTGGACGAATTACCTTTATTGGAATAGCGATAGATGAATTTGTTCAAGTAGCCTAACTCCGTATTGCCCTTCTAAGAACCCATACGGAGTACACTTACTATCGCTTATAATATTTGATGGCCTAAAGGATATACTATGTGTTCTGCTCCGAGAAATTCAATCAGTATTAGCAGTTGAAACCTCATGTCCAAACTGCATAAATTGGGTATCTAAGCCTAAACAAGACAAGGCAGTAGAGAATATAAAAGGTAGCTATGCTCGTTATGGAGGCGTTCGTTCGGAAATTACATATCGTGGGAAACATCGTCATAGCGATCGGATTCCAAGAGACATCAAAATGGGTCGTAGCAGTAACAAAAAGGATAGAAGAAAAAAAGAGAAGACATTAGAGAGAATACACAGGGGAAAGAATAGTTAAAACATGTTCAGCGAATATACTGGAAATTAATGAAGAGTCCAGCAGAATAAAAGAGTTTCGAGAAAAAAATTGCCGCCCGCTCAAGCTTATGTTTGGCCGCCGGGGTATTCGAATATGCGATGAATTTTGAAGACAAAATCCGCCCAATATCATAACTTTTCTGAAAAACATTTGCCATATGGGTCAAAATGCAGCGATTAGACCCTGGCAGGGTTCAGGGGGGGTCATTTGAAATAGGGGATCGCCTCGCTTTCTTGGTGAGACGGTGGGAGAAGCTGTGAATGGCCTATTGGCCCGGGTTGAAACGACGGTGCAGCTAACGGTACGTAGTCAAACTGGGTAGGGAGGCGCATGTGGAGCTCTGCAGCTGTCACCGGAGGAATGGATTGCGAGGGCAGCACATCATAACCAACAGGATGGAATGGAGATTGCTGAAAGGACCAAGTGTCTGCAGTGACCGCCGGACTGGCGGCTTGCTCTATGGGAGAGGGGACGAAATCTGAGGGTGGGAGGTATTTGATGGCGGGGATGTTATCTTCGGTGTCTTTTGGATATCTTGACATTGCGGGTGGTAGGAATGTTTCCTTGCCCTCCAACGAGCTATGACCACAATCCGACAGACACTCCGAGTCTCGCTCGCTTTTTGCACTTGAATCTCGGTTGACAACGTATATCACAGTTTTGGCGTCTGGCTGACGTTAGACGTTGCATGACAGCCGCTTGCCCGTTTTAGGACTTACCGATCTCGCCTCGTTCAAAACTCTCCTCCATCCTGCGCACCGCGTATATCTCTTCAAGAATCTCCCATCGTTCACGCGGCTTGATTTGCCGCTTGACATCTCTCCCTGCTTCTTCGAGCTTCTCAGTTGTTATATTGTGTGATTTGCGAAGATTCCGGATGATATGCACAAGTAACCGTATACGTTCTATCGCCCAAGCGGTTCATAAGCAAATGGCTTCAGTTAGCGAGACGGGGAATGTTTCAGCTTACCTGGCTTTTTCAAATGGTCTGGTTCTCGATGAATCACTCCTGCAGGCCACCAGTCTGGTTTCGTCTTTTCCGGATCGCCCTTCTCTCCCGATGCCCCTCGCCCACCGTTGTAAGGATGCTTCACTTGCTTTCTTGGCTCAATGATTTTGATAAATGCTTTGGCGATTTGTCGACAGTTAATCTGCTGGAACGCCCGGAAAGCCGACTCGTAGTAATCAAGAATTCTCTCCTCGTCTCCGATTTTCAGTGGCACTCTATCCACATTTTCAAAGCTAATGTCCGGGATCTCCTCTAACTCTAGCCGGCGTTTTTTTGGTGCAGGGATTTCAATTCTCCCGTGAGACCTCGAATGATGCTTCGCTTCTCCCGTAGCATTCATAAATCTTTCCTTCACGTCTGGGGTAAAGACATAATGGCAATGCCTCTCCAGAGACTGCGAGGTGTGATACTTGACACATCCTCGACCGTCAATTGCGATCAAGGCAAAGTGAGGGTATGGAATCTGATGCATCTCAGAGCCCCTGGGCTGAAGAGACTGTTTGATTTTGTCAGTATTCCAAAAAAAAAAATATTGACTTGAGATCGTCACTCGTACCAGCGGCGCACCCCAAGAAAAATATCCTTCTGAAAGTGCGTCGGATTGTTTTGAGTACATGTCAAAATGTTTGGTTCGGGAACGGCCCGCTTCCTCCATGGAGATTACCATAGTTGAGCGGTGCGGCTAGAGAACTTAAAGACTTTCCAACGGAGACGGTTGATGAGAACAAAACAGCCACGCCAGGGAAACAAAACACAGTACGGTTACGTCGATGGTGCAAGGAAGGACTATAAGTAGAACGTTCAGAAGAAAGAAACAAGGGTGGCTATTGGCCAAGTCGAAGAGAGCAGATGGGAAAAGATGGCATTATTGAGGATTCGAAGGCTCGAACGGTGGCATTTATGACGATTGGAGCCCAGGCAGCGCTAGGTAATTCTGCTCATTGCACAAGAGCTCTGGGACCAGGGTCTTTGGCACAGCGTTTGCGCAAGATGCTTGTCCACTTGGAACTGGACATGGCGATAGTTCAAGGGACCGTGCGAGGCCTAGTTAGTTAACTATGCAGCGGGCCCGGCTCGACAGATGGGTATGTATTTTACACTCTGTGCCCCGCCCACCAGCAGCGAAAATCATATTCCGTTCTGTCTCCGTACTCGGGACGGGTGTCGCCAATAGTAGCCTTGGGGGCTGCACATCGACTGCCAGGATCACAGCCCCTGAAGGCTCCCGTCGGGCCGGATCTATGATGCACTTCCTCGCTTGGCTTGCACCCCCGGACGGCCACTTTGGGACTTTAATTTCCTAAACTGGACTGTGCGCTTTGCTTGTTTGGGCGGTATCGTCGTGGATAACGACAAGCAGGCTCGGGAGCTGGGGTTGTGGAGCCGCCGCTCGGCGGGCGGTGGCTGCTCTGTGGTTGCAAACAAAACGCCTGAATCATGCATGCGCCAAAAATACGCTGCAAGCGAGTGTCCGCCAAGGGCCTTCCTGAGAACATCCCAGGATGGCGGAAAGTCAAAAGATCGCAGCTGGCAGGGCTGCCACTGGCTCCCAAGGCCTTGTCAGACATCTCCTGACGCTGTTAGTCAGATGCGAGGCGGCGTTACAAAGCATACGGTCCTGCTCTTGATGGCAGACAACTGGCATGACGCGGCTAAACCTCCAGGCACGCCGCCGTGCTGAACCGGGCCGGCCGCGCCGCGGGCTTGACGATCTTCCAAGACGGGCGGCGGTCGGGGCCTCAAGCTTCCCGCCCGCCAGACTTGCCAGAGCTAACTACTGCTGGTTCTTTAACCTGGTTGCATCAGATAAGGCTAAGGCGGGATCCCCGCGCGGTTTCACATCATTCTCTGCAACTGTTACTGTGCAAGACCCGTCCTGGCGTGGGACACTGGGGATGTCTCTGCCTAGCTCGAGAGACAAGCGACCACAAGTGTCTACAGAGGTTGCAGCGTGCTGGCTGTCGGGAATGCTTCTTTCTTCCCCTCTGGGCGCCCTTCCATAGATCCCCCCGGTCGGCCCGCAAGACAAAGAAGTGGCCTTCCAACACAAACAAAAAGGTGGCAATTCGCAAAAGCAATATGAACAGGACAAAAGAAGAAATTGGATTGGCGTTAGCTAGCAGATAACGAATGACGTTTGGCCAAATAATGTTGCGCCAACAGGCTCCGGCGTGCCCTTGCATACTCCAAACGATTTCCTAGATATATTGGCAAGAAGGTCCAGAGTTGCTGTTCTGGCCACTCGAGAGTTTTCAATGTCCATCGCATCTGCGTCCGCTCCACTGGGGCTTTCCAAGAATTGTGCTTCAATCAGGTCTGTGGCAAAATGAGCTTCACTCATGCTGACGCAGTCTTGCATACACTCGCGTTCACCCATGTTGCGAGGACGATGCAATCTTAAATGTATCGGAGGCAGTCCAGAGCAGCAGGCTGCCTTTCGGAGGCGCCACATCTCGATTGACTTGGCCCAGCAGTCCTCCGTGGCTAAGCTTTAGGGGGGTACCGTGACCTTGATTTTTTTGCCAGTGTTGCTTGCTTTTGTGAAGAGGCGCCGCTGAAATCTGTGGAGATATCGCTTGCAATGCTAGGCCCGGTCAAAAGGTCGAATAAGAGACGAAGGCGGAACAAAAGGAACTTTTTCCCCCCGTGCCCAACCCCGGCATTTCTGCCAATCGCTGTGGGGTGTCCAACTGCCCCTCCGTCAGACTCTTCTTGGGACAAAACCAGGGATTCACTCACCTGCACGTAATGGGGGACGGAGGCGTCTCGCGGGCTGCATATCAGCCGTGCAGGGCTGGGAGAAGCTCAACTGTTGTCGGCCAACAGTGTAGAATGGCGTGTTTTCAGCCCCTCGGGGCGCTCGAGTAAGAGACGTCAGAGTGCAGGCTTGAACTGCAAGCGTTCAAGAGCCAAACCCGGTGGCTCTTCTCTTTGAAAAACTGAATCGTGAAGGCACCCACCTGCACGACTTGTACGTCGATAAGCTTAAACCTGCCAGAAATGCATGAATTCATGCAGCACGCTGCAGGCTCCTTGCTCAGCAAGAAAATATTTCGGAATGCCGTACACCGACACTCCGTATAACTAATTGCTGTATACAGCGCTACCGCCTGTTCAGCGGCAGTGTGGCACCCAAGGGCAGCTATGCGGCTTCTTCATCCGCTCCCTGTTGCATCGGTAGCCACCGCTGCACGATCGAGAACGTTTCCAGATCAGTCGAGGGAGATCTGCGCTGGAATGCTGACGCCCACAACCATTGCTGTCCAAGTCCAGACGGCCTCGCTTCTTTCTCAGACATTCGAAACACCATGCGTAGCATCCATTTCATGCAGGTGCCTCAGGCCTTGCAGAACAGATGGGGAACCTTACGCCTGCATCGCAGCATGGCAAGAATCGCTTCCGGATGGCAACGAAATGCTGATTGCCCAGTCGCATGCATAGGCATCCAGACAATATGTAAGTATGTACATATGCACAGAGCACACAATATGTATGCACATCGCTTGCCAACCACCTTGACCGGCTGGCACACTGCCCTCCAGATCACGATCGACGCCGCAGACCCAACACCCAAGACGTTGCCAAGTGCCCTAGACTGGGCTTGCGAACGGGACAGGAACTCCTTGTTCCCCGAGCTTAGATTGTGATCCTAGCGCGCCGAATCGGTGGGAAGACCCTCAGTAGTCCAGGCTTCGTGTGCCTCGACTGCGATCCACCTGCCATTGCTCCACAGGAGACGGACCCTGGCGGCACATCCATATATAATGCTCCGTATTACGACAGGCTGTCTCATGTTTGGGATTAGCGTTGCGGAGCGGCGCCTTTTGAACTCCAGTCTAATGCAGGCCGTATGTACGATCGCCTAAGATCGAGCATATTCAAGGCTATCCGGTAGTCTTGGGCCTCGCAAAAGAGCCATGAATAGACTCAAGAACCGACAATCTAGCCCGTGGGGAGAAACATGACATATGTGTACATCGGAGTGCGCGGTCATCTGAATGACTTGCACGCATTCGGCAGAGGTGTTTGCCTCCCGGCTGCGCGCTATTTGCTACAGACTTCCATTTTTACTGCATGTTTAAACCTTAGGCGGCGATCATCGCTATTCTGGCGGCCAGATCACACCCAATTATAAAAGACAAGCTGCGCGGGCTTTCCAAGTTGGCGGAAATGCTGTCAATTAAAAAAAAAAAACAATGCGCCCCATCCATCCGGCTTGTGGGAGACCTGAAATCCGGCAGGAAAGAAGTGATTTCCGCGGCAAACCACTACTGATAAGGCTTTTCGGTTGCGGAGACTTTTTGCTGTGCCTGGAAGAGAAGCACGTATTGCTTTTTTTTTTACTCTCTTTTGCTTAGAAGGTTAGTTACTTGGTTAGTTATTGGACCCGGGCGATCAGCGCTTTGTGCCCGCAGTGCGGAGAACCGTGGATGCCACTATTTCCCGCCTATGGCGAATGGTCGCAGAGTACGGAGCATGGCTTGTCACTCTTGTTGTCGTTCTTGAGGCGAATTAACCCCAGCACGGTCTGGATTGCTGGTCTGACCAGCACATCCTCATGGCCAGAACCAACTGGTGCCACTCGTGTCTATTGTTTACTGAGCCATCGTTGATACCCCCCCTCCTCCCTCCGTCCTCTTTCATCCGTTCGTCCGCCCTGCTGCTTTCACCGAAAGCACACTCCACCCGTATTTTGCCCTGCGCGCGTTGTGAACAGTTGAAAATACGAGTCATTTGTGCTTACGTTGGGAACCGCTCTTTTTGAGAGCGAGCGTTAATACCGTTCAGATGTTAAAATCTTATCACCAACGACAACGACAGCTGTTGGAACAGTTTGATTATTGTCGGGGACCGAAGCCTCCAACGCCGTGCTTGGGATCCCAGCCGAGCGATACCCCCTTTTGACCGGCTCAACTTTGTTGGCGATCACAGAATTGGTCTAGGAGCGCTTGAAGCGGGAGCTAGGAGAAAATTATGCATTTTAAATCAATCGCGAACGAAGGCCCGTTGGAAACATTCCTTCCACACATCTCCAGTGTGTACGGAGTAACTACATATGTATGGATGTGCGTTCACCCACGCTTAAGCCACTGAAACGTCCCTTCGCCGCCCAAATCAATATTTTCCGAGGAGTCTCGGGGGTGTTATCTGCAACAGGAACCTTTGAATGGTGTCTTGAAATTGTCAAATGAACTAAAGGCCCAACTCATTACACAAACGACGGGGCAGGCCATCGCCGCCGACACTTCCTGTTGGCTCTCGCCAGGGATGTGCCCCAGATAAATTGTTAGACAATTGTCCAGCTTTACACAGAGAAAGGAGGTGGTACGAAGCAAGCCCTATTATATGCAGACCGCCCATTCTTCGTGATGCAGGATGGTAACAAGAGCTTTGCTTCTATTTGGTCTCGTCCACATCCAGCTCGTATTTTGCTGGCCAGTGACCAGTGCAGACTGGACTGCTGGCCTGTAAATCCATAACATCCAGTTCTCCAAATCATGCCTGATGCTGGCGGGTTCTCGCATTGATAGTCGCTGGAAGAGCCATTGTCCCCTGCACCATTTTGCCTACAGCCCATTTTAGGGAAATGAATGCCAATTATTTGCAAACGAACGAAGGTATGTATGTATGTATGAATACATACATACATACCAGAAGCCTCGTCGCATTGATGTCCTAATTACTTACCATGAGACGGCTATAATTGCCCCTGCTAATGGCTGGGTATAGAAAACCATGCTTCAGGGGTCGAATCAACGGCTCTTGCTGTGCACTTCCGAGATGCTCGGAAGTCCAGCTCGTTTGGCCTGGATATAGCGCTTCGGAATCAACTCTCCTCTAAAAACGGGAGCTATGATGTTCCTTGTCACCAACTGATAAGATCGAAAGAGTTAAGAGTCAAGATGCTAGCATTTGTGTGCTTCGTATTTATCGGCTCGACTTTACGGGGCAACTACAAAGTCCGAATATAGCATAGAAAAGGCAAAAGGCAAAAAAAAAAAAAGAAAGAGATAAGCACCGCCGACTTTGAGGCATTTCCCGTTTGCGAGGCTCTTACAGGGCTGCCGAGCCTCCTTTTTATCATTTATAGCAATGAAAGCGACCGTCTATATTCTCCTAGTGCTAGGGGCGTGTGGAGGTATGTATGTATGTACAATGAGCGTATCCCTGCTGGCGCCTCTGGCGGCGTCACCTCCGCTACTATATCCACGCCGACCCGGCACGCTGGAATTGACCGGGTGCCGCGACAACGCAAAAATGAGCCGGAACGCCATCGGCACACCGGGCTTGCTTTGACCGCCCCTTGCCCCAGAGCTCGACCTCTTTTTCATACATCATTCAGAGTGGGCTCGCACAAATAAGCTTCTATGGGCGCTGCGCAAATGGGGCAGAGGCGCTTTGTTTTCCCCATCGTCCTCACGAGGCCGATGGCGCTACGGATTCACCACTGCTATCCAGAAGACCAGCCTCTTTGACGAGCGTGTAGAACTGGCCGCCGCGTCTTATAAGTTCGGCCGGCGTGTCAAACTCTACAACTCTACCACGATCCAGAACCACGATGCGGTCGCTGTCAAGGATAGTATTAATGCGGTGCGCGATGGTAATTATCGTCCGGTTTTGGAAAATACTACTGCGCAGCATTTGTTGGAGCAGTACATCGGTCTCAACGTCAACGGCGGCCTTTGGAAGAATAATCATGTCAGCACGGCTCAAAGCGTGATCTGTGGGGTGGGGTGGGCAACACCCACCGTGGCTTCATCCAAAACAAGGATGTTGCTTGGGGTTAGGAGAGCTCTGGCCAGAGAGACAAGCTGTCTTTGTCCTTGACTAAGGTTTGATCCTGTGGCACCACAGTCAGATTAGCTTTGGTGCAAAGCCCCGACAGAGAACGATCCTCACCTCCTTCGTGCACTTGGGCGTCTAGCTGGCCTGGCATGCTGGCAACATGGTCTCTGAGTCGCGCATGTTCTGTTGATATTCGCCGCTCTAGTCAGCTTTCACAATAATTATTTCGTATCTGCAAAGCGCACTCACCCAAAACACTCCATAACTCGGTATCATCGTGAACGTGGCGCGGGTCAAGATTATCCCGGACTGTCCCTTCAAAGAGAGCGGCATCTTGCGGAATGATTGCCAGCCGGCCACGAAGGTCAAACAGGCCAATGGAGCTTATGTTTAGTCCGTCGATACTGTTGGAAACGAGACACAATCAGCAACTAGACATCCCGATACCGCGGGCCGACCGAGCTCTCCCAGGCCGAGACTTACCATATCCGGCCTTCAGCGGCCTCAATAATTCGGAACAGTGCTAGCGTTAGCGAGCTCTTTCCAGCCCCAGTCCTACCGACAACCCCGATTTTTTCGTGTAGTTTGATATTCAAGGAGACATCCTTCAGAACAAGGTCTAGGCCGGGTCGGTACCGTGTACTATACCTTTCAAAGGAAACACCCCCTTGCGAAGGCCAGCTGAGCGCCGGGCGATGTTTGAAAATTACATCAGGAGCCTCGCTTGGGAGGCTCGCATACTCTAGAACCCTCTCAACGGATACAATGTTGGTCTCAACTTCTACCGTTTGTCGCACAATCCAGTTCAGCGACTGTGTGATGTTGAGGGCATATGACATTGCTAGGCCGACCATGCCAGCTGTGAGATTAGAACCAGAAGCCACTGATATGATGGAAAGCACCGCAGCCCCAAGGATGACGATGGAACCGATGAACTCCAACCGAACCGCCAGCCATCGATTCGCGTTGATGGAGGGGAAGTACGCCCGAAGATTTGCGTCCGTCCGCCATTCATTCTCCAGAGCGAATCGTTCTTGTTGCCTGAAGGCCCGGATCGTCGAGATGCCTCCAAGGGTTTCTTGAAAGTGTGCAAAAATGGGACTCTTGGTGATGCTATCGAGCCGCTTCAGTTCACGAGAGGTCCGCAGGTAGTATTTTTGATAGCTGAAGTATATAAAGCCAAGAGGAACGATAAGGATGAGGAATAGAGGCGTAGAAATTGCGATGACAACCATAGTGAATATGGCACGGGCGGAGTTTGCAAAAAGCTGAGGTCGTTAGATTTACGATACGTTTCGAGAGGTGAAAGTCCATACCATGTTAAAGGTTCGTGCAAGAATTTCATCAACGCGATATATATCACTGTAGCTTTACATTAGCAACACCATCATTATATACGATGTAAACCTAGATTATATGCGAGAAGCAACAGAAAATAAACAAACCGACCTTGAAAAGCGGTTTAGAATTCGACCGGCCGGAGTTGTCTCAAAAAAGCTCATTGGAGATCTGAATATGGCAAATGCCATTCGTTCGTGGAGTTTTCGGGATGCCTAATAATGCTTTAGTATCAATTTCGCCAACACTAGCTATGGTAAGGAACAGTTCTTACCTCAATGGAGCAGAAGATCCAGAGAATCAAGGTTTGTAGGATGACAAGAGCAGAGGAGCCGATGCCAAAGGCAAAGTATATTCCAATATATTTGCCGATACTAGGGTTTCGACCTTCAATCTCGTTGATTTCAGACCATCTCTTCAGCCAGAAACCACCCGCAATTTGCATTGCATGGGCCGAGAGGAGAGCTGTGATGTAAAAAGCGACAGCATACAGATTGCTAGTCTTCGCATATTCTCCATATACGCTCCATTTCACTTTGCCCTGTTCTGCAATCTCTTTGGTTTGTTTAGTTTTGAGGCCATTTTCTTCATCAGTAAATTTGGTTCTGCCGTTCTGGGGGCTGACTGTGCTAGCTCGTCTTAATGTGGCCATGCTTTCTCGTCGAGCATTGACACCGGTACTTCTGATTGGGGCCAGAGGTGCCAGACGTTCTTGTGCCTCTTCAACTTCAGAGAGATCCCCTTCGCTTTCTTCAATAGCAGTGAACGTTTCTGATATCATAGGACTCTCCTCCTCCCTACTACTGCCACTGGATGCTGTATCATCGTCGCTAGTGGCAGAGCGAACCAAAGCTGCTATTTCTCCCTTTCTAGCCAGTAACTGCTCATACGTACCCTTCTCTATCATATTCCCAGTTCGTAGAAGTCCTATAAAGTCTGCTTCTTTCAACACAGGTATTGAGTTTGTCGCAAGTATTCTTGTTTTCCCGGAAAGGATACCATTTCTCCCCAGGACCCGGTTGATGATATGTCGGCCGACATGTTGGTCAACCGCCGAGAGCACATCATCAAGGAGATAGATGTCGGCGCGCGCATATACAGCACGGGCCAAAGTTAAGCGAGCCTTTTGGCCACCGGAAAGAGAAATGCCTCGCTCGCCGACTTCAGTTTGATCGCCGTCTGGAAGGATTTGGAAATCATCGAGAAGCGCGCAAGCTTCAACTGTTAGATTATAGAAGTGAGGGTCCCAGCGGTGTCCGAAAACGATATTCTCCCTTACACTCGCATTCATCACCCATGCCTGCTGTGCAACATACGCTACACGGCCACGCATGACAACTTCGCCGTGAACCTTCCACAGATCTCCAAGTAATGCTTGAAGTAGAGAAGACTTTCCTGCACCCACACGCCCAACAATACAGCTCAATTCACCCTTTCGAGCACTAAAATCAATGTTTTCGATAACGTGCCGACCTTCATGTCTGTTCCAAGTGAAAGTTGCGTCTCTAATTCGTACAGATTCATCCCCTATATGTGAAACTGAGTCCTGGAACGAAACCGCATCCTCTTGAAGCTCATCGGCAGTAAAGTATGACTTAAGACGATTGACAGCCACTGAAGCTTCAATGATTGATGTGATCACCATCGGTAGAATAGACAGGGGAAATGTCAGGAGGTTAAAGAGGGTAAGGGCAGGGAATACAATCTCGGTTGTCAAAGGCTTATCGTTCGTCAAGACAAATACAGCGAATGTGGAACAAGAAACGAAGAAAGGGGTCGACGACCATGCAAAATTGGCAATGGCCTGCGTAGCACCAATTTTCCGTAGTGTATTTAATTCAAGGTCATTGCGAACATGATTAAGCTTATTCATGAAAGCGGTATTCCATGCGTAAAGCTTAATGCTCTTCATATTGTTCAAGATCTCTGTCATTAAACGTGTTCTTTGGTCCTTATTTCCCATCTGTTTAATTTGAAGGTTCTTCATGATTTTTGCGATCACCCCATTGAGAGGAATCATGAGGACCATAGCTCCGATACCAGCAAGCATACTGAGACCAACCAGTTGGTACAAAGAAAGCATGCAGAGAACGATTTGAAAAGGTGCAGACCATACTTGCATGCCATATTGTGCCAGGTCAGAAAGTCGCTGTTGATCTACAGCCATGTAGTTGACAATATCTCCTGTAGACTTAGATGCACGTCCCTCGTTTGACAATCGAAGGGATTTTGTGTAGATCATGGCCGTTAGCGAAGATTTCACGCGCATTCCAGTCTCAAAAGCGCGTTGAAAGTATTGGTGGAGGGTAATTGTCTGGACGATAGATACGGCAAACATTGCAGCAGCGATTGCAACCCCGCGGGCAGCCGGTTGAGGGCTACCCCTACGATAAGAGTCGATGAAAGATATGAAGAGTCGTAGTAACTGGGGTTGAGCAAAGGCAAAAATGTCGCTGACCGTTTTTATGAGTACACCTCGGAAGTATGGCCCGCTGAAAGCTCTGAACAGAGCACGCCAAAGTGATGGTTGCTTATGGCCTAACTCGGTTTGCCACGCTTTCTCAAGCTGGTCGCCGGTAACACGAGTGGTATCCCTTTGACGTAAGTTCCAAAGATCGTCTTGTGTAAGAAAATTCTTATAACCGTATTTCATCATGGGTGTCATCCACGCGAAGGTCAAGACAGAGAATATGTCTGCATACTCGAATGGGCACTCATCCTCGTCACCCAATGCATCGTATGCACTCTGCTTTTTTGGAACGAGATATTCCAGGGCAAATTCCAGAATTGCAAGTCCAAGGTTGACGTTGAAAACGACGAAGTACGGTAGACTGTCGATATGGGCCTTTCGAGATACCAGGGACCGAAGCTTGACAGCATGGGCAATGATATAAAAAGCCCAGTAAAACAACACCACGCCATTCGGCTGTCGACTCCGCCAGTGTTCATAATACTGGACCATATATATCACTACCAATGAGGCTAGGAGAAAGATTGTGGACCAAAATCTGAAATCCCGGAGCCATATTCCTGGGAGAGTCTCGACTTGGAGGGAGGCTTGCAAAGCAACCGTGAGGAATATGGTCCAAATAAGAGACTAAATTTCATGTTAGAACCCGTTGTACCTGCAGCAAGGGAGACTAAAATCCCTACCAGCTTCGCATAGAAATGCCAGTTCTTTTGCACGGGCTGGGGCGTGCGATGTCGCAACAACAACCATAGAGCAGCGGCACCGCCGACCAGGCCCCATGCAGCGACAAACAAAATCCAGGTATCTAAGAAGCAGGGCGTGAAATCATATCTTCGATTACTGATAGGACCCCATCCTTCTGGGTCGCCGCAGAAATGCTGGTGGCGATCTAGAGCAGTAGGGAATAGAGAACCGAGGTCGGCCGGGAGAGGCTGGTCCGCTAGAATCACTTGGGAGAAGGCATTGTCCGCCATTATCTCGCCATGGAACTGCTGACTTGGGAACAAAGGTGCGTAGAAGCTGTCAGCAGGCGAATATAAGCGGGACGATGCAGTTGGCTCTTGCTAGAACAGCGGCGGTCATTTTTCAGAGAGCTAGCGACCTGCTCTAGCGAAGCACCAAAGGGAAGCTTACAAAGCCCGCCTGGCTGGGGAGAGCGCCCGGCTGACTAATGCTGCTGGAGTTAAGCCGTGGTATATCCGGGGCCCGATTGGCCCGCCACGCGCCGGGGAGACAAAGCTGCGGTGTAGTTACGTGGTGGTTACTTGCAGCGCCAGACGGATCAGACACTCCATTCCAGCGCAGACCCTATCCTCTAACTACACATCGAGCGACCATACGAGCTGATCTCAGCATTTGGCATGCGTTGTACTTTGTACACAAGCTTCGCCACTCAGGTCTCAGAAAAGACCTAGTCCGAATCAGTACTAGTTAACCTTCGTCATACTCCCGTCATTTATCCCGCAGCCCAAAAATTCACCAGACCACGTTGGCTATGGCATCCCTCGCTCAAGAGCAAGAGGAGCTGCTGAGGCATCCTCTCTACGGTATGTAAGCTATTGAATCTATCTCAAATACAGGTCAAACTTATTCTTGTTCCTAGTGTTTGATCTGCCAGAAGAGCTCTTGGCAACACTGTCCACAAAAATCACCACCCATGTTGCCCTCAAAGAGGAAATAAAGCCTGATAATGCCTACAACACAGACTTTAGAGACTGCAAGCTCACAACCTCAACCTCATGTTCCCTCTGTAAAGTCTCTTTTCAGAATGTTGAGGAGCAACGCGAGCATGTCCAGTCTGATCATCACAGATTCAACCTAAAGGCCCAGCTGCGGGGTAACACTTCTTTAAATGAAGCCGAGTTCAACCGCGCGATTGGGGAGCTTGATGAATCGATATCAGGATCAGACTTGGAATCTAGTAGCGAGGATGAAGATGACAGCAAAGCGCTAGACAGCACGCTTGTCACTCTGCTGAAAAGGCAGGCGAAACTGTCTTCCCCCGAAACTTGCTCCACCACAAATGAGTCGAAACAGCCCTTACTCTGGTTTACAAGTCCCCTCTTATCACCAAATACCTTTCTAGGAATCTATCGAGGCTTGTTCACAAACACACAACAGAATAATACAGGCAGTCTAGTTGATTCTCTGCGAGAGAGACAAACAAGGCCTTTGATACAAAATTCAAGTAAGGCTGCAATACACCCTTCAAATCACCCAGGCACTCAGCCACCCTCCCAGATCTTTTTATGTATGATTGGAGGTGGTCATTTTGCGGCAGCGATTGTCTCCGTCGCCTCTGAAGTACATAAAAAGGCGGGTGGCATCGAAGATAGAAAGCCAGTCGTGGTTGCCCATAAAACATTTCATCGTTATACCACAAGGCGAAAACAGGGAGGCTCTCAGTCTGCTAATGATTCTTCAAAGGGCGCTGCACATTCGGCGGGCTCCTCGCTGAGACGATATAATGAAGCAGCTTTAGAAAAGGAGATTAGAGATCTTTTGGACAGCTGGCGACATATGATTGAAGCGTCAGATTTTCTATTTGTGCGAGCAACAGGGGCAACCAATCGGAGGATATTATTTGGGCCATATGATGGGCAGGTATTGAAGAAAACAGATACAAGGCTACGTGGGTTCCCGTTTACAACTCGTCGAGCCACCCACTCCGAACTTCTGAGGGCATTTGCTGAATTGACACGAGTTAAAGTAAGTCATGTTGATGAAGCCACTCTTGCGAGAGAGCAAGTAACCCATCAGGCGCCCGTTACAAAACCAGCAAAGCCCGTGTCTCAAAAGCCAAAGGTATCAAGAGAGGAGGAAGAGGCCATTCTTCACACATCTCAAATTCAGGCCCTTATCCGGCGTTCCAAAATCTCGGCGTTATTGTCTTATTTGACAAGTAATAGCATCACTTCAACATTTAGACTCCATAGTTCGGAATTAGGCTCGTCCCACCGCTGTCCTACTCCCTTGCATCTTGCTGCTAGTCTAAACTCGCCAGCGATTGTGGTTGCTCTCCTCACGAAAGCGGGAGCGGACCCCACACTACTTAATGACGAGGGACGAGCTGCGTTCGAACTAGCCAGTGATAGACCAACACGCGATGCTTTCCGAATAGCCCGTCATGAGCTGGGCGAGGCGTCTTGGGATTGGACAGCAGCCCGCATACCTTCTGCAATCTCAAAAAAAGATGTAGAGATACAAACAGAACAAGATAAAAAGGCTGCTGAGGAAGCAGAAGCCCTGAGAAGAAAAGAGGCGCTGGAGCGCATTCGGCGAGAAGACGCCAAATCCGCCGCGCACAGAAGCCCAAGTGGCCGCAAGCTTGTCCCTATTGAAAAGACGCCGGCTGAAAAACGAGAGGAAGAAACGCGAGGTATGACGCCAGAGATGAAGGCAAGGCTAGAAAGAGAGCGCCGTGCCAGGGCCGCAGAAGAACGCATCCGCCGAATGCAAGCTGGCCCCAGGCCCTGAAAAATAAGGAAATTGGGCTCTTCGTGCAGAGACTTCACCCTAACCGGACTTTTTTCCACAGGCCTAGGCACTCCTGCATATGTGTGGAAACCTTACCGTCCGACTGAGCAGCAGTATGCATTGTGTAGACCATCAGGGCTGCGTAACAGAAGCAATTCTTATTATCTTGTAGCCCGGTAATGTCTGATACATTTAAACCGCTCCTACTCCAGACCATCCAGCGATCGCAAGTTTCTGCAATCAGCTTAGCCTGGGTTGAATCCAGAACCATCAGGTACAAAATAGCACGGACAGAATCTATAATGTTGTAGGGTTTTGGGATATCATTTTGAGCGATGAGCCACGCCAGGCATGCCCTTGCGACAACTTCGTTGCTTAACTTAGGAGAGTTCACTGCCTCTGTTAAACGCTTCTCTTCATACTCTTGTTTCGTTCTTTGAGACTCCCTATAATCGTCCTGCATCCTCCATATAGTAGCTCGTTCCCTTGATAACCGCGCTGCCTCTGCTTGTGCTGCAGGCATCGATTTTTCAAGCTGAGCCTGACGCTGATTCTCCATAAAGTGCCTGTGGTGTTTCCACGGGTCCTTGGCAGATGGTTTGGGACTTGACCAAAGAGGAAGCTCCTGCTCCTGCATCATACCGAGCATTTCCATCATACCACATGGCACAGTGTCCCTTTGCACAGCCTGGATAATGTCCGAGGGCAGAGCAACGTTCCCCGTACCGCTGTTTTCGGCCTGTGCTAGAGACGAAGCCCCATAAACAAACCATTGGGCAACCATTTCGCCAAAACTGCTTATATCTTGTAAAACACCTGTGAGGGAGTTGGCGTGTTCAAAATAAATTCGGTCAATCGTGTCTCCCTCGAGGCGAAACCTAATACTATCACTTGGCCGCACTTCGCCTTTGGAAAGCTGCCCCTTATTCTCGATCGAAGCCAGGAGAGATGGTAGTAAATGTGTCTCTGTTTCATCTTTAAGTTCATTATCACTGTTTAGTTGCTGGTTTTGGCTGTCGTCTGTATGCGCGACACATTCTCCATGCGCGACTGTAGATGAATTTTCTGTCGACGTACTCGAAAGACTTCTCTCTATCTCAATAATACAATCGCTAGATTTGTTATTCTCCTCGTCCGTGTTCAACGATAAAGCAGGTATCACGCTAGGTTTTCGAATTCTCATCCAGAACGGAGGTAGGCAGTTTTTATTTCGGCTATCCCAGTCGCTGCTCCAGTGAATCATTAAGCTTAAAACTCCATCAGAATCATCGGATATCCCAATACGTAGTACTCCTCCAAATTTACCCTTGGGTGGCCGTAGCAAAACAGTTCCGGTCGGCGTCCATAGCCCACTGGTCCTCAGCATACTCCATCCATTTTCGTCAGGGACCGCACCGCGATCCAGTAAAAAGGAGACTAGTTCATGAAACTCGATTTCTGCCTGGGGCACTCTTAGTTCATCCTTATATTGAATCCGATACAGCTTTTTGCCCGTGATGAGACGGTTCCAGTGAAAAAACGACCATGTCCCGCCTTTGAGCGATGACCTTTCAGGATTTATCTTCCAGTATTCGGGATCGAGGTCACGATCAAGAGGAGTTATTGTGCACCGTGGTAGCTCCACTTCCACGACTCCAGACATCATGCTGCCTCTTGTGACAGCAGAGTCAGAATGGCCATTACGCGCCAGGGCATGGCGAATTGAGCGTAAGATGAGCAGCGCCCGAATGCAAGTATATATGATTGGCAGTACCCCAAGAACTGCAAGTGGTACACCGATATAGGTGATAATATCGGCCGCACTTGTTGACATCCTGAAGAATGGCCTGTTCAGCGTGTTTGAAGACGTTATGCTCCACGGCTTGAACTTGATGTTTACCTCGTATAACTAGTGGCTAGTCCGCTAATATTTGCCTTGTTAGTTAGTGAACTAGTTAGTGGGCTCATAAATTGTTAGCATTCTCCACCAATAATAAACTCGCAATGGTTGTTCTATTGGGTTTGGTTTTTTTTTTTTTTTTTTCTTGTGGCTAACAGACAGAACGCCCTGCAAAGCTGGCCGGGACAGAACAACATTAGACAGTAGGTCACAATAATAACTAGATGGATTATAAGAGACTGGATACTGCTTTTCAGGTCTAGAGGGCAATATGGAGAACCCTGCAGAACCCCCAACCTGGCCACACTTGGGCATTCAATCCATATCTGATGGGCCAGTTCGGACGGCCATCGACTTCCCAATTGAGCTGTACCGCGAACTCTAACCCAACGTCCAACTTCATGCGAGCGAGCTTCCCCAACGACGTTTCAATGGTCAGACAGCAACTGGGTTTCTTCAGACACTCATCCTTCTTTAGTTCCCGTGTTTCTCCCCCTAGTGCTCTCTAAATGGCACCCTTTATCGAAGGCATCTGCCAGTCACAGCCGGACCAACAATTTGTTGGCGTTCTACATGAATTGAATGGAAATGAACAGCCAGCAAGGTGTATGTCGCCATACCACGCGCGTTGGCCTTTGTAGAAGCTCGATGACTGATTGCATGTAAATAGCAATCTACATTCCTGCTGGCGAGACTGTTGTGATTGGTCGAAGTCCTAAATCATGGTACTTCGCTAGCCACCGTTGATGGAGTGATCTAACACTTTTTTTAGTCAAATCGTCGTGAACGATTTTAGAGTGTCCAAGAAACATCTTCGAATATATGCAATTGTCTTTGACCAAGACAATCCCACAGAAGTGGCGCCCCTGGCCTATGCACAAGATACCTCATTGAATGGCACTCTCTGGAATGGCCGCCGGATGGATAGAAAGACAGGCGGGGTACTGCTGAGCAATGGAGACACTCTCAGAATATGTGACAACATTGCCTTCACCTTTCAGTCACTATGTAATGATCAATTTCCACTCTCCAGCCTTCAGCTAAATGAAATAAAGGTAAGATTTTACGTACTCGCAATGTGAGATACTTCGATTATAACCATCCCGCAGAGATTTAAAGATGAATACCTCATCACAAATCGAAGGCTTGGGTCAGGAGCATATGGCCATGTTCACATGGCACTCAATCTGCGAAATGGCACACAAGTAGCCTGTAAAATTGTGGATCTATCGGCCATAAAATCTCGTCTTCAGGGTTCAGACAGTCGTGCCCTTTACCAGCAGCACCAAGCAGCCCGCTGCTCTGGCAATAATCCCGAATCAGACTCGCAAGAAGGCCAAGAATTCCGGACGGGGCAGCAGACGGCTCGTAAAGTAGAAGAAAAACTCAGGGTATATGAGAGAGAGGTCGAAATTTTACAAACACTTCGACATGTGAGGAGTACCACCCTGATTGATGATGGAACTGACAATAACAATAGCCAAATATTATCGGAATCGAGATGGCTTGCAATACCGGAAGCACACTGTATATATACCCGCTCTTTTTTGTTCGAAACACAGCTGACAGACAGCCTAGGTATATTTTTGAGGATCTAATACCCGCAGGCGACCTTTTCTCATTTCTTGAGTATAGACAAGGAAATCTTCCAGATGTCGAAGCGGCAGTAATTGTAAGACAGATTGCGATGGCGCTTGACTATCTGCACGATAAAAACATTGTGCACCGCGACCTGAAACCCGACAATATTTTGATGACTTCTTTGGTCGGCGGATCTCGAGTAGTTCTGACTGACTTCGGCTGCGCTCGGCATCTTCCCCAGGAACCAGCACGCATGGCTTCGATCATGGGGACGTTTGAATACACTGCGCCGTAGGTTTTTAATTGCACAAACATGAAGTATGTGTACGCTGACATTTTATAGAGAAATAGATCGGTCAACAATACGTATAAGCAAAGGTTATACCAAATCAGTTGATTTGTGGTCTCTCGGGTGTGTGACGGCTGTGCTCCTCACGGGAGGATCTCCGTTTCAACACTCAAGCTCTCAGGCATATTCGCGAAAACTGGCTCAAGAATGTAACCTTGAGAGTCTTGAGAGATCTGATGAATGGATTAAGGTTGGAAAGCGAGCAAAGAGCTTTGTGCGGCGACTCCTCGTTCTTGACGAGAACCTCAGGATGACAGCCAAGGAATCTCTCCAACACGAATGGTTCACCAACCCATCTCACAAGCTTGCTTTCAACAAAATCTATCAGAAGGAGATTTCTGATTGGAAGCCACGGTCTGACGTTCTTGCTGGGCTAAAGGAGCCGGATATAAAATCGCCAATGGCTCATGAAACGCTTTCGTCCCATGTTTTGAGGGGCCTAAATCAGCCCCGTGTACACAGCAAGAAAACGCCAGGACCAAAGGCCTCTTTAGTCAAGGCATTGGGGACCCAATCAGGGTGGGAGGCGCAAGAACCGACACCAGACACAGGGGCAGTCCGTATTCGGGACTTGAAATGCGATGCTACCGCGAAAGGCGATGAGTTTGGGAATCTGGAAATTGAGCGTCCTACTATTGTGCCAAACAATCGCAATAAAGCCCAATGTACTGCACGGACAGCTGCTTCTCCCATGCGACACCCATTCAGCCCGGCGGCGTGGAGTAAAGCCCGGTGTTCTAAGCCAAAACAAGCGCAAGAACTAAGGAAAAACCAGGCAGGCCATCAGTCTACCAATAATAATAGTGCATCCAAAGGAAACACGCATTTACGGCGCCTATCGAAGCAAGCCATGTTAGCTGGTCACGCTAGGAAAAGGCGTGCCGTGGATATCTTCGCATTTGAGGAAGATGACATTATTGGGGATTGCCAGGCTCCTGTCTCGGGACAGAGAAAGTGGTGACATGTACGGAGTACAGAGTAGGTAGGTAGTTCCTGAACAAAGGCTGAGCACAGGCCCAATAGTGAGCATTCCATTACCGCCAAGTTCCCGTAGTTTTACCTTTTTTGTCTACGTTCATGGTTTGTTTCGGGGTCGACGGAAAGGCTACGACGGAGTGCTGGCTGCCTCAGCTAGAACCACACGGGCCAGGCAAGGTTCGTGTTTCATCAACATCATCATCATCATCATCATCATCATCTTGTTCACTCCCATGAATTGCTTAAAGTGGATGAGGGTTTACTTGAAACGCGAGTCCGTCATGGATGACGAAAGGCAACAGCCTTCCCGGGGCACAGGAGATGGCTTCGGATCTATGGAGTAAGTATTATTCCCGTGCTCCGCCTACAGGGCTTAAGTACTCCGTAGTTAAGCACGAAAAAGGGATCAAGCTGGGCAGGCATAATAAAGAGGATGTCAGCGAGCTGGATACGATCATACGAAAGTACTCCGTAGCATGAAGGGCCCGATTGTCGGGGGGGAAGACGCGTCGCATGAACGCGGTCGGGCGCGTGCGACACGCGCGTGGGCGCGTAAGGTTTGAAAAATGGAGGTTTTGGGGCCAACTTCTAGGCCGAAGTGCCTAGCAGGGGGCGAAAAAGAAACTCGAAGGAGCAAGCTAATCCCTGGCCAGTTTCTCCATGGTTCGCGAGGTTGTTTCCAAGAATCCTGTCGACACCGTCGTTAAGTTATGCACAAGGGCAGCAGTTCAAGAGGAATTTGGCGAGCATTGACGTATGGATTACCAGGGCGGCGGCTCGCATGCTTCCCTCCCCCCCCCCAGCCACCGAGTTGACTAAACTAACTAGGCGTTTGGCTAGTTTGACTAAGTAACGAGCCTCCGGGTTTCGTCCACGGTGACGAGGAGGTAATTGGTCTCCCCTGCTCTGGTGGCTGTGTATATCGCCGATGGGCAGAGCTAGCAGTGCCGCCACAAGAAGATGACCACTACAGCCCGTCTGGGTCTTCGTATTTGCCGCCGCGGGCAACGCAGTTTTCAAGGCTCAAGGGCAAGCCTAAATAAGGTATCTGCACAAAACGCCCGCGCGTCTGTCAACACACTCCTATAGGGGTAGCTTGAGGGAGAGCGAAGGGGTCTAGAACATGTGCGGTCAATGACATATGTCGTCGACGATTGGCGGGGATTGCAAAGCGGACTGGCTAAAATATTCTGTCTGCGGAGAGAAGTGACTCCGGCAGAGTGGAAATTCGTCAGTGGTAAGAGGTCACTTTCAGCTCAAGATCGCTCTGGCGATGACGGGACATGAGCGGTGGCCGGGCGATTTTCATGTTCGCCACGAACTACTGAGTACTGGAGCCACGGAAAGGAAGAGAATAGTATTCTGGTATTCTGCATGTGCACGTCAACAGGCGCAAAGATTGGTGTCTAAGATCGTCATGACCGAGATGTGGAATTGTTTCAATATGCAGCAGCCACTATGCTCGAAGTATCGCAGTGCATTGTCTCTCGTCCTCGACGGCGACGGCTGCCTGCGTACGAGCGCGGGCCATCATATGTCCGTTCCGGGCCGCACGGGCGGTGCAAGCCGTGTTGTTGCTCGTGGCGACGACGCGCTGTCCACGCGGCTGGACGGGCGGGCGGGCTGGCTCTGGACCACGAGGGGCACGACGTGGGCGGACCACGACGACGTTGCAGTGCGAGTGTCTGTCTGTTTGTCTGGCGGGGTTGTAGTAGTAATAGCTGTGAACGAACGTGCGGAGTGAGTCATAATGAAATGTGGGCAGACAGCGGGGCCGGGCCGCGGTGGCAGGCAGACAGATAGTTAGACATTATATTCTTATTATGATTGTTGCTGCTCCGGCTCCGGGCCGCCAGCCATCATGGCCTGCGAGCCGTTGTATTATGATCAGCGCCAGCATGACGAATTGGCCAGGGGATCCCAACGGACGTGAGGCTCGCGATTGGGCCGACAACGGGCCGACCGGGCGGCCAGCTTGCGCGCGGGCGTGGTGCCGGGCGGCGCTCCTGTTCCTGGAGGCTGGGGGCAGGCACACGCATGGCAGCGATGGGATTCTGCAGCGGCGAGGGGAGGGCATGGTTGCATTCGACTCCGTTCGGCCGCGCAGGGGCAGGCAGGCAGACAGGCAGAGGGTGCCGTGTACGGGACTGGGCCGTATACGGCTATACGGTGCGGCAGTGGGTGGGGGGGGGGGGGGCGCGTTCCTTCCCTTGCGGCGAAAAAGGGGGCGGCGCCTTCCACGCGCAGAAGGAGCAGCAGCGCCAAGCCTAGGTGGGGGGGCAGCGACGGGGCGCGCGGGCGCTGATTGGCCAGCCGGGGACGGCGCCAGGGGCCGCTAGCGGCAGCAGGGATGGCGGCGATTCTTTTTCTCGCGCTCGCCCGCCCGCCGTCGCCGCCGCCCGCCCGTCGCCCTCTTCGCTTTCTCTCCCCAACCTCTTCTCTGCCTCTCCTGCGCCGCACCACCACCACCACCACCACCACCACCGCTACGCACTCTGCTGCTGTCGCAACTCGCCTCGCCCACGCCCACTCGAAGCGCCGTCTCGCCTGCTTTCTCCTCGTCTACTTTACATCTGCCCTCGTCTGCGTTCGTCGTGTCAAATCGCCGCCGGCGCATTCTCGCCCTCGCCCCCGTGGCCCTCGCATCGCGATCCCCCCCCTCTCCTGCGCAACACAACACCCACACCGACCCCTCCAGACGCCCAGCAAACATCTCTCACTCGCATCCACCGCCATGCTGCTCCCCTCTGCCCTGTCGTGCGACGCACGCCCGCCTGCCGCCCGCTCGCGCTTCCCCAGCCGGCTCTTCCCAGCAACACCACCACCCTCCGACGCCGACGGCCTGATTGCCGGCACCGCGCTGTTCGGCACCTGTCGCGCGCTGCAATCGCTGCTCAACGCCTCGCCCGCCGCCTCGCCGCGCGCCGCGAAGCCGGCGCGCCTGCAGAGCCCGCTGCACATGCGCCCGCAGGCCGTCACCCGCGTCGCCAAACCCAGCGTGAAGCCGCCCCGCGGCGCCAACAAGCGGCGGCGCACCGTCTACGAGGAGGGCGAGAATGATAATAGTGGGAGTAGCAGTGACGAGGATCGAGAGCAGCGGCTGGACAGATTCTCCACGCCCAAGCGCCAACGTCGCGCGCCGCCCGACCTGCCCCTCGGCCTGGATCTGTCAGATTTCCGCTCGCTCGATCCCCCGCCGCCCAACGACGGCGAACCCACTTCGCTGCCCCCGCCACAGCAACAGCCGTCATCACAACAACAAGAACAAGAACAAGAACAGCAGCAACAGCAACAGCCTCTCCTCCTCCTCCTCCCCCTCCACCCCAAACCCACTGCCACCAGCGCCGACCCACCCCATCCCCAGCACCTCGCCGCCACCACCGCCGCCTCTGACCCCCTTGACCCCAGCCCGGACTGGACCAGCGAAGACGACGGCCGGCTGGTCGACCTGGTGCTGGAGAAACTCAAGCTGTCCAAGCGCGACTGGAACGACTGCGCGCGCAAGATGGGCAAGGACCACGACAGCGTCGGCCGCCGCTGGAAGGCCCTCGTCGGCGAGGGCAACGTCGGTCTGCGCCGCGGCAAACGCATGGTGCGCTCGAGGATCCATGAGAACTGGAGGTGACTTTTGTTTCTTGCTCTTTTTCTTAATTCCTCTCTCTATTTTCGGTTTACTTTTTTTTCTTTCTTTCTTTCTTTTTTTGCTTTTCTTGTTGAAATGTTCGGGCATTTGGGGGGTCGCTTGGTCTACCTGGCGCTCTTCCGTCGTGGTTTTTTTTTTTTTTTTTTCCTTTATCATCCATCATTCGTGATTTAGCGCCTGGCGATTGGGAAGGGGAGGGGAGGGTGTGTGGAACTCTTTTTTTTTTTTTTGTTTTTTTGTCTTTCTTTTCCATTAACTACGGTGGTGGCATGTCTCGCCCTCTTCCTCATTCATCTTTTCTTTGATTTCTTCTTTACATATACTTTAATATCTTGATTCGATCTGTTGCGCAGATCCGCATAAGCTGCCTTTTAATTTCACTATGTACATACATACATAACTAAACATCCATACATGCTGACTAGCATTCTCACACTTTCTCGTTCCTACTTTCCTGATACTCCAATCAATGCACCTCGTAGCCTATCTATCCTGCCTTGATTCTTGCAGACTATGTTTAAGACAAAGCCCGACAAACGCCCACTGACAAACCAACTAGGTCGGTGCTGCACCCTACATGGTTCGGCACGTCTAGCCCATCTCTGCCGCTAGCTAGCCACGGCAAACAGCAGACAAGACCAACCGAACCGACCCGGACCCAAAAAAAACAAAGCATAAAAGAAAAGGGCGTGCCTTTGCTGGGATGTTTGTTTGACTACTCCAAAAGACTTCCCGGTTCTTCGAACAAAGTCGAACCAAACCAGGTCCAAACATTGTTTCGCATAATAATTAAGACCTGCCTGGCCCAATCCCACCACCACCAAGCATCACGGCTTTCTCAGCTCATCATTCCCGTCAAATAGTTGCAATTGAAACAGGGTGGCGCTTTCCCGCCTCTTGGAAATTTTCACATACACATGCATCAATCACATTCTCCCCAACTTTTCCCTCTTTGCGATCTCCAAAGTCCCCCAAGAGCCCGGCCGGTTCCCGACCCAACCATTCTGAACCAGCCCGGCGAACTCTATATGTACTCTCCTCCCTCCAGTTCAATATCAAACAGCAACATCCCAGTTAGTAGCTTTCTCCCCTCCTTCCCGCCGCCCCCTCTCTTTGAAGAAACCAAACAGAGCGCGCGCTAGGGCCCTCCCCCCAAAAAAAGAAATGCCACTAGTGTCGCGCGGGCTTATTGCGAATCAATGGGTTCCAATCATTAAAGCCTTTTTGTGGGGAGGGGAGGGGAGGCGACGGGGGCATGACTTCATGGTTGATGTGGTTCACAGTGTGACAATGGACGAGGGATCCAAGAAAGGTAATCGAGGGGATCAATATGTACAGTGAAAAAAAGAACAGCGCTGTACCATCATGGCCGATCGAAAGGCAAAAACAAAGGGGAAAGGAAGCAGGCCAAAGCTCCAGCGCCGTTGGGATGAACCGGGTACCCGGTTGGTGAAATTCGTTCAATGTATCAAAGTTATAAGAGGGAGGATCAAAATCTAAAAAAAAATCCAATAGTTAGCCCTGGGAAAATTCAAAAAACAGCTTTTACCTTATTACTAGTAATAATCGGCTCCAATTATCCTCTGCACCAAAGGAGTGAACCAGAAAAACAGAAGAATCCATCAAGGCACCCACCTGATCTCATAGCTCCCCGCCCGCGTCATATACCGCACCCACTTGACACTGCTATAGTTGCTCTTCTCAAACACCTTCAAATACCTCACCAGCAGCCCACTGCTCGTGAACATCAGCAGATTAAACGCCAGGCTCATGGGCGGGCGGCTCCACGCCTTCTGCGACGTGGTGCTCGTCAGCGTCGCGTCGGCGGTCAGCACGTACTCGCTCTGGCCGGAGAAGCGCGCGATCTTCCACACGATGTTGTTCTGCTCGGGCTCGTACTTGGCGCGGCCCTGGGTGGTGCGCTCGCTGACCTTGGCCGTGTTCAGCGGCGTGGGGATGCGCACGACGACGTTGGTGGCGAACAGCTTGGAGCCGTAGTTGGCGCGGATGGCGATGCTGTACTCGACCTTGCGCGTGCCCACCTCGCGCACGATCGGGTGCACCTTGAACGGCAGGTTGACGTTCTCCGTCGCCCGGTACCGCATCAGCTCGAACTCGCCGTCCGGCGGCACGAACGAGATGATGCGGTCCGCGTCGAACCGCCCCAGCCGCACGCACTGGTGGAACTGGCAGTCCTCCAGCGTCACGCTGCCCGCCGCCGCGCGCGTCGCTTTGGCGCGCGCCCCGGGACCGTTGCCCAGGCCCATCCCCAGCCCACCACTGCCGCCGCCACCCATGCCGTCGCCGGGCCGCGCGCCGCCGTCGTCGTTGTCCAGCAGCAGGCGGTCGTTGAGGCCGAACTTGCACTCGGGTGTGCCGGAGAGGTAGGCGCGCATGACGATCTGGCCGTTGACGTCGGCGCGGAGCACGGTGCCCGTGGCGGAGACGAGCAGGTTGACGTCCTCGATCACGTCGACGAAGGCCTCGTTCTTGCGGTACTTGATGTCGGAGCGGCGCCACGAGAGCGCGCCCGTGGCCTGCATGGTGATGCGGGACGAGTCGCTGGGGGACTTGGTGAGCGACGACTTGACGCCTTCGGTGGTGATGTACATTTTCAGCGTGTCTGTCTCGGTGTTCTGGGGGTATCCGAAATCAAGAATCTCTGTAGTGTATCCCCCAGCAGCATGTCAGCCAATAGCTCTAAATGAACATATTTTTCCAAAATGTATGTCCCTCCCTACCATCAAGCAGCTCATACACCAGCACAAAATTATTTTTGACCGCCTCCTCGTCAAACTTGCCAAAATAACCCTTCCCCAGCAGCACCAGGCGGTACAGGAACTCGAACACCAGGGCCGCATTGGCATTGCTCTTGGTCACCGCCACCAGGTAGATATTCTCGTGCTTGACATGGCTGAAGGTCGTCGAGCCCAGCGTGAGGATGGGCGAGCGCACCTGCGCGTTGGAGATCACCTGGATGCGGAAGATGTCGGCGAGCCGCGGCCGACAGTCATTGCGAAAGGCGCGGAAGATGAGGTTTTCGCCCTTCTGGTTGAACACGAGGATGCCGGAAAGCATGCCTACCTGGGAGTGCTGCAGAGCGAATACAGAGTGGGTGCGAGGAGAGACGGGGGAGGGCGTGGGCGGTGCGATATCAAGTCGGGGCTTCTCTTCAGGAGATTTTGGAGCTGCCGTCATCTAATACAATACGCCGCAATACCGCGGGCGCAGTGGGGGCTGTCACGGGGTGGCGTACGGCGTATGTTACCGGATAATCATTTGTCAGGATGCCGGCGCTAGTTATCAGCACGCACCGCGCTATTCCCGATGCGGGACGGCGCCCCCTGAACGACCAAGAACGAAATCTTCAGAATCTGACTGGAGGACATGCAAAAAGGGTCTGCGGAGTACGTTTATTTATTTTTATTTGGTCTAACGGCTGCAGGGTGAATCAAAAAGAGGCGTGTCGCACTGAGTGTGCTTCGCCGCAACGGGCAAACTCGAACAAAGAAAGCACCCGCCCTCCCTAGATAGATATACTGTACAACCACACAGGTGATGCATAGAGCTGGATATAGCCACCCCTGATGCCGGGGTAGTTATTATTATTTATGAAACTTCGGTAATTGCAGAATAGGAGAACAGGGAACGCTGGACTGTGTGTGCAAGGGTACCAGTTTAAGGACAAAGCAAAAAAGAAATTTAATGCCGCTGGAGGGGCATTGCCAGGCGTAAGGCTGACGAGAGGTAAATGTAGAAGCAACGAAAGAGGAAGAGAAAGGAAGGGCGATTAAATAAAAGTAAGGGATTAATTCTCCGGCGACGTGACTCGAACAACGTGCGACGACTCGTCCATCCGGGCACCGTGGGCATCGACCACCATGTTCCGCAGCGACGCATTCTCACTGCCGACGATGCCGACTTTGGGGTCGGGAATCTGGATATCCAGCGAGGTATAGCCGGTGGAGCGCAGCGGCCAGATCTTGACGCCCTCGGCGGCGCCGACCTCGGTGTTCCAGCGCACGATCCAGGCCTCGAGGGCGCGCAGGCGGGCCTTGACGCGGGTCAGGCCCAGGTCGTCCCAGAGCCAGCCGGTCAGGAAGCCGAGGGCGGCGTCGAGCCAGTTGCGCAGGCCGAAGGGCGAGTAGGCGGCGACGATCTCGTCGTTGATGCGCGCGATGAGCTTGCGGAACTCGGGCTCGGGCAGCAGCGGGTCGAGGATCTCCGGGTACAGGTTGGAGAAGGTCGGCGCCAGGTCGCCCTTGATCATCCAGTCGCGGCGGATGCGGATGATGCGCGTCTGGGCATAGGCGGCGGACTGCACGGCGACGTGCGGGTTGAGGTGCGGATAGCACGGGTGCGCCGGCCCCCAGGCGAGCTCCTCCGCGAGGTCCACGTCCGGGTCGGCACTGGCGGCGTCGGCGGCGGACGACGGCGGCGGCTGCGAGGCACACCGCTGCGAGCGCGCCGAGTGCCGCGAATTGACTCGCCGGGGCGCTTCAGGGTGTCCGCCAGACAGGAAACGCGGGTCGGGCTCATCGGGGCTGTGGAGCACGTCGAAGGGGCGGCGGTCAGCAGCAGCGGCAACGGCAGCGGTCATGGCGAGGCGTTGGGTGCGCCGGGCGCCCGACGGCGGGACGGCGATGCTGGAGCGCGCGGAGTCGGACTCGGCAGCACTGCGCTCGACGAACAGGCTGGTAGGCGACGACGACCAGCGGCTGCGGCGCTGCTCGGGGACGGTCAGCAACGGGGTGCCGTCGGGGGCGTCGGCGCGCGGGAGGACGAGGGCGGTGCGCGGGACGTGGTTGATGGGGTTCCAGGGCGAGCTGCTGGGACGGAGCAGGGCAGGCAGCGGCTTTTCAGGCGCGCGCGGTGGAAGAGCGAGCGCACGGCGGGGGCGCGACGAGGCCGTGATGGCGGAGGGGGGGAGGAGGAGGAGGAGGAGGAGGTGAAGATGAGGACGGATGAGGTGGTGGAGGCGGCGATGGGCGCACGGCGGGAGCGGTTGGGCGCACGATCAGGACACATGCCGAGACATCAGAGCAAGACGGAGTAACGACTGGCGGGGAGGAGACAAGAAGGAGAGGAAGAAGATGAGGGAGAAGCAGAGAAGAAGAAGAAGAAGAGAAGAAGCAGCGAAGACAGGCCGCCCGCCGCTACAAGATACAAGCGACAAACGCCGTGCGACTGCGCCCGGGCTTTAATCTCGTTTGTTTCGCTGCTTGCCCGGCGTCTCACGCGAAGGATGCCTGTCGCACGTGAGCCGCTGCGAGGCGCTGCGGCGGTGTCTGCGCGCTCAATGCACTACTCTACCTGCGACTCCCGCGTGTCTTCTGCCTCGCCGCGTCTGCTCCCTCGACTGCTTTCTTCTCTTCGCTTCTCTTCTTCTCGTCTTCCTCGCGTGCTGGCCCGGCGCCTTGGCACGCTCATGGGGTCCCTGCTTAGATCAGCAGGCTTACGTGATTATAGCTGACATAATATAACGCACGTGACATAATCACCCGCTGACTAAGCCTAACCTCGACGCGATTTTTCTCCCGTCGAAAACACTCAAGTCTCTGCAATCAACCTCAACCTCAATTCTCAATCTCTCTCTCTCTCTCTCCAATCTCTCCTTCTCCCAGTCTTCCACCAACCATGTTCCGCACCGCCCCCTCTCTGCTCCGCGCCGCCGCGCCCCGCCGCGCCTTCAGCTCCTCCGCTCCCCGCGACGTCGCCCGCATATCCATCGTCGGCCGCCTGGGCGCCAGCCCTGAGCTGATCACTTCGCAGGCCGGCCGTGAGTACGTTCGGTACACGTTGGCCTCCTACAGCAACGCCACGCGTGAGACCAGCTGGTTCCGCATCACCTCGTTCATGGGCGCCGGCAAGAGCAGAGATTATCTCATGGCTATCCCGAAGGGGTGAGTAAGAAAAAAAAAAAAAAAAAAAAAAGAAAAATTTCAGTGTGCTGACAGTCTTTCTTGTAGATCACTACTCTTGGTCGACGGAGAGGCTACCCTGAACGTCAAGGAGGACGCGGAGGGCCGGAAGTTTTCCACCCTCAACGTTGTGTCAAGTACGCGAAACTTTTGCTTCTTTGCTGATATATTTCCCAACGCGTGCTAATCTTTTGACCCAGAACAATTCGATGTCATCACCCGATCCAAAACTGACGAGGCAGCCGAAAGCTCCGAGGACGCTGAGCAGATCGAGTCGCAGTAAACCTGCTCTTGCTGGCTCCTAGCAGCACGCTCCCCTATCGCGTGCTCTTCTCTCAAACCCCCCTTCCCATGCCTATTCCCCCTTTACCCCTCCCGAACACCTGGCAGGCTATCCGCCACATATATACATACATTCGTACGCTGTGTAATATGACCTGGAAAAATTTTTTGTTTCTTTTTTTTCAGCGCCAGCTTCCATTCTCCCCGTGTATTTTACACCTCCCCTGTTCCTCCTCTCTCCCTGGCTAGATGCGTTATGGCTTATCGGTCGGCGTGTGTGCGCATGTGGTAGCTTTATCTCTTTTGACGATGCTTTTTTTTGAAAGGTTTAGTGTGCGAGTGTAGAGCTAGTAATAGTCATGTATGGAGATATGTATGCAATCAATTTCATTACTCCACTCTGATGGTGTTTACTACACCAGAGACAGCGGCTAGGGCTGTGTTCATTGTCTGCATTTATACTATGTTGCTTCTGCGGGTAGGTGTCGAACTGCCATTCCTGCTCGTAGCCTCCCTGCAGATAGCTACTAGTAGAATAGTTATACATTGTCGACAAAGAAACATTGTCTATTCATGGCAATCTGGCATACAGGTTAAATACATCAAATGCTTTTTTTGCCTTTGCAGGTATTGTCGTTTAGATTTAAATTGGCATCATGATTTAATGGGTATCAAAAAAACTCAAGGAAAAAAAAATTGAAGGTCAAAAAGAGCAAAACCAAACCGTGCAACACTTTCGAAACCTTCACATCACGCCTCGCGGCGGTCTCGGCGATATTGTTTTATCCAGTCCTACGCCCGCACCATAAGAAAAAACACCTGATTTAAATGAGAGCAAGACAAAATACAATTTTTCAGACGAGGGAAAGCTGGCCACATTTTTTTAACTCCCAAATCATACGATGTTATCACCTCGACTGCGCTCAACAGTAACTGATGTCCGCACTTCAATAGAATTCGGGTCATAGTGTTTACCATGGGCAGCGGGTGAGGGCTGTAAGATGCTCCCAGCGTCAAGAAGCTCGAGGTCGGGCATGAGAGGCGATGAACGGCGGTCTCTGGGGGAAGCTGCGCGTGCTTGAGATGGTGGCGGGGGAGGTTTGGTGGTTGAAAACGAGGAGCTGCGGCGGTGATCGTCGTTGGAAGCGACGGAATTGAGAATGACGGCGTTCCTAGACGAATTGGTCAGGAGAGGCTTCGGGAAGAATATCCCAAAAAGGACAGTATCGCTTACCAATCATCGGATTTCGAACTGTTGGACATAGTCATGGTCTGCTGCGAGTCCTTCTTGAAAAGCATCCTCGCTCGACTTCCAAAGGAGCCGCTTTTATTGCCAGAGGAGCCGTATCCCGAGCTCATAAGATGAGGGTGCTCGAGCGCGGGGAAGATTCGTCCAAGACCAAGCTTCAGCAGGAAAGATCGATACATGAGGGTTGCATCTTTGCCGAAGCCGAAGAAGATAAATACCAAGTAGCCGGCAATGACCTGGATCCAGCGATCGAAGAACACTTTGCCGCCCATGGTATACTTGAAAATCACATACCAATCGGGCCCGTGGACCTGGCTCCAGGAGAATGGCATCCAGGGCTGGAAGGCGGTGATGTTGAAGTACAAAACGTAGAGCTGGGCTGGGTAGCTCCCGAGAAGCATGAGCAGGGCCAGAATGAGCAGCCTGAGAAATCGGGATTTTGTGGTGGTGGTGCTAGCAGAGACGATGCTGTTGAATTCACGCTTGTACTTGATGAGGCGATACACGACGATTCCTGGGAGTCCTGTTAGCTGTGTTCGTGTTAAATAGGGGAATGGGTTACGACGTACCTGCATACACTGCTGCAACAGTGAGCACTAGGGGAGGCCACATGTAGCCAACAATCACACTCGGCCAGCTCGACACATAGGAAGGCATACACCCAACGATGGCGTAAATGAAGTACCTGTTCTCCTGAATGATGTAGTGGATTGCCATGACAAAGACTGGAATTACCACACAAAAGATGATGTCGAAGGCCAGTGTCCGTCTCTTCTCTCCCTTGCTCGGCATCAAAGTGGCACGATCAGTGTCTAGGACCTTAGCCAGCGAGCGAAAGATGCATGCTAAGGGGCCGGCAATGCCCACTCCGGCGCCGGTGATGAGTTTGGCTTGGATGTCGCAGTACACCGGGCCCAGCCACCAGGTATCCACGGCATCGGTGGGCCAGATGAATGGGTTGACGAAGTTGTAGGTATTCTGGATAATCAGCCAGACGGTGAGGCACACCGCAGGGAAGTTCTTGTTCCTGGAGTGCCAGACCAGCGGCGGGATGCAGACGATGGTGGCCAGGAGGGCGGCAATAGAAAGGATAATGCCTTGAGTAGACATCTCCATTAAAAGAGCTTGGTCAGACATTGTGCAGGGGCAATGCAAAACCACCTCTGGACTGACATATGGTTAGGAGGATATACTTCTATGTCAAGGGAGAGAGACCAGACGTACTATCAAGCGGGATCTAGAGAGCCGTTGTTGGGAACTGAAGGGAAGAAGAGGTCTGGCAGGTGCTTGGGTAGGCGGTTTTATATTACCAGGGAGCAGGACTGGGTCAGGCGGTGCTTTATTGAGGTGGGAGGGGAAAGATCATCTTCATGCAGCGGCGAACAACAAAAGCAAAGCTATCAACCTGCAAGCACGGTGACAATGAAACACAGAGAAGCTGACCTGGCAGAAGAGAGAGAAAGATGGAGGAAGGGAGAAGGACAAGCAGCAGGACGCCAGGGCGGCGGACCTGGTGATTGATAAATGGGGTCCATTGCAGACTCGAAACGGCACAGCCAGGGCGGGCAGCAGGCGGTATTGAGCATCGAGGCGGGCATTATTGCGGGCTCAATGGGCGGCAGCGAAGGAGGGCTTCGCGCGCTTCGTTCCGCGGCGGGTGGAGGCCGGGCACTAACCGCATTCGGGTATCAATAAGGAGTCCACTCGACGGCCGCGCTCACGCCCCAGCAAACACACCGCGCCCGCCCATTCGCCGCGGAGCTGCTGCGCGCTGTGCGCCCACCTGCGATCCTGCCCTGGCCCAGCACGCCTGCGCGGCCATCCCTCGCCACCAACGCTGCTCGGCACGTTTGCCAGGCCTGCGCTGCCGTCGCTGGCCGGCGCTGGGCTGGACATGGCGGTATACGGTCGTTTGCTGCGGGAAGTTAGGAGCATCGATGCTCGAATAGTCCGTGTATGGAGGCCTCCTGGCGTCATAGGGGGTGTGAAAGATGGAGCTGAGGTTGCATCCAGAACAGCCTGGACCCCAGACAGGCATGTCAAAGTAACCCAAGCCAGAGAGAGACAAACATATTGAAGCGAGATCTGACAACGGGCGTCAGCCTCGAGAAGAAGAAAGAACCGTTGCTGTTGCTGATGTGGTAGCAGCAGTGCAGCAAAGGAGAGGCAGACGGCTTGGTGATGCCCTGGCTCGAGGCCAGCCCGGCTGGTTGCACGACAGCTCCGGATACATATAAGACGGTCAGGCCACCCTCTCTGTCGGAACCAGGCGATCTCCTGCCATTACTATGGTATCTGCGATCACAGAGAGGCCGTTGTGTTGCTGCTGCGGGATAGCACGGCACGGCCAGGGCCTGACAGCGCGGTGCGCACTGTCGTTCTTCAGGGCTTCTGCACTGGCGCGCACAGACGGCGGGATCCTCAGGAACCGGCAGCCCGGGCCCGGGCGCTTAGAGAGTGGCCGTTACGTCTTGGCGGTTGCTGGTGGGGTGCTGAGTCAGTTCAGCACGTGAGGGCTGACTCAGCCGAACCGCATCTCATCATCCCGCCCGCGATCTATCAAGCACATCATCATCACAAAGCACTCTCGTGGAAATGCTCGGCCCTCGCGACCATTTCCATGCCTGCTCCATGAGGCCGCCGTCGTTATGGCCGAGCCCGCCCCATCCTCAAGACACCGCCACAGGCGCCAGTCCGAACCCCAGCCAGCGGCCACGGCATCCTCGTCATCGTCCCGGCTCCGACAGCACCGCAATTCGGTCGATCGCGACGGCCTCCGCGGCCTTCGACGACGGTCGTCGGCCATCTCGGACACGCTCCTAGAAACTCGCCAGTCTCTCCGCTCGTCAACGGACGACATCATCCGCCCGCGTGCCACCTCGCACTCCGACGAGTCCTATTGGCAGTCTGCCCCGTTGGCCTTGGCGCTGGTGCCCGCCGTCGGCGGCATTTTCTTCCACAACGGGAGCGCCATTCTGACTGATGTGACCTTGCTCTGTCTTGCTGCCGTCATTCTCAACTGGTCGGTGCGGCTGCCGTGGTAAGAATTAACGCTTTCTTTTTGGGGAATGATTTTGATGCCTTCGTTCGGCTTCTTTAATTGACTCGTTGCCAGGGATTGGTACCATTCCGCGCAAGAAACTGCCCCAGGATCTGACCATGAGCTGGACGCAGAAGACAGTTGCGATGGCGATATTCCAGCCTCTACCATCGCAACAGTTGATGAGAACGCCGTTGCGCCTGAATCTGTACCCAATAAAACTAACCCCGCTGCACAGGCAAGGCAAGAACTGCATCTCCATGAATCCCTAGCCCTCATTTCATGCTTTACCTTCCCCATCCTGGGCACCTGGCTCCTCCACGCCATCAGGTCCCAGCTCTCGCGCCCGTCTGAAGGACTGGTGTCAAACTACAACTTGACCATCTTCCTCCTCGCCGCTGAAATCCGCCCTCTTTCCCACCTGCTCACTCTCGTCCAGGCCAGAACCCTCCGCCTTCAACGCGTGGTAGCGGAGTCTGCGCAACAACCTGCACGCGAAGGCCCCGACGCCACCGCGCTCCTTGATCTGGCCAAGCGTCTGGAAAACCTGGAGGCGCGAGTCGGCGACTCTCCCTCGCGTGCCGTCGTGGACCGCGCAGTGCACATATCGCGCCGGCAGGAGCTGCATAGTCAACAGGCAATGGAGACCGACATCACGGCTCTGTATAGAGCCGTGCGCAAGGCGGAGAAGCGACTCGCCGCGTTGACGTTTGAGATCGATCTGCGATTCAATGATATTCAGGCGCGCGTCCTCGGTGATTCTGTAGACTTAGCTGCAAGAGCGGCCCAGCAAGGGCTTTTCTCTAGCTCAGTGCAGAGATTAGAAAATCTCGCTCGAAGTGCCGTATGCCTTCCATGGTACATACTCACAAAATTAACTTTACTGCCTTTTATAGTTGCAACACAGTGGTACAGCATCCTATGTCGAGTGTTTCGCTTGGCTTCCAAGCCCTCTATTAGGCCTTGATTTTATTAGTGGCTAACTATATGATACGGAGCAATAATAAGCGCTGTGCTTCCGATTAACATCCTCATGACATGATATGAAAATACACATTATTTCTCTGGTATTCCAGGATCTGATTCCATTATATACTTCTAGTCTATATAGCTTGCAAAACTTGCGGATATCAAAACACAACGTAAAACCAACATAAACACCATCAACTCCCATCTTCACTCCTCAAAAACGGCTCTATCACAGATCTCTTTTTTTCTGCCAGCACTCGCTTCTCTCGATCTTTCTCTGGCACCGCAATATCCTTGGAAAAAATTACGTTTGCAAAGGTCTCCGCAAACGCCCGATTTACAGCACGACGTCGAGCCAGGGTGATATTATACGCCGTACTCGTAGGCTGAATGGTGAGGCCTCCCAGTCCTAGATCAGGCACGTCGCCACCCTCGCTACTTGAGAGTGTACGGCTGCGCGGCTTGAGCCGGAATGGAAAGCTGATCGAGGTGCGAGGCTGGGTGAGGACAGATGGTGATACTGGCGTTGGTTCTGATATATCAGTAGAAGTCCGGGCGGAGAAGATGGAAGGCGTTTTGACCGTTGTCGGAGACATCTGCGTTGAAACAGAAGCCGGTATGAGCGGCAAAACTTCATTTGCGATGCGATTAAGCATGAACGTAAGGAAAGTGAAAGATACGCTGTGAGCGGGCGACGACGAAAGCACATCGAGAATCCTGGATTGCGATTGATCGGTAGAGAGAGGTGCCAGCTTTGCCTTGTCCGGTCCAAAGACAACGCGATTCAGCTCCGCCCACAAGTCCTGCGTGATCAGCCCATCGGGCATGGAGCGCAAAAACGACAGAAGCGTTTCCGCAAGAAGCTCGACGCGATGTCGCGAGGGGATCTCGGGCCCAAACTGGCTGAAAAACGACGTTCCGGTATCAAGGCCCTCGCGGATCAGGCCAACGAGTTTATATCGCACACAATGGTCTTTGAGCGTCCATGTCCCCGAGTCAAACGGCCAGCCGGCGCGGTCGCCGCTGAGCCAGGGACGCGCATTGTCCTCACCGGTGGCAACCATATCCCATTCCGCGACTGCGCGCTCCGTAAGCTCTGAGATGGCTTCGGTTAAGCGGAAGAGCTCGCGTGGAGCAGATGTTCTAACGTTTTCGTTTGAATCACTTTCAGTCGTGATAGAGGACAAGGTGAAAGTGTCAAGATTGCGAATGCCTTCTTCGTGGACGCGAGTAAGCTCGTTCAAGGAGAAACCGAAACATGTTGGTAGCCATTTTCCACGGACAGAAATAAAGTGGTCACGGCCGTTGGAGACGCGCAAGACTAACACGTCTTCGATTTCAGCCTTGCTGGTATTTAGTTTCCGTACAAAGTCCAGGTCGAAAATACAAAGAATGAGCTGTACATGTGCTGACTCGCCGGGTGGCAAGGTGTACTCTTTTGGTGCATTTACAGTGGATGCCTGTGTATCTTCAGGCCAGTCCACCCGGAGAAGAAGCCATGGAGGAGATACACGGGGGTCCTCGTCACCGGCAACGGATCGATATCGAAATGAAAAGGTGGCGGGGACGCTCCCAGTATTTGCTAAAGTCAGGCTTCTTGACACTGGCACATCATACCGTACCGGGCCAAAGTTAACCGTGTCACGATCGTGAGCGACGCTCGAAACAGGCGGGCCATCTCCTGATACTCCCACGGGTTGATCGATAACAATCGTAATATCTGGCCGGGCCTCATTTTCGGCTTTATCCAGCTCTCTAGCGACTTCTTGGTGAACCTTTGCCTTGAGCGATTGTACAATTGCGTCGTACGTCAGTACAAAATCAGCGTGCAAGGGTTTGTGATCCGAAGATACAATGCCCTGATGCGACGTGTAGCAGATCACATCGACCGGATTCTTGTTGTCTGTTTTCTTAAGGGTGTCAGAGGTTATATTGTCAGCTGAGTCAACGCTGCCGTCGTCATCCGCTCCATCAAGCTCCGGATCGTAGTCAAAAAGCACACTATTATCCTCCGCCTCTTGATCCAGCCCAAGTGATTTCATCTCATCGTCCCTTCTCTTCGAGGCTTCCGTTTCGTTGGTTCGTCTCTGATATTCCAGGTAATCTTGCTTTGTTCGGAAGAGTATTCGATCACACCAACTTGGGCCACGTTGTTTTTCGCTGGAATCGAACTGACCAACACGTCCAACATCGTATTTGTACGTGGGTAAGAACCGTATTTCGTCTTCTCTCCAACCCTCGAAAAAAGCCTTTCTTTCTCGTTGTTGAGCCCGGAGTTGGTCATGAGGTAGAAGTGAGCTAAGAGTGATTACCAGCGAGGCAGGATCTTGATACGGGTCAACATCGTTGTCTTCCATAGAGATAGCAATATCTGAAGAATCATCATCATTTCCATCGTGCTGAGGAAGTTGAGTCTGGTTGTCCTCATGATCCTGAGGCTTGCGATTCGGTAAAGACCCAAAGTTATTTGCAGTATGTAAGTGAAGAAGCCGGCGTACATCATCGCCAGGTATATCATCTAAGCGATAGTTTAAGTCGCCAAACCAGAAGGCAAAATCCTCATCGCCCAAGTCCTGATTTGGGGTGGAGAATAAGTGATCATCTTCCTCGTCGACAGGGTCAAATCGAGTACGCATAAGGACCTGTGAGGCATCCCAATTCCTTCTATCAATACTCGCTTTCTCTGCACCAGCAGCTAAATGACAATTAACAAAAACAACACGAGTAGTCCCACCAAGAACGATTCGGGTGGCAACAGCCCCTTTATTGCCCATATACCCCATCAACCCAGTCCCAACGCTCGTAGAACTGACCGAAGATATACTTGGCGCTATCAAGTCCGAGGCGTATACTAAAAGAAGCAGACCAGTAAGCTGCTGGGAGGAAACGAGGGTGTATCCGGGAGGGAGCGCTTTCTGAACAGCGTCTTTCCACCTATTTGACGGCGCAGGGTCGACGTAAGGCCTTAAAGTTTCTGCTGGTGATGATACATCGACAATTTCCTGTAGGCCTAGAGCAAAAATATCAATTATTCCATCCCCCGTCCTAGTTGTCTGGTCCTCGTTATCAACGTTTCGTTCTGACTGGCTCGATTGGTTCCCATTCCCATCAGCATTTCTACCATGACCCGAAATTAATCCTGGCTCATCTACAGCGCATTCTTCTTGCTTTGTCACCCCAAAAGGCGGCGTCCCGAACCATTTTCCAAGGTCCTGTTCCGTGCCTGGTAAAGCCGCAACATTCCACGTTCCAATCCTAATTCTGACCTTTTTCTCACGAACATATTCAGACTTTCTAGCATATACCGCTCGAGATAGAGAGGCAAGGTCAGATGCTACTCCGGCATTTTCGCTGTCGTCCGGTTGGTCGGGAAATGCGCCGGGGGCGTCCCGCAGGTTTAAGGGCGTAGATGACGGCTCGAGGACCGACATGCTCGCAGGGATTGACAGTAGATATATAGCACACAGATGCTACCAAGTCACTCTCATAGCAAAACCATCAGTGTGCAACAGATTGTGGATGCTCGAGATGGATCGAGGAGGATTCCGGCGGGCGTGGGGCTTCGTGAAGCTGAACATTGAGGTTTCCAGCAGCCAAGGATCAAGTAGTTAACTAACTATCACGTAGGCAGAGTAAGATAGGTCATCGTCTGCTTGCTGGCACGCATAGGCAGTCCCAGCAGTCAATCTGGCCTGTAATGGGAAGTTGGCAGCCATTGTTGGTCGGCGAGGCGCGCTCCGCCTTTTAATGTCGTGATGGATCGCATCTTAGCGGGGATCTTCGAACTCTACGGCCAAACCATGACTGCAACTAACTACACCCTTCACAAGCATATCTAATTTCCTCAGCTGCACGAGACTCGACTGCTGAATCGCATTCAGCTTCTTGACCACATAACATCTTCTCACAGTCAGCGACATCCTCATGGCGACTGACGCCGGACCCCGTCCTGCACCCATTCGATCGAACGAAGAGCTCAACATTACTGTTCTTCGCCGGCACAATCCTTCAGTATCTGCGATCCTGTCGTTGGCTCCTTTTGCAGTGGTATATACGTTTAGTACAACTGCACAGTCATGGGAAAAGAGCGGGATCGACGGCACCCTGTTTGTCTGCCAACTCACCAAAGGCCCTCTCGGCGAGGAAAGATACAACGTTATGGTACTAAACAGACGAGGGATGGAAAACTTCGAGGCCACGCTATCTAATGGTGACGATGTCGAAATCACTGATGAATACATAATTTTGAAAGTTGACGGGGTTGAAAAGGGACGCGACGGCGCCATCAACTCCCCAGACAAGAAGACCTTGATGATATATGGACTATGGATTTTCTCCGAGCCGGCACCAAGTTCGACGGCTGAGACTAGGACGCTGAATGCGCAGATGATCAAAGAATGCGCTGTACACGGTGGAGAGAGCAGGAAACTCGCGGAGGAGAGGCTAGCCGCAGAGCGTAGCCAGAGCGCCCATCCAGAAGCTGCCCCGGATTCCATACCCATGAACCGACAGGCCTCTCTGCAGGCATTGTTCGGTCAGCAAAGAGCCCAAGATGATGCATGGAGCGTCAGAGTTCATAGTCCCGTACACGCCTCCGGCCCTCAAGGTTTCATGCAACAATCACGACAACCAGCCAATATTGAATCTGTTCTTCAGGAAAGTCCAGCTGGAGCTGCTCCAAAAGGTGACGATGTCATAGGCCAGCTATTTCGCAAAGCAGGGATTGGATTTCAGGGTCAGTCCTAATAGAATGTGCGCCTTATCTCCAGTCACCAGTCGGGATTTGAGAGTCGATAAATACACTGTCGCAACATATTACACTATATACAGCTATGTCTAAACCACCGGGAACTATGAGTATGAGAATTACTAGCTTCCAGAATCATTTCTGGATCTATTATCTTTAACTATGCCCCTTATGAGCCCAAATGCCTTGTGTGCCATGATTTCATTATGCCCTACAAATCCACGTCAACTCAAACCGTACGATGAAAGAAATACACAGACTCGAAGTACTCACTAATGCAAAAGCCATGCTTGATGCCATCGTCGCAGACGATCATTTTCGGCCCGTGATCTCCCTTGGATGCCCGCGCGCGGATGATCTCATCTCGCGTCTGTTCGGCGACCCAGTGGTCATTCCGACCGAAATAAAAGACCAGCTTCGTTAGCTGTGATTTTACATCCCCTGCTACGCCCCAGATCTCATCGCTCCACTTGTCAGAGCCGATTTGCTCCATTTCTTCCGCACCCATATGCCTACCACACGTCTTAGCAGATGGCCCCCATCTCACGAAGTTCTTTAGAGATTATGAAACAAGGCAAAGGGCTGGGGTTCTCTTACAAGGCTTGTCGAACGCCTGTTCGACTTTTCAGAAATGCAAGCGTAGTATCAACGGCATCTTTGGGAGCGCTTCCCATTACATATTGTACCACCCAGCGCAGTACTGGCGAAGGCATTATAAACAAGAGGCCGTTGACGATGTGGCTTGCGATATGGTCCAGGTATGGGATATTTGCAAGTGTCTAAAAAATCAATCAGCACATCCTCAATATCTTGCCCTGCTATCCCCAGTAGCTTCAGGAGTAGGTAGGCCAATGAACATACCGTCAGCTTTCTCCCCGATGGAGATTTAGCAATATCAACTACCGTAGGAAACATCAGCAACGCGCCAATAATGTCTATTTCAACTTCATGGCTGTCGCCTGAAGCTGCTCCTGTTTCTTTTCCCGCCGCCTTTGCTCTCTCTTCCTCCCTCTCTTTCCATCTTCGTATTACTTCCATACATAGATATGATCCCACCGAATGACCCATCAGGATTACCTTCGGCCTTGGGCGACGACGACTGCTAGCAGCATCCTTCTCCGCCCCGGTAGCGTTCGTCGCAGAAGTAGTAGTGATGTGATTGTGCAGGTACTTGCGAACAATCTTGGCCAGATTGCTTTCCACATGCTCCACCTGGGCAGATAGGCCATATACGGCATCCGTAGACGCCTCTGAATCATTTGAGGAACTTTGGACCGTAGCATCCTCGATCTCAAACCCAGCAAGTGACCTTCCGGCTATTAGATAGGCATCGTCGGGGTCACGCATACCCGCATCCTTCGTTTCGTCTGATGGCTGCTCAGATCTGGTATTTCCACTGGCACCTTTGCGCTCAACAATCGTACCACTGTCACCTACATTACTAGCACTATTGTTACTGCCTTGCGCAGTGTTCACACTGCTACTAGAACAATCGCTGGCGCCTGTCTGGTCCGGACAAACATGGGGAGAGGATGACAGATTTGAGGCCAAAAGCGAGAGAAAAGAATGATAATATGATACTAAGCCTGGATTGCCAGGGACAAAGTAGAGGATGATTGGTTCTCCGTTTTCTGACGTGCCTGCTTCGGTGATGTAGAAGTCCGGAGTGATTTGCGTCTTGGTAACAGATGTTGACATGATTGTGTGGGCCAATGACAGGGCTGCATGGAATTATCTGAAGGTGAAGAAAGAAGACAAAAGATTTTGATGAGGCTATAGAAATAGCTGGTCACGAAGAATAGTATTTATCAGAGCTGTGATGAGATCTAATGAAGGTTATACAAAATTTTTCGGGCCGCCTTGGCTCATATCTTAGTTAACTAACTAACTAGCTAACAAGTTGGGACGTAATCGAGTCTACAGATATCCCAAATATGAGAAGACTATACGCCTACGATTCGTGCGTAGCTCCGTATATTTACCAGTACGATACTGTTGAATTGGGCAAAGCGAGCAAGGGGAAATCAGAGCAAAAGCCCCTCCCTCGAGGCCGAAGGGTACATTGAGCAGTCCCTCAAATCATCCATTTCCAGTGGTATCTAAATAAAAAGACAAAGCTTTGGAAACCCAGGCACCAAAATGAAAAGAAAAAAAATAATAAGTATAAAAATAAAATAGGGAAAGCAAAAAAAAAAAAAAAAAAAAAAAAGAAAAATAGGGAATATAAGATATCAGTAACACAATCGCAGGAAATGCCAAACGACAAAGAATAACTACCGACGACGAGGAGGCAGAGAAGCATACAAAGCAGCCAAATGCCAGAGTGAAAAATGTAAAGATACGGATGGAAAGTAACAGCAAAGATATCATCCAAACAAACAATGAAAAAAAAAGAAGGCCCCATATAGCAGCATCCCTAAATAATTTTTTTATCTCAGAATGACCATGCAAAAATACGCCTTTTTTCTTAAATGTTCGGGTTTTTGTTTTTTTTCTCGCGGTTATTGTTCAGAGAGGAAGCTCGCTCGATGTACCTCTTTTGTGCTCTTACAGGGATTATTGCCTTTGCAGGCAGAAACAAAAAACATGATAATGCCCGAGGTCCCGAAGCTCAATATCAAAAAGGAGCAAGAGAGCCTTTCTTATTATCAGCCTGTTGCGCTAGTATCATTGCCGCCAGCCTCGCCGCTTTCAGCAGAGTGATTCTTCTTCTTCTCGTCATCATGATTGCTATCCGCCAGTGGAGCGTGGGTATTTTTCAAAGTGGTCTGCGACACCGCGGTTTTCCCCAAATTAATAGATATCTTCTTGCTCGGGGTTCCAGGCGTGCCGGGGGAAGCCTGGTCCACTTTCTTCTGCGCCGACGATGCAGGCGGTGATTGTGCAGCGGTTTGCTTCTGCGCGGCAGCACTGCTGACGCTGCTCATACTCGCGCTCGAGCCGCGGCGTTTGGAGGCCGACGACAGCTTGATCAACTCGTCGTCGTCATCGTCTTCTTCTCGGCGTCGTTTCTCGGAGAAGCGTTCGAAGATCAGCTCGCCATGGAACGACATCTGAGTGAGGGGATCTTGCGGCGGGGATTTTTCGGGGGTTTCTTGGGCCGGGGGCGCTGCTGGTGCCGGGGCTGGGGCTGCAGCGTCTTGGCCGTGCAGCGTTGCTTCTTGGTTCATTTCCATAGGGTCGTCGTCGTCATCATCGTCGGGGTAGTCAACCAAGGGTTTGGCGGCTGGAGATGGCGATCCGTTGAGTACCCCAGGTGTCTCGAGGGCATGTTTGACCTGCTGATGCGGGATGATAAGTTCGGTTGTCTTCACTGACACACCATCTTGCATAACTTCGTGAGATGAGAAGCCGCCTACCTCGTCTTCTTCATCGTCAGATGCGTCGAAATATTCCTCCTCCGCCGCATCCATTTCCCTGACACCTTGCCAACGCTGGCCGCCATTGAGGAGGCCTCTTGTAGGGGCCACGGATTCGTTCTGGCTGAATAATGTTGGACCCATTTCAGCACCGTAGCCCTGCATTTGGCCGTAACGGAACATCAGGTTCCGGAAGGTTTCCACATAGGTAATGTTTTTTATCTTCTCGCGGTAGTTTTCACAAAGATGGATTATGATGGGCTTGATATTTTCGCGCTTGACGTATTCGAATAGCTCCAAACAGGCAGAGTTGAGCAAATTATCGCGTGGCATCGTCTCGTATACAATGTTGAGAATCAGATCAAAGGTGTTGTTGTGCGTCATTTGAGAATAATAGAAGGTATCTTGCAGGCTAATCAATGTGCGGAAAAATTTGATCGCAGCTACAAAACGCATTAGGAAAATTGCACGTCCATTGGAAAGTAGGCCATACTCAGTTTTAAATGCTTTTGGGGTGTTGTGAGCAGTCGCGCTATTCGAGGAGCCATCGCCTCTTCATGTATGAAATTACGGGTTCGAAATAAATGCTGTCGAACAAAAAAGGTGAGAATGTCGACCAGATGGGATAATAGCGCGACTTCGTGAAAGGATAAGTCGCTGACTAGAAGTGTAACGGAGTCAACAACAGCTATATATTTTGAGGAGTATAGTATGTACTTACGATTTTGTCTATTTTCCAACTCCTTCAGTGGTAAAAACAGCCGCCGTGCAGATTCATCAAAATGTTGCTGTACAAAAGTGTCCGGAAAGGTATTCTGAGACCGTAGCTTCGTCAGGTAATCGGCGCCAGCTCTCAAGGCCTCCGGGACGGGAGTCTGCGGGTCTAATAAAATTTTGATAGCATCGGATAATTGGCTTTTCACGCCCAGATCGGTGTCTGTGTGTAGCAGATCAATCAAGGTCTCGGTCAGGGGGATTTTTTTCTCATTTAGGGCTTTCAACATATAGCCTCGCATCATGATGGGGTCATGATCCAAAAGGGCAACAAGAATATCCACACCGGTGGTTCTAACGGGTGGTCTAGGATGCTTGACGGCGTACACGATCACGGAAAAGAGGCCATGGTTGATAAAACTTCCAAACAAACTCCCGCGAGCGCCGGCCTGCAAGTTCTTCGCGATCAACGCACATTGGTGGATGAACTGCACCGCATCATCTTTCCGTCTATTGTCAGTATTTCTAGGGCTGAATAATGAAAAGAGCTCGTTGAGAAACGGCGTATTGGTCTGAAGGTGTTGGACTATGTCGACTTGGTTGAAGAAGATAAGGGAGTTCAGAACGGAGAAAGTAGGGTCGTCCAAGATTCTGGCCAGCACGACATCCTTGAGGTACTGCAGGCGCCAAGTATGACGGATCTTCCGTAGAATTATTGGATCTTTTATAGGAACGACCTCCTTGTAACGGCTGCGGTCGTTCAGGTACTGTCGGTGATTGGCTTTATGCGCGGGGAACTCCGGATCATCTATAATCGCGTTAGCACCGATGATCCTTCCAGTGGCCAAAGTGGAAAGATGGCGCTTGGACCATACATTCTAGAGCGCCAACGACTCCACTAATGACATGGTCGCTCACAACCAGTTCAATGATGGTGTTGTCGTTCAGGAGGATCAGGGATTTCATGATGTTGCACAGCCGGTGCAGGTCGGGCAGGCTCTCCAGGTCTTCAGCGGTCGACACGAGGGGAAGAAGCTTCAGGATGTAGTCATCGCGGATAACGAATTTCGAGATCGCATCCCTGCCGGCCTGGGAGTTGCTGGCGGCGCGCATTGCGTTCTCTATGTCGGCGAGATTGGCGAGTTCGGGGGCAGGCAGCATTATGGCGGTCGATAAGGAATCCAGCGCATCGTCTGAGAGCGGGTCGTCTGTGCAGGAATGTCAGATATCATGCTTTTATTGAGTATTATATGGGTATGTAATGGCAAATGGGAGGCGCACCTGGGCCGGCTAATCCCATGAAGTGTTGTTGAACATGGCGCACAAATTCCCTAGCAATGGGGTGAGTAAATGGTGCAGTTTGTCACTGTGATGGGAGTGCCTACCATATGACAGCGCAACCGTCTGCTTCCTGGAAGCTGAGGGCCATATCAGTGCCGTTTGGCTCCGTCCATACTATCAACGTCTCTGCGCAGCAAAATGCATTTAGTAAGCATGCCACAGCAGCGCATCTACAGAATCCGCACCTTGTTGTTTCTGATATCCATCATCCTTGGATATCTTGGTTTCGAGCAGCATGCGGTCGGGCTGGTCCTCCGACTCGACCAGTATCCTCGGTTCATCCTATTTCCCGCGAAAGAAAAACATCATTAGCGCATCACATCCAAATCACGCACACAATGGCTTGGTGCACAGGAGCCAGCGCTCCTGCGGGCATGCGCGCGCGCGTATGCGAGAGCCAGCTGGGGAGGGGTCGTACATCGAGAATCTGGCCGGTGCAGAAGCCGGTGCCTCTATCGAACCAGTCATTGTCCTTGAGCTCGTAGACCTTGACCCGCTTGCGATCGTTTGGCGGCGGGATCGCCAGGGCCATGGTCTGGCGCGCGGCGGGCGTCCGGTTTTGGGACACAGGAGACGGACAGCTTCGGGGGGGTTGATGCAGGGCCTGGGGGCGACGTGCCAAGCGCGATGGCGGCGGCAGCGGTGATGGTCAACAAGCAGGACGACGTGGTGCGGGCGGGCGTGGACAGACAGCCGGGGCAGGCGATCGGCGGGTGAGAGGTGGTGCAGTGCGGTGCGGTGTGGTGAGGCGCGTGAGAAATTTGCGGCGGTGGACTGAGACCGCAGCACGCGACGGGGCGCGGAGCGAGAACGGGGGCGGCAGGCGGACGGGGGGGAGGGCAACGGGCAGCAGGGCGTGCGCACAGCAGGGAGACGAGGCCGGAGAGAGGAGGTGGGTGAAGCAGCGACGATGGCGATGGCGATGTGAAGAGAGCGGGCGGGCGTGGATGCGATGTCATGGCCGGGCATGTCATGTGAAGCGCGAAGGGCCGCTGGGCTGCGGGTGCAGATCCTGCGCTGCAACGCCGCCAGGCCTGCGAGCACAGTTCAACTAACTAACTACAGTACGACACGGCCGGTCTTGTCGCGGCCCTGGACCCTGCATGCCCTCGCGGCCTCGCCAGTGCGCATCGCAAACCGCCCAGGCGCACTGCGAAACAAGAAAACGTGGCTGGCGGTCGCTTGAGGCCCGCGCTGGAACCGCCCGGCGCCTCGTCTCGCCCGTGGAACGAGCACTAACGACGGAGTACTCCGTAGCTTAGCTAGTTAGTTAGTTAGTTGGTTACTGACAGCCGGCGCGAGGCTGCAGAGCTTGGGTGTTTGTGCGCAGCCGGGATCGCGTCTCCGGCTCATCGCAGGCACGCAGCTCTAGTTACTCCATATCCCTGAGGTACCTGGTTAGGTACTCTGCTCACCAGCTGGTTAACTAGGTAACTAACTACCTCCTAGTTAACTGCCTGGCTGCCGCCGACTCTGCGCTGCCCGCGCGCCGCATTCGAAGTTTGCTTATCGATTAGGGCCGTTTCTCGCTTGGCAGCCTCTCGCGATGCGTCCTTTAGTCTTTTGCTTTTTGCGCCGCTCGCTTTCTCTCTCCCCCTCGCCGTCCGCGCGCCCGCTGCGATCCTCTGGCATTTCCCCCTGCGAGCGACTTCTGGAGTTTTGCGCTTGCTTGCCGTCCGCCCATAAAGCTCCAATCCCTCCCTCTCCGCCTCCTAACCGCACCCCCGCCTCGCCCCGTTTGAACCACCGTACCCCGCCGCCCGCCGACTGACCGAGACCATGTCGGATTCGAAAGCGCTGGAAGCGACGGACTCTCCCGCTGCCAGCGGGCGGCTGCCGTCGCGGAACGGGAACGAGCCTGCTCCCAGCGCCGCCACGTCCGCCGTCCTGGTCGAGGGCGCCGCCGACGGCACTCGCGCCTCGCAGGACATCACCGCTGCAGAAGCCGTCGACTCCAGCAAGAAGGGCTATTTCGCATACTTCCGCACCAGGGAGTTTTACGTCGTTCTGCTGCTTGGGTGAGAATCTGGCTTGTCATCGTACCAACCAAGTGTTTGAAGTGCCAGACCTTTTTGCTGACCACCAGCGCCGTGCGCTCCACAGACAAGTGCTGGCCCTCTGTATCACGGCGACGAATACCTTCACGAATCTTCTAGCCAATGCGGGGACCTCCATTCCGTCTTTCCAGACCCTGTTCAACTACGTGCTGCTCGCCGTGGTCTACACCGGCTACACCATCTACCGCTATGGCTTCAAGGGCTGGCTCCAGGTGGTCTACAAGCGGGGATGGAAGTGTCAGTCCGCCTTGTCTGCTTCGTAGCAGCAGGAACACGCCCCTAATATATCAACAATTGCTGACCCATGACCTAGACGTCATCCTAGCCATCTGCGACGTCGAGGGCAACTACTTCATCGTCCTCGCCTACCGCTACACCACCATCCTCAGCGCCCAGCTCATCAACTTCTGGGCCATCGTCATCGTCGTCGCGCTCTCCTTCTTCCTCCTGCGCGTCCGCTACCACTGGGCCCAGTACCTGGGCATCGTCGTCTGCATCGGCGGCATGGGCGTGCTGTTCGGCTCCGACCACCTCACCGGCGCCAGCAGTGGCGGCGCCTCCAAGTCCAGCCGCGACCAGCTCAAGGGCGACCTGTTCGCCCTGCTCGGCGCCACCTTCTACGGCTTCGCCAACGTCGCCGAGGAGTACTTTGTCAGCAAGCGGCCCCTGTACGAGGTGCTCGGCCAGCTCGGCCTCTATGCCACCGTCATCATGGGCGTGCAGGCCGCCATCTTCGACCGCCGCTCCTTCCAGGACGCCGTCTGGAACAGCAAGGTCGGCGGCTATCTCACCGGCTACACCTTCAGCTTGTTCATCTTCTACTCGCTCGCCCCCATTCTCTTCCGTCTGGCATCCGCCGCGTTTTTCAACATCAGTCTTCTCACCAGTAATTTCTGGGGCGTTGTGATCGGCATCAACGTCTTCAAATACACCATCCACTGGATGTATCCCATTGCCTTTGTTCTGATCGTCATCGGACAATGTGTTTACTACCTGGGCAGGAAGGTCTTGGGCGAGGCTAGAAAGCCCTGGCTGGGGAGAAATCAGGAGAAGGGCGTTGCGGGTGTTGGTACGGCGAAAAGGAAAATCGATTCAGATGCGGAGCGGCTGGCTACTACGGTGTAAAATCCGTACATTCGGCCTTAGTCTCCTCCTTGGATAGCTGCACATAGTTCGGATGGAGTGCCAGATGGCACTGCGCCTATTTCTCTACCGTGATTGGGAGAATGGTGTCTAATTTTGAGAAATAGCATTCTACCCGTCAAATATTCAAAAGCACAATGATAATAGTCACTCTACTTATGAAATATACAGCCAAAAATAACCATGAATTTCATCCCTTATCAAAAAAATATCAAATCAAACCAAAAAAACCTCATCTTCAACTCATCGAAACTTCGGACACGACCGAGGATTACAGCTAATCGTCACGCTCGTCTCCGCATTATCCGTAAACGTGCTCCCGCCCTTGAAATGATTCCCATCCCCCTTCGACTTCTCAATCAGACACCGCAGATACAGCCCCGAAAACAGCTGCACGCACGCCTCCTTGCTCACCTTCTGCGCCGCCTTGCGATTGTGATTCACGTACGTGAAATCCACCCAGAACTCCCTGCCCTTGCCGTTCACCGTCTGCACCGGCAGCGAGATCGAGCGCCCGGACCCCAGCTCGTTGTCGTGCGCCGACTGGCAGAACGTGTTGAAGTAGTCGTTCAGCGAGTAGGAGTTGCTGGGCCCCGTGTAGTTGGACTTGATGCTCCAGCCTGCGTTGGTACAGAGGTAGTTTCCGGGAATGTCAAGACCGGAGCGCCGGACGACGGATTTGCGCATGGCGCCCGGGTTGCCGTTGTGGAGGAGGTGGTGGTGGTGCTGGTGGTGCTGCCCGCGGTGAGTCGTGTCGCGGACTATTTTGGGGTGTTTTGGCTGGTGGATGGCAGCCGTGTTGCCTGGGCCGCAGTTGGGGTTCCAGGTGTTGCGGCCCTGTTCGTCAATGACTAGACATGTAGAGAGTACGATGGTGGGGAAAATGAAACAGATAAGCGCGGCGATGGCGGGTGAGGTCTATTGGGAGGGATAAATATATTAACATCTAGTTCAAGATTATGGAGACACATACCTTCATTTCCAATAGATATCACTTCAGGTTAAAAAGGGGACTTTCTAGTGTATGTATATGTGACAGATGTCTGCCCAAAAAGGAATATATTTCTGCATTTAAAATGTCCAGAGACAGATATATAGAGGACTCATGTCAATCAAACCAAAATAAGGCTCTGTCCAGCGCTTAAATGTAAATTCCCCCAGCCATCATTCAAGATTCGGCCTACAGACAAAGCAGAAGCATTTCCGTGTCCACTGTATGACAGAATCGGCATATATGCCCCTTTTGAAAGTCCGATTGCCATAGCCAGTATTAGATAGGATATCTCTCCGGCGCGTAGAGCGCCCCAAATTCCTTGATGACAGTAAAAGGGCCAGCAACATGCCTCAAGCAAGGTAATAAAGTCCTTAAGAAAGTCAAAAAAGGTACGACCGGTCAGCAGGGTTTATTTATATCCCGTAATCCGTATTGGCGTTCAGCTTAGTAGCATGAAGCTGTCACTAGCCTTTGTTTCAGATTCTCATCTCAAGCCCTTGAAACGCCATGTAGCACATTCATGAAGCGCCTGGCTTCATCTAACGTATAGTTAGCTCCTCCATCTAGAGCATGCCACTACTACATAATAGTTAGGCGACATCGGACATTTCCGTAGCCGCAGGTGTTGTGCGACACGGTAGATCTCCCATTCCCATCGGATTGCAATGTTTTTGAATGTGTTGAACAGACTGTGTGCATGAAGCTAGTAAAAAACCAGGGGATGGCCATCCTCTTGGTAGACTGGCTAACTGGAAGTCTTGGTTAGCTCATCATATGCTAGATCTGCGTTTCAATTCAAAGGATGGAGCTTGGGCATGCACCACCAACCTACCATTATAACTAGCTAGCTAGTTAGTCGGCTGACTAGCTAGCTACCCATGATGATCTGCAGCACAAGATGTGGTGCATCGTCGCAAACATATATAAAACATGGAAAATGACAAGACGCTATGTCACATACCGAAGGTCCATGCATCGGCTATTTCCACAGCATGAGGGCAGCTCAAGCGGCCCAAGCTCTTTGTGCCACCTTCCCAGCACGGTCATCCGTAAAATATGCAGGCATGGGACCCTGATCACGCTGCAGGAGAACGTTCCATGGTTCCGAGGTTGCAGGGTTCCCCGATTTGTAGCGTCGGTCACCGAAAGGCTCAAGAGCCCACACTCAAAGAAATCGAAAGATACATGTAATGGGGTTATAGGTAAATAAGCGATTGTGTTCAGCTATAGTCATAATCAAAGCACCGCACCAAGTACACGGCAAAAGAAACACGCAAGTACAAGGGGGAAAAACAGCTATATTAAAAGGCAGATGGTGTACAGTGCATGAGGATCCCACAACCAAACCATTTCCAAAGGCTTCCTCAGATGGAAAACACCGACAGTATCCAAAAAGTCGCCCCCAAATACCCGGTGTAAGAAGCAGATAACACCATTCTTTTTGAACATCCAACCATTAAGTCCATAGGCCAAACAACCCAGCAGGGCCTCGATCGCTCGCCGCGCCATAAAAGCATCCCCTTGTACCAGGCTAATCCAGACAAAACCAAATACAAACCGCACAACATATTTCTCCGAAAGTAGGACATAGAGAACAGCCAATATAGAACCTAAGAACCCAGCCCAAACAGGACGCCGGTAATGCGCCCGTCTAGGCCATACCAAGATATCGAATAAAGCAAAAAGCACAAGCTTAGCTAGAACAGCGGCGAGCGTTCAGGCAAGAAAAAGAAGAAGCAAGGCTGGAATTAGCAGACCACGACCGAGAGCGTCGGAAAACCAAATAAATGCAAAAGACATTCCAAAAATCCGTTTGCACTTTGTAACCAGAGCCCACCTTAGAACCAGGCACCACGCCAATGCACTGATTTTGTTTTCAAAAAAAAAAGGGAATGATTACCAAGCGTTTTCCAAGTCCACCCCCCGATGCAAACCCGTACAACAAATAAAATAAAATGATAGTGTAATTCACACCATCCTTGAAACGCCATGCCTTACCTCCAGTACAAAGGAGGAGAAAGGAAAGGATAGATAATTTTAGGGCTTTTGAAATTAACCCCAAACAGATGCTTGGACGCCGAGGGAGCCTTTCGACCTCCAGACGCCATTGCCGTTGCCCCATCCAAGAGCAACATTGCTGGATTCCTTCTTTCCAGTATTTGAAGCTCCGGCGGCCGATGCGTGAACGGGATTGGAGGCGGAGGATGTAGCTATAATTCTATCATTAGTACTTGCTTAACTTCACTAATGCTGCAGTGTGGTTCGCAAATGCGCCCACCACCTCTGGAGGACCAAAAAGTCTTACCTAAAGCTGAGTTTGGAGCCTGGCTAGAGGCCGGCATAAGGCGAGTGCCAATGGGGCCAACTGCCGTGTTTGGCATTTTATTGCTACCTTGGCGGGAATTCGGGGAGTCGTTGGCAGCAACACCCGGGGATGAGGTAGAAGTCGACTGCTGATGTTGCTCAAAAACATTGTAGGAAGTCTGGCTTGCGTTCGGGGACGAGGTGCTGTTGGCACGTGATCGAGGTTTCTGAACGGCTCCGGATTGGGCACTTGCGACTCCGGTAGGGTGTTGACCGGGATTCTCCGAGCCAGGTTGACCGTGGACCTGGCTAAGACCGCCAAATGGATCCACTCCTCTGGGAGAGTGTCCTTGAGCAGCGCTTGCGGTCGTATTCGGGGCACCCGAGGCCTGGCGATCATCAAGACCTCCGTTAGGGTAAAAGGAGGCGGAATCATGGCCATACAGAGCACGGTGTTGACGTGCAATCAGTTCGCGTCGGCTTTCTTCGCTCATCGCAGCAGGACTCATGGAACGATCGGACTTGTTTCCAGACATTTCGGCAAGAAGGCCTTTCCCAATTCATAACAAAGTTAAGATATAAGTACAAACCAGACCAACATTAAAAATGACCAAGGAAGTGCCAGCGAGGAACAATAGTGGGAGGGGGAAGTATATGCCGTATCCATAAAAAGGCACTGCAAAGAGAAGAAGAAAGACTGGGATGGTGATTCTCGTCACGTACTTCGGTTATATTGTTGTTCTTGATGATAGTTGCGGAGATCCCTCTCCCTTTGCGCCGCCAATCGGCGTTTCGCCTGCATCATCTGCTCTGCTTCGTTGGGACGGCCTTGAAAACGCTGGGCAGCATAGAATCCTTGCAGATTCGATGCCGAATGGGGGCGGGCGGCATCGTAGTCGCCGACAGAGTGATGACGGGGAGGATGCGCTCCGGCCATCATGCGCGGATCTACATTAACAGTGAGCCTGGTCCATTCAAGGCTAAGTGAACCTAGAAGAGAACGCCTACCATAATCGGCGTAGGGACGACCGGTAATTGGGGGCACTGAATCCCTTCGGGGAGCAGAGTTAAAGAGCTTCCCACTCTTTACCAAATTGTCAACGGCACGGTCAACCTCTTCAAGAAAGTCAGCTCAACGATCGATATCCGGAAGAACCCCCCGCAAATTTCCCAACAGTGACGCTGGTTCTGGAAGACTGGCTGAGTACAGCACAGGATTGCCAATGACTATGGTATTTGCCAACTGGAATGGCCTAGGGAGTGTAGAGAGAGGGTTTCATACCGTCAAACTGAGAGGCAAAGGCCGGAGAGTCGTCACGTTGGGCAGTAGAGCTCGTGCCTAGAATAGTTGGAGGTTTAGTGACGACTCACACCTTAATTGAGTAGAGGGGGGCCAGCATACCAGATCGGGAAGGCGGAGCGGGTTGCTCCCACGATCCCTGACGCACGGGAGCCTGCCAGGCCTGAGGCTCGTAGTATGCCATAAGCACGGATTAGAAGAGCAAAAAAATCAGAGTTTGTCCAGGAAGCCGAATCCGGATTCGTGAACAGCCTGCACGCAATAAAGACACCGAGACCCAGCCGTAATAAAAGAATGGATGATGAGGTAAATTCGTAACCGTCACTGCGTGAAGAGAGAGGAATTAGCAAAAGCAGCCCTAGAATATCACAGCCTGCAAGGACAGGTAGGATAGTTGAGGAGGAGGAGGATTGATTGATTGCTAATAGAGTGTGGGAAAAATAGGTTTTGAGGTTGAATTTTTGCGTTTGTGCCAAATTCCAGCAGCGAAAGACCATCACCACCACGGTCATCCACAGCTGTGCAACAAGCAGAGCGGTAAACACCGGACACCCTCGACACTCACCAGCAACCACACCGAGAGAGCTCCTCCACCTCACGCAGGGGCAATGGGCTTGGTCCCTCAGGCTCGTCGACGGGGCGGGCGGCGCACTCGAGACGGGAAGCCTTTGGAGTCGGTCAGGGGAGGGGGGCCGCAAAAGAGGGAAGGCGGGCGGGCGAGGGCGGGTGACGGCGGCAGCAGAGGCGTGGCAGAGCGAGGGCAGGCACAGCGAAGGAAACAGAAAAGAAAGGAGGAGGGAAAAAAAAGGCGACGCAGCAAGACGAAGCGAAGAGAAAAAGCGGCGACGGCGCCGGTCGGGATGGAGCCCCCCAGCAACTTACTCCGGCGGCCGTACGGTACCGTTTGTGACGCCGCCAGGCTCGGCGATGCGGCAGGACAGGTGCTGACAAATACGCGCTGGGAAGTTACGCCGTCCGTCCCATACATACGACCTTACATACATGCATTACATGCATCCAGGACCCCCCTGGCCAGCGCTGATGCTTCGCAAGGTGCGTGGATGCCGGCGGTCCTCACGCTGCCAGAGACGCCCGATGCGCGCGGCTGCGGGCGTGGGCTCCGCTGCACTGTGCTGCTGCCTCTCGTCGAGCCAGCGAGGCGGGCAGAGAGCGAGTCGTGCGAGACCCGAGCCAACCTAACTGCCTAGCTAGTTGGGAGTTATGTTGGTGTAATTTCGCCAAGCTGCGGGTGCACGCTAACGTCGCAACCCTTCGCGGTCAGACGATGAAGCGCTCGAGTCAGGTCCGCGGAGAGGCGGCGGCGCTGCTGAACACAAGTCTGGGGTGCAGAGTGCTGTGCTTGCGTTGCGCTCTAAGAGCCCGGCAACAGCGCCTGGCCTCGCAGCTCGTTTGGGGTGCTGGCGGGTGGAGCGACCGATCTCGATATGGATCAAGCTCGCCCATCGCCAGCCGGAGGATGCAATTGTGCCTTGATTGCGAGAAATGACGTGTCGGCGCGTGCCTCGTGCCTCGTCTGCCTGGATGGCAATCCTGACCAAATATTAATATTAACGCCGGTGGCAGTGAATCCGCGCTCTCTACTCCGTAGGTACGCTGCCTCCGCTCCTCGCCCGCACGCCCCCCAAGGCCCAAGCCGTGACGGAGTGTCGACTGTCGAATGGTGGCCAGTACTAATATTAGAGCCCACTATTAGCAGCATTCGCTCCTCGGATTCGAAATTAGCAGGGCTTGGAGACCCCCAAGGCCCATCCATCATGCCGCTGGTCGTCTTGCCACGGCGCTTGGCCGCGAAGCACCCGCGGAGGATCGGGTTTTCGCCCTGCCAACTAGCGCCCGCGCGATGGTTATTCTTGTTTTGTTGAGCGAACATGGTACTCCGTATGTATGCCCATTTATTTTATTAATCTGCACGCCAGCAATAATAATGATGATGATCGGCTGGAAGCGTCACTTTCGAATGGCTAGCGGGGATGGCCCTTGTTGCACAGGGGATAACTCCCCCCAAGGTAACATCTTGCCCGCCCCATGGCTTTCTCGACCTTCAGCGGCTGGAGTCAACGACAAACGGTGTCCAGAGCCCAGAGACACACGAGCCTGTCGCCCAAGACCCCCAAGTGTTTCTGGATTTCATCCTCCAGAGACAACAAGAAGAAAAGGTGCTCCCCAGACACACATACACATAGACAGGATGCCCTTCTCAGCGTTCACTTTGGCCTTTTCTCCCCCACCTCAAACTGCTGGCATCTGATTCCTCAGCATGCACTCTGTTGTTAACTGTGCTCTTGTTCAAAGTTGCCCCCAAAGCATGTCCACCAGGGCAGGCGACTTGAAGCGGTCTGGACTTTGTCCGACGCGCAAACATTCTCAGAGTTCCTCCCCCCACCTCGCAGGTCTGATGCCTGACGCGGGTCCCCACTCCCTGCCGCCACTATGACTTGCTTGCAACCCTTCCATCTTGCTTCCAGAAGATGCAGAAAAAAAGGCAAGCGGGAAGACATCCTTGTCTTTCTGGTCCTCCAAGCCTGCAGGCGGAAATGCAGATCGCGATGGGATGGGTATTTTCCCCCTCTTCGTTTATTTTGGTGCCATCTGGTGAAGTACTCTCTCCGCACGACAGAGTGCAAGAGAGACTGGGAAAGCCACCAAGGTCACGTTGTCTGCATCACTCCAGTGTGGAATTCTCCAACATAACCCATAGTCACGGGGAGGCAGATCACAGATGCTTTTGAGTGGGTATATTCCTAGCTAAGGACCAGATGTGAAGATGAAAAATTGTCAGTACTTTCCCGGATGGGTTGGATTTCTATGTTGAGTACTCTGTATGGAAATTGTACTTCGGGGCCAGTGTACCTACCGAGGCTGTGTGGTCCTGAGTACCTTGCACTAGCGGCGAATTTGAACTCCACTGCCTGTCTTCACTTCCAGAATGACAAATACCGTTCGAGCAAACTTCTGGTAGAATGCGGTTCAACAAACCATTCAATAGTCAAACATATGGACATACATACATATAGCTATCTACCTTAGAAAACATGCACAACAACGGCTTTGCCTTAGCTATTGTCTGGCGGCTTCTACAGCTCTCAATGGCCCAAAGTCTCATCAGCCCCTCATCTCGAAATTGTCCCCAATGCAACGCCTTTAGGAAGGCCTATGTGACTTGCCTCTGCCGGCGATAGTCAAAGAAACTAGAGAGTTCTTAGCTTCTCGTGATCATATCTTAACTTAACCCATTACCATTTCTTATTGGCGCCAAATACCCTGTTATAGGCAATGTGCCTCCAAAACCTTGTCGAATACAGCTGTGGCTGTATTGATATGAGATGTATGTCTCCGTGCTTTGAACTCTTTCGACTGGGACGTTATTGCCCCCCACAGATTAGGAGAACCTCTACGCGAGGGGTAAGAGGGCGGTGTAATATATGTCTAGATATCTTGGAAGATACAAGATTCGGAGATGCGAGAAGAATTAAAAATAGCAATCGCAATCTAGGCGGCCTTTGGGGGACGAAAATGAAAAGAATCTGTAGACCAAGACGTCCAGAGTGAGCATGAATGCAGCTAATTGGCATTGGATGAGGTTACATAGCAACATTTTTGCCGGATGGCAGGATGATACAGACATGCAATGGTAATTCGCGCGACCTTGAAGCTTCGCAGAGGCTAAATTTCTATTGTGTGGCACATTCATTGTTCTGCCTGCGCGTCTGTATACATAACCATGGTGTGGAAGGACATGTTTTCAGCCCGGTAGTCAAACTCTATTCCAAATGCATCGGAGTAAGTGAGGGTTCGTTCGATAAAGGCAATCCAGATTCCACGGTTGGGGACTCCCGAGGTCTAACTAGTAAGTGTCGCGAAGTCGACGAGCTGCACCCCAGCCTTATGCCTCATGCAGCCGAGGAAAAAGGCCATCCAATGGACCGCGAAGCCACAGCTCCATGCGGCCGGAATACAAACCATGAAACCATCATGGAACTGTGAGAACCAGTAACCGTAGTCGCTGGCGGGTACGGTAAGCTGGGCAGCGCCAGCCCAACTCCTGGTTCGCAAGATGGATCCCGTCTGTTTGAAAAGCCTCTCGATGAAGGGAAGCGATATACGGAGTAGATGAGTGAGTGCCTATGGATCGGGCGAGGGGGCACACAGCTATCCGACCCTTGCTGTCTCACGACGGGCTTTGTTCTTCGAACGACCGGCGAGCCGCCGCAAGAGGCAAAAGGGTTCCCGGGCGAGGAAGCTCAGTGGCGGTGATAACAATAATGCCCACAACGGCCCAGCTCGAAAGCAGACCCTGGCCAGCAGCAGGTCAAACGGCGGCTGGTGTCTGGAAGCTCCAGCAACTGCTTGGTGGAAACGAGGAGGAAGTTTCACCACCACAGCCGCCCAGGCGTGATTGGCCTCCAGAACATGTGACACGCCTGAAAACGTCCGCCGGCGGGCTGGAGGTTCATAGGCCATTTGTCAGTTTTAACCGAGCGCGAAACTCAGCAAAATGACAAGAGGGGAAAAAAGAAAAGGGAAAAGCGTGCGTGCTGCGACTGCTAGGATGTGCCACATGTCCCATGGAGCGACGCCCGTGGGGAGAATCCCGTGGAACAGGGCCAGCGTCGGCGGTTCGCGGGCCAAGCGCTCTGGCCTTCCTCTCATTATGGTTGTTCCTGCGAACGGCAATAAGAACAGCTGTTGCAGCGCGCCCGGGAGCGACGATGTGGAGGTAGGCTTTGGGGGCCAGCTGTAGGAGGTGAGCAGCGTAGGCGAACGGCGTCTGCCTCTCGTCGCTGAGCAGCTTTAGAGGAACCGGCGCCTACCAACCCATCGACTCGGTACACACCAGCATACATATATACAGTCCCAACACGAGCAGACAGGCGGGATGCGGGGAGCAGACTGGGCAGGACATAACTTGGCTACCAACGACTCTCTGGTGGGAAACCTCCGCCTTGCATAGGAACTAACGCCCTTTCCTGGCCGCATAGCGCGGCCAGCTGGCCCTCCACCACTACCAACGCCGCAGAGAAGGAAAAAGAATGGGATAGGGCGACGACGACTGGCATCCCGGCCAAACCTTCGCTATCATCCAGTCGATTGGAGATTGCAGCACGGCACAATTTACGGTGTAGTTTACGGCGCAGGTGTTGCTTTTTATCCCTCTAGAGCCGTGACTCAAGACGCACATCCCACCCGGAAAACCTTCGTCTGGATAACACGCAGGTGATATTGGTGCCAATCAGAGTAATATTACCTTCTGTTCGAGCACCCCCCTTTTTTACGTAGCAGAGCGTAGCCACACAGTGCCCCCCGGTCAGTAAACGCCTATACCCCATGGGCATATCGTATGGACGCTGGATGAAGGGCAGGCCTTGGCGGCGCGAACAGAGCAGCAACAGTTGAGAACCGCGCGGCCCAGGAGCAGTCAGGCAGAGAGCAGACCAAGAAGATGCTGCTGCAGCGCCCTTACTAGCCGCCTGTAGTGGGTGTGTGTGGATGGGTGGGAGAGAGTGAGTGTCTTGCGCTGGTGGTGGTGCTGCGTCGGGGTCAATACGACCGCCGTACCGTACCGCTTAGCTCAGCCCAGCGAGCCGGCGACGGCGTCGGTGGCAGCCGCGTACCAGGGCGGTAACAATACGACTGTCCCCTCGGGGTGCTGGGGATCGCCCTCTTGGTTTTCTTCACGGCCTCCCTAATTGAGACCACCGTCAACCCAGCGGCAAACTATCTTCTGCACCTCCTATCCTCCGCACAACCAATTCACCATCTGGTTCCCCTCTGTTGGCTAGGAGTTGTCTTATCGCCCTGCATCGTCGTCTTCTCCTGTCTGCATCACCCGCCTGCAGTGTGTGGTTCTGCTCGCTGGTCACAGATCCCCCCCTTCTGTTCAACCTCTCGTGTTCTGCATTGGATGTAACATCAAAAATCCATACGCACGGCGTGGACACTATTGTTAACCCGGACAGCTTCATTGCGGGCTGCACCGCCATCTGCCATTCCATCTCTTCTGGAAACCCGCCTCTCTGAGGACACTTTGGCAAGGTAATCCCCCCCCATTCCTCGAGCCTCCGCCAAAATTCCCTCGCTCCACCGTAGTCGATAAGGAGACGTCGGTGAGACTACAACTCTTCACTTCGCACAATCCTTCTGTTCCCCCCTATTTTTTTTATCTGGAGTTCACTCTTCCTTCTCTCTTGCGTTTGGATCGTCAACTTTGCCTTCGTGATGGATTGTACTTACTCGGCCTTTATGGCATGGTTCGTTTAGGCGCCTCGTCGTCCACCTTCACTCCCGACAGAGCTCCAGACCGCTCCTATCGAGTCTTTTTTTCCTTAATCGGACAATATACACTACTCTGGAATTCGGGCCACCTGCTTAGAGAACCCTGACGGCGAAGTTCGCGTTCTTGGCACCCACGGTTGACTGGAAACTACCTTGGCCGCTCCTTCTTCAGCGTTGTGTGACAACGTTGGGGGTGCCTCATGGGAGCGGAGGTTTATGGGGATGCCGTATCTTCTCACACTGAAGGTGACAGCTCACCGATAAAGTCTGAGACGTCGACAAATATGTCGTGGCCCGTACCAGCCGAAATTTCGCCGCAGCATTTACCTATCCTTCCTACCCACGCCGCTCCCCAATCAAACTCGGTTCCCGCTACGCCTTTTCATAGCCTTCGATTCTCGTCCCGATCCCGCTCCAGATCCCCCTCGCCCAATCGCAGTCGCGGTTCGCCTCATTCCGCCCATTCTGAATACAACCATATTTTACCCCACCGAAAGCAATATGGAGGCTGTAAATATGAGACTGCCATGTCTCATTTCAGAAGGCGGATGCCATACTCATTGGGTGCTGATTTGTTACCCGAAGAGCTCTCTCCGCAGCAGGAAGTGCTCGGTTCGGAAGAGGAGCGGAAACTAACATCAGATATGAATGAGTTATACAATACTCTACTGCCTTCACAAGAGAGTGAAGAACGAAGAAAGAAATTCGTTCAGAAACTCGAGAGCCTCCTTAACACGAAGTGGCCCGGGAATGACATACAAGTGCATGTTTTTGGATCGTCTGGGAATAAGCTCTGTTCGAGCGACTCTGATGGTACATGCGCCTCTACTGGGGTTGAAAATTTATAATGCTGACCTTCTTATGCAGTGGATATTTGCATAACTACCCCTTTTAAAGAACTGGAACAAGTTTGTCTCCTAGCCGAGTTCCTTGCAAACAGTGAGTGAATCCCTTACTCATGATCAAGAGTTCCTATCGCCTAATATATACGCAGATGGCATGGAACGTGTGGTTTGCGTTTCCCACGCAAAGGTGCCCATAGTAAAAATATGGGACCCAGAGCTTCAAGTTGCATGCGATATGAATGTCAACAACACCTTAGCTCTAGAAAACACCCGGATGATTCGTACCTATGTCGATGCCGACGAAAGGGTAAGGCCGTTAGCAATGGCTATCAAATATTGGACAAAACGACGGATTTTGAACGATGCCGGTATGACTTTTCCCTCTACCCCTTATCGTCGAAGGATCATTTGCTAATCATAACAGCCCTTGGTGGAACTCTAAGTTCGTATACATGGATATGTTTAATCGTGAATTTTCTCCAAACGCAATCTCCCCCGATCCTTCCAAGCTTGCAACAACGTGCTATCGATAAGCAGAAAGTTCAAGGGAAGGGAAATCCCTCGCCTTCTTTTGACGATGACTTGGAGACTCTTGCCGGGTTCGGAAAAGAAAACAAGTCGACTCTGGGAGAGCTTCTATTCCAATTCTTTCGATATTACGGATATGAACTCGATTACGAGAAAAATGTGATTTCCGTCCGTGAAGGAAAGCTTATATCGAAAGAAAAAAAGGGCTGGCACCTTTTACAAAATAATCGGTTATGTGTCGAGGAACCTTTCAATACGTCGAGAAATTTGGGAAATACGGCCGATGACACGTCTTTTCGTGGTCTTCACCTTGAACTTCGCCGAGCTTTCGAAGCACTTTGCAAGGGCGATCTAAAAAGGTGTTGCGAACAATACGAGTATCCTCCCGAAGAAGAGCGGACTTGGGAACGGCCCGCACCACAGCCTCGGGCGATTCTGACCCCTATGCCTGCTGGTCCTTCGCGTGGTGGCAGAGGTGGTGGACGAGGTGGTCGGCATGCCAGTCATTACAACCGCGGTCCCAACAGTATCGGTCGCCGAGCTTCCAACGCAGCCAACAGGAACAATTCCAGACCTGCGAACCCTAGCTTTACTGCTGATATCGCGCTTCAAGCTCAACAAGCACAAAATATTCTTCACGATCATCTTTATCAGCGAATTCAAATCCTCCAAGCCCAAGAGCATGAACTTCGATTACAGTTACAAAACCAAGCACTTATGACTGGTAGACAACCGCCAACTTTAATCAGACAGCCGTACTTACAATTTCCTCTTCCGCAAAATGAACCTCTGCCACCGGATGAGCATCAGAGAAACCGGTCGGGTTCTCTAAATCAACCCCCTCTAACCGCTCCTATTCGACAGAATGTATTTTTCAACTCTATCCCTGTTACTTTACCTGTGGTTCAAGGAACAAACACGAACCCTCCATCGCCCTCTTTACCTTCCGCCGTACCCGATTCGCGGCGCAATCACCGCCGATCTTCAGTTGCTGCCACCTCTCCGCGAGGGTTGCGGACCCAGTCGCAGCCTCCTCGTCCTTTACCATCTGCCATTATCCCAACTATTCCAGTTTATCATCCTGTGATGCCGCAGGATATGGGTTTACGGCGATCTCCTGAATTCTCTCAGCGTACCGCAGCTGAAGGGGATGCCTACGTACCAAATGGCGTCCCCATCTCAAGGTCAACCTCGATTGACGAAAATCTTGCTTCAGAATACGTTGGTTATTACGTTGGTGACACTGTTCAAATTCCTAGGCCGTATCAGAACCACTTGGTGTCGCCTTTACCAGGGCTTATGGTTCCTGGTTACCTGAACAATTCTCCTGAATATAGACCCTATCCAGCCCCACCGGATCCGTCCAACAATTCCCCCGAGCATCTCACTCACTTGAAAGCAACATCGCAATTTCCTCAAGTTCCACGACTGAACCGATCGCAAACTATGCCTGACTGTGGCCCATTAATTATAGATGGCTCGATCCCTCCTAGCGAACAACGAAATTCGATGTGCAACCATTCAACTGATCAATTTATGACTGATTTCAGCACATCGTCGTCAGCTGAAAGGGTGTACGACACACCTAGAACCACCCCAGATACTCTATCGCAGGGCCTTCACGAACGAGGTTCTTACGATGATCTATTTGGTAGCAGCTTTGAAGCTCAGCAGGGCTGTCAGAATTCTGGTCATGTCAATGGATGGGGGTCTGGTTTAGATCACAATGATCTTGCTGCTACGGGCCATATGGGCAGGGTAGAAACGTTATCGGAGCGTCTACAGAGATTCCAGCTGTCTGACCCAAGTTACATTCCGGACACATCTGGAAATGCAGATATCAGCCAGTATCGTGGAACCCAATATCTATACCCCGTAGATGACCAGCTCTCCGCTATTCATACAAACGGATCTCCCAAAGACCATCCTACACAACTTATCAATGCTCTTCCGACCTCAGAGAAGGAGTCGCGCGTTCTTTCACCTACAGTGAAACACACTATCCATAGTTTCGACTGGGAAAGTGCTAATAACGCCTCTTTCAAGCCTAAAAACAAGGTACACGCCTCCACCCACACTAATGGGGATTCTGCAGAAAAGCAAGCCGAGTATAACCGAAAGGTTAATGGTGTAATTCCTTTACACATCGGCTCTACTAACGGACATCATGTTCCTGCTACAAATGTCTGGCAAACTACGAAGCGGAGAAGTAAAAAAGGACCCAAAACCTTGACAGAGCAAAATGATTTCAAGACACGAGTAGATTCTTTGTCAACAGACGAATCAATGAAAAAAGGAGGCTGAAATTTCCACTATGAACAGCATTCCATAGGGAACAGCTCATTGTTGTTCAAAGGCCCGTGCATACTTGGAGTGTGCATTCCGTCCACTTATAGAGGGCAAATTATGCGGGACTCCTACAAATGAGTCGTAACTAAGGTAGAAAACGGCTGTTATTTGGTATCCGCACTTACAAAGTAACGCCGCTTTTCGCTTAAGATGCTCTCCATATGGACTGGTGTTTAATGGGGGCCAATTATGTGGACTTGTGTCGTCTCTGAATGGCTGTCTTGATCATATTGGTTTTGCCGAATGTTTTCGGCCATCGAATAAAAGCTGCTGTCTACAGGTTTGATCATAATAGGTCTATATTTCCCTTGATTTCAGGGAAAACGAAAATAGAAAAACAACTTTGTTCCGGGAATTCTGGTATAGATTCTAAGACATATTTCTTTCCGTTTGATGATAGGTTCAAATTCCCATATTGGTGATGCTTCGATGTTCTTCGTTTTCCACAAAAAAAACTCTTTGGAATTCAGGCCTGGAATGTCTTGATGATATCGTTTGTTGACCCTTTTTCCTGGCGACGACTTGTTTTAGTTGTCCAGACAGATACCGTTGTATTCGAAATTCCTTTTTCGGCATCAGCATGTTGAATACCCATCCGTACCCTCGCCTGTATTTGTTGTTTTTTTTTTTTCTTTTCTACCCCAACTTTGGGCTCAGGATTTGACTTTTCAGTGGTATAAAGAATTGCATGGCCTCTTTGCCCCCAGCGAGTTTTTTTTTCTCTTTGATTCTACCTTATCGAGTCCAAAATTTGTGCAAGTATAAAGATTTATCCCGGGTTGGCGTTTTGTTTGCTACATGAACCGCCACCGCTTTGGTGCAATGTTGCAATTTGAAAGGATGTTGAAAATTTGCCTGCTCTACGTGCCTCGTCTTCATGGTTCTGGCTCCTCATGCTTGTGCTTTGACGGAGTAGTTTATTTATGAAGTCGAATCGATTGAACAGAACTTGATTCAAATTCTGCGGGTCTCGTATTAAGTGCTAGCTAACCTACGGGTTTCTTATCAGGCATTAAAAAAAATTCTGAACTGAGAGTATCTTTGTGCGAATCTTTTTATTTTATTTAATTTTTTTATCCGGAACATACAACGACCTCAAGCTTATCACACCCGTGAAGGCATATTCAGGTATTCTGATAGAGTATTTGAATAAATTGAAAGCAGAGCTCAGACAACTCCCCTGAGGTAAGATGACGTTACATAGATGCGGGATATTTCCCAATGCAATAATTGCCCCACATGAAGGCGCTGTATTATGTCAGCATGACCGACCCGCCACCGTGGTTTTCCACGTGGATGGCTAGCTTGGCTTGGCGCTACCGGACAACCGGCTAACTAGCTAACCCTAAACCTCCAAACCAATTTAGTTGACGATCAGGGGAGACAACGAGGGGGAAAGCGGCGAGGATTGCTGCTGTGCATTTGGCATGCCATCACTCCAGCTGCGTTTTACGCCCTCTCATCGCAATGCGCCGTCTCGGCCCCTATCTGAAGCTACACGATGCCCTTGGTGTCGAGTATACATGCGGCTTTTGCTCTAAGACCTGCTATTCCCTCCGCGCTCTCAGACAGCACTGTAAGGACACGCCTCGACACCCATGGTGTACTACTTGTCGCCGTGCATTTCGAGACGAGTCTGCCATAGGCCAGCACAGGCGCTTCTCTTCGTCCCACAATATTTGTCGCTTATGCGAGGACGATTACTCTGACCAATCCTTACTAAGGAATCATGTTCGCACGCATCACCACCCGTGCACCGACTGCAGTGTATATTTTTGGACTTCATCCGACCTATATGTCCATTCTGCGGTACATCATTCCGACCCTTCCTCGAGGTGCTCAGGACCTGGGTCGATATCCAAAGTTGATGAGCACAAAAGCACTAGTCGCTATTGGTGCTCAATCTGCGATAGAAGCTTCAGAAACGAAAATAATAGTCGCATGGTAGGCAGTCTTATATATTTAAATTCTTTTTAATGCGCCTAAATACTGATCTGCTTGTCTTTCCGCAGCACAAAATTGCTCACCAGCCCGCAACGATGATATGCTACGGGTGCAATGACCGACGATTTTCCAGCTTTTCAGCAATGTTAATCCACATGGAATCCGGGAGATCGTGTAGCAGCCAAGTAAACAAAGAGATTCTTAACGAACTTGCTTTTCGCCCTTGGATAAAACGATTTTATACTATCGGCAATGATTCTTTATTCCCTTATCTTTGTCCTACTTGTGGTGATATATTTGCGACACTCTCAGGTCTGTATCAGCATGCAGAACGGGTCCCGCTGTGTGAAAGTACCTTAGCAAAGTCCTCTGGGTTAGGACTCCTCCAAAGGTACCTAAGATCGAAGCTGTTAAAACAGTTGAATACAAGTGTTAAGACACAAACGATTGAAGACGAACTTCCACATGCTCTAAGAGTTACGCTTCGTCTCGCTCTTTAACTACACCATATACTATTCCAAATAGCTAGAAATCGAGTTTGTTTAACGTTTAGTATTGGTTTAACTTAAATATGCGTACATATATACATAGAAGATATATTCCTCATTTGACAGAAGTGCTTCGAGTTTTCGACTACTCCGTACTGCGTTCATAGGCTACAGAACCCTAACCCCCCTTTTAGGAGAAGAATTAATTTCTAGAAATCACACCTGACGTATGTATGTACAAACATACTTGCATATTATCATAGGATCAAAAATTTGAACTATTTTTGGTTAACATAACCATCCCATCTAACATGCTGGCGGGTTATGTTAAAGCCATACTCTGCAGTATCATGGGGAGTGAGGTGCATCCGAACTCTTAATGCATCAAAACGTAAGTTGAATATATAGTACATCGAAATATGTGTTTGGAGACATGGTTTTATAGCCCAATTAAAACACCGTAGGAACGCCAGGGCCGACGAAAAATGTATAATTCTACACCGCTCATGCAAGAAAATTATTCAAAACACCAGAAATCAAGGGTCGTCATCGATATTCACAAGCGCTTTGGCCAATTGTGGAATATCTGACCATGATTCAAGTCTTCTGGACAAAAGTTCCCCATCGGGGGTACAGAGCATTTTCAGATCGTCCCCATGTTGTTGCAGAGGCTGAAAAACACGGACCAAAGAAACCAAGTATTCAACTAATTCTCGGTCTGCTGCTGTGTACTCCATGTTCGGAGCGGCTAAACTGCTGCGAAGGTTCTCAATAATGGTATAAATATCAGCCACAAGAGGCACAGTTGAGGGCAACTCCCTCCGTAACGCTGCCATAATGGACCAATGTATTCCACCGAGGTGACCGATATCAGCAGAGGCATTCGCAACCATCCTGACCGTCTTAGCATCGAGCTTCCTTGGCGCATTATCATGGTTGCAGGCGAATCGCATAAGTCTTAAGGCATCTTTCGGTCGATTTTCTGCTATTAAGCTAGCACAAGTTGTGACTAATACCCGGTTGTTGATAGGTCTGGCTTCCTGAACAAGAATATCGTAAAAATTAGATATCCCTAGTGCTAGTGCCTCCTCTTCTGAGATGTCATTGCTGTAACTTAATATCCGTTTAAAAAAGGGAAGTAGAGCTGTGTTATCGAGCATTACTAACGCATCCATATCAGTTTCGAGGGTGTGTTTTGCTTCCAAAATGGATCGATCCCGAAGAATCATGGCAGTGACTGCTAAATTTAACTCTAGCGTGCTCACTTTTCTGCCTAGCAGCCTAATTTCTTGAAAGCGCCCTACTGCCACACCCGGCGAACCTTGCTCTATGTGGTATATTAGATGCTCTTCAAGAGGGACAGCATAATCAAAGGTCGAAGGGCGGGATTGGAAATCGTACGGTTTGCCCCTCAAAAGGTTATTTGGCTTTTCGCGGATGGTAACATTTGGGACTCTCTGCCTTCTATGAAGACGTCCAAATAACCTACTCATCTCCCAGATACTTGGGGGGGTCCATATACGTCTGTGCTGTGACTCCGCCAGCTTTAGAAGTTTTTCTTTATCTAATGTGACGGGCCAATTGCCGTCTTCGGCGGTTTTTATAAGTTCAACCATCATTTCCGTGGTACCTTTTTGGAGATAGGTCCGTACGATGTGATTAAAAAAGATGTTATCGGGAATGATACCAAAGTTTTCAATGCCACGAAAGAAAAAATCGCGGATTTTAGGGCCAGAATGCACCGCTGAAAATTCCAAGAAGACTCGGTGGAAAGTTTGCAGCATATATCTTGACCCATTGTGAAGTTCGTGGAGTTTTTCGAGAATGCGAAACACTTCCTCCCATTCGAATTTCAAAGCTTGCTGACGTGCCATTTTGCTTAGTAGTCGACCAGGAGGACTATGGTCGTATCGAGCCTTCATATCTTCTATCAAATGCACTATGGATTTTGGATCATCTGCCTCAACCAAAGCTTCCAACATACCACTGAAAAAAGGTCGCGAAAGTTCTATTTTGTTTTGTCTCAACATTGTTGTCGATGCATCGAATTGAGCCTTAACTAGTTCAATGTCGCCGGTTTTCTTCCAGAGACCAAGAATGTATACATTGCACAGACTACACAGTTTGTCGTCCTTCAAAAAGCGAAATACGAACTGTTTGGCGTCTTCTAGTCGGAGGCTGTGGAGTAAACTCGTTAACACCAGAGGCCGAAGTTGTTCTGAAATATCAAATGTCTCGGAATGTTTAAGGTAAATCTCAACCACCGCTTCTCGCTTCCACTGAGTACCCAAAGCATGAATCATCGCCTCCCAGGACTCCTGAGATAAGGTGAGGGCAAAATCCATCCATTCATAAAGACGATAAGCAAGATTAAAATGACCAGCATTTATGGTCTCATTGAATAACCGAAAGCAAATATCTTTGGCATTTTCAGATACATCAGGCGATGGCTGGATGTAAGTTAGAAATCGCTGAGCGGCTGTCATGAATTTGCTCGCGTCAACGAGCCTTTGTATTGATCCCTCAGTTCCTGATCGTTTTGTGTGGCAGTGGTTTGAGCGGTTCGTATCAGATGAATCATGGTTGTGCCTTTTCACCTGGGTCCCGGCCTGTTCTTTAGATTGCAGTTCGCTTAATAGGGCACTGAAATTATCCTCCGCTATCATGGGCTGGCCAACGGGTGGTATCCGAACATTTCGTTCCACCTTCAAGGACCCGAGAGTCTGAATCCAAGACAAAGAATCGTCCAGAGTGTTTCTTTCCCTGGGACTCAAGCGCTTGGTCCCAGTCTCCCTGTTTCTATCCAATTCATCTATACGCGGCGGGGCTTCTTTGTTAGCGGCTTCTCTGGTATATTCTGGTCTGAAGGATTCGGTATCCAGATATTCCCCCGATTCTGCCGCTTCCATAATGCGGTTGAGCGTTGCCCGCCTTGCTTGCATATTGTAGTTTGGACATGTTGCGCTTAAGCTTCGTTTGCTCTCCAGAAGGCATTCCGCGGATCCAATCCGCCGATTAATTTCGTAGGTAATGGTGCCAACCGTGACAACACTCCCTACAGCTCCGACGGTCGAGCCGGCTAATGCTAAGCGTCGTACCGCACCAGGCGCTCTTCGTAGGCAGAGGGAAGGTCCGGGCACAGGGCGAGTGAACATTCCGTGGAAGGTCAAAGGGTCGATCAAGAGTGCATATTTTGCGCCGCATCGAAAAATAGCGCCGGCATTGGCGTGCAGACGAAGCTGGTAGTCGGCACCGCTGTTGGCGAATCGTGAGATTTTTGCTTTTCGCCGGATTGACTACATAAAACCACCCGGGCAGGTGTTGATGGAAGCTCGGTAGAACTATTATCCGAGATATTCCGAATCCCACACTCCAGACCGCCAACTCATCCCACCCGTTGGTGCTGTGCACGATACGGAGTACTCCGTACACATATCCACCCAGACATGACTGCATCAAAGTCCTCCTATTTCGGTATCCTAGTCATGTTCTTTAAGAATAGCTAAATCTAGCCCAAATCCGCAGTCACTCCCGGAACTAGAATTGAAGTCTGGTTTACTAAAGAGTAGAGGTGCATACCTCCCTTAAAGGAGTATTTATATGGGCTTCCTACCTTGGATATTTTAAGCTGCAATCCCGGCATACGGAGATAATGATACCTCAACAAGCGTCTTGGATACTCAATGCATTCCAAATCCGACTTTTCGCTGGTATAATTCCTGCTTAAATCCCATGTTTTGCGTGCTATAGCTTTTCTGGAGGCGAAGAGCTTCGATCGTCAGACCTGCCATGTTGACTGAAATAGAAGAGCACCATCATCGCTGTGCTGCTGAGTAAGAAGATATGAGGGTTGTTTAAAAGAAGGCCAACACTTTGTGTTTGATATTTACTTTGGAACAGAGAATATGGCTCAAGCAAACCTATTTACCCTGATAAGGTAAATGAATTACGGCATGCCTGGACGGGCTGCGTTGACAATTTTTAAAGAGAATAAAGTCGCTGTATATTTACCCCGTTTCGCTTATTCTCTATCAGGAATAAACATAGTCTGCGCCCCTCTTTTCTTTCTTTCTTTCTTTTTTACAATACAGGCTGAGATGGGTGTATGTGTACCTGCAGCTCTTTCCGTACAATCCGGACCAACCAGGGTAGCTGATCCCTGCCCCGTGTTCTCAGTCTTTAAGGATGCAGAATTAGATAGTTACATGTTGGTGTCGATGCGCTAATATACGAGAATACACTCAAGGGCAGTTGCAAGAACCGCCATTCCGGTTCATGGGTAAGAAGACGCAGTTATATTTAAGTCTTGATACAGAATATTATCGTGAAATTATAATTATGTACGAATGCACAATGTTTTGAGGTCGGCCATCTCGTGTGGAGGGCATATTCCGCATACAGAATGCGCACATGCTGTGATAGCTAGTTTCAGCATTATCCTCGCCTGTCATCTAGTTCCGGAACGACTGCTTCCCCTGTGCTGAGCTCTGCCGCCGGCCGCCGCATCTTGTCTGAATTGTAGTTTTTGGTCTCGGATGTCACGCGACCCCCCGTGCCATATCCAGCCTGCTCCTGTTCGATATAACGCCGATGTTTTCTTCGTTCATATGAAACCCACCAGAGCGCAGCGAGTGCAATTGCAGCCAATGGCACACCAACTCCCACGCCAATAGCAATATTCCGAGAGTTTGACAACGAGGACCCGTCGGTACTGGGTATTGATGATGATGCTGGACTAGTTTCGGTGTTCGATAAAGAGGTGGTTGATACGGCGGTTGGGCTGGGAGTGCTCTGCGTTGCTGGAGTCGAGGAGATGACGTTTGAGAGAGCAGCATGGCCAAAGATCACGTCCCCGTCATTCAGTGGGAACGGGTCTTCGCCGTTGACGCACCCAACGGTCGATCCATTCGTAACAACGCCGTCGCAACAATATGTCGCTCGCTTGTCGTATTGGGCATTGATGATGGAAATGCCGCCGTTTTGCCGAAACCTGGGCCCGCGACAAGCTGATGGGCATCGGTCCGATTTCCAGCTGCGGTCGGTGCAGGTTCCTCGCGATATAGTATACGGCTGGTGTCCGGCGTTTATGCAAACGCCATTGCTCAGACAAATGTCGTTATATCGACAGCAAAAAGTGGATTGGCCCGTTGAACAAGGGACATCTAGGTTCGCAAGGCTGCCATCAGGAAAATAGCATGGCTGGGAGAGTGCCATCAACCCGAATGACAGTTGGAAATAGACAGTCAAACAACGCTGTAATAATAGCCGCAACATCGCATGGCAGAGTTATAACGGGAGCGGAGATGCTCGAAATCAGCAAGCTGCCATATTCATGAAGGCTGATCGTCGGCAAATCACGCCGCCCCTAAAGTGGAGGTTCATTATTGTACCCCGTCACGCTGATCGAAAGGAGATTATTCCTGTTCTGATCCCGGGGGCTGGAAGCTTGTCACCCGTGTTCTGTTTCTTCAAGAGCAAAACTTTTCTCACTGCCCAATAATGTATCGTACCGCTGACTTTTGCAGGGGTGGGGAATATCTGCGTGCCCCGGTGCGGATCCGCTGTGCATGGGACAATGCTGGCCCCATAAAAACCACCAGCGGCAACAACTTCTTGTATGCACGGGCGGACCAATCGTTTCAATGTCCCTTGGTGGCTTTTGCCCTTGTCACACCTAGCCCTCTCTCGTGCCAGGGTGACATTATGAAGAAGGCCAGTGTACGTCTCAGCCGGCTCGTACTAATAAGCTGAATTGGAGGCTGGAGGGACGCATTAATTTTGACTCATATTTCAGCAATTCACTTCTCAAAAGTAAATGCACTATTAGGGTTTCATCGAGCCTTAGCTTCAAAGCTTTGCCGCCTATCATGTATCGTGTACTGTTTCCCTGTTGAATCTCTCCTGCGATAAAAGTGCTTTGATTCCAGTTAAAGCTTTGTCACATATGCATAGCAAAACACTAAAAGCAATAAATGCAGATAATTGTCAAATATATGGATACATCATGCCCAAAAAATATGTAAGGAGAAATGCGAAAATAGACATGTACACCATTGCGCCGTCCAACATATGCCACATTTTCCGGTAGAAGTAAACAAAATCATGCTTCGTTTAAACAAAGAGCAATATATGCATGAATAATTGCAAAAACTATGGCATCTCACATCATCATTCGTGGCGGTAGAGTAAAGAGTCGAGGTATCAAATAACATTGGTGACGTCTTCTAAGTCTTCTGGCTCAACTGTGCTGCTTGGTGCATCTTGCAAGAATACTGTATTCAAGTTAATAAATAAGGCATATGAGAGTGAATGTTGGTTGGGTACGAACCGTGCGGCTTTAGGAACCAAGACGATATAAACGCAACGAATATCAACCCGGACAAGCAAATAAAAACAGTTTGTGGGACGGTGCGTACTGTCAAACTGTATATCATATTGAATATTGTCGGTGCAACGACCCGCGCAAGGGCGTGGAGCAACCCAATAGCACCCAGAAGTTGCCCTGTTTGTTCGGCAGGAACATGTTTTGTGAGGGATGACTGAAGTGTTGGCGATGCCATCGCACCCATTGCTGCCGTGGCACCAGAGAGCATCAACAGGGGGCCAGAGCGGACGAGACAGTACCCTAAATAGCCGAGCATATCAAACAAAACTGATATCCTAATGATGACAATGTCCAGCATATCAGAGCCCTCCTTGTGTTTATTCTTAGAGGCAGATTTGCGAAAGAGTCGGGTGAGGGTTGGAAGAATGGCAAGAAGAATGGCGACTCGCACGGTGCTGGTCATGGACACCAGCATACTTGATTGGAAGTTGCCCCAGCCAAACATGTATTCCGCGTAGATGATCAGCACACCCATTGTGCTCATGGCGACACCAAATATTGACGTGTCGATAGCCGATAAGATAATCAAATTCCTTCGCACATCCCGTAGTTTCTTTTTCTCTCCGGGCACCGACGGCCTTGTTCGATCTTCCCGAGGAAAAAGAATCGAAAGCGGCCTTAGAAGACTCAGTGGGTTGAGATTTCTCCATGACTTCCACCGCACAGCGCTGGCATCAAATAGCCGTATATTGCGTTTTTGCCGGTTGGATTCCTGGTTCTGCTTGGAAAGGGATTCAGGAACGATCAAAGACATAGAAACTAGAAACAGTACTTGGCATGCCAGAACGGAATAGAACACTATGAGCACGTTGTTCGTTAGTTTGATCAGGTAGCCGGCAATAAACGGGCCAAGCGCGATGCCACTGAACAACACGCCATGAAAGTAGCCAAAGGCGACGTTTCGGCGCTCTGGGGCCACACAGTCTGCAGCGTACGACTGGGTGAGAGCTACTGCGGTAGTGACTGATCCAAAAAGGCCATCAAATGTAGCTCCAAGAAGGAGGAAGTTCAGAGAAAAGACGTCAGGGCGAGCGGCCACCATGACCGTCACAACCTCACCCAACAAGGTACCGAAGGTAGCCAGTGCGATGATCTTTGTCCTCCCGTAGCCATCGGAAAGCACTCCTAGTTTTGGGCTCGCAATGGCAGCCAGGGCCCCCGCAATCAGATTCAACATCAGCTGGAATCTTGAGACCAGCGCTTGGACTTCCGGGATGCGGCATTGCTCGTTATCTGCGCCAAATACCACGGGCAGGTAGGTAAATGTAGGATCCAACGCCGCACGCTCGGACAGATAATCTCGACAGATCAAGGTTAGGATCAGGTTGATTTTGGGGACGGCAACGCCGCCGAACGCGATAGTGAATGGGAGCAGCGGCGGGATGACCCAGTAGATCTAGATGATTGGGTTCATCAGCTATGTAGTTCAACTTCCGGGCAGCGGAGCGTCTCAGGTAGCTCACGGACGGCCGCTTCCACCAGGGCAGGCCTGCAAAGCCGGCTCCCGCAACGTATTTGGCCGGTTCGTCGCCGTTGATGGTCGGCTGGGCGGATGCGAGCAGCGCAGAGCGTTCGTCGACACGGGTTTGCGCCATGCTGTCTCGGCTGCCTGCAAAGCCACGGTGAGAGTCGAAGGACGGCCTGCTGTCAACAGGGCGGGCCGAAGCATTCGTGCTCTGCCGCCGCCCGCGAGCCGAGTCGGACGCCATCTGATCACTCACGGTCGCCCACAAGCTTTAATAGTTAAGCTTCGTGAAGGTGGGTTCTGCGATAAAGAAAAATCCAGATTTCACAAGCTCCAAGACCACGATACGCCGCGACCGGCGTGAGAAAGCAGCGTTGAGGCGCGAAATAAGAATGCCTGAGCCCGCGGGATCCTCATCATTGCTGCTGAATTATTAATCGCCGTCGCGGATTTCGAGCTGAGAAAAAACTTGCTCATCTGTCAACTTAGTTCCGCTGGGATGTCTCGTTTTGCGTTTTGCTCGGCTGGCCGGTCCGCGTTCCACGTCGGCGCCAGCTCGCCTCAGGCGATGTCATCGGGCTTATTCTGCTTATTGCAGGACTAACAATGGCTCGCGGATGGTGTGTGCTGTCTCGATTCGACCCGCACGGCGTCGACGAGGCTTCTCCAGCTCCTGCGGCGGCCTGATATGCGCCAGAAACGTGTCGCGAGCAGGCGAACACGGCTAGAATCTCCAGCAGCCCTGAGTTCCCCTGTCACAGTTCTGCTTCGGCCCAACACCATGCAGGTTCACTGTCGTCTCACGCCTGGCATCCTTGCGGCGAATACGAGCGGGCTAGGCCTGCATGAGTTATGTCATATTTCTATTCTGTGGTAGTTATATCGCTAATAATATCTATGGCCTAAAGCCAACCTTGAAGCCCATCCCATCGTAGAACCTATTCAGCTATTGTACAAGATCCCCGTACTGCGACCCGCCAAAGAACTTCTTTTGATGCAGACACCGGTCGCTCGTGCACCCCTGGCATCTCAGAGTCATTTGTCGCGAACAGTTATCGCCACTGCGCAGATGCTGTGCTGCGAGGTTTGCCAGTCCTTCAATAAAGACGGGATGGCCATTCAAACTCTCCACGCGTTTCACGCCTGGAGAGTCAGCATCTTTGATGACTTCTAAGTCTAATTCATACAGCGTTTCAATATGGTCGCTGGTGAATGCAATGGGGATCAGTAAAAGATCCGTTTGCCCACGCTTGACATAGTTTTCTACCGTGTGGCTGGTTTGTGCTCCCAGCCAGGCCGACGGCCCAACTTGAGATTGCCAGCAGAGGCGATATGGATTCGAAAACTTGAGTCTTTGCATGACTGCATGGACTGTAGCCGCTACCTCTGAGGGATATGGGTCCCCTGTAATTATAAGTCAGTCCCCAGGTTTTAGACGTAGAGTGGTATAGAGAATACCTCTGTTCACAACACTCATCGGTAAGCTATGTGCCGAGAAAAGGAGAACAACATCGTGCCTTCGTTCCTCGGGGTATGTCTTCAACTGTGCCTCGATGTTCTGTGCGAAGGCCTCCACTAAACCGGGGTGTGTCGGCCACCGATCAATCACACTCCATTGTATAGCGCCAGCAGGCTCTACGCCGTCATTGCCACGTTTTCCTTCTAGTCGGTTTCTCCATTTCCATAATTCATTCAGCGAACTGCCTGTCGTCGAGCAGGAATACTGGGGGTATTGCGTGAACGCTACTGCCCGACCGCCGTTCCCTCTTCCGAAGCCGTCATCGAGGAGCCGGGCATACATCTCTTCAGTTAATGGGGCAGCATACCGGAACGCGACATATGGCTTATGCGGCGCGGTTTCCGGTGATATTCTATCAAGTATCTTGCACATCTCCTCGCACTGGTATTCGGACCATTTTCTGATTGGAGACCCTCCGCCAATTTCTGCATATTGTTTTTGGATCTTCGGCGTTCGTCGACGAGAGATCAGCGGGCCAAGATATGATTGAAGGCGGCCGAGAGGTATTAAGTCACCATCTGCCTGGAAAAAATAGTAAGCATAGTATTAGGTATGAAGCAATTCGGAATAGCATACAAAAAGCCTGCTCAAGAAGTCGCCAACTTCGGCCGTAGTCGACGGCCCGCCCATATTTAAAAAGACCATCGCCGTAGGGCCTTGAGCTCCGACTGAATTCTGTGTCACCGGTGGCACTGCCGTCGCCATTCCACGCCATCTCTGAATATGACTATTTGTCCGGCTCGAAGTCCGCCATATCTCGCCCAGCTCCCGCTGGCAAAATCTTGACATCGATTTGGGCAACGCCATCACTGAAGTTCAAATAAAAAATGAGACGACTTATCTCAGAAGACTGGTTTCATTTAACGGTGTTCTCGATTGAAATAGTGTGCATTTATCATGTTTTCCAGCCGTTTGAATTCCGGCTTCTCATACTCAGCTCCGTTACTCCCCTGTCCAATCAGACGACGCGGGATGTCAGTTCGGTCATGTGATTTGGCGTCATCAGACGCGTTCTTGGATTACCTCATCACGCGTGGTGGACTAGGCTCCAGAGTGGGAAGACGCCCTTGTCTTTGCACAGGTTGGAAACGAATCATTTTGACAATGGCCGAGGGGGGTTATACTCGTGAGGATGATGTTCTTGAAGAGGAGGATGAGATCGACGACACTGTAAGAGCGCCTGACGTTCTTTTGAAGCTGTATGGCTGATCCATTCAGGGCTATAAAACTGTCAAAGATGCCGTTCTATTTGCTATTGAAGTTAGCGAATCTATGCTAACACTATCTCCGTACTCAACCTCGAAAAAGGCGCCCCCGGAATCTCCGGCCACTGCCGCACTGAAATGCGCCTATCACCTGATGCAGCAGCGCATTATATCCAACCCACGGGACATGATTGGTGTCTTGTTATATGGAACAAAGACTTCAAAGTTTTATAACGACGATGAACATGGGAGAGGAAGTCTCCCGTATCCCCACTGTTACCTTTTCACAGACTTGGATGTTCCGGCTGCATCAGACGTTAAAGAACTGAGGGCATTAGTGGAAGACGAAGATAGAGCTGCAGAAGTCCTAGTCCAATCAGAGGAGCCTGTATCCATGGCCAATGTTCTATTCTGCGCTAACCAAATATTCACTACCAAAGCCCCGAATTTTTCGTCAAGACGGCTGTTTATTGTAACAGACAATGACAACCCGCACTCGCAGAACAAGGCATTACGATCCGCTGCGACGGTGCGCGCTAAGGATTTATATGATCTTGGTGTTACTATTGAATTGTTTCCTATCTCAAAACCTGACTCGGACTTTAATATGTCGAAGTTCTACGACGTATGTTTATACCATCATCGTGGTACATTCCGTCTTCTGCTGACATATATCCCTAGGATATTATATATAGATCCTCTTCTACTGATCCAGAGGCACCTGACAATTCTCACATGTCATCAACTACCACTAGTGGTGCAGACGGAATATCAATATTAAATAGCCTGCTATCTTCGATCAAGTCAAAATCGGTCCCCCGTCGTGCTTTATTCTCCAATGTTTCTTTGGAGATTGGCCCCGGTTTCAGTATATCTGTAACAGGATTTCTTATATTTAAACGGCAAGAGCCGGCTAGAAGCTGCTTCGTATGGCTTGGGGATGAGACACCTCAGATAGCTAAGGGAGTAACAACACAACTTGCGGACGACTCGGCCCGTGAGGTAGAAAAATGGGAAATCAGAAAGGCTTATAAATTCGGAGGTGATCATATTTCATTCACGCAGGAGGAGCAGAGCACGCTGAGGAACTTTGGCGACCCTGTTATCCGTGTTATTGGATTCCGCCCAATGTCATCACTTCCAATCTGGGCTTCCACCAAGCATCCTACCTTTATATACCCTTCCGAGGAAGTTTTTGTTGGCTCCACCCGAGTCTTTTCGGCATTGCAGCAGACTTTGTTAAAGAAAGAAAAATACGCACTTGTGTGGTTCATTCCCCGAAAAAACGCAGCCCCTGTTATGGCGGCAATGATTCCAGGCACAGAGAAGCTGGATGATAATGGCACACAAGTAATGCCTCCGGGAATGTGGATTCTACCATTGCCTTTCGCAGATGATATACGCCAAAATCCAGAAACACATAACATTGTCGCACCGGAAACCTTAATAGACAAAATGAGAGCTGTCATAGAAATGCTAAAACTTCCCAAGGCCCGCTATGATCCCTTGAAATACCCGAACCCTTGTGAGTGTTCTCTATCTATTTTCTTCTTCTTATATCCCTGACCATTCATAGCACTACAATGGCATTACCGTATTCTTCAAGCATTGGCCCTTGACGAAGACCTTCCAGAAATACCTGAAGATAAAACAATTCCTAAGTACAAACAAATTCACAAGGTTTGTTTATCCGCGTTTTAGGTTGATATCTCTATGGCTTACCTTTCTAACCCATAAAACCAGCGTGTTGGCGAAGATGTGATAGCTTGGGGACAAGAACTAGAAATTCATTACCGCCTGCTTGAGCGACGGCAGCCCGCTACATCAACCTTGGTAAAACGGCCTGCACCTAGCAAAAGGGATAATTCCACCGAGAGAACTACAAAGAGAGTAAAAACTGATGGTCCCGCAGCTGATGTAGTGAAGTTGCATTATGAAGAAGGAAATTTGAACAAGGTTTGGATTATGAGTCCCTACTTGAGATGCGAGACTAACAAGTAGTATAGCTTACAGTGGCAGTTCTGAAGGAGTATTTGCTAGGTCAAGATCTTTCGGGGGCTGGTAAAAAAGCGGATCTAATTGACAGAATTCAGATGTTTTTGGGGAGTAGGTGAATCAAGCTCCTATGACTCAGGTAATATCAATTTTAAGTTCTGTTTTAGAATTGTATTGAGGCGTCCGACCATTTATTTTTGGTCCTTTTGGGATATCATGGATGTTGGTTGGATGGGGAGAATTGATTCTGTGGTTCTCTAATGAATGACTGTCAGGGGTTGAACTACCAGACTGGGCCTATTGTTTCTCTATTCTATTGATCAGTAGATGGTCAATAGATTGGTATTGAAATTAATTCGATCATACTTCTGGAAACACAAATTTCTGATAACCCTGTGGGCTGGAGCTTTTGGTATAGATGATTTTTCATAAATGGAACATTCTCCCTGGTTGAAGACCTGGGTGCTTACGGTATATAACTCAATCACTAGCTTAGCTAGTCAAGGCATAATGCATTCCAGTAAGTATGAAAATATTCATGAACTATGATCTACTCTTAACATCTTTTCTACATAATCTGTTCTTATCAAGTCTGAAAAATAGCTATAAATATCATTGAAAGCTGATATACTTATTTGAGTGGATGTCACTCAAGAAGATAGGAACATTGGAGAGATCCAAGGACGAATCCGTGATTCAAAAGTATTTTAATCTTCCCAATTGACCAGGTATATGGGTAAACAATGCATAAATACACAGCTACGACAACAATCCTTGTATATCTGCAGGTTTGCAATTGGCGAGTCACTTCTGTTAGCTGTAGCTCGGCATGTGCCTTTCTTGGCATAGTTATGTGATCAATCTGAAAGTCAACAAGAAGGTTTTGGATGTGACCGCGGCATCGCACACCAGCTTGGGAAATTTCAACATTCACAGGATGCGATGCTGTGGAGCTTAGCGATAGTAGCCATCGGATTCGGCTTGCTAGGTTGTGTGGAGAGTGGGAGCGTCTTTAAGATGAGGTGACTCTTGTTAGAGATGCCATGAAAATTTCACTGTTCTTAATCAGAGTACGGAGTAGGCAGAGTCGACACTGAATATTGAGTCGCATAGCATATTAACCCTGGGGACTACCCCTTCGATAGCACGTATATCATAGAGTTGACAATACACCTAAAGGCTAGTGGCATTTTGGAGTGCATAAAGGAGCCTTAACTGACAGGCATGACGATTCAAATCCTTGTCATCGCAATGGGTTTTTGATTGTCGATAAAGGAGCCAGCCGATATTCTAGAATGCCTTTTAAGACGGTAAGATTTGTTGTTGAAAACAATCTTGTGGTGATCCGTCGGTATACCATGGTATAAATATCTAGGAGGCAACCTTTCAATTAATCAGGATACTGAGGGGGGAGGAGTTCAAAGACTCAGTGACGAGCTAGGCGGGAGGAACGATATTTAGTTCTTTATAATTGGGTTTTGGAGAAAGTAAGGTTGGCTCCACCGGCCACATAGAGGCAATGGGTGGTCTGTTGACGGGAGTCAATGCTTTGGTAGCGGCAGTAAAAGAGGACCTTATACTCCCGAAGTATTTCAATCCGCAGCAAACCTGCCCAAAAAATCACATGAAAATAGCCGCGGTACCCGGGGGACGGTTGTTTCAAGAAGTCGAGGGTTTAGCCTTTGCATGAAGCACCAACAATGCCAGTACTGATCATCAATTTTGGGTGCAGCCAGGGCTGAAACTGCGGCGCCGTGGAATCTTCGATGATGCTGACTAGAACGATGGATGAGGAGGATCAACCTTACATGCTTAGTCACCGGTCTGTGAAACGGTACCAATACTGATTGTATGTTTGAAGCCGACCTGACGACGAGCCGCTGCAAGTGTCTTTAACCTCGGAGGGTTGCTGGAATCCGAAGCTAGAGCTTGAATCCACAGACCAGCGGCTTACTTACCGGCGTATTATCTGTGTTTCTGCGTTTTTCTCGGTGCTGCTAGGGCGACAAGCACCGCTTGTTTTTGCTCCTGAGACCGCGTCCGTACGGTACCGGGGCGGTAATTTCAGCGCCAGCCTAAACTGGCAATTTCCGCCTCGTCGCTCTTCTTCTCTTCTCTCTCCGTCCCCGCCCTAGCTGTGCAATTGCTGTGGCCTGTGTGCTATTCGGCCCGCTGCATTTTGGTATGCAGCTGTGCAGTGTGGGTGATCAGTCATTCTTTTACTTACCTATCTTTCCTATTTTCCCCTTTTGTTATTGAGGTGTCGTGCGGGCCAGTTGGCACCTTGTGTGTGTTGGCAACAAACTAACACTGTCCCGCGACAAAACACCCAATAACGCGTCTTGGATGCGAAACAACCCAGGTTGCTCACCATCGGGATTCGCCCTTCGTTTTTAATTTATTTTCTATTATCTACTGTCTCTGTGTCTCGCGACGCACCTGGTGGGTTTTACGCCGAATACGGTGGATATAGGTCGTGGGAATATCCTTTTCGAGCCCCGACGCTGAACCGCCCCGAGTGTTTCTCCTGGAGGATATCAAGAATATTCGGTTAAAATGAAATATTTCGCCTAGCTCGTCCCGCCATTGAATCTCGACGCGCACCATGGCCGAATCCCGTTCGTATCACCCCGGAGTTACGAGTGATAATGGGGTGGATTTGGAGGACCCGTTTGTTTCCCATACGGCGGTCGGAAACTACTCCCAACCACACCGCTATACGTCTTTTGATACACATTTCTTCTCGTTAAATGCTTCTTCTACTCTGCAAATAAAGCGCGCCCTCGAGGCGCATTTGGCGGAGACGGAGCGCAGATTACAAGAAACGTCCAAGCTTGGCACATCTTTAGTGGAGCAGCAGAGAGAGCTCTCGGAGAAGTTGGGGGAAGTCGAAAGACAACAGGCAGACGGGGAAATTGGCCCTGATCTACGGCAACGATTGCAGGACCTGGAGAAGGAGTACAATGAGATAGGGCGAGAGACTGCAAGGGTTGCTCTTGGACCTAGGATGAGGGCAATGGGCCAGGACGACGGCTTAACCACGCCCTCATTGGATTCTCGTGTAAGGGTATGAAATTGATGTTTCTGGCAAATTGTTAATTGCATTTTTTTTTCAGCACCACGCGAGCCCGTCCGTATTCTCTAGCCAGGCCACCAATTCGCCTTCGAAAGTATCAGTTCCATCCCGTAAGCAGCGCAACCAGCCATCGACCCGGGTCCACGACATAGAATTTGCGACCGAAATTAGTACGTCTCTACTCGCTCAGGTCCGCCAATTACAAATACTCCTTGCGGAGCGAGAAGAAACAGTGAAAGCATTAAATCTTGAGAAATCTCGTCTTGAACTTGAAGCTGAAGGGTTTACACAGCGACTCAGATCCCTTGACGAGAGTGAACAGCGCTATAAAGATGAAAACTGGGGCTTGGAAACACAGACTCATGAGCTTCTAGCTGCTGCAAAGGAATCATCAGACCGGGAAAGTCGCCTAACTACCAGCCTAAATGCACTCGCGATTGAAAAGAGCAACATTCAGCGGGAGCTAGATGAACTCAAACAAGCTCACGGTAAACTCACTGAAGAGAATCTCACAGCCCAGAAGACATATGATTCTGAACTTCATATTTTGCGTCGCAACGTAAATCTTGGGGAAACTGAGCGCAAATCCCTTCAACATAAAGTTGAAGAGCTAGCAGGGCAAAACCAGGAACTTGCTAAAGCTGTTGCGGCAAAACTCCGTCATAATGAGACAGATTTTGGTAAGAATCTCACTTTGGAAGAAGAAAACAAAAAGTCAGATGAATCAACACCTGAGAATTCGCCGCCCCCGTCACCAAACAAGCCAACACCACGTCATGGACATCTAGAGTCGGAGACTCTGAAAAGCTCATTACATCATGCTCACAGAATGATTCAAACTCTTAAAGGCACCATCCATAGGGAAAAAACAGAGAAAATTGAGCTTAAGCGCATGCTGCAAGAAGCAAGAGATGAGCTGGAACAACGTCGTACAGAGCCTGCTCGGCCGCTAAGCTCCCACAACAGACGACAAAAGCAGAAAGCGGACGCCTTTAAGAAGCCACCGCGACCAGAGATGCTTGGCGCCGGCAGAAGGGGAACTACCCAGATAGAAGTCGCTGAGCCCGACTGGGAAGATGAATCTTTTGAACCAAGCCCCACTCGTGCTATTCCCCCAAGCAGACGCCCTGTATTTCAATCTGGAATGGACTCGGCTTCAGCAAGTGATGCCTATCAAACAGCGAATGAAACTGAAGGATTTGAGACTGCAAACGAACGCGAAACAGCCACTGAAAGTGATGCCTTCCAAACCGGAGCCGAGAACTTTGTTGGCGACAGCAGCGACGATCTTACTGAAACCGAATCCCGGGCCGGCCGTACCGACACAATTCGCGTCAAACGTCCTGGGCAATTGCCTGCTAGCAGGCCTATCTCTTTCGTCAGCACTGCTTCTACTTCTGGAGATGAGGATGAATACACTGAGGTACGAACGCCTGTGCAAACTCAGCCCCCACGTTATCGACTTAAGATGAGCCGAGGGCGACGGAATCGGGCCTCACAGGAAGTTCATACGCGTCAGGGAAGTGTTCCACTGAGTCCCCGCGACTCACCTGCAAGCTTAAACAGCCCTCCTCAAAGTCCACATCAAAGAACGGTATCAGGTGGACAGAGTCTTTTCGCTGAGCTTGACGGCTTTGTTGGAGCCGGAAGCGATGGCGAATTCGGTGCACCCCTTCGCTCAAATACAGCTTCGGAAGTCTCTACGCCGAGTCGTCGACAAAGCTTTGCAACTTTCCCAGATTCAAGTCGCCCGTCTACTTCAAAACACATTTCTATGATTGATTCTTCTACGATGACCGAACTCCTAACCAATGTCGCCGAAGTTAAACACATAGGAACGTCGACAGAAGCCCGAGAATTCGCAGACGCCTCTACTACTTACGAAAGGGTTGTTCTCACCGACTCCGCTACCCAGGCTGCCCCATCCGAACCTAGCTGCCGCTCCGAAAGTGAGATTATGACAACTCTTGATATACCCCCGATACCGGTATCAGAGAAACCACACCATGACAGCCATATGGCTATTGGGACTGTGCCTATCCCCATTGCTATGTCCAATGAACCAGCTACCCAATCTGTCACACCTGAACCCAACTCCTATTCGGAAAGTGGAATCACGACAACTCTCGATATACCGCCAATACTAGCAGCAGAGAAACCGCAAAATAACGGCCATATGGCTGCTGGGGCTGTGCCAATCCCCATTCCTATGTCCAAAAAATCAGCCTCCCTTGCTAATTCGTCCATCTACTCTGAGCACACCATTCCTTTAGCCACCACGCCAACCCAAGCCCAACAGCAGACCTCATCCATGGAAATGCAACTATCCCAAATTACTTCTACGAATACCGCACCTATCGTTCCAGTCGAGCCCACTAAGTCTACATCAGAACTAGTAATATCGTCCATTCATTCCACCTCTACCATACCCACTGTCATTGGCCCATCGGAGCCACCAGTATTAGAACTCTCCCCAATAATTACCTCGGGAACTCCGCCCCAGGAACCAAGTGTCTCAATACCTACGGTTGAGCTAGCATTAAGCCCGATTCAGCACGCAGAATCAACGCCGAAACGGCCAATGACAGCAGTTCAAACAAGCGGCTCTCTTGGAGGTCTTCTATTGGCTTCACAGATACCAAGCCACATTTCCTCTGGGCCTGTTGTGAATGATCGTGGTATCCAACATGGTATTTCGACTTCAGATAAGGGAGTTGACACTTCGCCAACATCTAAGGTCGTGGAGTCTAATGAGAGTCCCACGGTTCAAGCGGTACCTGCGGTATCGGAAGTGCCATCACGTCAGGCCGTGGATACTTCCGAAGTATCTGCACAAACTATCCTAACCGGTGCTCAGATCGACAAACTTTTGATAGAACGTCAGAGCAGCCGTCCCGTGACTGCCATTGAAAACAAACAGGCTCAAGAAGGCATTTTGAGTACTCAAGCGTCCCCCTCCGCTACCCCCAAAGCGAAACATCAGCAGCCTAGCCAGACTGGTGTTTTCCTCAACCCAGGTCACCCGGCTTCTAGAAGGCCTGGCAGCGCTGGTAGCCAACGCTTTAATAGCTTCTCACATCCACCTCTTCCTGTTGATCATAAGCAAGCTATTGCTGCAGCTACTCAGAAAGTACCTTTGGATAACTCAATCTCTATCATGGGACCCCCAACTGCACCAGCATCGTCTTATCGCGGGGCTAGCAACACTCGACCCCATACGCCAAATGATCAAACTAGCCGTGCGTCTGTCCGAAATTTGACCACCCCTCGAACAAATTTCAGGCGAACAAGTACTAGTATGACCTCTCGTCGCTCTTCTGTATCATCTTTTGCCTCGGAACTGGACGAAAGGTTTAACTTGGCGAAAGGAGCCTACCCCTTTGACTCGGGCGCCGACCCTCGTATGATCCAAGCAATTACACAGACGATGATTGGGGAATTTTTGTGGAAGTATACCCGAAAGCCAGGCAGATCGGATATGTCTAATACACGACATCAAAGATATTTTTGGGTTCACCCGTATACACGAACGTTATATTGGAGCACACATGATCCACAAGTTGCTGGAAAGATGCAGCATAAAGCAAAAAGTGTTGCTATTGAGGCTGTTCGTGTCGTCAACGATGATAATCCATATCCCCCTGGTCTTCACCGAAAAAGCCTGGAGATCGTAACCCCTGGGCGTGTTATCAAATTCACAGCAGCTACGAGTCAGCGACATGAAACATGGTTCAATGCTCTTTCCTACCTTCTAATTAGAACGGCTGACGGTGAGAGCAATGATGAAGACGGTGGTTGGGAAGCCAGTAGCGAAATTAATTCCACAAACGGCCGTGTTTCCCGACAAGCTGAGTCTCGCAGATCGGTTTCTTCTCGTAATAGCCATACTACTCGTGCGATTTCGAAGCAGTTCATTGAAGTGACACCTACTCTCCGCCGACCAATCACCCCGAACCAGGCTTCTCCATCAATATCCAGCCGCCCGGGGTCATCTCTGCGCCATGAGCAGAATAGACAGGGCTCTGTATCAAGAATGAGCGGTGTATTGAGGCCATCAGGAATAAAATCAACGTTTTCTAGCCGGCGAAGTAGATACGGAAATGCCAACACGAGCATTGACACTACCAGTGCCGCTAGCAATGACAGTGCTGAGGATTTTAGACGGGTGATTGAAAGGCAAGAGAGAGACGCTGATCGACTAGAGAATGTGCGGGCTTGCTGTGACGGTGAGTCTATTTACGTATCCGAAAAGTATAGTCATTAGATACTAATACTGCCCAGGCAAACACGATGTCAGTTCGCTACCAAGAACAAGTCGGTATAGTAGTCGACTTAGCCCTCTAACAAACGCCCATACCTAATTCTCTGGTTGTTACTGTGCATTTTGCCTCAAGCTTTTTTCCGGGGCATTTTTGACACCTCACAAAAGAACATTGGAAGCTGTATGTTGTGGACGAATTTCCTTGATATCTTCTCTCTTTTTCAATCAAAATACTTGTTTGTATTTCGGTGCCTTTGACGATTGTTTAGTGCATTTATTCAGCCCTAAACTTGACCTTTTCTTGTTTACATACTGTGTTTTAGCTGCAGAGATGAGCGCTGAGTAATTTGCTATTTTGAGTTCACTCCAGCTGTATTTAGCCTCTAGATGTATGCTGTTGCAGAGTGACTTTCCTTTGTTTTACTTGTTCTTGATGGATGTGCATTGCACTTCTCAGTATGTTATTTTTTTTTGTTCGTGTCTTCTAACTGACCACTCGTTCCCCCCTTTTATGAAATCGTAATCCCCTTTGTTTTCTACAAACTACTTACTTGCTCCTCAGACTATTTTTGGGCTTCCTATTTCTTCGCTTCCTTCTCCTCTATTTGAAAATATCCTTTTGTAGTGTGAATGTCCTTTTTCTTGTTTCTGAAGATAACATGTATGTTCCTGTATTCGAGCTATACTGCCATATATGGTTGATTCTGAATGAAGCTCCTTGTGGACATCTGCGATTTTTTTGGGTACGTACTGAAGTCATGCTTTGACATACGACCGTCAAGGGGGGTTGGAAGGCTGGCACATAGCCAAACGGCTAAATATCGAGAATACCAATATTCGATGGATCTGATTATGTCCTGTCACCTCTTGGTTTTATTTACGACCCGTAGCTTGTTTGCGCACTTGGCCCCTTTCTCGACCCATACAATGGTAAGGGTTGATTGACATGTTTGCTATGTTTGTTTATTTGCCATATGGTTATTGGCTAGTTAGTCAGTTAGTTAACTACTGCATAGTTTGCCTTTGTGGTTTGCCCTGTTTGCATTGCCCTGGAATGGCGATTGGGCCAATCGAAGGGTGTATGAACATTTCCATTCACTACGGAGAGCTATTTGTCGTGCAGCCGCCCCTTTTTTTGTACTCAAATGTGAAGGAAGAACAAATTGATGTCTCTAGGTGGTGAATATCAATCAAACACCGATATGCTCAATTTACGCGCTAGTCTTCCCCGCTTGAAGCCGAACGCCCACTCCTCGGAAGCCAAATCAAGCTAACGAAATGTGGAGCCGATGCCGGGAACTGAAGCAAAGGGACGAACGGGCCTCACGATCCCTGTTCTCTTCAAGAACTTCAAAAGCGGAGAAGCGCGGCGCAGAATTCATTCTTCTCGACAACAGTTAGATCGGTCAAGATGGCGCATCCTGCCTTTTCTCAGCAGCTTAGTGACATGATTGAACCTGGATCAATATTGGTATCCAGCGCGCGACGTAAGCTGTCTGTTGTCAGGCCCAGGGTTGGCAGTTGTTCTGGTTGGCGAGTGCTAATTCTTATCTGCAGATTTCGCGGTAGTATTCTTTGACACGGTGTTTCGGCGGGGAGAAATCCTCGCTCCAATTCTGAGGATGTCACAGATTAGATCTGAAGCATTTGCAAAATTTTGGATCGAATTTTCAGGTATGAAGTTTGAACAGTTAGCAGGCCGAGCCACCCCAGCTGTTTGAAGCAAACGTGCCGAATTTGACATGGAAGTTTTGTGCTTCAACTTCTTCATTATTGCAGCCGTACCCTAATTTTTTCATTAATCCCCGGCAGTATTTAGTAGTATTTTGGAACTAAGAGCGGCGTTTAGGAGCCAGAAGCCCCGAAGCCGCAACAGAAGCTGAGCCTGTGGGCTCAAACGCCCTTCTGCCACCGCTTCTTGCCACCGCCAAGGGAGTAATTCTCGATATTGGTCCAGGAACGGGAACTCAAACTCCATTATTCACCAACCCCGGCATCAAAGTTATCTATGGCGCCGAGCCAACTCAAGATCTCCACGCCGACTTACAAGCAAAGGCTGAACGCTGTGGTAAATCGTCGACATACAAAATTTTGCATTGCGGGGCACAGCCGCAGTCTCTCGTCCCTGCGCTGGACAAAGCTGGCTTTGAAGATCTGGCCAGCGGGGTCTTCGACACCATTGTCTGCGTGCGCGTCCTTTGCTCTGTACCAAACCCTGACGATACAATTCGTGGGTTGTACCAATTGCTGAAACCGGGCGGCAAGATGCTGGTTGCGGAACATGTGGCGAATCCTTGGTATGCGAAAAATGGGAGTGTTCTGGGAAGGCTGGCGCAGATATTTTATACCTTACTCGGTTGGCCGTTTTTCGTCGGGGATTGTCAGTTGGGGAGGAACACTAGAAAATCACTGGTCATGGCTGCTGCAAAGGATGGCGGATGGGAAACCGATACCTTAGAACTGTCCTTTGGATGGAGTGCGATACCGTACATCAGCGGAACACTGGTGAAAAGAGGTTAAAGAATAAGTTAGGGATATGCCCATCTCTACTGTGGCCGCGTTGCCATAGCTATGGACACGCTTTTTCGGGCATCATTTAGGCTTGGTGCATCCTGGGGTCTCGAGCACAGTTATTGTTCACTCTTATATAATTTAGAAATGATTCCATAGATATCAATCGATCTAAACTCTTTTCTGGTGCTCTTGGGATTTAAATAGTGTGGCGTCTATGGTGATTGCTCTGAGGCTGCCTGAGAATAGGTGGCAATTCACGTCGTTAAATTCATGCAGTATTTACAAAAAAACATATATTCAAAAAAGTCATTAGGGTATCTTTCTATCAACTAGGCGATGGGTTTAGGCCGGCCCGGTGGCCACCAATCAAACAAATCTAGGGCTTCACTTGTCCAAGGTCCCTGTTCTTCATCTTCTGTCCCACCATCCAGTGGAAGGTAATCATTAGTAGTCATTAATCGTGTCTGTATAGAACTACATGGCCCGTTCAGTCTATTTCTCAGCGAAGAGGTGTCTGACAGAGACTTTTGGAGGCATTCCTTTTGGCGAGGGATAACGCCTGTAGAGTCCATTGATTTGTTGTGGGCTAATGATGTCGAGTCTGAAAGGCTTCGCGAAATTTGCTTGAGTCGTTCCGGCGGTCCAATGCGGTCTTGTTCGCCGGGTGTTACCAGAGCCTGCGATTGGCTAGGCTTGAAAAAATCAGATATTGGTTTTGTCCTCTGGGTGCTTGGAGGTATATCAGACTCGCAGATGGATTCTTCAAGCACACGCATCGTAGAGGTAGATGGAACAAAGTCTAGGGAGTAGTTACCGCTCACTGAAGATAGAGCGGATCTTTTTCCGCTTTGCGATATCGGCAAGTCTGATTTTTGGCGGGTTTTTACGGGGAAATTCTCATTTGGACAGTCAACAGAAGGATCAGCATCGTTAATATTTTCGTTTTTAATTGTCTGCTTCCTCTCAACGGGACGCCTCTTTGATTCTAAACACATGAGCTTATTCCGCGGGTTTTCTATAGATAATGGATATGCTGTAATTGCTTTCTGTCCATGGAGCATAGTTGCGATAGATTTTTGATTGCTTGGCTGGGATTTTTTGGAGCCTTTGCGATCGCGCTCTGCTCGGGACGACGATGATATTTTCAGAGCACTCGCTGGCTGAAAACTTAACGAAGATTCATCCAGCAAGGCGTTATTGACCTTGCTGCTACGATTACTGCCAGCTCCTTGACGAGCTTGATTATCAGCCTTTTGTTCAGAGTCGGGAGCAAAGGGATCACGATTCTCCAGCTCGCCGCGGACCCCTGACACCTTTCTTCTTTTATTGGGCAGTTCTGCAACCTGCCTGTGTGTAGCGTCGGCATTTTCATTACACAATTCGAACGGAGATTTTGCTGGTAGTGCAGCTCTGCCTGTGGGAGTCCGATGATTCCCCAAGAGTTCTTTCAACGATTTTGTTTTGGAAGGAGCCCCGACTCCAGCACCAGTGCCAGTACCAGCAGACCGGCCTAGCACTTGGAAAGCCGATGACGTAGGATTCGGCCGCCTCTTGTCAAGCAACTCCGTTAAATCGCTCTCTGAAGTCTCCAAACATTCTCCAACGTCAACAAGAATACCCCGCTCGAGCTCCAGCTGGTCTCCGTCGCGGATTGTATGGCCTTCTCGCAGATGTAGATCTCCAACAAAGTCCCCAGCGTTGCCATAGGTCATGAGCCGCCGATTAAATGTATGAAAAGAGACAAATCCATCCTGCCATCGCTTTGCTTTGCGCTTCACGTCGTAGGTATACAGACAGCGATACTTGATGACAGGCGCTGTGTTTGAGGTTTGACCGGCGGAGAAAGAGGACGACGACCGGAACGACGGTACAGTGCTCATGATCACACCAGTCACACGAAGGTCAGGACGCCAGTTCCCCGTGTGTCGTGTCGTTGACCGTGTCGTTGACCGTGTCCTTGTCGTGGTCATGGTCGTGGTCCTCGTCGTTGGACGCGACGGGACGTGACGGCTTAGTCAGCAGCCCGTAGTTATCTGCAGGGATTTTGATATCAAGACAAGAACCTCGCCATCGCAAGGTCTGTCGGATCATTGCGGGGCGAGCCTGAGCTGCAGGGGCGGATGCTGGTATGTAGGAGGACGTCATCCAGAACCCAGTTGGAGCACTGGACGTCTCCTCGCCGCGCCAGAACCGCACTGCTAGACAAGAGAATCGCGATATCAAGCAGGCAAAGCGGCCCTGGAGTCGGACGATCAGGGCGCCTCTGTAGACCAGCGCAGCGGGGGGTGCGACACTTGTTTCGCGCTCGCCAACTGCACTGGCCGCCCCCGTTTCACACCGCCAGCGCAGGCTCGCTCTGAAACGCCCGTGGTTGCCGGCCGGGCGCTGCTCAAGGGAGGCGGGAGCCGCAGCCCCCGGCTAAGCTGAGCTTGACTGTCTCGGGCAGCCTGTTGGGCGTCGTGGGCATACGGCCGTGGGCGTAACTACGCAAGCCCAGCGTCGCGTGCAGGGAACAGGTCAAGCCACCAGCCCGGCGCAAGCAGGCGGGCTGTCTCGGGGTGACCAGCACCGCCAGGCTTGCGAAGCAGTTCAAGGCCTGCGAGCCGTCGCTAGTCGTGCTGTCAAAGGCTTGCTGAAACGCTTAGTAGCCCGGATCCCAGTCCCGGTGACGCAGCGCCCGCGACATCCATCCCGCCTCTCGCCCAGCCCGCCCCGTCGCCCGTCCAGCACCCCTCCTGAGGCCCGTCGTTCTGCGCTGGGACGAGACTCAATTGCATCTCTGCCGCCTGACGCCCTGGCGTCCTCCCGCCGCCGCCATGTTGACCATGCACAGGCAGTTCGGCAAGCTGATGAAGAGGTCCGCCGACGAGAGCCATGTCTCCGTGCTGCTCAAGGACTTCGACAACGCGGACAAGCTGCTAACAAAGGTACGCATACAGAAGACCTGCTGTGGAAGACTCGAGGCTCCCTATTTTGCAGCTGAGGGCTAATGCGTGTCTGTCTTTGACAGATCATTGATTCCAGCAAAGCCTGGCGTGATGCCTGGTCGTCGATCCTCACATATCAGGCTCGACTGCTACAGGAGTTCGAATCCCTCTACCATCCCATTGTAGGCTCATCGGAGCCTACAGCTCATCCCCCTGCCATTACCCCGGAGGCAACCCTCGAGCGGACTGCCAAGTTGAACGAAGAGTATGAGTCGCTACGAGTTGATCTCCTGGCGGAGATCAACACAGTCGATAGCAGGATGATAAAGCCAGCAATGGAAGCAAAAGACTACCTCCAGCCATTCAAGAAGGTCATCAAAAAGCGAGACGATAAAAAGGTCAGAGAGCTCACCCGCCCTTTTTGCCCTATGAGAAAAGCTACATTTCTGAGGTGCAGATTGCTCCATTGGAGCAATTGCATCTACGATGGGAAGAAAACGGCAAGTAAAATATGGGATCTGACATTTGGCTATAGCTCGACTACGAACGATATCAAAATAGAGTGGACACAGCTCGAAAGAAATCAAAACGGTCGGACCGGGAGAACTCAAATCTTGCTAAGGCAGAAATTGACCTCAATAAGGCCAAGGAGGTTGGTGCTCTGATCTCTACTTTCAGAGTTATAATGGAGTTGTCAAGCTAATAGATTCCAAGGAATACCAAGCGGCTGACGAGCATCTTCGTGGGCATCTACCCGCTCTCATCACGGCCACATTCTCGCTCCTCCCGCCCATCCTGGGCGCCCAAATCGAGATCCAAAACACCCTGCTTGCATTATACTACACCTCGTTACACAACTACTCCTTGGCACAGAACTTCCCGTCTCCGCCTCCGCCGATGGATGAAGTGATCCAGGTCTGGGAGCACGAATTTCTCCCTATACAACGTGAGACGGAATCAATCGGCTGTGTTACACACGGAAAGACAGGCCGCCAGCCTAGAACCTCAGACGACCACAAGAGCCCGGCGATATCGAACGGCATCGGTTCGCGGCATGCCAGCTCAACGCCCGCCCTCCGTAAACCATCCATCTCGCCCGCTCGCACCATGCATGCACCCCCGTCCGTGCCAACAGACACCCGCCCACGAATCAACTCCCTGAATACAGCTTCAACCGGCAATCTCATGACCACCCACCGGTCTCGCCAATACTCTCCTCCCAGCCAACACCGAATCTCCACTGACTCCCCCGATACCTCCCCCTATCACACTCCACAGCCAACCTTCACACCTCCCCTCTCACAAGCACAGTCATGGAAGGCACCCGCACAGTCCGCCGGAATCGCAGCAATGGCTGCTGCAGTAGCGAAGAAAAAACCCCCGCCGCCACCTCCACCGCCGCCAAGGTCCGTTTCGTCAAATATACGCTTCGTCACTGCCCTGTATGACTTTGGTGGCCAGGGTGAAGGTGACCTTGCCTTCAAAGAGGGTGATCGTATTCGTGTCATAAAAAGAACTGAAAGCACGGATGATTGGTGGCAGGGGGAACTCAGAGGCATCAGGGGCAGTTTTCCAGCCAATTATTGTTCTTAAATGGGAGCCAGTCTTTGCGAGACCTTGTTTCCCATCATATCTCGCCGTACCCACGTCAAAACGTTTTTTATTCGTGACAAAAAGACACATTACCCCATTCCTTGATTTGTAGTTGATAAGAAAATATTCTCCATATGTAAAAAATAACATTCTGGCTGGAACATATCTACTGTCCAATTGATATAATAAAAATGCGTTCTTCTCAAACAAATGTACCTCCAGACAGATAAAGGGGTTGCAGCCTGGTAGTATATACTTATGAAAAGAGTATCAATATCTAAAAGCACTTTTTCTTCGGAACAAACCCTACAACCAGTGTATACAAGTTTATCATACTTTGAGCATATAATTAATACCTTGCTCATTCATTAGAGAAATGCGGAGTCAGCCGTACTATCTTCAGAGCTTCCCAGGTGTCGCCTCCTGTCACTTAAAAATATATCAACCATTCGTTTGCTACTGATGGTAGAGTGCAGTTCACTTAGCCTCGATAAGCCCTCAGACGTCTCATTCATCCTAGGCGGGATGTTTTCACCCATTCCCTTATTATTTTCTTTAGTGGTTAGCCCATCGTTGTTCCAAGGCCGTATTGTGGTGGATCGAGAGGCCCCTTTTATATCACTAGCATACAAAGAAACAGGGAGATTTCTGCCATGGCGAGAGCGCACGGGCGTGGGGCTACCGGCATCCACACCATCCCGTGGCGACACCGCTTGAGGCTTAAATAAATCAGGTAGACGTGTTTTGCGGTACGTCAGTGGGAACTGATTGGGAGTTCTTGACGTAATTCCAAGTCGAACGGTTCCGTTTTCGGCCTGCGAAGGGGCTCCAGTTTCAACCACAGCCGAGCCACTGCAGGCTGGAGCATTTGCCTCTATCAGAGATGGTCTTCGCACATTTGTAACGCCGAGTGACATGGATGTCCTAGAGCTGCAACGAATAGGGCGAGAAAAATTATTCTGGGATACAGGAATAAGCTCCGTCAGGTATGGAGGCTCCGATTCTTGCATCTGCTGGCCTTCAAGAAATTGTTCAGGTATTCCCATAAGCACTCCCTTATCTCGTCCAGGAGAATGGCTAACATCCTCAATATCAGATGCTGCATCGTCGATTTGGGTATTTTCTCGGTAATGGCCTCTTTCTGGGACAAACTGTACATTTAAGCTCTCAGGGGGGCCTGGTTTATCAATAAGATCCATTTGGGATGTAATCCAAGATTTCCAATCGGCGCTACCTTTCAGCATTCTATCACGACCGCGAGGCCTGTACGGAAGCCTCTCACTGGTAATGATCGTGGCCGTTCCTCGGTCCCCACCGGACTCAGAATCACTTCGACTGTCACAGCGATCTGGCGTACCACCAGACCTTGAATAAACGCTTGGAGATATAATGGAGTTCTCTTGGTGCGTTCTCCTAACCATGATAGTAGAGGTGTCATCATCAGAGTTATCATTTTTAACCTTTGTAGGAGTTGTGAGGATTTTGATACCGCGTGAAATACGGCGTCCACGAGGGGTCGAATCAGAAAAGTTCGCATTAAATTGTCCCAAGGCGCTTTGACGATGGAAACGAGCGATGCTTTCGTTGCGATGGGCAATCTGCTGGGGTGTCAGGCTTGCTCCGGCATAGCCACGACGAAGCCTTCGTTGACTACGGACACTTGGAGATCGTCTTGGGGGAATGACGACAGGTTGATCATAGCACAAAGAGGTTTCGCTTGGTACTCGTCTGATACTTGGGCCTGGCCGTGGAGTTATGGTACCATCTTCGTTTTGTTCCATATCAGATCCATCTATTCTTCGCATCAGAGCAGAATAGACCCTCTGACTATCCACATAGTTTTCACCGCTGCAACTGGCAATCGGCTGTCTAAATGCGGAATATCCATCATGATAGTTGTGGTTTGGTTTTTCATCGAATATCGCATTTCCATGTTCTTCAATAATGAATAAACGACTCTCTACTGGCCGCCTAGCCGTGACCGTATTAGTAGCTGTAGAATTTGTCCAGCTTGTGACACGTGAGTTTGATGTAGCCGTACTATCGAAACTTTTCATTGACCGGACACTAGCACCACATTCATCTTTGGATTGATGATGAGGAGAAAAAGCACTGCTCATTTGTTGATCGTCATGGGATGCTGACGAACTGTTTATGTCTGAATCTGTTTGATGTTGTGGATCGGTGGGATTGCTGACATTCGATTGGCAAGATTCTGCTTGAGAAGACGGCATATCGTCTCGCTCAGAGACACGACGTCCAAATAGACGCCGAAAGCCGTTCTTTATTGATTCGGAAAGAACTTTCTTTCGTCGGTCCTTGGGTCGTTCATCCGTATACTGAGCCCCGGAATTGCTGTGATCACTAGTTGCGGAGCCAAGGGGCCGGACAGTCTTCCTGAAAGGCTTGATTTCACTTCGTCTTCTTCGATAACTGGAGACAGTAGTACCGGATTGAGGACTATGACTTAACGCCCGTAAAAATTGATCCCTTGCTAGTTTTATGGCGGCCTTTTCGCCATTTGCAGATCGATTCTTCCCTGCATGTTGCTCGCTTTCTCCCCTAAAGAAGGACATCGATCGTCGAAGCGTGGTTCGAGCAAAGTGTCGAGTGCCTAGGGTATCTCGGTTTCGGCCAGAGGTATCACCTGGGCGTGACCGAGCTGAAAACATCGATTTGGATCGTCGAAGCTTTCGGTACGACGAAGGTATGGATGGAACGGACGGTATATCATCACTAAGTACTCCAAATTCATCGACACCATATAAAGGGGGTAGCAGATGAGTTGGGGGCCTCTCGTCATTTTCTGAAGTGGAAGCATCGTTTGCGTACGAAGCTGCTCGACGAGAGTTTGTGTGCCTCGTATTGTTTGGGTTTATTCGACTAGTATCAATGGATTTAATACTTTGAGACTGTGAAAATGGAATCGAATGATGGTTTGGTCCAATCTCGCTGGAATGGGATTCATCTCTCGACGATTTTGCGGCTCGTTGCATTGCGAGATACGCAGCCGCCAAAGCCTGCTGTTGAGCCGCTTCATCTTCGATGGGCTCCCCAAAAGACTGGCCGCGTCGCCGGGGCTTGACTGAAGCGGATGACTTGCTTCTCCTAAGCTTTGAGCTCAAACTTGTGCCCTTGGAGACCATCTTGAGCGAGGTGGTTGGTGTCAACGAGTAAGATTATACAACGTGACTAAAGTCAAGATACTCGAATTGCGAATACAAAATAACGCTGGCATGCATTAAAACTCTGCAAAACATATGGGATGGAGCATCTCCAGTCTTTTGTGTTTGAATCGTAAACAACCGCCTCGACGGCAATGTTGCGGCAGGTCGCACCCACACCTGCAGCGAAGGGAAAGCCATACCGGCCTAGGGTAGGCGGGAGGACACAGCATGAGACAGCAGCGCCTGCAGCAGAGCGAGACAAAAGACGCAGTGCCGTCTAGCGGATGTATAGCAGTAGCTGGAGCTTTGGTCGCCGATGAAGCGTATGTCTGGTGGCTGTCAGCTGCAGTCAAGATGGTAAACCAGCCTGCTGCCAACAGTGCCCACCGAAGGACTAAAGCTCCTAGCAACAAATTAGCATTTTTCTGCCTCAAGAATCTCATGGGGATTGTCTCAGACCTTCAACCTGTCGAGCGGCTCTGTAGACCGTTGTGAGTCACGTCCTCCGTTGGTTGGATGGTTGAAGACCACGATGGCGACAAGGTCAGTCTCAAAGCCACGGAACGCCATCATTGTAAATCAATTAGAGACTTCGTACAATCTAAAGGGGATTGTCGCCTAGTGGGTGCCCGTCTTTACAGTCGCCATGTATATCTACACGCTGCTTGACGAACAATGAGTCACTCAGGCCCGAGATTGTTGCGGGGAACACCACTGATTCCTGGAAAGGTGCAACCAACAGGGAGCACCGGACACAGAGTACGGAGTATATAAGGGCCATTTGCTTTTCTCTATGTAGCTAGAACAATCTCTTCAATTTGCTTAGTTCTCTGTTGACTGAGTACGGATAACACCTGAAAGCTCATCGGCGGCGGCCGATAGCATTCCACAGCGAGTCCATCTACACAGCTACGATACGAACTTCAAATTTCCCTCCCCCTAACCACACGAATAGTTTGCCCAGTATGATTCAACTCGATGGCAGCACTCTCGAAGGCGGAGGCCAGCTAGTACGAAACGCCATCGCGCTCTCAGCATTGACCTCTCAGCCAGTCAGAGTCACCAAAATCAGAGGGAGAAGACAAGGAGCTCGTGGACTTAGGCCATCACACGCAGCAGCCATACAGTGTTTACTTGACATCTGCGGTGGGTCTGCTCTAGGTGCTACCGTCGGGTCTTCCGAGATCACCTTTTATCCACGAGGACAAAACGAAGGTACTCAAACTGACGCCAGCGTGGCTGATGACGACAGTACAGACAACATCACAGCGTTGCTGGAGTCGATGAAGCTAGAGCCGGTGACCGGGGTGCCGCCAATAAAGTCTGAGTACAACATTCGCCTGACAACTCCAGGCTCCGCATTCCTCATATTTCAAGCACTGTACCCGTACATCTTGTATGCCGGGGCATGTGCGGCCGCTAGGACAGCAGAGAAGGGCGAGAGTCCTCCAGAATTTCCCATAAAGTTGAAAATGACCGGAGGGACTAACGTTTCCTTTTCTCCATCTTACGACTACGTCTCCCAAGTTCTCATTCCCAACTTTGCGAGACTTGGGCTACCTCAGCTGAAAGTGACATTAAAGCGTCGTGGATGGACGGGGGGGCGAACAAACCTTGGGGCAGTAGTGTTCCTCATCCATCCACTGGAAATCCAAAAAGTGGATGCTCTGCCTCCTCTGCCCAACAGACAGCCCGCATGCTGCCCAAAATTATCAACCCCATGCTTCCCAAGAATAAATCTCGACATGATGGAGCGGGGAACAATCACACACATTGATATCACAGTTTTGGCACCCGACGTGGGATTTGACGAAGTGGGCTCCGGGAGCGGTTCTATACGTCGGAAGGGGCCGAAGAGTGGGGGCAAGCTCGGGAAAGGGCGTGAGAGTGACTGGGAACGTAAGGGCTTGGAAGGATCGGACGCTGCAGCGGATGATAGCGACCTTATAGAGGAACAAGATCTTGGGGGTCGTTCCGCTCCGCATTCCATTCGCGAATTTGTTGAGAATCGCACGTTTGAGGCAGTATTCAGCGGACTGAACTGCCAGATCGGGAGCACCCAAGGGCTGCAGCCGCCTACTATTCGGCTATATCATTCGGAACCGACACGCCACTACTCCCACATCTATATCCTCCTCGTTGCGCATACATCGACGGGATTCCGCCTTGGCCGGGATGCGCTATTCGGAAGCGAGGGGGCACAGAGATCAAGCGGGAGATCCCATCAAGGAGCCAAGGACGGTAAATCACGAGGGAAAACAAAATCCAAGCCAAGCAGTGGCATACGGTTCATAGTCGAAGACATGGTTGCCCAATGTGTAAGCGACTTGATGGATGAGCTGATAGGAAGTGATCCGTCAGACTCCAAGGGCCCGTTGGGGGGCGGTAAGTCGCGGAGAGTGCTGGATATGTTCATGCGCGATCAGGTGGTGATATTTCAGGCACTGGGTAGTTTGGGAGTCGCCGGCGAAGGAGAGCCTGCAGGTGTAGACCAGGGTGGTGAGAGGGATCAAAAAAGTCTGCACACACAAACAGCGATGTGGGTATGCAGGCAGATGCTGGGGGCGGAATCCTAGCCGTAGTTAGTCTATAACATCCCGCCTGCTATTCACCAAAACCATCGCCAGTAATCCATTCACGCCGGCTCTTTTGAAGCACGGGAGAAGGTGGACGGCATTCAGCGTCTTTGCTCGTTGGTTCGTTGCGACAACCCCCGGGCCGGCAAGAAGGGGAATCACATGACGGCTTGGCACGACGTCACCTGCATCGCATCTTCAGCGGTCAACACCAGACAAAGCAGGGAACAGAGGTTGATGACCTCGTCGTCCCTTCTGCAGCGCGTCGGTCGGAGCGAATTGTGACGAATCATGGAGTCTCTCGGCGTGTATGTCCTGACCTTCAACTGCGCCCGAAACGTCATCCAGCCGGAGGTTTTCGCGCCCCATATCTTCGACGCCCTCAAGTCGGCTTCGTCCATCAGCCCTGCGCGAACGAAGGCACCTGAGATCCTGGCCGTCGCCCTCCAGGAAGTTGCGCCAATTGCGTATGCATTTCTCGGAGGCTCGTATTTGGATCCTTACTACGATGCTCTCCAGCGTGCAGTAGACTTGGGCGCGTCGGCCTTGGTTTCCGATCATCGGGCGCAGGATGCGCAGTATCAGCACATGCTGACCAAGAATATTGGGATGACTGCATTGATGGTGTTTGCCAGACGTGATATTGTGGAGAGGATACGCTACATACAGACAGCAGGGGTTGGAGTAGGGGTTCAAGAGGCGGGGAATAAGGGTGCGGTTGGGGCGAGAATCGGGTATCTGGTTGAGCGTGACGGTAGGAACCAGAGGGACGAGGAGGATGACGATGGCGGTGTCATGGAGGTAACTTTGGTTAGCGCCCATCTAGCACCGGATGAAAGCCAGTGGGAGCGGCGCAACGAGGACTGGAAGAGCATTGCAGAACGGCTTGTTTTTGAGCCTCGACAGGCGCCCGAGACAGTAGCGGACGCCACTCTCTCACGGGAAGACGAAGAAGGCGTTCCGCTTCTCGGAGACACATCCTCGCCACCACTGAAGAACTCGTCGGCGTTCTACTCCCCAAGATCATACCTCTTTGTCGCGGGCGACTTCAACTACCGCACTGCGGATGGCCGTCCAACGCCGGATGACTTCAAAAATTTCCCACGGCCAACGGGCGATACGGCGAATAACATCAGCCACTTCGCAGACTTGCTGGCACGCGACCAGCTAACGCGCGAGCGGCAGGCTGGAAAGACGTTTACCAACTTCGAAGAGTCCAAAATCACCTTCGCGCCGTCATATAAGTACTCGGACGAGGCCCGCGGCCTCGCGTCGTCGGACCGCAACGGCCACTGGAAATGGGCAGAGAACCGCTGGCCGAGCTGGTGCGACCGGATCCTCTATCTCAACCACCCGTCCGCGGGCGCGTCGGACGGCATCGACGTCCACGGCTACACGTCGCTGCCTCTACTCTCGACGTCGGACCACCGCCCCGTCGCCCTGTCGGCGTCGATTCCACTGCGTGTCTTACCCGAGTCCAGCACGTACCTGCCTCCCTTTGAGATTGACCCAGACTGGGACAGCAGACGGGCAGCCGCGCGGAGAAAGGAGGTGATCGTCGGCGCCGCCGCGTACCTGGGTCTCACCTGGGCGGGCAACGGGCTCTTAGCAGCGACGGTGCTGGGCGGCACGGCAGCGTATTACGCTCTCCAGGCGTATTATGTCGCAAGTTGACGGGCGACGATAAGGCCCATCGTCTTATCGGGAGCGAGGGACCGTGGAGCATGGGAAGTGAATTATTGTCGCACTGTGTGTTCCATCGCCAGCGCTCCCCGCATCTGAAAAGCAGCCCGCCCTGAGCACACACGCACAAAGCTGCATGAGTGTATGGTCGGGCCGACGCCCGAGTCTGGGCCAAATTCCGTCAGCGGCAGAATCCCTGTCTCTTGGAATGAAACAAACTGTTAGAATCCCAAACTTCGAAAGAAGGTCGGCAGGGGTGGATGTTTCAAAGCTCATTTCGCAACGCCTCCCAGAACCCCACGCAGCGCAGAAAAAAAAGATTACTTGCATATTTCAATAACAATGTTCGAGCCTGCCACATGGCGGAGTGACCAAGACGGCGTTTGAGAAACACCAGGGTTCATTATTACCTCCTTTTTCTTTAATTTTTTTTTTTTTTTTCTTCAGGCGCAGGATGATATAGGGGGAGGGGATAATTTCGCTTTCGACATCTCATCCTCCAGTGGGAGTCATACCCATGGCACCGATCATAATTTTTGGTTCAGCTGCTTGGTACGCCTGTACTTATCATCGCCGCGCGTCTAGTCTTATAGCTCATGGTATAGTTATGTAGTGGCGACCGTTTAAATACCATCAAAGCTAAATCTCCGAGGAATCCCCTTGGACGCCCCTCCGACCCAAGATGACATTTGATCGACAGGGACACCCCCTTTAGCGCTGCCCTCCATGGAATGAACCCGTCGCCACGGCACGGTTTCTTCCTGGTGCCAGGTAATTGTTATTGAGGCGCCGATGCTACATCGATTGCTGAGAATTTGTTTTGTGATGTGTTGATCGGGGATCGGGTTGCTTTTGTTATCGGTCTTATTACCACCCACCCAGCCCCCCCCCAGATGTTGCAGTCTCGCGGATGGAACGTTTTGTTCCTGAATTCGCTCGCTTTTCTTTCCTTCTCCTTTGTCCCTGTTTAGATGAAAGCAAGTTTCTCGCACCAAAACTGGGGTGTCTTAGACCCATAAATTAATGATGCACCGTTAGAAAGCCTAGACTATGATAGTCTGGGTGAGTTGTCAGGTTGTATAATCTATAATCTATTTCACACCTATCGGTGCACGAACCGATCTACCACTAATTTCGGTATTTTTTTCCTTTTTTTCTTTTTTCCCTTCTATCTTCTGTATGTTGCTATCACATTTCTTCTATCGTCGATCCATACGTCAAAGAAGAGAGATCGTTTCACTCTGGGACAATAAAGTGCGCTGCTGGATAGTTACGTATGCACGACATGGCGGACGTGCAGGCGCCCCCCTCCCTCTCCAAGAGGACGGCCCTAACGAAAGGAAAAATAAAACAAGCCTATCGGACTCCATCGTTGCCGGAGATTCGGAGTCGCTTAATTAGCTATAGGGGCAGGGCCACCACGACAGCAACAACGACGACGACGACGACATCGTTACGTTGATGAGGCGCACCCAACCCACAGGCATGTGATCCAGGCACGTCTCAGCGACGGTGTTCCAGACTCTTGCAGAGCTGTTCTCGAGCTGGACGGCGGGCGCAAAGGATTGGGGATCACCCATCAATGCACATCGCGGCGCTGCTAAGGACCCGGGGAAGTCTATAACAGCAGCTACACTAACAAACTACACTTCCGTGGTATGCATATCGTCTTGTGTCGGCTTGCTTATCTGGGTCGTAGCCGGCATCCTAGAACGGGCCATCCTTTTCATCCAGCCTGACGCCCGTCGAGTCACAGCCAGCCAGCCAGCCAGCCTGGGGGGAAGATCCGTTTTTGCCGCTGTTTTGCGGCTGCTGAGCAACTAGCCAGCTAGTCAGGCAGTTAACTAACTAACTAACTAGTCAACCTAGCAAGTAGTTAAAACAAAAGAATGTTGGGGGGAGGTCTGGACCGCACCAGACGCAAGCGAGCGCACTGCCATATTAATCATACAACTAGTAGTAGTAAATAGGAGGACTCCGTACCAAGCGACGGGCAGGCAATTGACGAAGCGCGGCATCGGCTCTGGCTGCGGGAATTGAGTTTTTTTTTTTTTTTTGGGCGAGATCGCGCGCGCATCCGCCATTCCTGCTCGCGGTTACATTGGCCGAAGAGGGGGCTGGTTGAGCCGATGAAGGGTCCAACGCGTCAGCAGGAACATTCCAGACTCCGTGCGCGGAGGCCTAGTTAGTTAGTTAGTGTAGTTATAGTGGTGGTGGTGATGGAATGAACGAAGCAGTGGGCTTCAGTTGGGCGCAGCGCGCGGGAGCGGACCGTGGGAGGGTCAGCATCAGCATCAGCAGCCACAACACGCTCGCGGGTCTGTCTTCGCTTCTGCGCTCTGTCGCCTGTCTGGCGTCTGTCGTTTCGCGTGCTCCGTACTAAAATGAAACCGCCAGTGGCACAAACGCCGGCCAAGAGTGTGCCGCAGAAGGAAGACGACAGGATGGACGACAGGATCGCCAGGAGGGGGATAGGTATAGCTACGGGCACTCAGCGGGCATGCGGTGGTGGTGATATGTCCGCCTGGCTCACCGCCACAGGGCTGCGCAATAAGTACTCACCAACTACTGACTAGTCACCAGCCGCACCGCCAGACCAGCCAGATGCCGGCAATTTCCAGACCGGGGCCGTTCGCTGGGCTGGCGACCCAACAGCGCGCCCGTTGGTGCCCAGCACCGCCGCGGGCTGGCGTGCCCGGTTCAGCTCACTAACCCCGGGAGCCATCCGTTACAGATTGCAAAGTGTATTAGGGGGCGGCCGAGCGTATATAAAGCGCCCACTCCTCCTGGCTGCTGCCCGCCGCCCGCCCGCCTTGTCTCTCCTTTCCCTCCGCTTCTCAGGCCCTTTTTTTCTGTTCTTTTGGCTTTTTTTTTTACATACTTACCTAGCCTAATCGCGCGCGAGCTTGCCGCCGCTTCTTGTTCTGCCTCGTTGCCCCCCCCCCCCCCCCCCCCCCCCCCGCCCCCCCCCCCCCCCCCCCCCCCCCCCCCCCCCCCCCCCCCCCCCCCCCCCCCCCCCCCCCCCCCCCCCCCCCCCCCCCCCCCCCCCCCCCCCCCCCCCCCCCCCCCCCCCCCCCCCCCCCCCCCCCCCCCCCCCCCCCCCCCCCCCCCCCCCCCCCCCCCCCCCCCCCCCCCGA